GGGGGGGAGGCTTCTGAACAATGAGATGGCGAGTTATAGGAGGATGCACATCACCGAGGAGATTACATGCGTCATGACAAATTGACGCAGGCTTGTTGTAGAGTTCAATAGCCAAGTTTTCGATCTTATACAGTGGGCCTTGTTTAGTTCGTGCTGTATACCCCGTGGGGGTTATCCGGGGTGTTGCAATTCCCTACCTGCCAGTGGCCCTTCCGCAAGTAAACAGACAACCTGCCTTTCAAATTGTAAGATCTGAAGGTTATGTATGTGTTGATGAGGTGATTATTGCCCTTGACCAGTGATGCGATAAACGAATTACACCGGGCTCATGAACTAGGAGCCTATCCTTTAGTAAGCCACCAGGTCGCCAACGGTCTGGGAAACAAGATCCCCACGGGCCAACGGACGGTTTCTCTAACCACGATAAAGAGTATATGGCTTATGATGCTCCTTTGGCTTCACCGCGAACTGCGTCAACGAATAATCGAGCTAATGAGCCAAGAAGCATCTCTCTTCCTCCAAGATCCTAAGCATTAGCAGAATACACAGCCTCGCCAGTTCTTGCTGGCAGTAGATCTGTGATTGGTAGCAAAGGAACACATGTGTGTGATTTTTTCATCCGCAGAAACCACCGATCGCGATAACCACCGATGGGTAAGACCAAGCGCGTTTGGCGTGCCATGGTGACCACCTAAGAGGCCGAGATTGGCCAGAGCCAGCCTTAACTTGTCCAGGTGGGTACTAGAACCAGACCGCCAAGACAGTCTAGCTGCTTGGGCTTGCCACGAGCGATGGTGGTATAGGAAGAGGGAAACGCGGGATCTAGACTTATTCTAATCGAGTCAGGTAACCAGTCATGCGGCGGATTCCTGGTCTATCGATCCACAAAGTTGGGGTACGCATGAGCAATCTGGATCAACGCTGCGGATGGCTCCATCCCACCACCGGCGCTGGGACCTGTTTGGACTTAGAGTAAGCAGTTTAAGTTTTGCCAAGCTAGTGAGAGAACAACGGACAACGACCTTCCATCTTGGTTCAGCTTCCCCGCATCTGGGGTACAACGCTGGGGAACTGACCCCCACACCCGGCCCAATCATCTCCCAGGTTCGGCCGCAGAACCAAGGAACCAGGGCTTGTCACTTGAAACGATTGGGGGTGGCCATTGGAAGATCATTATCAAGCCTATCTTGCGGGCTGGTGTTGGAGGCCTGGCTTGCGGGGTAATGCCGCCGTTGGATATAAAACCAGGTGCCCCCCCAGGTTGTTCTCCTTACATTGCTCCAACCCCCATTGTCTCTTGCATACCAGCTCTGTTGTCCCTCATCTGGCGTCGTAAATCTTGATCATGGCAGCGGACAAGTCTGCCACTGGTGGCATTGCCACTGTTGAACAGAATGAGAACCAAATCGGCCTTCAGCACACCACTACCATCGAGGAGGGCCCATTCAAGCCCGCTTACGAAAAGGTGGATGAGTTTGGTGCCCACGCGAAGACCGATCCCAAGGAAATCGCTCTGGTCAGGAAGTTAGACTTGCATATCTTGGTATGTGCTCATCTGACGAATGTACCCCTTGTACTATGCTAACAGAGAGCAAGCCCATCCTATGGCTCATGTATCTTTTCAACTACCTCGATCGCAATGCTCTTGTCAACGCGCGACTCAATGACCTCGAGAAAGAGCTCAACCTGCAGGGTACTCAATACAATACCTGTGTGTCGATTTTGTTCGTCGGGTATGTGCCATTTAGATGACCAGCAGACGTTCTCCCGTCTTCCTCTCCCGTCTTCGCTCGAACAGAGGCTCATATCACTTTCTTCGAATAGATATATTGCGGGCCAGATCCCATCTAACATGGTGTTGAATCGCGTCCGACCCTCTTGGTACATGGCTGGCTTCTGCATGGCTTGGTCCATCGTGAGCTTGCTTACATTCCTTGCCAAAGACTACAGCAGCATGGTAGTTCTTCGTTTCTTCTTGGGAGTGACTGAGGCGCCAGTGAGCTATATCCCTCTCCGTCTCCTGAAATCTTTGTTGAACCATTAATGACCGTGAATTAGTTCTATCCCGGCGCGCTGTATCTGATCAGTTTATTCTACACGCGAAAGGAAATCGCCACTCGCATGTCTTGGTTTTTCACTGCAAACATGTTGGCAAGTGCCTTTTCGCCTCTTATCGCAGCCGGCGTGTTTTCAGGGCTTGATAAATCTATGGGTTTGTCGGGATGGAAATGGTGAGTAAATATATTAATGATCTACTTGGGCAGCCATTGCCTGCGAAGCGATTTTTATGCTCATGTGAAACTTTTAATAGGCTATTCATCATTCAGGGTGCTCTGTCCATCGTCACAGCCGTCCTCGCGTTCTTCATGCTGCCCGACCACCCTCTAAAGACCCGCTGGTTGGATGAGGAAGAGAAACAATACGCCCACAACCGAATTTGCGTCGATACTACCGACCTTCGTGAGGGAACGAGCGTCTGGGTTGGTCTCAAGGAGGCCTGCAGCGACTGGCGCATGTGGGTTCTCTGCCTCATGTACAACTTCCACTTGTCGTCCATCAGCTTCCAGAACTTCCTACCCACCGTTATCGAAACTCTCGGCTATGGCAGGATTATCAGTCTGGTCCTCACCTTCCCCCCTTATCTCTTCGCTGCGATCATGGCTGTCGCTATGGCGCATAGCTCGGGGCACTTCAACGAACGAACTTGGCATATTACCACTTGCAAATGCATCGTCATCGTTGGTTTTGTGCTCGCCGTCGCAACCCTGAACATTCCTGCTCGGATGGTCGGCATCTTCCTGTTCGTCGGGTTCACTTTCGGAATCAACAACATTATTCTTGGATGGGTATCCTCCACACTCGGCCAGACCAACGAGAAGAAGTCCGTTGCGCTCGCCATCGCCAACTCCCTCGGAAACATGTCCTCAATCTACATGCCATACATCTGGCCCAAGTCTGACGGCCCGCGCTATCTCCCGGCATGGATGGCAAGCATTGCCTTTTCTGCCGGCTGCATGACTCTCGCATGGGTGCTCAAGATTGCTCTCCGCAGACAGAATAAGAAGATGAGGGCTGCCAACCCCAACGAGACGAACTTTTACGTCTACTGATTTGGCCTGCACGGTATTGGTTAGATAGATATGTGGAACTGCATCAATATCATCACGCGACATGACGGAAGGGTGGAAGATCACCAATGTAATTTGCCGAACTCCATTTGAATACAAACATCACATCCTCATCCTGTATTGTTCATTTTAATGCGAAAGTGCAGGGTGATGCTCCCTCCTTAGTAAGGCAGCGGTCGAATTAAATTGAGGTCCTTGTCCGCCCAAGAGGAGGTGTTAGTGCTGCCGTGAATCTATCAAAGCCCTTCGCAACAGAGAAACACTGTCGAATAGGCCATATCACGGGATCAGAGTCATCGCAATGGTGGTCTGCGCCACGTTGTAGAACGAGATCCTGACTAGGACACAAGATCTGACCACTCTGTCTTATCACAAATGTAAGGCGGCCGATCTCGACAGATGGTACAGTCTTAGGTCGAGATCAAGGCAGTTCCAAAGTTTGGCTTTATAACCATGAACATTTTCAACTTTCTCCTTTGTCTCTGGTTTCATTAACAGTCGTCTTAGGGGACTTGGCGGCTGCTGTAGATTATTGTCCAAGGAACAATAAGTGGTGATCAGACTGGCGAATACGACCCTGTAGGTGAGGCCAGGTAGAGAAAGAACACGCTGACAACCAGCCCATGCGCGTGGAAATTATCTTCTATCTAGTGCTATAAACCAGAAGTGTTCTGTTCCCCTCAAGACAACACTGACAGATTTGGAAAGCTCCGGGAGCAGACTGAGCCAGGGTGGCACAGCCCAATCACACCCTGAAGACACCAACAGCTATGCAACCTTACAAACGGCTGCTGCCTACGAGATCGCCACGGCTGAGGCGCGCGGAGGATTTGCAAGTGGGGAATGCTCCCACCAGTTGCTTGGCACAAACACCACCAATTTCGCCCTCGCCACAAATCTCTCAGCACAGCGCGTCGACTCACTTCCCACTGGCTGTCACGCGACCGGAAGCATGTCGGCCACTCCGTTTGGCTCCATGACGCCCGATGAGCGGGAAGAGTTCCTCTCTCAGCCGGCGTTGGCAGCTCCCGATGGCTTCACGTCTCATCTCACGAACCCGGAGTCGCGGAATGATCTCGGCTTGTCGGTTACTATCGCGTGCACGGTGATAGCATGGATCCTTTTATTCCTTCGTCTATATGCATTCTTTGTGTATCGCAAAGAGACACGGATCCAAGAAGGTATATCAAGTCTTCCAAACCCGACTGTGGCAATTGCTCAACACTGACGATGCATTAATAGGATTGGCTCTAGTTGCTGCGGTATGTCTCTCTATGCTCATACAGATCAGGATATTTCTAAGTTCTACTTTCAGAGCACTCTATTGACACGTTGGAAACTCATAGGCCACATTCACGGCTCTGCTCTATCCAGGTTACCACTTGGCAAAGATTGGTGCATTCTATGTACATCAATGGGACATGGACCGCCATAAATTCTCAGAAGTACTGCTAGTGAGTAATAACTTTCTCTTGATGAGCTGTAGCGCTATCCTCAGTACCATTATGGCCACTAACTGGAAGAAATATATAGATGTCGTACATCATGACCACAATGTGGTATCTCACGATGCTATTCGCCAAGTCAGCCATCATGCTCGAGTGGCTTCGCGTCTTTTGGCCAGGACACTCGCGCAACTCCATCTACTGGATCTGCAATATCACTCTGGGTGTGCTAGTTGCTTTCTTCAGCGCTGGATTCATCTACTTTCAAGCACGCTGCCAGCCGTTTCACAAGGCGTGGAACCCTTGGCTGGAGGGTACCTGCTCTAACAGGTCCTACATCGACAAGGTGTCCGTCTTTTTTAATATCGCCCTAGATTTGGTCATTTTCATCCTTCCACAGACAATGGTTTGGAGGCTTCACGCCCCTCTGAAAAGAAGGATTGGCAAGTCCATCATATTCTCCTTCGCGCTCCTGTAAGTTTGAACTACCATGCCCCCAGCTTTCGCCTCCTCTCCTCGATGCGTCTGCTGGCCTGTTTTCGCCACGGGCTTTGTTGTAGAAGCTGCTGACAGACAATGACTTGCAGTGGAATTGGCTGCGGGTCTGGTCGTGCCCAAAACGTCCACACCTTCAAATATTCACAGGACGTGGCTTACAGTCTCTCGTCGGGCTATCTCTGGGCCTTGGGGGAGTGCACGATCGTTGTGCTTGTGTACTGTGCTCTCCCAATCTCTCGAATATATACAGAACCAAAGGTGCCTCCTCTCCTAATGCCGCTAAATAGGTGGTACAAGGGAAAGTTTGGCGGCAGCCAAGTCCCTGCAAATGAAGCGGTATCGAAAAATACCAAGGGAAAATACTGGGTTCCTTCGAAACCCTCAAGCCTTTCTCCCGCTCCGAACAACAATGTGTATGAAAGAATGGATGATAGTACCCACAGCGAAGTACATCTAACGGACCTGCCTCCAGTGAGGTAGACAATGAGAAGATCATATTCCAAGAAGTTTACATATAGATACTATAGGCTTGCTTTATGTATGTCTCGAATGTACTTAGACTCAGAAGCCCATCACACCCCTCGAGATTTCTTTCCATTCTAAAGTCTTGGTGCAGACCTTGCAACTTAAATTTGAAGAATATACCCAAATTTCCTAGCTAATCTGAGCTCATCCTCGCCAGATAAATACTCATGAGAGCTATCAGGCGCAAGCTCTTCGTCACCTACAACGATGTGCTCTCTCATATACGGCACTACTACGGACGAATGAATAAAGTCAATGGCCCCAATATGTTTGACTTCTCGAGACTGGATGTCCAATCCATCACACTCGTCAATCAAATCCTTTTCGGACGCCGAGTATCATTCTCATTGGTGGCAGTGCGAGGAGTGGGTTCTCCAATCCTGCGACAAATACCTACAAATTGCATCCTGGGGGACACTAGAGACTCTTTTTGGTGTAAGTAAACCAGTTTATTGAATGGTATGGGGCAAGGTTCCATTTGCCTGATCATCACAGCTTAACAAAGCTAACGCTGCATGGAGCACTGTCTAAGAAGAGACATTACAGGCTTAATACCATAATCAATTTTGGTCAATGTTACAACGCGTTTCGGTTGTTCTACCCAGCCACTCTGCTGCCTGAAGAGATGCCAAGACCAATATCCACCTCAGATGCCACGTTGTCCAAGAAGCTGCTCATCTCGGGCTGCCACCACTAATAGGAGAGCAGCACTAGGCGCGTATTGCCCATCTGGACCTGTATCTAGCATTTCATCCACGCCGCACATCTGGCCTCATCAGCATAACCTTGTAAGCGATGAGCGTAGCCTGGCTATCTATAAATGTCATGCTGGCTGCTTCAACACAATTCAGCATCTCGCCATCCTCATACCGACATTGATACCGACATTGATTAACGGCATTATCACATCTTCAAGTCCAAAATGCAGCTCCCTTCCATTCTAAACCCACTTTTGGCGATTGTTGGGCTACGCCAGGTCGACTATGGGGCGGAGGAAACAGTCACTGTATCAAGCGTCCGACTTCACAAGCTCGCGTCGCCAGTCGATGTCAAGATTCCAAGCTTTTCCTTTAAGCTGAGCGGCAATGACGCAGACGGCCTCGAATGCTCGGCAACCGACGTGCCCTGGCCCAAGCCAGGGTTCAATCGGTGCGGCAATAGCAAGTACTCGTTTGCCCTCTTGTCTGGCACTTCGATTGGTGATGACGATCACGAGTTCAATCTCATGATCTACCACGATGTCGGTGACAGGTATGTAACTCAACCCATCTCCAGGATATCATGTCTCTGACATTTGCTACAGAAAGGCCGATTTGCGCGGCGGTACCGGGTTGGATCTCGACTGTCGCAGCCAGGGCGACGGACCAGCCGATGAGATATGCAAGCAAGACGCCCCCGTCACGTTCAAGATTGACGGTCCTGTGGCCAACTACAGCTGGCGCGGAGAACTTAAATAGGCGCTCGTGATGATGTATGGCACCAGCACCCGGGATTCTTCTCGTGTCAGCCCACCATGTCATTCACCTGTGAGAGGGCATTTATAGGACTTTCTTTCATGTGGCTAGCTAAAATATTGAAAAGACCCCGAAAAGGCGTCCAAGATATCGCCTGAAGAGGATTGATTCATGTCACTTTTTGCGAGCTGAGATGAATTAGCTCTCCCCCGACTTATTCACATCGATCTCATCATAGCTCCCCCGAGTGCGTTGGATCTCGTAACAAAGCGCCGCCTTTGCATCGCCATCTATATTGCGTGCTGCGTCGCACTGCAGCTCTGATTCTGGCTGGTGCCACAATTCGTCGTTTCGGCAATGGCCATCTCGTTTCTGAACTTCTTCATTGGGCCTCTATATGCTGTTATCACAATCACCGCAAAGCTGCTGCCGAAGGGCCTCCATGTCATTGCTATTGGATTTGCCCTCGCTCTTGGGGGCGCTGGAGGCACGGTGATTTCCCTTCCCCATCGGCGCCATTGCCGAGTCAGCTGGCGTTTGGGTTCTGCAGCCCATCGTACTAGGTCTGTTTGTGTTTCAAGCTATTGATTGGCTTCTATTCCTGAAGATCCAGAAGAATTAGGTACTCCCTCTCACGAATGTGCCGGGAGGTTCGTAGTTTTTGGGTCATAAATTCAGTTGTATTTTTTCTAGTAGACACTCCCCAATGAAAATGAATGGAATTCAAAGGGTTGATTTGGGGCAACTAGATCCAGGCTGCAGAGGCCAAGAAGAAGGGCAGCAAAGGCGAAGTGGGATGCGGATGAGTATGAGATCACGACCTAGCGAATAAAATTTGGATTGATTTTTGGGTCCACAAAACGATTGTGAAATTCGCGTTTGTGCGCGTGCGTGCATCTGCGAGCAGCGGTCAGATACCGCCTTGAGGTACCTGGATTAATTACCTTCATTTATTATGTATGGCCTCATGTAGAAACATCCTACATTCACCTTGGCAACAGCTGCATTGATGCGTACATGTAGATGTCTCGAAGCACAGGTTGTAAAAATACGCTGTGCTGGAAAAAGAAAAAGAAAAAGAAGGGAAAATCCCGCGTCTTCACCTCTCTCTTGATCCACTGTTGATCATCGTGCTCTCTAGGTTAAGCATGACATCTCTAATTGAGACACTCAGGTAGTATATATGCTATAATCTCGCTGAAGCTTTCAACAACCTCTTCGGAGCTCGTCCCGATTAGCTCAATTGGCAGAGCGTGAGACTTTTACGAGTAAATCTGAGATCTCAAGGTTCAGGGTTCGACCCCCTGATCGGGAGTTATCAACATCACAGGGGCCTTTTTGCCAATTTTTCTTATTTTTTTCCCTGTGTCCTTTTCCTCATGTTTACCTAAGGTATCTAATGTATCTATTATGTTTGTTCTGCTCATATTTGTTTCTTCTTGCTCGATTGTTACGTCACGTCCATCCGTCAACGACGTCGAATGACAACACAATCGACTACTCGAGGGGATCGCCAACTCGGGCGACTTTTATGCTTGCGAGCTTAGACAGATCAAAATAGACTTCCTTTGCGCTGGTCGAGGCGTGCTTCTAGTAGATTCCACACACGACCCGTGCCCTTTTACAGGGCTGGACTGATCTGTGTATGGGTGGGATCATATCTGCTTGCCGGCGAGCTGGCTCGGAAGAATGATGTTGGCAAATCTTTGAAGTCGCAAAATGCAATAAAAGGATGCGGCCATTTGTCAATGGACTCCAGCAGCTTCGTCGTACAATTTTCAATCTTACCCTTTAGACTTCTTTACTTGGAATTGGGATGGATATTGCACGCCGGTGTTTTGGATGGAGCAGCTCTGAACAGACTGTGGTCACGGCCAATTGAGGACAATAGTTCTTGAGAGCGCCTATTAGATTATCCCAAATTGAAACTCTAGATGTAGTATATATTGATTCCATTTTTTGTTCTCGGTCCGTTTGTCTTGGTAAAAGTCGCTTTTCAAAATTACAGAGAAGTAAGGTAAGGTATAGGGTAGGGAAAAGTGAAGAAGTAGACGCTTGGATAACACTCCCCATTCTTATTCTTAGCCGCCATTGGCCATCGAGCATCCTTTAGTCATCAAGCCTTGGTGGGTGATTACTCAGCGCGGGGACTTTTTAGTCTCCGCGCGGCGCCCGAGAAACTCCGACATATTTGAGCATTTGGCACGTCACATGACGGCGTGAGAACCTTGATGGCCAAAACACCGCAGCCAGGCAGTTACTCTAATTGCCTGCCCAAGCCAAGCCGAAAGCATATTGCTGAAACCTGGTTTCTCCTGTTTTTCCAGAGCAGATGGAGGTCCTCCGAGACTCGGCCGACAAATCCCGACGGCGAGCTTGTGATCCATGTAGTGAGTCTTGAACCCTCTGCCTCAACCCCGAGTCTCTCCCTGCACATCGTTTCCATCCAACCCTGCGACAACAACCAGCATTCTCAATTGCCTCTCTTGCTAATAATTGGTGGCACCACCTCATCATTAGGAAAACGTAAAGTGAAATGCTCTCGTAATGATCCGCTGTGTGGACGATGCACACAGCTTGGCCTGAGATGCGAGTACTCCCCCAACAAGCCCATGGGCCGGCCGAGGAGCGCGCGCCTCGGCTTTCGTATTCTCCAAGAGAACGGTGACGGGTTCGCTGTCCCTGCTGCTGCTTCAGCTACTGAAATTGCCGTCTCTCCCCTAGCAGCAGACTTCATGGACATGGAGAGCTTTCCTGGACCAATACGAGACGATTTCAGCGGGTTCAATGCACCGCTTCCATTACCTGGGATCGATTTTGATCAGCACCAAGGCGGACCAGAGGCCGGCCCTTCGTCCTGCATCCCTTGTATGCTTCACCATGGCTTGAACATAGACGGCGAGACGGGTCCGGCAAACGAACCGGCGACAACTCGGGCGACGAAAAAGTGCAGCTGTGTTGAGCTGGTGAACCAGCACTTCTCCCTTCTGGAGGATTCAGCAGAGTCGTTCCAAACCCTCAAAGCCCTGCAACAATCTACAAAGTCTGCAGAATCAATTCTGGAATGCGACGTGTGCTTCGGACCTGTATGCCAGACCCTCGGCACATCGAGAAATATCAATCTTCTTGGCTCTCTCATGTCCAGCATCATCTCCACGTATGGGGCATTTTTCCTGCACCAGAAACGACGTGCGGAGCAGTGCTCTTATGGCGGCGAGCCTCTTAAGCTTCTCATCGGCCAGCCGCCAGACCCAGCGAGCACCGTCGAGCTTTCACTTGATGGACAGAGTTATAGCAACATGATTAAGGCTAGTATAGGGATAGAGCTCAAGAGGCTCCTGGAGTTGATGAATGCGTTTGCAGAGAGGCAGACGCGCCTGCACAATAATGGGCACGAGGAGTGTCAGAAGGAGGCCTCATGCCAGAACATGAGTGACCCCTTGGAGGGCAAACAATCAGAAGAGGAGGTGTGCCCCCAAAAAGTGGACATTACCAAGATGTTTGCCTGCTTCCGGACAGTCGATCAAGTCCGCGCAGTGATGGAGGAGACGCAGAAGATCATCATGAGCTGACCTTGAACGTTGGCGATAATCGAGGAGTCACTCACTCATGACCTCTATTCTACGTAGAATGTGGAACGAAATTATTTTAGAGAGGATCATTTCTCCCTTGTCATACGATTAACGTCCATTTATTGAATTGATGATTAGGCTTTTAGGAGGAGGTATCTAATTCGAGATGAATATATATAATACTTCATGACTGACTCCATGGTGCCAGAAAACGTCTCACTCGTCACGATGATCTTGATATTCCGATGAATCTGGAATACACTCAAAGTTTATCCTTGTCTGATCAATTCGCCTGGCTTTATTCCTTCCATCACTTGCTGGCCCTATGTTTGAGGTTCAAGAGGAACATGGACACTGCCGCCAAAATAACCGGAACAACACTTACCATTTCTCCTAGACCAGCGTATCGGGGAGGGATACGGAACTTGACCCAGGCACCACTTGCCATCGTGACGGCGAGGACGTTGTAAATAGCAGACCAAACAAAGTTGAAGTACATGCGGTGGAACGAAGCCTGGCTGACATTGAGAAGGAAAGGGATGCCCTCAAGACCATTCAACAGAACCACGTCGGCTGCACCCTGGGTCACATCGCTACTTGTGAGGCTGCCACCAATCTGAGCCCCAAGGTTGGCTTGTGCGACAGCGACGGCATCATTCGTTCCATCTCCGCAGAACATGACATATCTGCCCTCATCCGCCATCAGAGCAGCAACATAGTCGCGCTTCTCAGGAGGGGTGTATTCGCCGACTGCGTTCTCCCGGGGGATGCCAACTGAGGCGGCCACATCCTGAACAGCCCTCTTCTGGTCCCCAGAGACAAGATGGACAGTGATTTTACGGGCCTTGAGCTCGGCAATAACACGCTGAGCCTCGGGTCGAATCTGGACACTCAATCCAAAAGCAATGACCGGGACAGAATTGTAGGTGATTACGAGCACAGTAAGACCAGCATCTTGAAGACGTACCACTTCTGCCACATCACTGGCGCTGGCCCATCGGGTATTCCCTGCCCGTAGACGATTTCCCTTGTACTCTGCCTCAATCCCGGCGCCGGGGACAACCCTGACGTTGCATACACCGGCCATGGCCTCAGCAGCCTGCCCGTCAAGATATTTATCAACTGCCGCAGATACGGGGTGCTTTCCTCCAGCCACCAGGGCTTTAGCGAGAGAAACATTGAAGGAGTGTTCGCCACTCAGCACAACCTCTTCCGCGACGGCAAGGTCTCCTTCCGTGATGGTACCGGTCTTGTCAAACACTACATCGGTGACCTTGCGCGCTCGCTCAGTAGTCTCCGCAGACTTGATGATGACGCCTCCCTTTGCCGCAATACCGCCCGCAACGACCAAGACCATGGGTACGGCCAGACCGAGGGCGCAAGGGCAAGCAACAGCGAGGGTGGCTACGGCATATGCCACTGCGTTGCCGGCGGCTTTACCGCTGCTGTATCTCAGGACTCCCAATCCACAACCAATCCAGATCACGAAGACGAGAAGGGCGACGATGGCCATTGCAGGGACGAACCAGCCGGCGACCTTGTCGGCCAGGTCTTGCAGCTTGGGCTTGGAGTTGGCGGCATCTTCGACCAGCTGGGCAATGTCTGTGACTGTGTTCTTCCCTGGAAGGCGAGTAAGTTGGACAACGACAGACCCATCGCCGTTCATAGTACCTGCGATTATTGAATCGTTGACCTTCTTGGGGACTGGCAGCGGCTCTCCTGTCAACATGGACTCATCCACCTCTGTCGTTCCTGAGACAACTACACCATCCGTAGGTACCCTGGTATGTGGCAGCACCCTGAACCGGTCGCCGTAATGGAGTAGCCGGGCATCAATCTCTCGATCGCCGCCCTTCTCAACAAGGACAGCAACATTCTGCTGTTTAGATCTAAGCGACACGGCGGTGACGGCCTGAACTCGCGCGAACGCGGCAATGAGGCGGCCGAGAAGAATCAGGGTGATCAGCATTGTGCTGGTCTCGAAGAACTGGCCCTCGTCGAGCGGTTTGCCTGCCATCCCGAACCCAAACGCGATGACGGAGTAGACGTACGCAGACGTGATGCTCATGATGACTAACATGTCCATCTCAACCGCTCGACTGTACCAAAGCGCAGAAAGGGCCGGACGATAAAACTCGGGAATGGCAATGCACTGGACGACGGTGCCGAGCGTCAAGCCAATGATGGCCTCGGCCCTCTCAGACGCGAGGTTTTCGCTCCAGGCTACAACAGCAACGGGAATGGTGAAGAGGGCAGCCAAAGCAGCCTTGATGAGCTGGTCCCACAGTCTGCGACGACTGTTCACGAGCTGGGGATCGCTTTGCTGCTGAGCCAGCCCGCGGCATCGATATTCGACTCGTGCGAATAGATCCCGGGCCCCGATGATGGCCGGGTCGTAGGCCAGACGGACCGTCGACTTGTCGAGCGACTGCACATCGAGGACTCCCGGTAGCGACTCGGCTGCCATCTTCTTCGCCTCGGCCGGGGGAGCCAAGATGTCCAGGAAATAGTTGCCGCCGATGACCTTGCTCAGGTTGAAGCCACTGACGCTGCTGGCAAAAGCAATGACTTCGTCGGCGCTGCTGACGGACGTGTCGACGGTGAACTCGCCGCTACCCACAACGAAGTTCACGCGGGCTTGAGAGACGCCGGCCATGGTGTTGAATATCCGCATGAGCTTATCGGCGCAGCTGGTGCAGTCCATTCCGCTGACCAAGAAGCTGACGGGCTCTGTATTTCCATCCTTCTCGACGTCGACCTCCTTGATACCGGTGGTGCCCGAGGGCTTGTAAGTAGGAATATCGATATCCTTCTTCGGCTTGATTTGGTGTTGGTTCTTCTTCGGCTTGGGCTTGTTGCAGCAGGTCTGGAACGAGGTCGCGCCATTATCAACGGCACTGCGGCAGATGCAGCGAAGCTGTTCAAGGTAGCTGCTGTACTTGTCGAAGGCGGCCAGGAGATGAGTGCTGCAGGCCGTGTCGGAGTCGTGGCCGCTCGCGCCATGTTCGTGAGGGTGACCTGATGATGCTACATTTTGAGAGTGAGCGGATTTATTGGCAGACGAGGAAGACAGGCGTCAGAGGAAAGGGACATTAGGCTCACCATCGTGGCCAGGGTCTTCTTCGCAGGCCTTGATGCATTCAAGCGCTGCGACGGCCTCGACACACTTCTCTATATAGGCATACTGGAGTCAATCACCTGTCGATGCTAGCGAGGCTCGGAGATGGGAACTGACTCACCGTCGCAGCGCTCTTGGTCGCCGCAGCATGTTGAAGATGAGGAAATGCTTGCCGAGTCCGAACAGCAGTCACCGCCTCCTCCATGGTGGTGGCTATCATGGCTATGGCTCTCATGGCCGTGATCGTGATCGTGATCGTCATGGCCGTGATCTCCATGGCTGCGGTCTGTAGCAGCTGATGGTTTAGAACCACAACAAGATGCACCCATGATGAATGTCTGATGAGTATCGTCAAGCAGCAAGTCAACAAAAAGGGAGAGCGGAAGGTCACAAGTGTTTGTTCCAGGTGGATTTGTAGTTACTCTGTCAAACAAAACTCATTAAGACTAAGGGGAATATTTCATATCAATATATACTAAACTGTTGTAAAAGACTACTCCTAGAATTTCTCCATTGTTCCAAAATATAACCCATTGTCCAGGGAAAGCGGCCCGGTGCACTGCCGTTAAAAGTCTCCGCCCGCTCCGGCCAAAGTCTCCGCTCTCCGCATCTGAGTGAGATGGAGTGAGGTCGTACATGGCCAACAGATATACGACGGCAAAGCAAGTAGCTAGCCCATTAATAGTCCATTCACGTCTTGCATCGTGGCCTCACTTGTTAAACAAAGTGACATGATTGACCCCGGTCTTCAACTAGCTGTGGTACGCAGGTACCAGTTATGAGGGGGATCCTTGGGACTCATTTGCAATGGCTTGCCACCGCTCCGTTGCCGACCAGTGTCTGAATGGGAATGGGCCAATTTAAAGAGAACCAATCAACGAAGAACGTAGGCTGTTTTCATGTAAGTGCTCTTGAGTGGAGGCCAGGAATTCACGAGATAGCGCCTCACCGACAACACAGTATCTTTATAGACGATATTACAACAACCGATATTATAGGAACTGCCCTGAGAACCCACCAATAGATCTTTGAGAAACGGTGTATCGGTTCCGGGAAGCCCATACTGCGCTTTCCCGCCGAGGTGATTGATGAAATGCTCTTTAGTTCCGCAGAGATTCCGTCCAAAGTTTCCACGACCGACGTGCTGCGGATAGAACATAGGCGGTCAATGATGAAGTCTCTTTTGATATCACTCTTCTAGGCGCACCGTCTTGCTGATCTCTATCGCGGTCGATTCGTTGCAGAGTGTTGGTTCCTGATAACTTGTCGTGCACGAGAGGCGTGGTAAGAGCGTTGTCTCCGTTACCTCTTCGCAAACTGTCTGTCAGACACCCTGGCGAAACTGTTAAGAGTCTACCAAAACATTGAATATGATAACAAGAAGGTTCTAGAAGGGTGACTTTTAATCCAACAGGAGTGTCAGCCTCTTAACATAAGCGTTGGACATGTTTTCGTTAGTGGTAGCTGATCTATCCCCTTCATTTGCAGAAGCCTTGCAAGATTTGATACTATGTCTATTAGTACCTGAAAAGCACAAGATGAAATGGCCTTTTGTGATATTATCGAGAGTGACGAGATTACAGCATGCTAGTCGCTCGACTTGAGGATCCTATGAATGCTTTAGGGGCTGCGTCGGTCTCGGGTCGGAATTTCCATAAGTAGCCGAGTTGATCTAGGCGCTTATTGTTCTATAATTAACTACCTATCAGGTTTCTAGGTAAGATCAATAGTTTCGAGGTTCAGCTCAGTGGAGGCGCTGGCCTGTCTTTTACCAATGATTTAGCTTATATAAGCCAAAAACTTGGCCTTGCAAGGCGTTTTGGTCGTTTGATCCCACAGGGCCGTTTTACCCCTCGAAAATCCCATCTCGATGTCCGGCTGGCGAACGCGAACGGGCACGTTTTTTCGCCGCCTACCAACCCGAGCTGTGTCCGATTGACTGTTTAAGCATTGTGTACCTGATGAGTTAGTTTCCTGGCGAAATGGCCGTTTCGGGGGTTGCCTTGGACGATCTCCCGGAGCTTGTGCGAGATACGCAGCTGTCGGTTCGCTTCAAATCCGAAGGCTCGCGACACTACACGATCCACGTCCCGCCGGGTCGTCGTAGCCCGAAGCCGGAAACATGGGTCTCCAGAGAGAGATTGGGCAGGGGAGGCCAGGGAGCTGTCGTCTTGCAGGAGAAGATGGTCGATGGGCCAGGCCAATTTCAACTTCGGGCCGTCAAGACCATCTCAATGCCAGCAGTCAGCAGTCAAACCGATCGGGCTCTCTACAAGCGAGAACTTGAGGCCATGGCAAAGTTCTCTCAAACCAAGGTTTGGCAAGACCATTTCCGCATCATGCCCCGGCGACATGGACACGTTCTCACCCCGGTGCATGTTTTGGTGAATATAAGCTGAGTGTTCCCTACATAGTATTCGGACCAGTTTGTCAAGTTTCATGGGTGGTTCACCAGCCCGGGATTAATACATATCGCCATGGAATACTGTGAGCTGGGCGACCTGGATAAGTATCTTCTCAGCTATTCGAACACCAGGCTGCCTGAACCAGAAGCGCAGGATATAACCTATCAGATCTTGAATGCTCTTGTCAGCATGCACCAGGAGACCTTCTGCCACGGGGACCTCAAGCTTGCAGTACGGTGACAATACTATCATATGTGGACCACTGAGCTATCCGCTAACCAAACTCCGTGCCTTAGAACATCCTGATCATAACTGCCGCTCCTTCGTGGTGGGTGAAGTTAGCAGATTTCGGCCTGAGTAAGCGGAATGGAGTGGGTGCTAATAATACGACGACCGCGAAAGGCACTCCGAATTATATGCCTCCGGAGCTACTTGGATACAAAGGGAACCCAAGAGAGGCGGACCCATATCCGGTAGATATGTGGTGCCTTGGGCAAGTAGGTTTCAGACTTGCCACGGGCCGTGCCATGTTCGCCTCGCAGGCAGATCTATCCCGCTACTTCTACGGCCAAACCACATTCCGCTCGCACCTCCCGGGCGAATATCAACTTGATGAAGCATTTGTTGGCTACTTGGAGTCACTATTGGCTCAAGAGCCCCGTACACGACCCTCATCTAAAAACTCTTTACACCACCCGTGGGTACTTGGCATTCGAAGAGAGCATCCGGACATCCATGACTCTCAAGATGAGGCGTCAGGCCACGATTGGTTTTCAGACGCCTTATTCTCAGATGTCTCCGGTGACGACACTCAACAGACCACCATATCACTCCAAGGGGCTCATACTCCACGTCCTTTGAGTGCCAATGCTACATCCATGTCGGGCAAGGAGGATGAAGCCTCTGCAGCGTGGCCCGCCGATACGACGGATCTCTCTCGTACCAAGAGTCAGACCAAGACCATAACGCATCCTCCGGGACCTACCACTGCCAACCCTACGGTCATATCATTAACACAAGACGAGGCCTCTGCTGTGTGGCCAACTAACACAACGAATCTTGTCGTCCCACATATTCAAACGCAGATAACCACGGCCATTTCTGGTCAAATTTCGGCAATATCAACAGCTGCAATAGCTGTTTCTAGTCAACCATCAACAGTAACACCTGGCCAGCCACTGCAAACTGCCTTTCGTAGTGAGTCCGATAAGCACATTGCCTCCGGAGATGAATGTCTCGTAGCTGGGAAGTATGATGAGGCTGTAGCTGAATACACTAAAGGTAAGCCTGGTGTATTCGCGTCTTTCATTTCTACATTTGCTTACCGATTCATTTAATTTTATTCCCTGTTTCTTTTGATGGCTAATTCATCAACTCTTGACACAGGTATTGAACTTGAGCCGCTTTCCGCATCACATCTGGAAAAGCGGTCCGGTGCCTATTGGTGTCTCTCTAACTGGAACGGAGTAATGGACGATTGCCTCAAGATTCGAGAACTGGACCCGAAGAACCAGTACGCCCTCGCTACCCTTTTCACGATCCTTATCTATGCCATGGGGAGTCCCGAATACGCGCTGCCCTTGCTTGACCACATTAAGCCCCCACCACCAGAGCAAGAGATCAAAGATGCGCGGATGATGAAGGCCAATGTCGACGATGCCCGGGAGCTTCTCGACAAGGGCGGTGATGTACAACCGGTGTTTGAAAAACTAGACAAGGCGCAGAGCAAGCTCTGGAGAAGTGTTGGACCCCCTGACGAATGGAGAAGCCTACGAGCAAGGGGTCACCTGGCGATGAGCACCCAAGATGGCCTGCGTCAAGCCAAAACCATCACCGAAAGGCTGGTAAGAAGGAGACCAACGAATGTTGCGTTCCTCATTCTTCACGCTCGCGTCCAATATTTGAGCGGGGATTTCCACCTGGGGACTCGGCATTTGCGTAAAGCGCGAGAAACCGGAGTCGCAGACCAGGCCGGCTTGGATGATATCAAGAAATGGCTGGATATCGGAGAGAAGCTGGGCAGTCTCATCAGCCAGGCGAAGCGTCTATATGAGGCACGAAACGCCCGCCAAGCGGCCAAGTTGTACACCGAGGCGCTGCAGGTCGATCTGAAGAACTGGGCCATCAACGCGGTGCTTCTACACAACCGGGCTCTCTGCTACGTTGAGATGGGTAATTATCGTGATGCACTGGGAGACTGCGAGATGGCCCTCGTCGCTGACCCTGACCTGACCGGGGTCCAGGCGACCAAGGCGAAGATCACTGCATTTCAAAAGGAGCGGCCGGATACCCGTCGACGAAATGCCATTGCTGGACGAGAGTTGGCCCAGTACCGCCAATCCAAAAGCAAGGCCATAAATAGTGAAGTTGAGACCGGGGAAGAGAGCCTGTTCAAGAACTTTCGCAGCCTGCAACTGAACGAGTATGTATTTCATCTTGTCTACAGTCGGCTGGACTAGACTGACAAAATCGACGTCTTAGAGCAAATCACCCAAGTACCGCGTATAGCGATGCAACGCAATCCACGGTACCCGCGGCTACCATGACTTCTCATGGGGCTGTTAATTCTGGGGATGGCTGCATCAATTTGAGGATCGAGTACGAGGGGAGGGACTATATAACTAAGATGTTGCTGACATACTTGGATGCAGAGGCTTTGGATGCTCACGTAAGTATATTTGATCACAGCTGGTCATTTTCTTTACTACCCAAATCTCCCTGGAGATCATGTTCCAATTACCAACCTCTGATTAACTTTTTTTTTTTTATCTCAAACAGCTCCGAACCGTTCTCTGCATCAGCAATGTTCAACAACTCAAAGTGGAGCGATACTCGGACTCAGCCTCCACGTATATACCGTTAGATCCCGACGATAAAGATGCCTACAACGCCTTCCATAGAGCGGCAACGGTCAAGAACTGGTTCCAGCTCCGGGTGTCGGACTATATCCGGTATATTCATTGTGACAAGTGCTTCAGCCTTATAACAGGAGGCCGACACAAGCATTGTTATATATGCAATGAGGGGGACTTTGACATCTGCTTCTTATGCATTCAGGCCGGGGCTGGGTGTCTCGGCGGTCATCACATGACTGAGCGTATCTTACGGGATGGCCAACTTATCGTCGTTCCATCGAACTGAAATGTGCTCACTGGCTCGTATTATTTAGAAGAAGAAAGCGAAGAAAGGGATACTGAGTAGATTAGGTCAATAAAAGTAAGCTTTAGGAAAGTCAAGCATAATATTCATCACCCTACTTGCGCATTTATTATGCCTGTTATCCCACTTGCTGTCCTTCTACTGCAATGTTCGCGTCTTAAATTTATCAACTTGAGTAATGAGCGACGTAAGCGTTATTCATTGTGGTGAGATGTCGGGTCTGGTATCTTCATGGCTGTTTTTCCTTTGTACTCAAGGACAGAGATCCTTTTCACTTGCAGGAAAACGACGACTGAAATTACTGATTATCATGGAAGACTACTCACTGGGTTTCGGGAACAGTTAGCCAATACTATGCCACCCCTTCCAATGTGGGGAGGTTTTCTGTGTGCTACAGGCGCAGACAAGGGTAAATAAGTATCTCTAGAAACTACTTGGCTTCTCCATCCTGATTTGAACCCCTTGACAAATGCGCAAGGCTTGAAATACGCTTGAACGTATCATACAACGAGCACAATGCATCGACCGATTGCACACGACGGATTTGACTCCATCAGTAGCCCTGTACTTAGTACCTGCTTCTGTTCACCCTGACCACGTGGTATCATCCTTAAATTGCTCCAATTGCATGCGCTTAGGTTGGTTGGGTAGATGTGGTTGAATATCTGACTGGGTCATCAATGACCCCTTCTAGCCTCCGAATGAGCCCTCAACGAAGGTGCTATGCGGGCCCAAGGCTTATACCTAAGGTAAGTAAGCTCCCGAGATCTCTTCAAAAGTCTCCATTAAGGGCAACTAGAATGCTTTGCATCCCATGTTTGTTAATCACAATGGTCAAAACCACGCCATCATCATCTGCTGTCGCCCCCGCCGCTGCAAAAATATTGGCTCACACGGGCAGCTTTCCCCATTCTGTGGTCACCATATCGTGTATTCCAATCGGTTTTGGCCAGGCTGCCAAAGAACGCGGCTTGTTCAGCCTTGAGTTCATTGCCCAGTCGACCGATAGGCACCGCCGTGCCTGGAGCGGAGCGGCCGTTGCCGGAAGTGCAGTCCGTGTAGCGGTAGTTGAGGTCCGTAGAGGCACTCTTAGCAATGCGTGGCAGCTCCGATGCCAGCCCAGGGATGGCGGCAGAAACAGTGACATGCCCAACCCCGTCAGCCGCATCAACCGCCGCGAACTCGTGCCTCGTTAGAGTTACATCTTGGTAGGGCCTAGCGGGATCAACAACGTTGCTCAGGCTGTTCTCTCGTTAAGTGATATAGTCGTCCTCGTAGCTGCAGTGCCGCATCGGGTTTGGAACCATCTTCTGATAACGGGACGGTCATGCAGCCTATACCGACTCCGTAGCCCTTTGACTCACTACTTTGATTTGACGAGAGGCGAAGGCAATGGACAAGGGTTTACCGGACAAATCTTCCATCAAGCCAAGACGGCTACTTGCCTTCGGTCCTACACTCAACTTCTTCGGGAGTCTCAACGGCGTCCTTGAGGCAAGAGTGAAGTAGTTGTTGTAAGGGGATTTGGTCGTCATTTTTAGAGCGGTAGATATTGGCAAAGAAAAAAGGTCAGCCTTTCGACGGCTGATGAGACTCGGTGCGCGTGAAGATTGATCATAATTTGCACCTTGTCAACCGTTGATCTTGCCAGTTTAAAGGGGGAACTCTATTACCTGTACCCGCACTTCCCGCACTGACGTTGCAAATAGCAGTGAGATGACTGGTCGAGCTTGAGTCTCGGCACCTCTGGACTTCTCCGGACCTCGAGGCCTCATCGTAGTGGGCTGCTAGTTGGACGCTTGGCCATAACTGCCATCGTGGTTGCGGGGAATCCGGGGCTAAGCTAATCTCCCCGCACCCCAGCTTCAGCTACACGTAAGTCATGAGTCAGTTGGTTTCATGGGACTGTATCATCGGCATGCATTATCGGCGACTTGAGTGGAGAAGTTGGTCGGTGGCTTATACGAGCTGGGAAATTAGCCTGCCAGACCCGGGGATATAGGAGACTCTGAGTTCAACGGTGCGCGAGTTTGGTATATGAGGCATGCCTAGGTCGTAATTAGAAGTACCAACGAAAACACATGGCTCAGATCACGGCTTGCATCAACAGACCCAAGCCCTCTATCGTACGATCTCTTGTCCGTCATGTCACCACCCGCTCCTTGGGTATGTCAATCTGCAATGGCTTGTAGCTATGGTGGTGATGATCATTCTGCTAACACCGCAGCGGCTGCAATAGACATGGCCGCTATCGTGGCGAGTCGTTCTCCTACTCAATGTTGGCATGTTCAACTTACTGGGCAATGCCTTCGCCGCCGGAGTATCTCCGCTCTTCAGTCTCATCATACAAGAGTTCCACATCACCCAAGACGAAGCATCACAATTGTCGACCTATGTTCTGCTCACCTTGGGTATTTCCGTTCGTCTAAGGAGCTGCTTCAAGAAAGGACCAGGAGCTCAAACTGACATATCGAAATCCAGAATATCTTCGCTCTACCGGCTGTGGCACTAATCGGCAAGCGCTATACGATCCTCCTCTCTCTCGTTTTATTCCTGGCTATGTGCATTTGGTCTGGCGAGGCAACTTCTTTCGCCTCCTTGAGAACCTCACGCATTCTCGGAGGTCTTGCTGGGGGCCTGATCGAGGCTCTTGGTCCCAGCATTGTGGTCGAGACTTTTCCTGAACACCAGCTTGCGAGGGCCATGGTGGTATACGTCGGCCTCTTGGCTGCAGGCTCTTCGCTTGGGCCACTGGTGGCTGGAGCTGTTGCGAATGGCCTCGGCGACTGGAGGTGGTACTCACGCATTCTGGCAGCCGTCATAGGCCTTAATCTCGCAGGATCCATTGTCATGCTCCCAGAGACGACTCCCGACCCTTATGAGGCAAGCGCAAACGTCGAGAGCGATAACGGATCGTGCAAGCCGGCGCAGAGCGAGAACGAAGATATACGTGCGGGGAGCGGTCGTGTGCGAACACCAGAAACTGCCTCTACTTCCTCGTCACTCGGCCGACAGTGGCTCATGCGATCCTTCTCATTTGAATTTGTCAATCTGGACTGGAAGCTTGCTTTACGTAGCTTCTATCAGCCGCTATCACTCTTCATTCTCCCCCAAGTCTTGGTCGCCACGCTGGTATTCGGTCTCACCATTGGCTGGACGGTTTTGATCTCCATCATCGTGGCAATGAAATATGGTCAACCGCCTCTTCTATGGAGCCCTCTCGCTATTGGCCTCTTGAATGTTGGGCCACTGGTGGGCTTGCTCGTTGGTCTGCCGTTCGGTGGCGCCCTTGCAGACATCCTCTTTAACAGAGCAACCCGTCGATCTGGTGGCACCGAGAACCACCGTGCAAGATTGCCTGCGATCCTGGTTGGTGCCATTCTCAGCCCAGCTGGTTGTCTGATCTTGGGGTTCGGCTTGAAGAACCCCACCAACTGGAGTCTGGTGACCGTTGGCTGGGGAATGCTCGCATTTGGCTTGACTAGCTCTGCTAATGTGCTCCTGACATATGCTGTTGACACTCTGCCCGCCCGTGCAAGCCATATCGGCGCGCTCATCAACTTGGCTAAGAATTGCCTCGCATTCGGTGTCTCTTATACATCCGTGAGCTGGACGCAGACGATGGGGCCTGTTGGCCAGTTTGGTACAATGGCTGGGCTACTTTGGTTCGCGTACTTGATGGTGATTCCAGTTTGGTTCTACAATGATGCTTTGACTCGGATGGCCTCCAAACTGTTCAGGTAAATCTTTGAACGTACGGTTGGCGACTCTTGATGTGATGGTAGCTTCTACAGAGTTCAACTAGATTAGGGCAAATAATGAGTTCCCAACGCGACTAATGTGTATTTCACCATGTCTACGAAAATTAATATTCTCACGAACGGAGCATGTGCATGAAAACAGACGATAGTTGTTGTGGAAATGGATCGTTAGGGCGTCAAAATAGACATTACGGAATTGATGATCATTCCACTGACCAAATCTCTATGGGGATCTGAAAGATCACACACTAATCTGAGCATGTCGCCGCATTCTCCTCCTTTCCCCTCTTTTCAAACTCGGTCACTGCTCATTAAAAGATCCTGAAACAAAATATGAAGTTCTTGATCGACTACTGATGGAATCAATAGCCCTCCACTACATCGTACCTACGTAGATGAAGCCGTCTCTTTTACCAATGAAGGTGGCCTCAGCATCCAGACCCGCTGGAACCGCGCAAGGCTTATAAGCGTCCGGACTTGACGCTCTGCTTGTTTTTCTGTCACTAACTCCCCGCCTTTACTATACTAGGAGGGATCTGCGAGTACCGCCACACGCAGGGTTGGACAGAGGGGCAAGTTCAACCTGGCCATCTGGATCTACAGGGCCTTCGTGTGATTCATCTCCGCAGTACGTAGTATCGCTTCTGTCTCGTTGGTGCGAAACGAGGCCTCGGCCTGGGTCTGGATCGTGGTAGTGGTAGACATTGCGGACCGCAATATACTTGCATTAGCCAGTTTCATACACGGATGTGAGCGCACATATTGGTCAATTAAGATGTCATTATGAAGACTTGGCTCACAACTGTGGTGACAGATTAACCAGTCTTGTTTGGTAGAAAAGGGAGTGACTAGGGAGGGTGGCACACCAGTCCGGGGACATAAGGACATCTCCGAAGACCCCTCATATTGCTAACTTGCCCCAGGCCAAATTCGGCACTTAGTCACGGGGTTGCATTCCAAGTCTGCTAAGGGCTGTCGACTGCTTTTATAACCCTCTTATCTCCCCGAGGGGCCCTGCTGCCCAGACTTCGCCCTACACGGCAGCTGATGGAACCGAGCCGAGTCCGCCATGGCAGATGCGAGCCCATCCCAACAAGCTGCACAGGAGACGGCTTCTCGGAAGCGGAAGAGGATCCCAATTGCGTGTGGGTCTTGCAGAGCACGCAAATCTAGAGTGAGTTTGCTATCCGCCCCCGCATTTCTGTCCGGAGAGTCGATCGCGGCGTATGATGTTGGGAGCTGATCAAGTACGTGAGACAGTGCGATGGACAGAGGCCAAAGTGCTCAGCATGTGCGACTCAGGATCTCGAGTGCGTATATGCGTCTCTTGCTGGGGACAACGCTCAGGTGCCTAAGATGTTCGTCAAATCCATCTCCCCCCAATGTGCCTTACTCAGATCTGCAATGCAGTTTTCTCGATCTTGTCGAGTCACGTCTGGCATCTGTGGAGAGCGATCTCCATGAGCTCAAATCCCAATTCGCTGCAATGAATACCAACGGCATACCTAGACAGGAGCTCAACTACGCTCCATCTGCACAGGCCAACAACGGCGGATCAGAGTCCACGTCGTTAGAGGGTCATAACGGTGACCTGGACCAAGAGAGGTCACCTGATGGAACTGACGGAGTCGGTACGATTGAATTCACCGACGAAGAGAGCTGGGAATATTTCGGTTGGTTTATTAGTCGTAACTGCGGAACAGTTGAACCTCTGAAGACTAAGGAATTTGATACAGGCCCGTCATCGAACATAGCCTTTACACGCATCATCCGACGAGCGTTAGCCCAAGCACTCAACTTAAAGGCATCACAAGAGTCCTTGGCACCAGCAACTTCCCGGCCTCGAATCTATAAAAACACCCTGACCGTTTCTCGGCCGCAGTCTCCTCCAAAGAAAAGTGCCGCCTCTTGGACCTCAAGCAAAATCGACGCGAGCCTTCTTCCCAAAGAAGAACAAATGTCTAGTCTTGTTCGGCAATTTTTTAGTGACACCGGGATGCTATTTCCCTACATCAATGAGCAGAGGTTCTGGGAGACATACTCGAAGCTCCAAAAGCATGGGCCAACCAGTGTTCGGAAGTCGTGGCTGGGGCTATTGAACATGATAATGGCCATGGCGACTAGCACGCGGGCTCGCAGCGACGTTGACATGGAGCAGCGCTATTCACAGTCGGAAATCTATTTCAATAGAGCCAGAACGCTGTGTCTGGATCAAATGAATCCTGAAGCTAGTGTCGAAGCCGGTGAGACGTCTTCGCTATCAATGAAGTATACATAGAGCCTCTGACATGATGATTACAGTGCAAGTGATGATTCTCATCACGCAGTACCTGCAAGGAACACAACGTTCCATCAAAACCTGGGCAATTCATGGATTAGCGGTGAAGATGGCCTTTCAACTCGGTCTCCAGTCGGAACAGGTGCTCGACAGGTTTGACCCTCTTGAAAGAGAAACTAGGATTCGGACGTGGTACGGCTGTGCTGCCTTGGACCGGTGAGAGCAAGATACCACTCAATTCTGAGATTTGAGGCGAGAATCATACTAAATAGACGGCAGATCTCTCAGTGTAACGTTTGGACGACCGCCCAGCATCCCAGAAGCGTTTATTCGGGTTCGAATGCCTTGTCATTACATCGAGTCACAGACACAGAATGCAGCTCCATTATCTTGGGGCGCAGAGGAGCGCAGCACCATGTTTTGGAACGCTACAATGTACGTGCATCTCTTCGAACCACCCATGACACAGACTCAATCAAAGCTCATTTTTGTAGAGGCTTGTATAGAATCAGCGCCGTTATCATCCAAGACCTCTACGGAAGTAACATTGGTGTAAAGGACGCCTCTGAAGTGGAAGATATTGCCTCTACCATCATCCAGGTAGAGCGCCAGCTTACAAACTGGCACATGTCACTGCCCGACAGCATGAAGCTTGTGGCGATTCAAGACCTTCAGGCTGCAGAAGGCAACGTTTTGCATTGGAAGTTCCGAGTAATTCTATCTTTGCGATATCACAGTATACGCATTATGTGCCATCGACCGATTTTGAAACATTATATGGAACTGATAGACGATAAGAAGAACACCTCTGGTGCAACTCTGCAGCATATCGGCCAACTAAGCAAGACAGCCTGCTTGGATTCAGCCCGGGCAATCATTGGGCTCGTGAGCACCTGCACCGCTTCTTCTGGTGATGACGGGGGTTCGGCGTACCTCGGGGCATGGTGGTTCACTCTTTACTATAGTAGGTTATGCCAATGGACACTTGATTTGAATATGTGCCCTGACAACCATGACTAGCATTCAATGCAGCCCTCACAATAGCAGCCATCATTCTCACACAACACGTCTCAGCATCACAATATTCACAAGGTCAAAACTTGGAAGAGACGGCATCTCTTGATAGAGATCTCGAAAGGGCCATCCAAGCCATGGTCCGAATCGACTCCCGCAACGCAATGTTGAACAAATGCGTCAAGTTCACAAGTACTCTTCGACATCTGCTTCAAGGTCTACAGTCGAGTACGTTTTGGAAGCCATTCTCTAGAGATCACACAGCATGCGTCGCTAACTTCATTTGCTCAAGACTCTCTCGAAGACTCTATCGGTTTCTCGGGCGTAGCTGTGGGACAAGAGTCCTTGACCAACATGGAAGGTGACTTGAGCTATCACAATGGACCGCTTAGTTCCATGATGAACGACTTTTTCTCGTCAACCTTTGACTTTCATGATGTGGCTACCCACTCTGGGGATCTCCTCATGTCACCGAACTTCTTATATAACTTTAGCCAAAGGGACGAGCCTTGGTAACTATGCCGTTTGTATCAGAGTCTGTTCTAATTTAAATGCGAATATGACCCAACGATAGCCGGTCACCGTAACCCCGAGACCCCCAACATCACCTTGTGAATCGCCAGGTCCCATTCCTGTTCCATCTTCTCTTCTGCATCGTATCCATAAGCCCAATTTTGTGTGAGCGGATCACTCCACTGATTGGGCTGCTCTAGAAGAGGCGACCTTCGACTTCAGGTCGCATGGCTTTGCCCCGCGCTCGCTGCTCAGGGGAAGTTGTATCAGATGATGCCAAAGTTAGAGCTCGCATCACAAAGGGCTCTTCTAACGCGAATGATGCGGGAAATGGCGGACATGGTGGATGCGATAAGAGGTTAATCATGGTCTATCTCCATTATGGCCTAAATCTAAAGACTGGTAGTACTCTTAAGTAGGTATTTATTAATAGTTGAGTCCAAAGAAGTATTATCCTATGGATCGTCTGTTCTGTTACTCGCCTTGGACTACCCCGTTATTCTTTTAGGGCTCCTTTTCGCTTATCGTAGCCTCCCGAAGAGAAATGCGGGGCTGCCTAAGGAAAACAGGCTAATTTGGCTGGTACGTAATAATGCATGATAACAGCCACCCCTCTCTCTCTCTTCCAAACCTACCTCAACTCGTTTGACCTCAATTTCCCATCTCATCCTTTCTAAGCAGACTGCAAGACCGACCGCTTGATCTTCGGTAGATAGCCTTGTCGATCCACAGAATGCCCCCTGAACAGTCCTCATTGCCCAATCCTACACTGCCGGAGAGTTCTATCAGTCCATGCCGCTCCAGAAATGGCTGTCAGCAGTGCCGCCAGCGTAAGAGAAAATGCGACGAGCAGCATCCGCGCTGCTTGGCCTGCATCGAGAGAGACCTCCCCTGTAACTGGCAGCGCAATCCGAGTCGACGGCGCCAGCTCGCTCGCCGCTCTCACAACTTCAACAAGGACTTCACGCTTCCCCAGGAGATGCAGCCTTTAGTGACAGTGTTTGCCATACCATCGACTCCCATCCAGGAGCGACTTTTGTCCTACTTTCATACTAACGGTCCTCTGTGGCTGACCTCTGGCGGTAACGTCGAGGCCTCCTCAGGCGTCATTATCCCAGTCGCCCTTCAAAGTCCTTTGGTTATGAATTGTCTCATGACGGTAGCCGCAGGCGACTTGGCTAAATACCAACCAGCAAATACTGAGATGAACAGCCTGGCGTGTGGATTCTACGGACAGGCCGTAGCAGGCATCCATTTAACGCTCAAAAATGAACTCTCGCCTACACTGCAACCGGCCTCACACTCACCAGGAATGCCAACCTCAGAGTCCGGCAGCAGTAATCATAATTCCCTTAATGTTCGGGGTGCTCAGCTAGGAGACGAGCTACTTTTAGCGGTTATTTTACTCTGCGTCCACGAAGTAAGATTTTCTTGACTAATAGAGCATTATCGAGGATTCCCAGAACTAAAACAAGTGTACAGGCAGTGAATTTCTCTACGATTAGTCGGATCTTCCCCCATTTGGTCGCTGCTGTCACTCTATGTAACGACCATTCCTTCGCCAGCGACACACCAAATATCGAACTAAGGGGCCTATTCCTCGAAGTCCTTTGTTACTTATTAACCCTGACATCCTTCTCTCACGGCCATAGCCTTCCACTCCATCTAATTACCCCTCAGGTCTTTACGACACTATTCTCCGCACCTGAAGGTTACAAAGATGTTTTGCTTGGGAATCAATGCCGCGAAATCTTCTCGCTTATCCTCCGAGTATCGATGCTACAAAGGCGCTTAACCTCACCTTCCGATCTTGATGAGACGAGCGCTGCGGAGCTCAGAGGCTTGAAGTCTCAACTTGAGCGAGGTTTCACTACCAATGTCCGAAATGAAGAAATAGCAGCTTGTGATGAAATAGCAATTTCAGAGCTTTATCGACTTGCCTGCCTGATATATGTTGAGAAGATGCTTGATGCCGAAATAAAAGACAACTCTGAAGCTTTGCAAAACAAAATGGCGCTCTTTATATCAACTCTCAATTCTGTCCCGCCATCATCACCAGCGAACAACATTCTTACCTGGCCCTTATTCGTGGCTGGCATGTCGGCTATGGTTCCTTCGCATCGCCGACTTATCATAGGGAGATTAAAGAGAAACTACCAGTCCTGGTGGAGATCTGATATTCTGAGTAAGAGTGCGGATTTGTTATCGCAGAAATGGAAACAGGACGACAGTATCGAGGATGGCACGATCTCGCGGCGCACAGGAACTACTGCTACGCAGTGGCCGGGAGTTGGGAACCGTATGGCCGACTTTCCGGTGGCCTTGTTATAATTAACTAGTATTAAAGTCATATTATTTCAAGGCAAATTCCTTAACTGCGAAATATGGCTTTTATGTTCTGATATATTTAGCATTATGCATCGGACATATGGATTATGCGATCAGACATTTGCATTATGCGATCAGACCACCCGCAGGAAAAAACCCTCCCCAGGCGCTGTAGCCATGCTTCCAGGGGGGCTCAGGGCGCTATAGCAAGATACAGAAGGTAACCTAAGCCATATTATCATCAATATCACACCCCATCAGGCTATTCTTACCCAAAATATAGATATTTATCTATTGACTTTTCTTTTAGAACTAGATTCCTTCTTTCTGCGATATTAAGTGACTCTCAGTGTGCACAAACGTGGTTGATTAGTTCGACCGTCACATCTTACGCGAGCGAGGAGTGTGAAGATAACATGACTACCAATTCTCTTAGCATAATGTTGTACCGTCTTCCAAATATATGTCCTATTTAGCCCTCGGTTTCCTTCGCGGCCTTTGTGGCACTAACTGCAGCAGCCGCAGAGCCAAGCTCGTCGCCTTCAATGATCTGCAGAATGTCCGTAACCGGAGGCCCTTCAAAGCTCTTACGGCCCCTCAAGATATAATACACTACACTAATGACCGCAAATCCAACAAACACAACGCTCGTATAATTCATGCTGCTTGCCGTGACTGGAAGCTGGGCGGGGAAGGAGAAGAGGACGAAGGCCACGACGACCCAGCAGACTGACACGAGGTTGAGAAGATAGCCGAATTTTCCGAGAGAGAAGGTGGAATGCTGCACCAGGCGTCGTCCACGAAGGAGAGAGATGAGGACGGGAGAAACAAAAGATGCGGATAGACAAATACACGTTGCTCCAGTAAAGGCGTTGAAAGCCGCCGCTGATCCGAAGTAAATACACCCCATGGAAGCAATGACGAGTGAGCTGAGGCCCAGAGCGTACGCCGGGACCTGGAGGCCGTGGTGAATCTTTCTCCAGTGCAAAGATCCCGGGATGGCCCCGTCGCGGGCAAAAGCGTAAGTACAGCGAGAGGAGGCTGTAAGCGCGGCGATTCCTGCGAAGAGCATAGTCCCAATAACCCCAATCAGAAGACCTAACCCGGCAGCGGGTGAGCCAGTTGCTCTGGCAAAGAGGAATCCAATTGGCATGCCGTTCGGTTCGTTGAGGAGGTAGTCGATATCAGGCAGGACAAAGAGAATGGGGATGAGGAAGGCGATTCCGGTGATGCCGGCGGCTACCACGGATAGTACAATAGCCTTGGGGACTTCCTTTTGTGGGTTCTGCACCTCCTCGCACATGGCGGCGATCATTCCATAACCTGTTAGAGTGTATGTGGCCTGCAAAAGTCCAATTCCGAATGACCATCCACTAGGCCTATCGGAGTGTGTTAGGAAAGGGCTGTTGGTACATCTTCAGGAGGGGAGCAAAACACTCACATTCCACTTCTCGACGTGTCAAAGTTGGTAAAGACAAACTCGGCGGACCGTTTCTCTTTGGACATGACTAACAACGTGATCATGATAACCACACAAGAAATTACCGTCCAGTAGACGCAAAGCTTGTTGACCAGGTCGAGATACTTGACACCAAATAGGTTGACAAGCAGACAAAGCAATAAAACTCCCCAGAATGTCAGAACGGTTTGCCAGGGCGTGGGGACAAACCCGGCATCGAACAGGGAGACTCCAGAGAGAATGAGCTGCGCTCCTCCAAAAGTGATGGCGCACGTCGACATCCAGTTTCCCACAAGCAGTAACCAACCAGTGACCCACGAAGTAATAGAAGCGTACTTGGGCTTAGACAAAATATAGGACCAGTAGTATAGGCCACCGGCGGTCGGATAGCAGGCGCAAATCTCGGCGAGAGAAGCGGCGATTGATAGCGAGATGAAGGTAACAAGCAGCCAGCCATAGACAATGGTGACCGGTCCACCGTTTACGAGGGGGAGGGCCATCGTCGTACTCAGGCCGAAAGGAGCTGCGATAATCGCGAATGATCTGAGAAGGCCAAGATGTCAGAAGGACACTTTTCCGCAGGTCCAACAACTTTCTGCCACTTACAACCCGAAGATACTTAGTAGACTAAGGCGACGAGGGAGTTCCGCCTCGTAGCCCATTCTGTTGAGCTGATCATCGGCCGCTTGGTGGGCTTTTCCAATGCCAACTTCGGGAGAAACTGCCATGGTCGTTCAGGAATGTCTTGAAGCAAGGTAATGAAATTCGGGTTTTTTTTAACGATGTGGTTGTCTTTGTATCTATGTGAGCGTCTGTATGAATCAAAACCACAACATACTTACTCATGGTTGGTTTTATACTCAAAACGAAGCATCACGAGAAGGACAACCCCATGTCACGGTCTATAGCATGAGCGGAGAACATGGCCCAGGAGCTTGCCATATTAGGTTTTCCATTGCCGCCGTCTTTTGCCCTGATAACAACGGGCACACACAGGTGAGTAGCGCGAGAGCCGACGACTCAGAGTTCACTAGGTGGTGGGCCGGTTAAAGGGAGGATGCTGTGAACCGGCCAATGGAGACTCATGGACACCCACCCCTTATCAGCAGCCAAGTGACCCAGTTCAAGCCTCGCCTAGACAAACCAATCCCGCATTCTGGTATCTCCTAGACTTTGCGGCCGGGTAAAATGAGAGTGCGGGGTAGTCTGCTAAGAATATGCCTAGTTAGGTGAAGTCTGCGGCGGCTGGATGACCTGGGTCTTAGACTTGCGATAGCCTCGTGCCGTCTGGGCCGTGATCCTAGTAACTTCCTCACTGCTCTCGCCCTCCGACCATTCTACATCGCTTTTTGGCTCCTCCAATTTCAATACCTTCCCTAGCCTAATTTCGTTATTCAGGAGACGATGATATCTCCAGCTCTAGACTTTTGCTTGGCATCCGATGACGATGATGACGTTTGAAGAGGGGTTAAAAAGACCGGACATCCATGTCTTCGGAAAGCTCTAAAGGAGATAATAAGTGAAAAGTGAGAGATTTCATTTATTGTACAGGGAATAATCCATTAGCCCGAACTATCTTAGGCTCTACATGAAAAAAGCATCAAATAATACCTCACATTTAGCTTATCTCTTTGTATCAGGCACCACTTCGCAATAATAAAGTCTCATCTTCCTCGAAAGGTCCCTGCACCCCGAGAAACTGGTACAGAAGCAGTGGTTGATATTCTCCCAGAGAGTCGCCCGCAGTAGATTATGACCTTGAGCATCCACATCACTCTGGGGTGCTTTATTGTCCCTCGAGCAGAATGAAACGGAAGCACGCAGCAAGAGCAACAAATCGTGTACTGTTCTTCCAGCAACTAACTTTACTAAAACAATCTATCCTATGATACCATTTATGTGAAAATTGTCCCCATTCACACATCAAACTCTCTACAGATTAGCCGTAGGACCACAGCAAGAAGCCCTGCTCTCCTCATGAAGTGTCGACCTGTTAAAGGTCTGATTGCTAGCAGGGACATCAAGAGCAGGGTTCTTCGTGAAGAAGCCATCAGGCTTCAGCATGACACTGATACGCTCGGCAGGCATGACAGGGAAGTCTTCAGGGCGTGGATTGTGAGTGAGACCGAACGTGTGCCAGAGCACGATATCCGTGTTCTCGGTGTCATCGCCACGCGCAGCCCAGACGGAGAGACCAGTGTCACTACGGCTCTGGTTGGTAAATTCACCAGCCGCATAGAGCTCATCGTCCTTATAGCGGGTGACCCAGACAGCGTGCTCGCTGAAGGCAGCTCGCTTACGGGCAAAGGAGTCAGCGCTCATAAGCAGCATCTGGCTAGGAGCGGCATGGAGCTTATAAGCAATGGGCTTGAGCGAGATGGGGTTGATTTTGCTGTCATTGCGGATTTTGAAAGTGCGGTTTCTCTCCACGCTAAGGTCAGCAAAACCTGCCTGCTTGACGATGGTCTTCTCGGTGGTGTAGCCCATGCCGTAAGGGTTCAGCTCGTCAACAGGAATCGGAACACTGTCCTCGTAGAAGACCGTATTATTGTGCCCATCGATGGCGGGATCAATTCGGACAGAAAATACGTGTTGGTGGTAAGCAGCCATCACACCAGGGCCAACAATTGTTCCCCAAGGAACCGTGGTGCCGTTATTGTCGATAGGCATGGTGGAGAGAATACCAGTAGCACGGACCTCGTGTTCAATGTTACCAGCCTGATCAAAGATCCAGGCGAGGACATACTCGTAGTTGGAGACAGTGCAGATCATTTGCAGCACGAGCTCACGGTTGCGCACAACTGTGGCCTCGTTGTTGCGGTAGTTGCTGTGCTTATGCTGAAGTCCGTTATCTTGCTCATGCATGCAGATAACATTCTTCAGCAGAACAGGATTACCGCGGGAATCACACCTGTACCCATCAAAGTACTTGATGTGGCCCAGGCAGTCGCATCCCAGGGCGAGTTGGTTGGCGGTAATGCCGAAACCCACATCACCAGCATCAAAAGCCTGCTTACGGTGGTAGGGCTTTCGGGGGTCTAACAGAGTATCACCAGGTTAGCGAAAAGTGCATCTTAGTTGAGCCCAAGTCGAGAGCGGTGGACTCGGTGATAGATGCTTACCTCCGTACGGGACAGTCATCTCAGACATGGATAGACGGTAAAAGGTTTGACGGCCATCAAAGGTGGCATTGTAAATGATAAGACCATCACGGTTGTTGAATCCAACGCGGAACTTCCACTTTTGCCAGCTAACCTCCTGGCCCTCAGCACTAAATGAGGGGCCCTCGGGCTGGCGCACAATATAAGGCTTCAGGTCGGTACGTGTGGGCTCATCCAGCAAGTCGTGAGCGTACTGGACACACTTGACCGGTTTCCAGGGCTGGGTTGGCTGGGTTTTGGCGTCCTTGCCGGTAGGGAGATAGTCGATGCGTACAAGCTCCTTGGTGACCTGATCAAATACAGGGGAGAAAGTGCAGGGAAGAGAGTAGTGGTTAGACTGGGGATGGTCGACTTCAATAATGTACATGTAGCACTGGGCGAGACGGCGAGTTTCGGTGGCACTGTCAGTACCGTAGATCCAAGGGTCGTTGCAAACAGTGTATCCAGCCGGAAGCTGCATCTTCTCGATTTCAGCAAGCACAGACGGGTGTTTCATACATGCTTCTTCAATCTCGATGAGTTCATCTACATCGGCAGGGCCCTATGTTTGAGTTAGTTTGAAATGGTTTGATCAGCTAGCTCATTAGAGCATAGGAAATATTACCTGGACATCCTTGGGGAGTTCCTTGATGTAGACGGGGCGCCTAGTCTCGACATTGAGAACAGCTTTGAAGAAGCCCAGTGTGTCTAGACGGTGGAAGTAAGAGAAGAGAAGTCGAGCAGGCTTAGTAGGGAGGGGCTGGCCGAGGCGCTCGGCCTCAAGGTAAGGAACAACATCCTTCTTGATAGGCTCAAGCACATCGATACGTTTAAATCGCAGAGCAACACCAGGGAAGGCCTTCCTGAGGATAACAGCTCCTAGCTGGATCTCTCCAGGCGTCAGAGTGTCGAAGGGGTGGAGCTGGGAGGCGCCCATTTTTGCTGATGACTTGGAACTACACGTTGCTTGAATTCAAGATGGCCAAGAAGCTGGTTCTAGATGAAGAGATGTTTTCGGGAATAAGAAGAAGATTGATTGAGCGAAAGAAGGCGAAAATCCACTGATATATATTTCAAGCCATTTAGAAGAAAAGGAACCCTTCGTCTAGAAACAATCCAATTCTTGCCTCTTGTTGTGAAGTTGTAGCCACAGAAAGTCAAGATCCAGCATCTCGATAGCGCGAGTCCTGCCAATTTGGGGTATGCAAGGGGGGAGGCGATCTAGATCTGGCAAATCTCCCCCGTTTACGGAGCGAATGGGTCACTCTGAGTCAAAGAAGAGGGGCACTGGTCAGCGTACAATTCAATATCTCCAAGCGATAGAACTTGCTACAAGAGGTTAAGTCAGCCAGCTCGATCGCTAGATGTTCCCCACTCTCCTAGGCCTACCTCTCTCTTCCCAATCTCCATCATCAGATATCCCCCCTGACTCGGTAGGATAGAGTTAAGACTAGAATCAGCCAAAGCACTCCCATATGAAGAGATTCGGGGGAATACCATCCCAAAGGGGAAACAGTTGCGCCCCTGATTCTGGGTAGGCCCAGCCATTTGCCACATCTACCATGCCAGACCAATGGCCAATATTGGTCGGATTGCGCCTCTGGAAAGGCCATGTGGGGAATCGATCAGATGAGATGGCCCAGCGCAGTAGAGTCTGGGGAAGTAGTGAACGAGGTCATGATGGTGATCTTGATCTAAGTGTTACATGGAGTGCTATAGGTGTAAAAATTGGCAAGTAAAGAAGTTTATAGATCATGATAACACGAGAAGTCGGTGGAATCTTTTTGATTTTTTATGAGAGACTAAGATCAGCAATCAAAGTCAAAGCTTTGAGATGCGAATGCAGGGAATCATGAAGCTCAGTTAACTACGACAAAACTCGCGCCCATGTGTAGTGTAGTGTAAACCAGCAGCGTCGAATTGGGAAGGGAGTTGGCTATATGTATATAAAAGACAAGGATCAGCGTCATAATTCTTTCTTCTGCAGCTATCAATTGTGACTATTTAACATAAAATGAGTTCCCAGCCCGTGTCCCTCATCGTATTCCACCAAACTTGCGGCTCTGCCCCCCTGTCTCGCTGCCAAATCATCATGAGCGCTTCATTGGCACTGGCAATGTGACCAAGTCCGAAACTGCGCTGAATAAGAAAAAGATTTTCTAACACAAGATACTTTCTATGTTCATCCTCAACTTCGCACCCGGCGAGAAAGAATGCAAGTGCTAGTCCCGCAAACTCACAGTGCTGGGCGATTGGGACTTCAGCAAGCATCTCAAGGCATCCGTCCAAAGCCTGTGACTTGGTATATGGTATCCGGACTCGTAGAGCATCCTTCTCAGCGTCTCCGAACTTGCATAAGTCAATTCCTCGTTCGACGACTGAGTGCAGGAAGACAAAGGCGGCGTATCGGGTACGTTGCGCGACATAAAGCAATCTACTGATTTGCGATACGGTGGTGCCGTCTGACAAACACTGTACCTCTGGTTCGATAATTGAAGTGCCCAACGAAGAAATACTGTTTGTTAAATTGTACGTTAGCATAAAAATAATTGAAAAAAGGCGAGGTGTATAGAGAAGGTCTCCCAAGACCCAAACGTACATCCGCGCCTCTGCTTCTGCAAAATCTGTATAGGTGACGGCTTCTTGAGACTCTAGCCGACTGGCAAGTCGAGCAATATCATGGCAGGTCTTTAGAAGGTGGTGTGCGCATCCTGAGTATACGTCAAGGGAGAAGGTAGAAGTCGCCATAACATCTAAGCCATTGCTCTCTTGGCCATTTGTAGCCTTGTCGAGGTGACAGATGTCTGCAATCATGCGATGGTATCGCAAACTAGAATGGAATACCGAGGTTAGCATGGCTGTTGAGCTTGGAGGAAAGCAAAGAAGATGGCGAGGTCGAGCACATACAAACTCGCAACATATTGAGCACACTCGACTTCGAAATTATGAATGCCGCCTTTTTTCTGTATCAACAACTCGAGACCATCAAGATGGTCTCTCCAGTGTGCCGAACTTCCTTTGATGATCTCGTACTTGCAAAGCAACAACGACGTAATGACGGAGGCATCATCCCATGACGAGCATTGAGAATCGGCCTGGACTGCCTGTCTACCAACGGTGGACTGAAGCCAGTTGACAGACTTGACATAGAATTTGGTGGCTACAATGTTCTGATCGATGCGAGTCTCCGGGTCGGACCTTTGAGCCTGGTGACAGGCAGCAACAGCGCAAACACCGTAAAGCACACCTAGACAATCCAAAGCTCTAGGTAGAATGAGTCGCCTAAGTGGGTTAAAGACTCCGGAGTCTACATTTAGTAATTGCGTAGCTGCTTGCTCATCGAGATACTGTAGATAGTAGAAGTCTTGATCTGTGACGTTGGGAAAGGCGCTTAGCGTTGGTAGCAAAAGCGTCGCGTCAATGATATCGTTGATCAGTTCCACATCTGCTGAGGATGAGCCTTCCAGACACGAGAACAATGAGTCCAGGTGCCCTGTTGAGTCTTCTTCCAGGGAAGGGAGGTGTAGTGACTCCTCTTGCGGGGGAGTACATTCATCCTGTTCCTCAGGTGTAGGTACATCACATATAGCATCATTCTTGCTGTAGTTCTTGTCCGTTGGGCTTTCTTCTGCTATAAGTGCATTCGAAGAACTTGATTTAGTTTGCTGTGCCTCTGCTTCTGCTATGGTAAGCTGATATGGGCCATGTTTAGGGCGGTTCTGGTCTTTCTCTAATGTCGGCGGATCAGCAACGAGATGTACCCAGGCAATTTCTTGCTGGTGAACGTCCTTGCCGGAGGAAGAGGGACGTATCGGTGGTGATCCAGTCTCCCTCGGGGTAGGATTGGATGTAGTTGCGCTGGGTCTTCCTTTTGCCTTGGAACGAGGTTCTGTAATCCTGCGGTAACCCCACGGGGATTGAGTAATGAAGACCTGCTGGTAACCTTCGCATTGGATACCACGCTTCTCACAGCTGTTGCAAGCCGGCTGTGCCCGATCACATTTCTTGCGCCTACGCTTGCAGGTGATGCATCCGGTACGACTCCAATTGGGAGGAGCCATGGTTGAATCTGAGCTTGTAACTGACCAGCTGAGATGAGGGTTACAGAACGAAAAAAGGAACAGTCGCGACAGAGCGGGCCTGAAGATATGATGTCGGGCCCATGTTATCACGAGGACCAAGGGAAGATCAGCGAGTCACCATAGATAGCGGCGGCTATTTAATCCCGAATGAGGATAAGTCTATATCTCCACAGATGAACCCGAAGCCTTGGATGTGGGGAAAGAGGAACCTTGATATCTCCAAGGTTGCATCAGATCTCCCCTGTGGACCTCCTTGAGAACAACCCCCAGCAAGGGAAGAGTTGCGCCCGATTAGCTGCACATGGGCTTTGACACTTGTTCAAAGAAGGAGACAAGGCATGTCTGCTGACTCTAGCTTATCCACTGTTCCTATGTTGCCCCTCGTCGACTCAACATGTGGTATTGACTCATGCGGGCTCTTTAGCTTCCAAGCTGGTTAATGCTCTATACAAGCGTGAGGGGAAATTTCTTGACGTGGATCGTAATCTTTGTTGGATTGTTTACTATGATAGCCTACTACTCCTCGAGAATAGCCTCGGCACGGAGTTCAATACGCATTCCCTCCAAGCCCAGGTGGTTAACGCCGAATGCCATGAAAACTGCCTGCTGGCCTGGGGCCACCTCCTGCCAAATCTTCATCAAAATATCTTCCTCCTTCATGTCAATCATCAAAACGGTAAACTTGTGTACTGCCTTGACGCCTTTCTTCACACCAGCGTTCTTTAATGCAGCATCCACGGTGTTGAACGCGGCGCGGAATTGAGCCTCGACAGATGAAGTCACGACCTTGCCGGTATCGAGATCCAGGCCAGGCTCGCCGGATGTGATGACGATCTTGGAGTTGGAGGGGAGAACAACTGCGTGTGCGATGCCGTTGTCGCTGAACATGGCGCCGGCAGGGCCAGGAAGTGATGAGAATCGGGGCGATGACATGTTTGTGGCTATAGCTTCATAGGTCAGTTTAGTTCAAACAATAACAACAACTTAGAAATTAGGCATCAGAAAATATTGAGCTTACATGGAATATTGGGTGATGTCTTAGGCTTGGCCTGCTGCAACTGTCCCTCGAGGTAGCGGAGAGCGTTTATATATGTTCACAGTAGTGCTCTTGAAGGAATATATCTAGTTAGCATGCCAATGCTCGAGTCAGATCTCGATTCGTAATAGGCGGGACACCCGTGGGTAATTTACCAAGTACCACAATACATTTAGGCAGAACCAGGCCGAACATATGGACTTTGGAATGAAACCATCGGATTTTCTCCCTTATTCTATAAGAAATGATAGCCCCTAAGTGAGTTCCTAAACTGGTGTTTCAGATAATAAATATTAGAATATCTCGTTCCCACATCCGTAATCATTCAACGGTACTCCCAGCATAAATATTGCAAAGCTGAGGGCATCGCAGTGTTGTAGCATTATGAAAATTTGACTCGGGGTTGAACAAGTCACCTTTGGCCCCTATAAACAGCTACAATCCAAACAGGTATCACTCTCAGCAGCAATTTATCAAAATATTGTCAAATTTCCATTTGGTTTCAGTCTAAGCAACCGTGTATCCACCATCTATCACAATGTGACCCCCCGTCATGAAGCTTGATGCGTCGGATGCGCAGAAAACGTAGGCCTAGAACTCAGGTGTTAGTATAAACCTCGTTTAGTTTCCTGAAACTTCCTAGCTGAACTCATGTTGGCGACCTACCCCCTTTAACTCATAAGGCTGGCCGAATCTGCGGTTGGGTGTCTCGGCAAGCCATTGGCGCTTCCATTCCTCTGGATCGTACTGTACCATCTCTGTTGCTATGTAGCCCGGACTGATGCAGTTGATCCTGCAGAAGTCAATCCACTCAATGGAGAGGCTTTTGGCCAGATGGAGAAGGCCAGCCTTGGAGGCATTGTACTGGATTAATGGTAAGTAGCGGCTCACATCTCGCGCGTCGTGTGCAGGGGCTCTTACAATGGATTGGTTCTGGGGGCGGTTCACGATCACAGCGCTGATGGAGGTTGTGAAGATGATGTTGCCGAAGCCTTGCTTCTTAAATTCCTTTGCGGCAGCCTGGGCACTATAGAAAGCACCGTCCAAGTTCACGGCCAACTGCTCGCGATATTTGGCGGGAGTCGAGTCGATAGTATCAAAGCAGTCAGAGATACCCGCGTTGATCACAATGACATCCAGGCACCCAAAGTCCTTGACTACCTTGGCTACAAGGTCGTCGTTGGCAGCCGGGTCGGACACGTCTGCTTGGTAGCCAATGGACTTGACACCGTGCTTCTCCCTTAGTTCGGCCGCAGCCTCATTCCCAGCTTTATTAGATGATCGGTATGCGATAGCTACGTTGGCTCCAGCCTCGGCCATGCCACGCGAAACATCGAGGCCAATTCCACGGGAGCCTCCTACACGATATGCAGACGAGTTGGTGATCTCGGTCTGTAGATGGGCAAAAGTAGGGATGAAGTACTGACCTGTGACGAGGACAGTCTTGCCTTTGAGGCTCAAGGCTTCCAGGACTGGTTTGTTTTCGGGGGCTTTTAGAGACATTTTTGGATGTATGGGTGAGGGTAGAGTCGAAAAAGAAAGAGAAACACTTTATGAATAATGACTTTGGAGCAGGTGGGTTTTCTCGAGATCTTGGAGTAGAACTAAGGAGGGCGCGACGTCATTAGACAATCAGCTTCCAAGAGTACTAACTATCTCTGGCGAAGAATCAAGACACTGCCAGGACACAACAGAGCGTAGGGGATGGTGGGTTATGGGGCCTATCGGATCTGTTACGGGCCAGCTTAAGAGACTTACTTGATGCGGTTCTAAATAGCCGCTGGTGGAGGCAATCAGATCCAGATCCACATTACTGCTTGTAGACTTCACGATTCTTACTTGTCTTCGCCTCCCCAAGTCAGTAGTAGATCGCGCTCGTTTCTCCTCGTTTCTCTTCACCTCCCCTTGCTACACCTATCTTTTTATTAACCGCGACATTTACCCAATTCTACCGGATGCCACGAATGTTATAATATCACACCGCTTCTCCACCCACCAGGATCTAACGCCGTGTCTTAAGAGACAGGGGGTTGGTACTTCGGATCGATGGTTAAGGCGGACAGTTTTTCACCGACAAAGAGCTCCAGACATAAATATCTAGATCCTCTGTGAAATATAGGTAGTACAGTCGTCAGCCAAGCTTGAATAAGCTAACCCTGAGTCAAACGGGACAGTCTTACCGTGGAAACGTCACCAAAATTGCCTGCCCACCCATCGGAACTCATCATGTCCGGCATCACCTCTGAGTCTCACATCTGGACCCCAGAGAAAGGCCTACAGAGCGGCGGCTACATCTCAGAGGGAGTCATTTCGCCGGCTCGACAGGTCAAGGCAGCCCAAGACCATGTCTACGATGTGGTCGTCATAGGAGCTGGATATGCTGGCCTAATTGCAGCTCGTGACCTAGTCAATGCCGGTAAGTTGAATATCTTCCATGACAGCTCTCGATTGAAGCTTTTTTCTGAGATTTCCACTGACGGTTATTATACGCAGGCCGCTCAGTTCTCGTCGTGGAGGGCCGGGACCGTGTTGGTGGCCGAACCTACACCATCAAGCACGAGGGCTTCAACTACGAGATGGGCGGTACCTGGGTCCATCACACCCAACCGTATACTTATCGTGAGCTCATGCGCTACGATCTTCATACCAAGTTGATTAAGACGCGCGATGACACGCAAGCCAACAACTACTTCAGCATCAACGTCCCAGGTAACCACAGAGCTATCGTGCAGAAATGGTCAAGGGGGCGGTGGCTAACACGAATGATTCATAGGCTCCAAGCGTGATATCTCTAACGAGCTCTCTGGCGAGATTATTGGGAAAGTCTGGAGGCTGTTCGTGGATATTGATGGCCAAGAGGGCCGCACCGTCTGCCCTCTCCCCCATGCTCAACTTGAAAACCCTTTCATCAATCGCAAGGATGTCGAGAAGTGGGACTCTATTTCTTGCTGGGACCGTTTCGAGGCCATCAAAGGCCAGCTCAACACTGAAGAGCAGGGTGTTCTCAAGGCCCTCCTACTTTCCATCACCGGTGGCAAGCCCGATCTCAAGAACTCAGGCTTCTGGGACATGATCCGCAGCCACGCGATCAATGGCCACACCTATGACATGATGGATCCCATTTGGCTGTTGTATAAGCTCCGCGACGGTCAGTCCCACTTTGCCCGCCTCATGTTCGAGGAGGCTGTTGAGCTTGGCCTTGAGTACACCTTTCGCACCCACGTCGAGGCTATCAAGCAGGCCAACGAGGGCCTCAACCTTGTTCGCGCCCGAGATGGACGTGTCTTCCGCGGTCGCAAGATCATCTGCACTGCTCCCCTCAATACCCTCAATTCCATCCAGTTCGACCCTCCTCTGTCTCGCCTGCGGCAGGAGGCTGCCAACCAGGGCCACATCAACTTTATGACCAAAGCCCACGCCGTCGTCAAGGGCTCTGGGTACGCCTCGTGGAATGGGCTCGCCTATCCCAATGAGCTGTCGGCCGCTTACGGTGATGGTCTCCTGCCAAACGGGGACACTCACCTGGTTTCCTTTGGTGCCGACTACCGCGACGAGTTCGTCCTCGAAGAGCAGCCTGAACGACTCGTTGCCGCCTTCAAGGAATTCGCCCCTTTCGATGTCAAATCAGTGGTAAGTAAACCTACATGATGAACCATGAAACAAATAAACAGGCATATTTGACTGATTCCAATTTCTTCTTTTAGGTCTTCCACAACTGGAACACTGACCCTTATACGCAGGGTGGCCCCAACTTTATGCCTCCCAACTTTACCACCAAATACATGGACGCGCTGCAAAAGCGCCAGGGAAACATTTTCTTCGCCAACGCGGACTGGGCTAATGCCTGGCGCAACTTCATCGATGGTGCTCTAGAGCAGGGCGCACTGAACGCCCATCATGTCATTGCTGAGCTTCGCAAGGAGGACAAAGAGGCTCAGCCTAGCCGTGCTTCGCTGTAAATCAAGTTCAAATATGAATAACCCGCAAACAGTCACCTAGCATTAACTTCTATATCTTTTTTATCGGTGCAATGTAAGCAGATTCAAGTATAAAGTTTCTGAAGTTCAACAACGTGAAACTCGTCATTAAAGGAAAACACAAAAATAAGTTAAGTATAAACAAATTAAACTTGAATCCAATCAATTACTTTAGAAGCGGAAATCAACAGCTCAAACTTGTTAATTGGCCGATCTAGACCTCTTTCAATATTGAGCAGTAACTTATAGGCAACCGATATCTACCTCCGCTGTTCCAACCGCAGAGGTGGTTTTCTTCGCAACCATGGCGGTAAAGATGCTCTCTCCCTCTGGGACCTGTTTGACTACCAAAAACAGTGTCTTGCCATTGTCGCCTCCTAAATAACAAGCTGTGGGATGTCCAGTTACTTTAATTCGAGCGTTGATTTTGCCCTGCTGATCAATGCGGATGAACTCTTCATACCCCAGCATGGAGAGCCAGATGTTGCCCTCTGCATCCAGGCATCCGCCGTCAATCTTGACCATTTTCCCGGCAGCGTCCTTTGCGGCAAAGTCTGGGAGGGAACGGGGGGACCAGAAAAGCCGCCTGTTAGACAGCTCGCCTCCCGGCCCAACGTCGAACTTCGAAAGCCCTTCTCCGAAAGTTTCGGCAACAAACAGGCTTTTGCCGTCCCTGGCAATTACCAGCGCGTTGGGGAAGACAAGGTTCTCTGCGGCCACCTTGGCAGTACGGTCTGTATCTATCACGATAAGACGGCCTGGCGAAGGGTCCTCACCATGGAGAACCCGAGCCCCTGTATCATCTAAGTAGACCCTGCCTACCGAGTCGATGTACATGTCGCCGCAGTATCCCGTCATAATATGAGATAAATCACTGTAAAGCGTCGTCTTTCCATCTTTCAGCCGATAGAGCTTGTTGTCGAACATGGACGAGTAGATGAGTGACCCATCCGGATGAAAAAACATGCCATTGGGTTGTTGGTCAACCTTAGCCAAGACTTTCTTCTCTCCGGACTTTGGGTCTATCGTGTAGATGGTGCAACCAATCATGTCACTGACGTATAAGAGACCATTGGCGTATCGGGGGGATTCCCCGAATAGCATGCCATCGGCAAGGGGTCGGTACTCGAATTCTTTGATGGCTGACATTGCGCCGAGCACGGTGGCTTTAGTTGGAGTTAAGTGGGATTGAATGAGGAAGAGGAATTGGTGAAAAATGGATACAGTCTTCAGCCGTGGAGGATAACTTATCTTTATACTAAATTCTTTTGGCGTCTTGCACATGTTCACCATTTTACTCTTTGAGTTAGATCGTTCCCCGCGTGGAGATCAAGATGCCACGCGAACTGACTTGCGGGGATACGGGGCAGTCTCTAGGGCACATTCAAGCTAGCGGATGCGTATCCGCACGATGCAGCAATCGAGGAAGGCTGTGTCTAGCCAACTACTCGTGTAGTTCCTGTCGTAAGACACAAGTTTTGCGGTTACTGCGGAGTTGCCGTGTTCCCAGTCCCTCAACGGGAGCCGGACTCTAGGCAACTACTAGTCAGCCAGATGTCGCTACTTCCAGCCCAGTAAGAGCAAATGCCAATGGCAAGTATGTCGAAAGAAATTCGCTTAGGCCGCGCGGAACATCTTCGCGTCTTATCATTGCGGCTTATCTAACTCATACCACGGCTTTACCTCGTGAGGTCAACATTGAAGGTTCCAAGAAATGCCACAGAGAGTATTACAGCTGCGAGTAATCGGTGCAGTGGCTTGGGATGATCATCCTCTGTGTGAGCACTAACTAACACCAGGTGGTCGTAGGAGGATAAATGCTCATCGTCTCTAATCTTATAGACAGTGCTCCCACCCGGTTGTCCGACTCCGCATGATCAATCACAATAACATTGACAATCAGAAGTCAAAGGTACCAAGACACATTTCAAATAAGCTGCGGGACTGGCGCATGCATGTATAACTATATTGTGAGGCATATTCACAATTGTATCGCAGCTTACACGGCCTGTCCAAGCTCATATGATATTTAGCTACGATTTTATATAGCAACGAGACAATTTTGCCCACTGGGTGGTTCTCAAATGGGAGATAAAACTCAACATTGGAACAAACGGAGAGTCTTTCCATAGGCAGCCCATCTGACCCAATGGTGTCAAAGCTTCTGGGAGTACCCATCTACTAATTCATGCGGAGCAAGCTCCGTCATCAAGCCTGAGAAGTAGGTGCTCTGATGCAAGTTTCTCAAAGCATCCGACCTCATGACGGAACTAAAAGACTCGGAGGCCAAGTTGCTTGACCGAGCCTGATTACGCTCGGAACGTCATTCATCAGTCTGTGGAGCAATGCGGAGGGATGCTTCCGAAAACGTTGTGATCCGGTTGATCATCCGAGAGCTCCGGCCAATGTGTCTAACCGAACAACTATGTTCCAGTAAGTCAATAACGTTACGACGCTCCAATCGTGCCGAGGCTTAGCTGTTGTAAAATAAAATGTTGGCAATTTTACAATTCTCAACCTTCTGGAATATTGAGCCACTGTAAAACGCACCCAACCGCAATCGAAATGGCCAAGCCAGGATACAAACTAAAAGTCATCATCAATGGTGGAGGCCTTGGAGGTCTCGGAGCCGCCATTGCTCTCAAGAAAAAGGGCTACGATGTCACAGTCCTAGAGGGGGCTCCATCACTTTCTGAGGTAAGAATATCCTCTATCCCTTGAGGGTACTGAGGCCCCTCTAGCCTTTTACTACACCAGATCTGACTCGTCTCCCTCAGGTTGGTGCCGGTATTCAGATCCCTCCCAATTCAAGTAAAATATTGTCCAGTTACGGCCTCAAGGACAAATTCTTGGAGAAGGTTGTTTGGCCTCAGCATTTCGCTTTCAAACGATATGAAACGGGACAACTATTGGGAACTACACCTCTACACCCCCATCTCTCTGAGAAATACGGTTCCCCTTACTGGCTTATACACAGAGCCGACTTCCAAGGGATTCTTTTTGACGCCGCAAAGGAACTAGGTGTCGATGTCCGCCTGGGATGCTACGTGGAGGCGGTTGACGTTAACGGTCCAAGTGTCAGGCTGGTCAACGGCGACATCTTGACAGCTGATTTGGTCGTGGGAGCAGACGGTATTCGCTCGAAAACACGGGAAGCAATACTTGGCGACAGAAATGTAGAGCCAAACCCAGCTGCGAACTGCTCCTATCGCGCAACTGTCCCCGTCGAGATCATGTCTGCTGACCCTGATATCGCTCATCTGATGACGGACATCAATGCCAACTGCTGGATCGGACCCGGCCACCACATAATGGCTTATCCAATTCGCAAGGGCAGCATGTACAACCTCGTACTCTCTCACCCCGGTGGTCTTGCTGCGCCTGGAAAGTGGAATGAGCCTGGCAACCTGGAGGAGATGCGGGAACACTATAAAGACTTCGACCCCGTCATTCGAAAGGTACTGAGCAAGGTGCAGAGCTGCCTCAACTGGAAGATCGCCGATCTACCCAATCTGCCGACCTGGGTCAGTGAAAATGGTAAGGTCGCCCTGCTGGGAGATGCAGCCCACGCCATGGTGCCATTCCTCGCCCAAGGCGCTGCACAAGCTATCGAGGATGGTGCATGTCTTGCAGAATGCTTGTCTCGCGCCCAGAGTCCCTCCGACATCCCGTCTCTTGTGCGTGCTTACGAGGCCATCCGGAAGCCTCGAGCTGAGCGAGTACAGAAAGGCACGCGGGACTCTAGTTACGTCTGGCACTTGGATGATGGGCCTGAGCAGGAGGCCCGAGACCGAGCGTTCGCGGCCATGGCAGCCGAGGTTCGCGACGAGGATATAGACGAGGCATTGGATAAGGCAAACCCCAACAGTCTGAGCAGCAAGAACTTTCAGCCGTGGTTGTTTGGACATGATGAGATTGCGTCGACAAATACGAGGCTTGATGAAATTTTCAATCCCCAAAAGGGATCAACCCACCTATGAAAGTTTTTTAACAGGCAGTGACAATCTAGATATTTTATCAGAAGGAGTCCAAGAGTTATGCAAAATAAGTGATGATGACGTAGCCTCGTAGTGAAGATCTTGTAGACGGGATGACATCTGGGTCTTCTAGTAACCGCTCTTGTATTGTTGCTAACTTCCTGAAATATATCATATACATAGAGTTCCAACCCCCACCCTAAAATTATTAACGTGATGATGATGTTAGCCATTTCTCAAGTCACATCGACTCAAGCCCGGGACCTTATTTTTCTTACCCAAGCTCCATGTCGTTTACTTATTTTAAAACGTTTCAGACTATGTTTTCTCAGCACTAATTAAAGCCCGTAATTATGGCTTAACCCATATGGTATGGGGTTTGTAGAGTGACGATTATGTTCCAACAATTTCAATCTCGTTCTAGGTCTAGGGTATCTCGTTTTTCCACATAAAGCGCAAGCTGGAGATTGGACTCGGATGCAGGAAAAGCGGAGTTTGGACTTCACCAATCGGAATGGATTATTTTCGGAACCAAGTCCTCACTTGCCGAGGTCCGAAGGCACGTGACCAAAGATCTACTCAAATGTCCCATTGCTTCCGGGAATATTGCCATTCCGGCCAGCTCTGGCAAGCCTCCCTTAAGAATAACATGTCGGACTGGACACGAGCAATTCCGTGAGCTACAGCCTAGGGAGTCAAGATCGATGTCGCATGCGATACGTGTCGCGCAGGGGGAAGATAGTAATTGGAATCTCTGGGCTAGCTCCGTACTGAGGGATAGTGGCTGTCTGGAGCAATTGAAACGGCTTAGAACTCAATCCGAAGAACTGGTTCAACGAGAGGCCAAGCACCGGCTTCTACGCATACCATTCATGAGCTTTATGATCGCTATCATTCCTAAACTGGAAGTAATTGAGTATATCTTAGTAGTAGCAGCGTAGGCCCCTTCGCTATTCAGATTACAACGGGAATTAACGCTTAGCTAGGTATTAGTTTAGGAAGCCTTAACATCTCTCAATAACCCATCTTTATTATGATATTCAACCTATACTAATACTGCCTCGGATAGAATAAATGAGACTTATAGAGTATTTCAAGGTGCTGAATAACAGGATTTGCGGCCAACTAGAGGGCTGACTGATTAAATTGTGTTAACGCAGCGATGTCTGTTCCGTTGTGATGCGCAGAAACAAGGCTTTCTCGTAAATATCGCTCCTCGCAAAAGGGAAACTGGTCTGCGAAGAAAACATAGTGGGTTTGTGGAGATTCAATGCGTTTTTTGCTATCTATCATGTATTCTATCTTATCCTTTCACCAAAATGCATCCAATGATAACTGATGCTCATTCCAGCCAACCGCTACGAACCGTTGTCAAATGTTCATCTTTCACCGTAATAGTCTTTAACTGGGTAAACTCAGCGAAGCCTGTTTATGATTAGCTGTTAAGTCATGTGGTAGGTAATCAGAATCAAATACTTACCCCACGGGACTCCGAACCGTCCCCAGCCACTGCCCTTAGATCCACCATGCGGTAGATGTGCCTCATCGTGAACAGTCATAGAATTGATATGAACTGCCCCTGTATCAAGACGCCGAGCTAGTTCGATGCCTCTCCCTATGCTAGCAGTGAAGATGCTTGACGAGAGTCCATAGTCGGAATCATTCGCCAATTCCACAGCTTCATCCAGTGTCGTAAACGGCACCAAAATCACCACAGGCGCAAAGGTCTCTTGGCGCCAGATTGGCATATCTCGTTTGACCTCGGTGAGCACGAGGGGACTCATGTGCGACTTTTGCGTTTCGATGCTCTCTCCAAAGAGGAGCTTGGCACCCCTGTCGAGTGAGTCTGCAACAAGCTTTGTTACCTTGATGACATGCTCCTCGGAAGCCCCAGGTTGAACTTTCATCTTTGCTCCAATATCGGCCAGTTTCTCTGAGAATTGTCCAAGGACCGAGGCATGGACAATTATCCTTTCGGTGGACATGCAGATCTGCCCATGCTATTGATTGAAATTCGATCAGCAATAAAGTTGGTATGATGTACTCTTCATGAACTTACATGAGAGAATGCTCCCATGGCCGCAGCCTCAGCAGCCTTGTCCAAATCCGCGTCTTCAAGCACAATCTGCGGTGACTTCCCCCCTAGCTCCAGCAGCACGGGCTTGCAATGTTCGGCGGCTTTAGCAGCAATTATCTTGCCCACAGGGGCACTCCCAGTGAAATTAACCTTTCTGACACGATTGTCGCTGATGAGAGCGTTGAGCACTTCTGGTGCGTCTTCTCTCCGATGCTGCACGATGTTAAGGACACCGGGAGGAAAGCCAGCATCTTTGAACAGGATCCCGATGAAATTATGCACCAGTGGAGTCATCTCGGAAGCCTTCAGTATGGCCGTATTTCCACAGGCGATTGGGGTTGCCACAGCTCTGATGCCAAGGTAGAGAGACACATTCCACGGCGCGATGCCGAGCTGGACACCCACGGGCTCCCTGATGACCATGGCGAAGGAATCTGGTCCTTGCCTGCTTGGAAGGAGAGTGCCGCTCTCGGTATCCTTTACGTGGAAGGCTAACTCCCGGAGGAGGTCAATGGAACTTTGAATGTTGATCTGCTGGATGACAAAATCGTCGATGGGCATTTCGACCTGTTCAGTTAGCTCCCAAGACTCGGCTTAAAAGACAGCGGCAATTATTCGCTTACCCGCAGTATGTTTTCAGCCACTTCCCTCCGTTCCTCGAGAAGATTGGCTGCCTTGAGCAAAAGGTCTTGGCGCTGCCATATCGTGGTGTTCCGCCAGCCTGCGAAAGCTCGATGCGAACTTTCGACCACACTATCGACAAGTTGTAGTGAAATACTGGAAGCTAGGATAGACTTTCCAGTAGCATGGTTGGTGACTGAAAACTGAACTTCTGTATGGACAGGTTTGTTGTCAATCCATAGAGGGACTCCCTGCTCGCTGGGTGAACTCATGATGAAGATGTTTGGGCTGTTTGGTTGGATGGCTCAATGATACGGCAAGAGTCTCTCGACATGCAAGTCAAAGTCCTGTGGGGTAATCAGAGTTTCACATATGCGGTCAAATTGTATTGATTCTTGGGCTATTGGCTAGCGGTTAAGGATCCGCGAGACTTGCGGCGCTCTGAGCGACCGCGCGGGAGCACATCCGCCAGTGGTATCGAAGCTGGTTCTGGCTCGTGTGCCTGGGAAGATACCCGCTTCCACCTTTTCTTTGACTTAATACGAGTGTTGTCTTCCTAATAAGTGTTTTTTTCGGCCATAGTCTTTCTTAGAAGCATCCCTTGTAAAGCTGCTTTGCTCACTTTCAGTGCTCATCAACATGCTAGGCGACTTCCCCTTGGCGGGTAAAATCGTAGTCATCACTGGCGGCGCGTCAGGTGAGTATATGCAACAAGTCCTGAGACAAGACAGCAGCAACGGTTCCTTCTAAACTAGTGACTAGAGAGTCATCAAGAGCTAATGGCTTATTATTCTGATGTACATAGGCATCGGCCTCGCCTTCACTGAGTTGGCATTGACCAGCAGGGCAAAGGTGATCATCGCCGACCTTGTTCTTTCCCATGCAGCCGAACTTCTCATAAGCGACGATCACAATGCCCGCTTCATCCGATGCGATGTCGGTAAATGGAGTGATCTTGAATCTCTGATCCCCTTCTCTCAGAAGGAGTTTGGTGATGTGCCGGATGTTTACGCTGCCAACGCTGGTGTTGGAGAGCCTGTATTTGCCATCCTCTTCCCGGACACGTAGCTCAGGAATCCAACTGAGTTCTGACTTGTCAATAGGCATGGTCCAGTTTCTGGGGTGACCGTGAGACTGAGAGATATGCTCAGCTCGACATCAACCTCGGCCATCCTATCAAACTCACCCGCATAGCTATCCGCGCATGTCTCGGCAGGAACAAGAAGGGCGTCGTTATCATTACATCATCCATCGCTGGAGTGAATGGCCATTTCGCTACGGCGCTTTATGTGGCAAGCAAGCATGGGACAATAGGATTCATCAAGAGTCTCGCTAAAGCTGAGACTGAAGCTCAAGTAAAAGTCGTCGGGATCTGTCCTGGGTAAGTGAGCGTACCTCAGAAACCAGCATAAGCAACTCTAACGTGACATCAGGCTCGTCGAGACGCCGCTTCTCCAAAATATCATGGAGAGTCAAAACAAAGACGAGCCTGACGTGGTGCTGATCAAGCCGAGCGAGATTGCAGATAGGATGAAGGACCTAGTTGAAAAGGGTACATACCGTGGAGGAATAGCTTTGGCAGTGAGCGCGCCGGGAGATGCAACCGTTGTGGCTGATGGATCGACCAGCGCGCTCGAGGATCTTCTACCCTCTGATCTGAATGTAATGAGGGAAATTATAGCAGCAGAGAGGGGAAATGACTCCTAGAGCTTATCTTGGGGCGACAGTGTTGATAACAAGTAGTATTATGTTTGTCGTCTATCAAATTTGTCTGACCTCCTGAGTTATCGTACCTGTTAATATTCGAGATGCTTCTTCTAAATGTTGCTCCAGCTCATTTCTTCACCAAAGGCCACTCATCGATTTTGCCGATCAGATAACAGCGGGGCGAATTAGGTTGCCGTGCAAGGCGACTTCAACATGTTCTTTTAGAATCCCTCATTTTCGTACTATGATATGGTAAAATACCGTAATCCGGATGTCTTCTATGTATGACATATCTGATGGCATTTTTGGCTACTGCGCTACAAGAAAACCCATCGTAAGATCTTCAAATACCAGGCTAACATCGAACTTTTATCTAATGTCTTCAAATATAAAATAGGCAAATAATATACCCCTTCCTCCCTCGGTTGGCTTTCGACCTTTTCCTGGTACCAAATCTCCACCAAAACTCCATCAGAATTTGGCGTTTTCAGCAGCTGAAAACTCCAGCCCAGCTGTGATGTTTCCGTTCTTTGCAAGCCAAAGATCATAAAAGTAGTTGGTGCGACCTTTCCAGGGGCCAGAATCGCCACATTTTGGCATAGTTTCCTGCGCTTTCTTGACATATGTTGCATCGAGGTTCCATATTGGCCGCGTTTGTGTATATTTGGGCGATCGCGGGACAGCGCTCGTCTTCTCTTTCTTCTGCATGTGCTGCAGGAGGCGACAGATGAGGTGAGCACTGGTGTCTGCTCCAAGCGTCCATGAGGCATTGACGTATCCGATCATGAAAGCCAGGTTGGGCACGTCACTAAGCATGGCAGCTCGCCATGCTATCTTGTCAGAAAGCTCGACGGGTTCTCCATCCACCTTGAAGTGTATGCGCCCACCCACCTTGAGCTTCAGACCGGTAGCAGTGATGATGATGTCCGCCTTCAGTTGGCTGCCCGAAGAAAGGACAATGGCATCCTCATTCATTGTGCTGACGTGGTCTGTCACCACATGGGCACTGTCCTCCCGTATGGCCTTGAAGAAGTCGCCGTTGGGGCTGAAGCAGATTCGTTGATCCCATGGCCGATAGAGAGGAGTGAAGTGAGGATCCACGGGGACATGGACTGGAAGCTCCTGTGCAACCCATCGTTGTAGCTTCGATCTAGCAGCGTTGGGAAAGGCACGGCAGAGCCAGAAGATGATAGCAGTCGTCCAGATAAACGCCCAACGGCTGAGCCTGAAAGACCATAGCTCAGGTAGCATTCGGTGAAACAAGGAATTGCCGGTACTATTATCGATAGATAGAATATACGTCGGGCTTCGCTGCAGCATTGTGACCTTCTTCGCTTTCTTGGCTAAATTCGGCAGCAGGGTGATGGCTGTTGCTCCGCTGCCAATAATAACAACCTCTTTGCCGGCGTAGTCAAGTTGTTCTGGCCAGAACTGAGGATGAATGACTTGTCCCTTAAAATTGTCGAGACCAGGGATCTGCGGTTCAAGCGGCTCCTTATAGTCGTAGTAGCCCGTGCCTAGGATCAAGAAACGTGCCTGATACTCGACACTCTCACCAGAGTCCGTTTCGACCATCAGGCTCCAAGATCGTTCCGCCGATATCCAGTTGGCTGAGAGGACGCTGCGCTTAAACTGGACATGGCGATCAATGCCCTCTTTTTCTGCCGCATTGCGTAAATATCGCACAATGGATGCTCCGTCGGCAATGGCACGCTTCTCCGCCCAAGGGAACCAGCTGAAGCCAAAGCTATGCAGGTCGGTATCAGATCTGATTCCCGGGTAGCGGAATAGATCCCAGGTCCCTCCGAAGCCCTCGCGGCCTTCGAGGATCGCATAATTCAGATTTGGAAGTTTTTCTTGGATGCGGTAAGCGGCGTTGATGCCAGATATTCCAGCACCCACGATGACAACATCGTACACGCTATCAACTTGAAGAATTGACTTGCTGTCCATCTTAGATGATGCCGCAATGTAGGGTGGTTTCTTGGGTAAAGGTTGAGGGATAAAGCGATGGTGGGTTGGCAACTGGTCGAGAACTTTAGTAGAACAGGGCATTATAGCAGTGAGAGAACCTACACCCTCAAGCTGGTCTGAGGAACGCCATAGCGAGTCTGCGGATATTGGCCCGGATGCCGTTCAAGAAAAACTGGATAATAATTCCTCACAGGTTGTTTCGCGGTCAAAAGGAAAAGATCTGGTACATTGTACCAAACATGCGGATACGCATCCGGAGGTAGACACCAGACGGCTGGGACCCATCGCTAGTTTGCCATATTCCGAACACTCCAGCCTTTGCTTCCGATTTCTGGGGAAACGAACCTGGGAAAACATCCGGGGAAATCTGGAGAACCTGTGCAACAAGTTTCGGCTTGTTAGATTCAGTGCGGACGAGCGAGGGTACAAATTCCCCGTCCAAGACCTTATTTCACCTCCACCTCACAGAGCAACATACCATAGCTTAACCCTTATCGAAACCAAAATCGAACTATAACATTTTTCTTATTATATACCAAATTCCCGAACAGCAAGATGGCTCCTAACAGAATCGACGTTCACCACCACTTTGTGCCGGACTTTTATCGTCAAGGTCAGTTCCTCCCCCACCTTTCGCATGATATATGTCACACTTGAATTCTGACATACTCCCCAGCCCTTGTCTCTTCTGGTGGAGACCCATCGGGATGGTTCATACCTGATTGGACTCCAGAGTCTGATGCCGCGCTTAATGAGAAATTTGGCATCGACATCACCATCTTGTCGCTGACCGCACCGGGTGCCTGCATTCTCAAGGACCCGAAGGCATCAGCGGAACTGGCCCGCAAGACCAACTTGTACGCTGCCAAGCTGCGAGACGAGAACCCCAAGAAATATGGATTTTTTTGCGGCCCTGCCAAACCTACTTGACAAGGAGCTGGCTCTTGCCGAGATTGCTTTCGCGCTTGACACTCTCAAAGCGGACGGCATTACCTTGTTCACCCGATACGGGACCGGAAATCACTATCTGGGTCACACTGATTTCAAGGACATCTGGGCCGAGCTCAACCGCCGGTCTGCTATCGTTTTTGTCCACCCTACCCATCCCGTGGATACTAGCCAGGTTAGCGGACTGCCTCAGCCGGTTATCCGCTACCCCTTCGAGACTACGACAACTGCCTTGGACATGATTTACAACAAGACGGTCCGCAACAACCCAAACTGCAAGATCATCCTCTCCCACGGAGGCGGCGTGTTGCCCTACCTGATCGGAAGGCCTGCGAGTATCCTCCCCAAGTCCAAGGAAGAGTTGGACGAGTTTCTAGACGATGCTCGGAATTTCTATTATGATCTAGCTGTGGCGGGCTCGGAGAACGCGCTGCGGGTGCTCGAGAAGTTTGCCAAGCCGGGCCATCTCCTCTACGGTAGCGACACCCCTTATGCTAATGAAGGGATTATCGATTTCCACACAAGTGGCCTTGATTCGTACAAATTTGAGGATCCAAACTTGATTAAGCAGATCAACTACGAGAATGCTCACGCTTTGTTCCCCAAGTTTAAGAATTGAGAGAGGGAAATCCAGAGGGCTCGGAAAGTCAGCTACAGTGTGTAAATAGAACCAGATAGGTTGTTTATTGCTGCTAGTGTTTGTCAAGTATCCTCAGATGAAGCCGGAGTTTTGATACGTGAAGGCCTCTAGTAGTTCCCAATCAGTTCTTCTTGTCCGCTGAATAATAATATGGTCATGTAAGACTAGCTTCACGCCGTGAAGCGCGGATCTAAGAAAGCCCCATGTCCTCTACAGTTGAAAGCTTGCGCGGCGGGTGTGTTTCCGCAAACGGTACGATTAGTTTTGCTTATATTTTACTTGCACTAGGAGCCCCATGTGATATTTATTATGCCATCTAGACCGTTTCAGCTCTACACTCTACCCTCACGCCTCAGCTCTGCAATACTTTCCTCCTCTACTGAATATCCTACAACCATGTCTGATACGCAACAGATCACCACCAAAGCCTACGTCGTCGCTGAGCGAGGCGGGCCCTTTGAACTTAGAGACATTGTGCTCGACAAACTGCATCCGACTGAAGTTTTGGTGGAAATCAAATACACCGGTCTATGCCACACGGTTTGTTGCCTACATCAAATAGAGGCCGCATGGATCGCTCGTGAAGACTGACTTGCAGTACAGGACCTCGTTGTTCAGCAGGGCGGCATGCCGATCGGGGGATATCCAGCCGTCCTCGGCCATGAGGGACTTGGTGTTGTGCGACGCATTGGATCTAATGTGTCTGACCAGTCTCTGAAACAAGGAGACACAGTTCTGCTCTCATTCCACACCTGCCGGCAGTGCCGAGGGTGTCTCGATGAGCGATACGGTAGTTGTTCCCAAATGACGGAAACCAATTTTATCAATACCGGGCGCAAAGGTCCAGGGACATCTTCGCCCATCTCGTTACCCGATGGCACACCGGTGCATGGTCAGTTCTTTGGCCAATCATCCCTCAGCAAGCTAGCGCTTGTCAGTGAGAACTCAGTGGTCAAGATATCTGCAAAGCCCCAAGACCTGAGCTACCTCCCTCCTTTGGCATGTGGCTACCTGACCGGAGCAGGGACAGTTCTCAATGTCCTCCGGCCCCGCGGGGACAGCAAACTCGTTGTCCTGGGCATGGGAGCAGTTGGACTCGCTGCCATGCTGGCGGCCAAAGCGCTCGGAGTGGAGCATCTTGTGGCTGTCGATCTTGTTGACGAAAAACTTCAGCTCGCGTCGTCGCTAGGAGCGACCCAAACTATCAACACAAGTACGGCCCAGGACCTCAATTCTGCAGTCAGAGACAGGTTTCCAAACGGGGTCGATTACATCATCGACACGACAGGAGCGGCGAAACTTTTGCAGGCGTCTGTCGAGGCTCTATCTCACGAAGGGACCCTCGCTCTGGTGGGTGTCCCGCCACCAACGGCGACTTTCCAGGTCAATGCCCTAGACCTCTTATTGTCGTGCAAGCGCATTGTGGGAGTTATTGAAGGCTTTTCCAACCCTCAGAAAGTAAGTCAGCCAAAGTAAAGGCCGTTAACAAATCAATCAGGCCTGAACGTAATCTAACGGCTTGCGCAACTCAGTTAATCCCGGAGCTCCTCGAGCTGTACTACAGCGGTAAATTCCCTATCGACAAAATTTCAAAGTGCTACCCCGCGGAAGATTTGCACCAGGCCATAGAAGATCTCAAGGCGGGACGGGTGAGTCATCTACCGCCAATTACTCTAGTTGTGCAATCACTCATGTATCTATATTGAAGGTTATCAAGCCGGTGGTATCATGGCACAACATTCACTAAGCATGGCATTTAAAATATTCACAGACTTGAAGGCTAAATTAGATACAGCTATGTCCCATTCCAGTATTACTTGGTATATAACATCGAGAGAGAAAACAACAGGAATACCAGGTGTCTTAGCCAACTGCTACTAAGAAACTCATTGCAAGCTCACTCCATTTCTTTCCATCCTCATCACCAAGCGCTGGCCGTTGAGCCCAGCTTTACAAAGACAGGATAATGCCAAGCCCAATATATCTACCATTCTTGGCAGTCCTACCTATCAGAGCTGTGCCTTTCTGGAAACAGTGATGATGGCATCGGGAAGACAGAGGCTAACCGCCAACAATAATGATGAGTTTACGGGGATCGGCTTGAAATGTTGATTTTGAGCGAGACCTCAGGCACGCACTAACGGTAAGCCCAGGGATACAATTACCCCGACCTCGGTCAGGTGGCCTGCTTGCGGAATCATATCCGCAAGCGCCGAATTGGTAATCACAGGCCACATCCACCACGGAGGGGCATAACCTACGTACCACCATTTCTCATCTCCAACTTTGGGGTTATACCCCGTGTTATTCGCCACAATCCAAAGGTGAGTGCCGTGCGGGGGTGATGTTGGTGTCCAGCAGGATTTTGCGGAGGTACAAGGAGTAAGGCCACACCAACGCTGAGTCTGGAATCATGTTCTCTATGCTCTCGTACAATCTTACAAATTCGCAAATTCAAAAAGCGTGATCTAAACTCCAATATCTCCAATGAGTTGGAAGAGCCAATTTCTGGTACCTATCAGGAACCTCTGGCAAATATCAATTTCTCCGTCGAAGAAATACTCTTCCAACACATTATTCTCGTAGATCTTGGAGACGGGCGTGCAATTTCAATTTCCAATTACAGCAGCCAAATTTGTTAGCAAGAACAGCTATTCCAAGCCATAGAATTCCATATTGATAGCTAGAGTTGGGAGTGACCTCTCAGTCTCCAGTACCTCCTCACTGTAGTCTCCTGATATGATGGCTTCTACTACCGCTAAACCAAGAACAGGTCCGAATGCGGGGTATGGAGTAGACTAGTGATCAGAGGCCAGTATAAAATGACAATCCTAATTTACTGGCTTCCTCTAAGCTCCTCAATCGAGCTTCCTCCATCTCGTAATCCACGGCTTTGCACCTAAACCTCGGAACTCAGATACCCTCAAGAACACTGATTTCCTTTGGGCTGCCGACTCTCTCTTGATGGCTCCACCCATAACCGACTACCCCGAACCAGTGCCCCCGAGGAAACGGCGCCGCACTGCCCTGGCCTGTGAGGAGTGTCGCGACAGGAAGCGCAAGTGTGACGGGGTCAAACCTATATGCGGAGCATGCAAAGGCCGCTCTACGGCACAGTGCATATGGAAACAGGAAAGGAACAGCAAGGGCTGGTGGAGCAATAGGTACAGATGCTCAGCATACCCAAACTCGCCGACCGACCAAGTCACAAAGTCTTACCAGTGTTGCAGTTATGTCCAGGAGCTCAAGAGTCGTATCAGGGAATTGGAGGATACGCAGAGCATGGTGAATATCACAGACCACCTTGTTGACTCTACCATCCCTCCATCTAATCGAGAATTCGGGGCCCCTGTCTCCTTTGGCCTCCACCTAGAAGGCTCGCCTGCTTCTCAAGATGTGGTCGACGATCACGAAGACGCACCGGCTGATCAGGGCACTCCCATGTGCGATGATATTGCCTCCCACGGCGTGAATGCACTGGAGGTACGCCAACCAGAAACTGCCTTGCCATTGGCATCCGCGGAAACAGCCCCTATCGAAAATGCTTCAGACCAAGCCTCTGCGCTGTGGGCCGGCATGGACTTTGATTCAGCTTCCAAGTTTCTTCCCTCTACCAGGGATTCTCTTGAGGAAAACGGCAGGCTGGATATGACCGACCTGGAAGCCGGACAACCCGCAATGAATGCCATGGGAGTTGTTATATCTCCACATGGTACGGCTATTCGACCAGCAAGAAGGGGTGCGGATTACTTTGGCCCCTCAAGCACGATCAGTCTCCTCCGCGAAGTGCGGAGTGTCATGGGACGACGAAAGTGTGATCATGGACCTTCTTTTCCTGGCAACCCGGATCGCTGCTCGGCGTGTGAGCACAACGCCCTCTTGGTTACAAGCGAATCATCTCCGCCCTCATCGACCTGGCTCAATCATGGATACGAGAGCGTTAACCCTATCTTTGGAATGAGTCTGCCTCCAAGGCCGGCAGCGGATCGTTTCGTCGACCTATTCTGGACAAACATGCACTCTCTCTACCCATTCTTACATTGGCCGTCCTTCCATCACCGCTATCTCACACTCTGGAGTCCGCAGGCAAACTTACAAGCCTATGGAACCACTGATACTCTGAATGGGCCTGTGAACGGATACTACAGTACCATTGACGATGCTTTATTTCATTGTATGCTCAATGTCGTCCTCGCTCTTGGTGTCCTTCACGACACCAAGATCAGACAGCAGGAACGTGATGAGATCAGCGAGACTTTCTTCAAGCGCGCAAAGACTCTCCTGGACCTAGACGCGTTAGAAAGTGGAAGTGTAGCCCTCGTGCAAGTTCTTCTTCTCATGGGCCAATACCTTCAGACCAGAGATATAACAAGCTCGTGCTGGAACATCGTTGGCATGGCTATTCGTGTCGCTCAAGGAATAGGGCTACACCGCGAGTCTGAGGATTGGGACCAAAGCGGCTCTAGCAGCTATCGAGCCTCTGAACAACTCGAGGAGGAAATGCGTAGGCGCGCTTGGGCTGGGTGTGCTTTGCTCGACCGGTCAGTGCTCACATACGCTATCCAGAACCCAAGGCTGAACTAACGTTCTCGCAGAATTCTTTCCCTGACGTACGGACGCCCTCCCATGATACATGGTAGTATCTCGCACGGCACAATCGTCCTTCCATCGGCAATAGATGACGATTTATTGAGTCGTGTTCCTGGTGCTCCAAGATGCCAGCCAAGCGACACCCCGAGCCTTGTGGAATGTTACGTTCATGCACTTAAACTACAAGACATTCTAGGTCAATTTCTCACTTCCTTTTACTACCAAGGCTCGGACAACGAGACAGCTTCCTCCCCAGGCCTTGGGCAAAGGACGAACAACGAGCCTACTAAATCTCAAAGGAATTGGATCAGTGACGCCGGGCTTCAAAAGCTGCTTGATGTAGATCGCCAGCTCGATACATGGAACAAGGATCTGCCGGCGCATTTGCAAGTGCACCACTACTCAGAGGAAAATCTGTTTCCGGGCAGTCCACGCTCCTCAAGGTCCGTCATCTTTTGCCGGCAAGCCACAGTGCTCAAAGCGAGGTATATTACTCCAGTTCACTTGATCAAAGCAAACATCTTGCGCCCGAAACCTCTCGCAGTTGCTAACCCTCGCAGGTCTCTGTATGTGCGTATGAACCTGCTTAGACCTTCATTGTCGGAACTGTGCAATTCGGTCAGCAAGACTGGCCTGCCGTCAACTCAGCCTGATTCAATAAATACGAGTGTGCGCGAGATCATGCTGATAAAGTCCGGAAATCTGTGTGTGTCTGTTGCGCAAGAACTTGTTTCTCTAATAACAGAAAACTCCCACGCCCGAGCCCATTTCCTACCACCGCCATGGTACAACGTACTTTGTGAGTAACCTGTTTAAGATGCCAACGCTTCTTTCTCGTCGAAACGCACCCCCGGCTCTAATCTCTTTGTTTCACCGTAGACATACACGGCTGTGCCCTCGTGCTTCTCTTGGGCTCTCTCTGTCTGCACAAAGTTAGCGACGTCGAACAACACAGTTTGATGGCCGATTGGGACCGCTGTTTGACCTTCCTTCGTGAGTATCAGTCACAAAGTCAGTCCGCGCCCAGGTGCATTAGACTCTTGGAACTTCTACAACAAGAGGCCTCGAGCTACAGTAATGGTACGTCTTTGAAAGTTCTACCCAAGCTTACATACTAACGGAGTGAAATAAGGAAGTATAAGCATCGATGAATCTCGTCTATTACAATCAGGGGAATATCACCCTGCAGTCACCCTCGATGCGAGATATATGACACTTGATCTGATGGCAGGAAATAAGGAATTCCCCTCGAACCTCGACCTTGACCGTGGAGGGCTCGACGAGCCGGATAACAATTCGGCGAACAACTCGGTAGGGATGAATTGGTTTTCCTTAGCTCCATTCTTCGAGGGGGCAGCAGACATTCCCCCTTGAAGATTATGGTATCAACCATCCCGGGGAGCTCTCATTCTAGACAAATATCCGCCTCAACCTTCCGCAAGATCATTGTAGGTAGCAGTCTCAACATCTGCCCACAGCTGTACCGCCTTGAGATCAGCAAAAGGAAGCACCTGAGACGCGACTATCCCCGCCACCCCTTTTTCTCGATCACACCACCAGAAACAGTTGGACAAACCGGACCAATGGACCGTATGATTCGAACGACCAGTCACGCCGCCCGAGATCATAAAACCGAGCCCCCACCCCTGCGGCTCGCTTGCCGGGCAAAGCGGATAAAGCTCCTTAGCCGGATGAACCAGCTCAGGCTCTACTGCTGGGAGCTCAACGCGAGCGAAGTTGGGGTCGTTGGGCAGCTGGTTCTCAAACATCATGTCGACCGTTTCGGGGCGGAGAATTGCTTCGCCTGTAAGGGGAGAGGTTCCATTATTTAACAGGACCCTCAGGAGCTCTGTTGAAACGTTAGGGCATGCTAGATTGACTGGAGTGGACGGCACATGCTGCTATACTCGTGCGTAGTCCCCCACACGCCAGCGCCGCCGCTTTGGAAAGTCTCAGACGCCCGATCCGGGGCCAAGGGTCGGTCAAGAGGATATAGTCGTGGACTCAGGCGACCATTTGCATCCCGCTGCCAGATACCGGCCAGTCGATCTCTCATGTCCTTTGATGGAACAAGAGACAACTCCTTGATACCTGCCGGCGTGAAGATGTGCTTTTGCATATAATCGCCGAGCCTGGATTGTGTAGCACGCTCCACGGCAATGCCCGCCCAGTCTATGCTAATCTGATGACATTTGTTAGCTAGGGAAATGCTTCCAGGGGGTCTCCGGAGGAGCTTGAAAGAAAGAACAGAGAATCACGTCGTCGCCATACCCCGTATTCGAATCGTTCTCCCGGCTGATTTACTAGTGGTTGATGGAAGTCTTGGGCAAGTCCAGAGAACTCGTTATAATTGTACTTCTCAAGCTTGTAGTTGAGAAATGAGTATCCGAAACCAGCTTCAACCAAGGTCAAAAGCTAAGATGCAAGATGTGGAATGAGCACATTTAATGCTAAATGGGAATTATATACGTACCAGTATGCGTCAACAACATCCTCAGTGTGATCTTTTTGTTCTTTTCCGACGTCGATCCGTCACGATTGAGGACCTTGATGTCTCGTAACTCCGGACACAGTCCTTCAAGTTCATCTCCGTCGTCAAGTGTGAGCTTTCCCTGCTCAACTAGTTGCATACAGGCAATGCTCGTAATGAGTTTCGTGCAAGAGGCTAACCAGAAGACCTGGCCGTTGGCGGACGCATCTTGGAGATTCAGTGACCCCTTTCTCGACTTCGGTATCGTAGTGTCATTATTCTCGCCATTCCTCGACACCGTTTCATGGTGAAACAGCTCCGAAGTGGCACTCACTACTGTGGCACTGGCACACGGTAGATCAGCCTTGCACGCATTATTGAGGAGTCCACGAAGACTATCTCGGGTCTTGGAAGAAAGAGAGCGAGGGGCCATGATATGAAGGGCACTGGAGTGATAGAATTTCAGATCAAGAACGCGATGAGCTTAGACGAAAGCCAGTTGAATAGTACATTACCGCCAGGGTGTTCGCCTTTTTAGCCTTCACGGATCAAGCATTTTGCGGAAGGGATTCCGCCGTGTTGTGCGCCTGCGGGTGATGATCCATCCGGACATGCTTCCGCCCAAACCAACAAATGCGCCCATATACATGTCCCCCGATTCATCCCAAAATATTAATTTGATAAGAAACAGTTTCCCATCCTAAGAGACTTATGTTTCGAAATTTCACCGCCAGCTCATCACACAAGGAAGTAGCCTTGATTTGAGACGAGGGATCACTGCAAGGAATAGGAAAGATAAGGATAGGAAAATACTCCCGTTTCCAAGCTTATTCACCGCACTATTGATGGCATTTGAACCCGCGAGAGGCCTTTGCTGAAGGCACGATAAATAAAGAAAGCCAATGAACGCCCATGAATGAGCTTGATGCACCGTGAGAGATGGAGGAGCATTCCCAAAGGCATACTGGTTGTCCGAGGAATACGTAGCTGTAGCCCGTAGTAGCTGGCCAATTAGAAGCTAGAACCTGCAATCTTCTGATTGAGGTGGCTGGAGCTAGAAATCTTCAGCGGTTTCAATTAACCAATGATATTATCACAGTCAACCGTTAAACAGCCGAAGCGATTTCGGCCGCACGCATCCCACCAGAATGTCGTCAACAGCTGCTGCAGAGTGAGCCTACTTGCGCGACAGAGATGTTCGGCAGAATCAGTCGGTTAGGGGGTATTAACAAGTGCTCATGGGGTTGCTCAAAAATAATCTCGAAGCCATCCGCGACATATTTGTCGATAATTTGACCGATTGGCATTCTGTAGAAAGCTAGAACAAGGCAACGAGAGGCACGTCTTTGATTAAGCGAAGCTCAGAGTAAGATGCATCAGATGAAGCCAAAGTTGAAGCGAGCATCAACAAGGGTTCTCCAAAGACCACTCCGGCGGGAAACGACGAATATGGTGGGTGTAGCGAGACGAAGCTGACTGGGATCATTACCGCGCCCTGATTTACTCGAAACGGGAATTGTGATCACCGACCTAGACCCAGGTCTAAAGCCAATTTAGCATCAATCTAACTCCGCCAGCATCTGACATCTACAGGGGGGACTTGTTGATTGTTGGCAGAGTTTGTTGGCCGTCAGCACTAATCATAAGTGCAATCAGGGGCACGTAGCATTCTGAGACAATAAAAACAATGCGGAACACGTCCACTTTCCACATTCTGCCGTGACACGTACTTGTCGTCTCGCTCTCTTCACAGAACGTCGACCAAAGAATGTTCCTACGCCTACTGCTCGTGGCCGGCGCTGTGATCGCCGCGCTGGTCGCGTTCTTCATCCCTGGCTCCCCCGAGCGAGAGCCATATGTCCAGGGCCGCAACAAAACGGCCCTCTTCATCTCCAACATAGAGCATGGCCTCAGTAATGTTCATGTGGCTACCGCGTCCGCGCTTCTTGAGGGCTACCCCGACATCGAGGTACACTTCGCATCTTTTGCGAAGCTCCGTGACAAGCTGGCTCGAGTCTCTGCATTTGCACAGACCAAGACGCCAGACGCCAAGGACATCATCTTCCACGAGATCCGTGGTCAGGCATTCTTCGAGGCCGTTCAATTACTAGGCCACGATCTAGAGAGTACCATTTCCCCTCCCGGAATCGCCGGTATCGATCAGTTCACCAAAAACATGCAGGACTGGATCTCCCCATGGAGCGCAGAGGAACACATGGTCATCTACGACGAAATTGGCGCCATCATTGACGAGATTGACCCCGCAGTGGTCGTCTTGGACACGCTTCTACGTCCTGCCCTTGATAGCACCCGCGACAAGAACCGCCTGCACGCTATCGTCTCACCCAACACCCTCGTTGATAACTTCCTTGGTGACCAACCTTACGGCAGCATGTTTTGGAAATACCCCGCGTAAGTCTGTCCTTATATTGGTTCCACGGCAGTTGAGCTACCTGGACTGACACACTTAGCTTGTCCTCCGGCTTTGACTTCCCGGTGCCATGGCGCAACATGCTAGAGAACATCTACCTCAACTTCCGCTTCATCTATGCCGTCATGTTGACACCAAACCTATCAGCTAAGAAGGCTGAACTGAGGACCAGAGGCCTCAAGGACCCCATCAATTTCCTCAAGATGCACCGCCCTGATGTTCCGTGGATCACGATGAACACCGAGGGCGCGTCTATTCCCGTCGATGTGGTGCCTACCAACGTCACCTGCGCTGGGCCAATTTTGCTCTCCGTTGCGCCGGCCAGCGAGCAAGATCCAGAATTAGCCGAATGGGTCGGTCGGGGCCCTACAGTCTTGATCAATCTCGGCAGTGGTTTTGCGGTAAGCTGACCCCAAGCACCACCATGGGTTCCTACTACCTTTACTTGGAAGGCACCTTTACAGATACACGGCTAACCAGTTGTGTCAATAGTACGCGATCAACCACGTCCGCCCCATGGTTGGAGCGGTTGTTGATGTGCTTACCAAGACTGACGTCCAAGTCCTTTGGAAGTTCAACAAATACGGCGAATACTCAGACGATGAACTAGCTCCCTTGAAACCGTTTCTCGACAGTGGACGGCTTCGACTGTCCAACTGGCTTCCTATTGATGTCCTGTCTTTGCTGGAGACAGGTGACATTGTCGCCTCTGTGCATCACGGCGGTTCCAACTGCTTTCACGAGGCTGTCAAGTGAGTCGCATTTCCCTGATTTTGAACAACTCCATCTGACCGTGTGTAGCGCTGGTGTCCCTCATGTCATTCTTCCTCTCTGGGTCGACCTGTACAACTTTGCCGCCCTCTCCGAAACCGCCGGCATCGGAGTCTGGGGTTGCCGGGACACAAGCCCAAACTGGACGGCTGACGGAATCAGCAGCGCGATCATCAAAGTTGTCGATGGTGGAGAGGCAAGCATCTCCCTCCGCGAGAAGGCCAAAACTTTGGGCGACAAGCTGAGGGCAGGCGAGAAGGGACGCGACATATCTGCGAGGGAGATTGCGAAGCTTGCCTATGTGAAGTGAAAGTAGGGAACTCGGTAAGCTCGTCGACGGGCTTTAGGGCATGAAAAATCTGACGGCTTGGAGGATGATCTATGATTGATACGGGACCTTGCATACTAACCACTAAACTACGGGAAATTCTCGACTATTTTCAGTCGCTGTAGCAGATTAGATCTAGAATTGATAGACGCGCTGGCTTAAAGATCGGATTATTCTATATGGATAAATAAACACACCTAGGCAACGACCAGACAGGACGCTGTGGTTAGCTCTTAGCCGTCGCGACCATTCTCTTATTCAGCTTTGATCCCGCAAGCAGCCAGCCAGATCCCGAGGAAAACTGTGAGTTAGGTCCACCCTAGCTCATGAGTGGAAATTTTCAGCTTCACCATGCCAGGACCTAACCAATCGGTTGTTAAAAAAAGAGGGACTGCAAGGCCACCTCGACATAATTACGTGGCAGTCAGTCACATAATAGTGCTTCCCGGTGTGTCATAAAATAAGCAGACAACATTGTGCCTAATAGCTACATAATAATATATTATTGTTATTATCAGGGATTGTCTATTCAAACCATAATCTGTATCTAGAGAGTGGTGATGAATAATACACCTTTCATACTTGTTGTTCTCATGCCCACCTACCGCCTAATTTAGTATCTCAATTATTCACCAAGATAGGCACTCAGCTTATATTCATATTACCCCAAACCTTGCCACTTGAGCTTGCTGTTGGCGTATCGAAGCTTAGTAAAAAAATTCACACGCTGTTGTGATTATATGATGGGGATGGTGTGGTGGATGGTGCGATCAAAAATGAATGTCCGCAGTGAGGTTCGAACTCACGACCTTCGGATGGCTAACTCTGGGAGTTAATCACACAGATTACTGTATGAGACCGACGCTTTAACCAACTAAGCCATGCAGACAAAGGAAGTTGTTAGTAATCGTGCTAGAGTTTGATTATATATAAGCTTGTCAAGCCAAAGATGTCTCCCGAACCGATGATCGCCTCGAAACCTCAGCACAGGAGTATCTGTCCTGCGGAACTTCTTGTAGAATACAAATATAACTAGAAATATCACTGTTGAATAGCTGTACTAGTAAGTAGATTACGCTTTGCATGCATAATGAGCCGTGTGGTTGTATATACGGAGTCTGATATAGGTGAGAACGGGACATGGTCATTCTAAACCGCGATTGCCGATGCTCAGAAACTAAACATTGAGATGACCCAAAGAAATTACTAGAATGTTAGGACCTTGGGCGCGGTACTCGGAAACTCGCTTCTGTCGAATCCGTCTGGCCTCCCCAGCCACTGAAGTGGTAATGACGGCATGACCAAAAAGTAACGACTTCAATCGGTGCCAAACCTCCGGAAACTTTCTAGTTTTGAAACAGACTCCGTACATAGCTTAGATATCCATCGTTTCATGGTCATTTGGTGCATATTTGGCATTGAAGCCCGCTTCGTCCAATTCGTCCGGTGCAGTGTACTCCGTTGCCGGCCGTCGATTTCCTCTCGAGGAAAAGTTGACCAAGCGATTTGCCAGGATACAACATGGGCCATATAATGAGGAAAGCAAGACAAACGAAAAAAGAGTCGTATACGCAATTGACAACGTGTATACGGTGATCTTCAAATACGCAAGCGTGTCTCCCAAAGACTGTGTAATATAAACGATCGTTTTCGACTTGGTTGCTTCTCCGACATGCCACAAAATAGATGCATGATAATGTATGGCGACAATGCTGTAGAATAAGTCTCTCAACTATCGAAAAAATGAACTTAGTTGGTTTGGATTGTTCGCCTGGCTCATAACTCACCTTCTGGAAAATGCCTTTTCCGCTTTTGAAGCAGCAGAAAATAAGTAACACAGTCGAGACAACAAAGAGGCCGATAATGCAAATTTTGACCGGAGTATCCATCAATCCAAAAAGGGGCATGGGCTGCCAATAGTCAAGAGCAAAGTGTTGTGCTGTGAACGTGTGGTTGAAAATGGCCAATTGAAATTTGACGACGACTAAGAACGCGATCGACATGACGAGACACGAAGAATCTGAAACGATTAACTGCATCACGAGAAGCGAAATAAGCAAAGACGAAGTGCATGAAGATCCTAGTAGGTGAATCTTCCTGAACAAAGGCTCGGCACATCGAAGTGATTTTGGCTACTGGGAACCCTTCCCAAAGCCAAGCATAACTTTCAAGCACAAGGCTACTGTGGCTCAACCAAAGAGCAACCGAGCTGTGGTGCTAACACGTTAGCGATCGATTCTTTTACCCGTGAATTTTCTGCGGACAACGCAAGGGAGTCGGAGATCATCATACAGGCCGCGCTGGAGCTCAACCATGTTGGAGTGAAGCTGACCCCAACATGTGCGATTGCATGGAGACGCGCCATGGCCAACAGATATCAGGGTGGTGATGGTACGGTAAGCTCTATACAGAGCAAAAAAGAAATAGTACCAAAAAGTCAGGATCCCAATAAAGTAGAAGACTGGGTCAGTCGACATGGCTCTGGTTGGAGAACAATCAAGAGTACTGGATGATGAGAAAGCGGTGACAGGTTAAATGGCCAAAAAGGCAGAGCTTCTTGGGGCCTTAACTAGTTAAAATAAAACAGCCGGGGTCTACTGAGCCACCGGCTAAAATTAGCAGGACAGACAGGGGATTGAAGATGCTACCTTTGGAACGGGCTTCCTGAAATGGCAGTCTCCGGCTGACTTTGCTATTCCATACATCCCACTTGCTTCGAGATGCTGCAACTTCCAGCGAACGGGACAGTCTAGCCACTACAACATCTGATACAAATGAGATGCAACATCATATCATGTGTTAACTTTGCCCAATGGATCAATTTCTTCCAGACAAAGCTACTGCCACTTTCGAAGTGGCATCTAGTGCGAACGCAGCTACACCGGGTACCCGAAGAATTAGAATGGCTTGGGGAAAGACGCAACGATCCAATCCTGGGAAGTGCGAGGAAAACAAAAGAAATACAAATTTTCATGCTAGTTATATATTGTGCGAGCCCTTGCTCTATTTTTGCAAGCCTGCTGAAGAACATGAGCTGGGGAGAGAGCGTTCTTGGTGGTGGAATCCACAAAACGACCTGCGGAGGCCACTTCCAGTACACGGGGGATCCAAATGCTACAGTACAAAGACCTCTGTGACTTTTCGCAGATGTTGAAAACATATTTTCTTACACTCGCCTACGTGCTCCAATGAGATGTCTGAAGCTCTGCGCTTCACGCTCAGTATTGCAGTTGTTAAAATCCAGGGGCTTCTATCAACCATTAAGACTGTCTCCACCAGCATGAATACGGACGTACGTTAATAAATGCGGTTACGAAACGCGCGCCTTACCAATTTAAATGCGAACCACCAACTTTTGGTTGTTCTATATGATGTACATGGTCCGGGATGCCACTAAGCGCTGGGGGAGGCAACGGCTAGGATTCCTGGGGCGACATTCCTGGATCTGTATATGGCCCTGAATCAGACACAAGCAGACATTTCTCTGGCCCCCCTGGCCCTCCCATAAGGATGTCCATGAAATCGCTAATTCAAGCAGGATGCTGCGGCGCCATGGAGACAAATGGGTATGTTGGTGGATTAGCGTGCTGGTAGTGGAGGTCGGATGAGGTTGGGCTTCACCGAGTGATGGTCATGCCATCCCTAGGACTCGAACGCAGTCATCTTAAGCGGTAGCGGTGTACTACTCATCTTCGCTTGTGTTAAAACAGATATCGCTTGCAACGTTCGGTCCAGTACGCGTAAAACTACCCACGATAAGTCGTAAACGAGTAGAGGTGAGTCACTCCTTAAAACTGGTGCCGATTCTCAAGTATAATGGAAACAGGAGTACTCTCTTTTGTGGCAGGCATCATGTCTCTTTCCGACATTATCTAACGAATCATAGAGGCTGGCCCCATAGGTTGAGTGCTCAGTGCTGTGAGAGGAAGATGTCATGGGCCTGAAGAAAGGACGCATTAAAACGCCACTCTCAGCCTGTTGCAAACTTGAACCTTATAGACCTGATGTCCTGTAAATGACGAAATAGCAGTACAACATAGTGATAGCCTCTGTAATTGTTTTTTTTTTTCCAATACTCTATGAATTGTCGGGCATTGATGTTCTCTTGATTCAAGCATTTTCAGCTTGTGCGAAAAGACATCTTCGGCATAGCGCCATGAGAAGGCCCCTGCTCTTGTGCTATTATTAGTTCGAAACGGCAGATAAGGATATAGTCACGTGCCAGAAACAGTCAAACTGCCCTTCAGGATGGCTATTCTTACCCTATACTCAGAGCCATACGTCGCTCGTATGTAGTACGCCTGACTCTAGATTAGATACTATCCGAGTTGCTATGTAAAAAAAGGAGATATGGATCAATATTTCTCAATATCTGCCCGAAAATATGGGAAATGAACATAGACAGTCAGATGGGGTTCAAGTTATGTTGGAGTTTACAAGCGAAATGGAGGAAAATGATGATAACTTTGATATGCCAGCAACGTAGTTTTGAGCACAAACTCCACTTTGTTGGAATTCGACTCGCGCAGATGGCATGGAGTTCTTCCAAAGTAAGCCTAGGAAAGTCATCAAGTCAAATATCCATGTACCAGGAGTGTAGCTTAATTACATACGGAAATCATGTCACGGCACTCATCTGACAGCTAATTCGAGCACACAAACCGACGCTCCACATGGCCAAACCTGAGCAGAGGGCTGTGTGTGATGACTAAGTCTAGAAAAACTTGCCTCGCCGTCGCCATGGTCCAAGTTTTCCCACCTGATGTCTGTTTTCCCATCTGATGCCCTCAAGGCATCTCATCAACGCGGCTTGCCACAGCTGCCGGCCAATGTTTTTCAGGTGTGCAGGGGGAACCGCCTCTGTCAGAAGCGCGCCCGCTAATCTTAGATTGGTATTTTGACAAAGACCCAAAAGCACGAATCAAGAGGCTTTACACGAACGACCACCAACAGAGGATCAGTGCATGGTGCCATGGTGGCCTTAGAGGACGCGGCATCATGCCGTATGTATCACCAACGATGTCAGCTCCAAAAACTTAGGTCCAATTCGGGAAATATGGCAACTTGGTTGGTGAGTGGGGGAGGCGGGAAATAAAATTAAATACCAATGCGATTTTACTCCACAGATGGGACAGAGATCTAGCAACGGGAGGGACCCATGTGAAGGAGCTCGGCTCACCGGTCGGGTTTGAAAATTTCGGTCCCTTGCACACGCGCACTCAGCCGTCTTCATTTACCCCAAGGAGAGTAGGGAGTGGTTGAAGGATTTCTTTGTTTCTCAGAGAGAAGACTTTGAAGCGACTGCCGTGGAATCTAAAAATACGCAATTACGTTGGTAAGCCAAGAGATCCAGCTGGTCTATTTGTGGCGGGGAGGTGGGATAAGCCGCAGGAGGGATGCTGCAGTGCTACTCTGTACGGTTGTCGGCACTACTGGCACCCAGTTGGGACACGACTTGGCTTCTTAGGCCAACGGGGGCTTTGAAACGTGCCCAGCGTGAGCTGTTGGTCGGGACAGTGGCATGGGTCGGCAACTTGAAGGCCGGACAGGGGGCAGGGTCTTGGAGTCATTGGGCTGAAGGAGGGAGGATATGCCGTCAGGGCTCTCAACCACTTGAGATACAAAATCAAACTCTATTCACGACCCCTGGAGCAATTCATGTCCATTGTCGTGTAAAATTTCAGGGAGATGAGTGGTAGTCCTGGCATCGATAGAGCATTCGGCTGGTCGGTGCTCTGGATACTGTAACCTAGTGTAGGCCAGCACGTTTTTTTATTTCCCTAAGTTCTTAATCCTCGACAGATGGTCGTGCCTGGATGGGGCCGTGCACTGCCCAGGCATGAAATAGTTGGTTGCTAGTCTGCCCTGTTGGTGATCAGTCAAGTGTCCGAGCAAGGATAAGTGCATCTTGCCTGGCATGATTTTCTCGGTTTCGGCAACATGCTCCCTTTAGCAAATCTCGCCAAGGGTGGATCTGACATTCAGTACAGGGCTGAACAACCCCGTAGTGTATGTTATCTGCCGTTGGCCGTCTGTAATAAGCATCCAAAACACTAGTTGGTCACTGCGCCGCCTTGTGGCCATGTAAGCGACGGCCTGACATGGCCTCAGCTTGGCCGCAAGATTCGGTCCCTATGAATTCTCTGTCGGTGAGATGGAGTTACATGCCGCATGGCCACATAACCTTGATGGATTCGGATTCTGAGTCTATATAAAGGAGCTTGAACCGCACAGACGATGGGATCCAGACTCTCAACACTCATCAGCACTCTTCCTTTCCTAGATTCTCTCACTTTTCCTTGGCTTTCTCTTCGTCAGCTCCTCTTTTCAACCATCTCTTCGTTTCTTAGTTTCTTCTCTCGAGTAATTTTCCTTGGGCTCGTGAGACACATCACTCCAACAAACGAAAAACCACCTTTCCTAGGCTTGACTCACTCAAATCAGTCAAGATGGTTCGCCCACTCATCCAAGGTTTCGATGGCGAGTATTACCAGAGCTTCGGTAAAAACGCCAACTGTACCTTAGAGGTTTGCCCTATTGAGGCCACCATCTACAAGTACAATCCATCCAAGCCTGTTAACACTGCACTCACTGTCATCTTCGGTCTGATCATGATCGGTCACATCTACCTCGGTGTTCGATGGAAGACATGGGGTTACATGGTCAGCATGATCCTTGGCTGCCTTCTCGAGATTGCTGGCTATGCTTGCCGAATCGCCTTGCACAAGAACCCTTTCAAGTTCTTGCCTTTCGTCGTTCAGACTGTTGCCTTGACCATCGCTCCCATCTTTTATACCGCCGGAATCTACGTCACTCTTTCCGCAAGCATTTCCCACTTTGCCCCTGATCTAACTCGCGTCAAGCCTGTTGTCTGGGTCTGGATTTTCCTTCCTGCCGACATCATCTGCCTCATTCTCCAAGCTGCCGGTGGTGCCATCTCTGTCACAGGCTCCGGTGATAATTCCGCTGAGGTTGGCAACAAAATCAGCCAGGCGGGCTTATCCCTCCAGCTTATTGTCCTTGTTGGATTCATGGCTGCGTTTGGTGACTTCTTCGTTCGCTTCTTCCGCGCCGGCCGCCTGCCCCAGATCGAATGGCGTCTGAAGGCCTTCGTCGCCGGTATCACTCTCTCAGTCATTTTCATTCTCGCCCGTTGTGCCTTCCGTGTGTACGAGCTCAAGGAGGGCTACAGCGGCGCTGCCATCACCCACGAAGTTCCCTTCATCATCATGGAGGGTGTCTTCATGATCATTGGCGCCGTGTTTCTCTACATCGGACACCCCGGTCTTGCTCTCAAGCCCGGCGAGTCTGCCGTCGATACTGCCCAGTACCCTGGCAAGGCCTCCGGCTCCGATACTGAGGATTCCGCTTTCCCAAGGTCCAAGGCCTGATTGGGGCCAGGGAAATGTCAATTGACCAGCGCATCTGCCGAAAGCAGCTTGCGCTGATCCAAAAAGCGCCCTACTTTCACCCAGACGCCTCTCGTCAGTTGTGAACGTCGCAGGTGGACTACCCTGTCTAGAACAAGCTCCGGGAGCGTTAAATATGACACCTCGACAGGTTTTAGTTTGCCTGTATTAATGATCTGCATTTCTACATTAGTTTTCCATTTTTAGTTTGTCATTTCAATATATCATTTGTTTTTATTCTCAAGCTTATGACGGCATAATGATCCAGTGACTTTGGAATAGATCGTCGAACTTGTATGTTGTAGCCAGTTGGAACACGTCGACGTCCATCGGTAGTGTGAGCCCTATTTGCTGTTCGCACTTGATCTGTTCGCATTTGGTCGGCCAGATGGAATACCATTAATATTGTGAGCACTCAAGTTAAAGTCTCTAACAAATTCAGATGTGATAGAGCTCTTGGGTCTGGGCACGAGGCATCACCACTTTTAATACTCCATCTTGTCAGCTGCGGAACTCTCTCTTCAAGTTCTTGGTTGATAATTTTTCTTCTACGAGCAAGTAGAGATATCTATGTAGGCATAAGATAGCATCGGAGTGGAAAGTAATATTTTCAAATTGAGCCGCAATGATATTTACATACGTTGACCCTAACCCCCATTCCAGAACAAATAATAACCCAACGCCAGTTGAATAACCAAAAGAAACTAGGAGAAGATGAAAACGTGACTGGAGCAAAGTTTTATACAGAGGACGAACATTCGCTAACCACTGGTCCCAGTCACCCAGCCGTCTCCCAGTGCCGAAATATACGAAGCCGTTGCCTTCCCCTGTATGTTGAGTGCCCAGATTTTCAATGCGGTGACAATCACCATGATAGCCCACCGATCGCCGAGAGATGAGTAAAACTGTAGGATGAAGGGCAGGGTCATGGTCCTGCCATCGTGGAACGCGATTGTTGCAACCACTTCTGGTTGCCGGAAGACGCCACCGCTACCCATACGAACGAGTCTGAAGCCGGATTCGAATTGTGGAGGAAGGATGCTTGTCTCATGGCTGGTTTCAATTTTACGCCATTCAAAAAATTCTCGCCTTAGATCATGGGCGTATCCAACATCGACGGAAAATTGAAAGGTGGCGGTCTCGCGGTCGACTGCTGCGCGCAAATTTTCCACGCTGGCTTGATGGGTTCCAGGGAGTGGAGGCATTTGGATCACACTATTGAGAGCGTTGTGCGTCGAGCCAATCTCATCAGCAGCTTTGGCCAGGACTGGGTGTTTGTTTGTTGGGCCACAGTGGAGAGTGACGCCAGGCGGGCTGCAACCCCATCCTGACTGGACGCTGACAGCATACAATGGATGGTCAGATGTCTCTCCTAGATGGAATGTGCCGGTGAGGAGCTTACGCTGGTAGAAGCCTTGGAGAACCGGAGGTATGGGATGTTGTAGCGTGGAGGCCGGCCGAGCCTCAACCTTGCCATGGAGGATGTTAAGTTTATGGGACAAGTGCATGGCGCCAAGTGGGATGGATTTTCGATCTACAGAGGGACGGAATGGACCAGAGAACGCTATGCTGTTGATTCATCAGGGATACCATATCTATTGCTCTGATGTTGTTATATAATACCCATGCCAAGAGGATCAGCAGGCGAATACGCGGACACTGACGCTACTGCCGACGATCATCAACACAAACGTACAGCACCGCCTCTGTTATTAATGCGAGGCGAGCGAGCCAATGGCCAGGGGCGAGGCAGCTCGTCTGCGCCACACTGATGATGATTGCACTTGGTTTGTTTACAAGCCACTGCAGTCGCGGATAATAATTGGGTTTCCAAAGCCGCTCGTGTGGCGCTGACTTGGTGGTGTCCTGTATGAAGCTGATCCGCATTTACAACAGCATTTGCGTGGGACTGAACATGTCTTCACCGTACACCAGGGACAATCCAGGGAAACCGAACTGTTAATTTCAGAGTCTGTTCTGGTGCTATACTAATGGATACTATGCCAATAATGGATATAATGGATCGATAGTGGCCGCCTGATGGTAAACTGTTCTCTGTGTATTGGAAGCATGCCTCTATCCAGAAGACAACTACTAATACTCTTCGAAGCAATACCATCCCCTTCCTTTAGGCAGCCTTCGTTGGCGACAGCGAAACAAGCCTGCCAATTCCAGTAAACTCTGCCGCTTCATCCAATGCATTCTTCCAGTCCTCCAGCGGATACGTCTTTATGTCCGCGAAATCCTCTCCCCTTGGGAAGCGTCCGCCGTGCAGCATCTTGCTAAAAAGCAGCATATCCTCTCTTTCATACATTAGTTTCCCCTTGAGAGTGATGTTCTTGCTGATAAAACTCCACGAGTCTATCGGCAGCTCTGTGCCGACAAAGCCCATCAGACTCGCTCGCCCATTGCGCCGCAGGCAGGACAAGGCACTCTTCAGATGAGTCGACTTTGCCGCGACAGCCATGGGCGGCGAGAAGTCCAGGACCGCGTCGACGGGACCAAACGCCTGCAGGGAGGCAGTGTCGGCAGCCTGGTCACCCGAGATTCTGACAGTCTCGATCCTGGCGGACGGAGTGCCCTTTTTCACGTGTGCTTTCAACCTTGCCAACTCTGCCTCGTTGCGGCCCATGGCAATCACTGTCGCGCCCATGGCGACGGCCGTCTGAACAGCTGCACCTCCATATGGGCCGGTGGCCGGGCTGATGATGACTGTCTCCCCGGGTTGGAGATTGATGTCGCGGAATCCGCCGAATGGAACAATGAGCCAGCCGATGTACATCAACTGCTCTACTGTATATCCCAGCTCTCCGCATAGTCGTGCCTCGTCCAGTGGAATGCAGTTTTCCAGAGGTGCCGACAGGTATTCAGCGAATGGCCCGTTTCGCCAAACGTCTCTACATAGCTTCTGGCTGCCCTCGGTTCCGCCGTGGTGAATGGCCGTGAGAAAGCGGTGATCAGGGTCATCGCGGCCGTATATGACACAGTCCGCGTAGACCAACTGACCAACCTTCAAGGACGTAGCGTCTGGTCCCAAAGCAACGACGCGGCCGATGGAACTACACCCGCCCACGATAGGCTTGGGGAAGTCGTATTTGCGAACTCCGTTGTAGATCTCGTGGTGGTAGGACAGAATCCCTGCCTGCTCTACTTTGATGACGGCGCTGCCATGAATGGGCTGGGGGGTTGGAAGCTGTTTGATTTGAAAGCCAGCACCAACGGTTTCAAGAACCAGAGCGCGGTGCTGGGACGGGAGGGTGTCTTGGGAGGACATTTTGATATGTAGAAATTTCGATAGAGGTAATCAGGAACTGTAATATTTATTTGGGGTGTTGGGAAATAGCAATTGTTGGTCGAAACAGCGAGACTTTGAGCTGCTCTTATATAGATATACAACTGTGGGCGATTTTGGTTCAACGATTTCAGATTATTCCTTTATAGCATGACTATGATGATCACGACAATTCAATACACCGATAGGCCCTCGGAGTAGTTGTGATTTCGAGTCAATCAACGACACAAGCGTTGAATATAGCGATACATCCGCGGTGATAAGACACTGTCAATTTGTGCTGATGAACCCGCGGACTACTCCGGAAACGACTGTGCCCACGGTCAAATTATGTGAGAAGAATACACACGTCGTGGCGAACATCCAAAGCTCTTATATCCAATCATCGCGGTTAATTGTATACTCTCTAGTCTCCTTAGCTGTCATAGACTACCAAAAAGAATGACCAACCGTCCCATGTGCCATGAGGTCATCGAATCGCCAAATATCATCGAAATCCAAGAACTCCAAGTTTTCTCCGGGGTGCAGAAAGTCGCCGGAGTTACCGGTCGGTCCAGTATCCAGTGGCTGTAAGCCGGAGGAGCTTTCGAGTAGTGAGTAGGACGACTCTAGGCTTGCTTTCCCGTGCTGTGCCATGCTCTGCTGCAGTGCGATTCCTGTCTCCGCCCCTTCAGCCTGCCCTAATATCATGCATATCTTCATATGTAACTTCATACTTGTGTCACACAACTGAACCCTCTGCTCCCATTGCCGACGTGTCTCCTCAACCCCGCTCATCAGCATTTTTCTGTAGCTACAAGGCTCCTCTGGAGGCTGACTCCCGTCATGCTCGTCTATCTCTGCCAACAGTTCCATTAATAGTGTCAGCGTGACATGGATCAGGCGATGCTTAAATATCCCTCCACCAAGCATGCAGAGATGGGAAAATCCTTCATCTCCAGGTGGCGAGAGCAGGGCCATTGCCACATCGAGGCTCTGCTTCCTTGACGAGAAGAAGAGTGCGCTTTTACGAGCTCGGTCTACCCAGGGACGATGTAGAGGGATTAGAAAGCGACGGAGGAGAAGATCCCCCATATTCCGTCTAAACACTTCCCCGCCGTCAGAGACAGTCCTTCTTGTAAGGGTGACACAACGACGACAAGCGTCCATGATTACGGAATTTAACTTCATGACCTCTTCATAATCTACTTCCTTGCGAGCGCTGTTCATGCAGCGAACTATCTCGACTCGTGGTCTCAGAACGGAAAGAATGTGGCGTTGCAGTGATGCATCTGTCACCGTGTCGTCAGGGCGTTGTTCTAGTTTATATACTTCGTCGTGTAGGTCTTCGTCGTTGCAATTCGATGGTGGCTCCGTATCAAAATCGTCAGAGGCAATTCCAGGCAGAGAGCCTGCATCCAGGGCTGCTTGTACATTCATCTCCAGGATCGTGGCCCACAATCTCCTCCGAATTTCAGCATGCCTAGTACAAAATCCGCCGTCAGCACGCCGAGAGCCTATCATTACTCACGACCAGGGGCGTTTGCTTACAACACCGTTATATTCTCAAAATGCCGAGGATCCCGATGAAGACCCATATGCATCGCTGTTCGGACAACTGTGCCCATCGTCACCCAAACCAGATCGCCACCTACGTTGAGAACTTGTCGGGCAAGAATCAACAAGCACTGGATCTGCAACCCGCTGATACTAATCCTGTTCTTCTCCCACGGCCCGAAGATCCATCTCTGTGCGTCATGTACTGTCTGAGCTGCTGCTGACCGGACACCCTGCGTGCTATGCGCCTCGGGACACAGGCTGGATCCAATAGCTACAACTAGTTGGACTTTGATCCTGATAGCATCTGGCGTGCCTAGCGGGTTGCTCCAATACTGCCCGTACTCGCCCCAAAAGGAGGGTACGTGGACAATCCTAAAGACCGACTCAAACCGTGAAACGTAGAGCTGCGCCACCCGGTCTGCGACAGCCTTTGTGGGCAGGCTGACGTCGGGACTGGGGAAGTATTTACCGGGTTGGGACGACTTCAAACTCTTAGCGAGTGTTTTATACTTTAGTACAGTAGCCCGCATGTCTAACTTCAAGCGCCTGGTAATTTCATTCTCTGCAGCACAATCCGACTCCGCGTTGAGGAACGCGGATATGTTTCTAAACTGTCGTTTTTCTTTGTTTCAGTCGAGCCCTAGCCATCGGGAAACTTTGCAGCGTACAATGTGGCTCCCATCTGACCAGTGAGTCTTCCCATACAAGCTAGACTTCCGGAAGGAGAATGCATCTCCGTTGCAGGCGGGTGCAGAGTGGCTCGATGATGCCTCGTCTAGTTTCTCGAGGGCCCATGCCGGAGCAAATGAACGGGCCATTTGCTCCAGTGCGCAGAGTCGGCGTTCCAGCTCGGCTGGGTCTTGTTTCGTATTCGGTGTCGGGTCAGGCGAAGCTGGAATCGTTTTCTCGCCGTTATGATTCTCGTTTGTTTCCGGTGTTGGATGCCCGGCGCCTGGTTGTTGCACAGTGCCATCACGGGAACTGTTCGTGGTGAGCGGCGTAACTGATCGCCGACCGCTCGCTCTGGCACTAGCCGATGGAGTCTTGGGACTATAGAGGCATGGTATCTTCCACAGTATGCAGTGACAACATGGGTCTTTACGATCGCACTTGACTTTCCGCCGGCGGCATTCGATACAAGAAAGGGGGGGCCGTCGACGTTGGCGCCGAGGTTGGCTGGAAGGCTGGTTTCGAGGGGGCATCCCGATCTAGATAGAATATCCAATAATAAAATTATAATTAACAATGATTCAGATTCGGCTCGATATTTGTGGGAAATGCCAGGCCACGGACGGGAGCGTGTCGGCTTAATAGTTAGTTCACTTCCGCGGCTCTAAGCGAGCATTATCTCCGCCATGTTCCAAAGTCCGGGGTACGGCAACCTGAATACATAAACGCCGCTCGGTGCCGGACAAATTTCCATAAATTCCAGCTTAGTAAAGTTCTAGACTGCACAAGTCCGCGGGCGAACGTGATTATCGTATCTCGGGGCCTGGATCTTTTCTCGGCGTCCCGAGATGGCGATGTATCCCAGTGTTGAATTGTTTGGACGGAAACTCCGTAACACCCATTTCTATCGTTAAGTAGCCATCGAGCGGCCCGGTAGGCCCATGGCCAGCGGCACTCCGGTCGAACGAACTCCGGAAGGTCCGGCCAGCACCGTCTGTAAATGAAAAAGCATTTTCCCCATTCGGCCAAGCGAAGGGGGTAAGAACAGCGAACAGCGCAACTTGCCCGAAGCTCACGCATAACACCGAATCCGAGATCACGATCTTGGCGCGATGCATTTAGAATGGATGGAGGGACACTTGGAAATCAAACGCATTCTGTTGCACCGATGTCTTGAAAGTGTCGCTACCATGCAAATGCGCGCAGCTCAGACATATATGATGGAGAGTCCACGCAGGAAGTGTAGCTTTCTCCCCGTCCTTCTATACTGTCCTCTGAAAGATCACTCTGCACTTCTTGATTTCTCAACAAGGCGATTTTCACATTCTGGTGAATTAGTAGAAAGGTTGATTGGACTCCCTATATAATTCGTATAATTGGCATTGTAATCAAACTGTCAGCCCCGGACCTCTCAAGTCGCTTCCCATTAGCCGATGAGTAATTACCTACGCGTTTTGAACAAACAGTGCCCAATACGATATTCTACAGGCTGATAGCTCTGGACAACATCAACAACCTCGATTCTCCCAACCACTGTTTCCAAATGGTGGTCAGCGCTCAAATCTGTGATTCGCATACACCAGCAGCAGTCGACAGACAGTCCACGTAAGGCAACATTTGACCTTGTTTATCTTCCTCTCTTGGATGGGGCTAAAACTTATTCTCGCCAATTTGATTAGCGTTCTCACCCTTCGATCGCAAACTCCTGCCAGTTTCTTTATCATCAGCAGGGGGCTAGGCAGATCTGGCAAGTGTGTTCTCATTCCCCACACAATCCACGTAGCACCTGGACCTGTAAAACTGTTTTGGGTTGAGGGTGTGCCAATTAAGGAAATTTAACTGGCCATGATTTCAACGCCAGAGTAGTCACGCAGGTTCCGGCATCGGGCCCAGCCATTGCTCATCCAATGCGGAAAAGACCGGTCCCTGGGCTGAAGGTCTTTTAGCCTTGGAGGGAGCTACTCTGTAATGGCACAATAGTTACAGTTAAATCTGCAATCACCCCGCTCTCAAACGAGAATGTAGAAACGAATGTTTGGAGAACGATACATTCTGAAAGGCCACCCTCAAAACACTGGCACCATGGCACCATAACACATCAAAGCACTACGGAGGCCTCACGATCCTGTAAGGAACATCGCTGTTTGCCTCTTGTCAACCTATCTTGAGAAAGCACTCAGCAGTATGAATCTTGCGGAGTCCATAATGGGGTTTACCTCAAAGCTCCTGGCACCAGCCCGACCGGAAAAGCAAAGCACGACCCAGCAACCTATAAGTCTACAATGGGTGCTGCAAACCCCTACACCAACGCTGCTTGAAGGTGTCGAAGCATTCACCGGTGCCCCGGTTATTGGGGAGACCATACTCGACACCCGCGAAGCCCTCGACGTCAACAAACTTTGCACGACATTACACCTTCATCGCTACTATAAGAAACCCATCCACCCCAAGTGCTTCCACTGTGCTCATCACTACGCGGAGCTCAAACAATGGGTGTTTGTTGATACCCCTATGGCGTTGTCTAGTGGAAAACACTCTTTCGTGTTTTCTACACGCCTAGAAAATGACCTTCCATCATCATTGTGCACACCTTTGGTAGACTTCTCTTATGAGTTGTCTGTCGAACTGACATTGTGCGCTGGAACATCGGTCCGATGGAACAAAAGCTTTCCCGTCAGGCGTTCTCTCTGCAAGTCGGGCGACGTTCAAACTAATACATTTAGTTTCCCGGAAGCCAGGATGGACGCTGCCCTGCGAATGAAACAAGTTATTGAACCGAACAGCATAAACAGTGTATGGCTCTCTCTTTCTGCAATCAAGAACCACCCGGAAAGAGGAACATACATATGGGAACCTACCAAAGTGGAATGGAAATTGGAGGAAACAGTAGTAGCCACGTTAGGCATTTGCAGTAATCACTCCGAAGATCAGAAAAACGCACCTGACACTCAGAAGCAAACTGTTACTCACACTTTGGCAAAGGGTCGTATTCACAGTGGCTGGAAATCAAGCCAGGGTGCACAGGGCTTTTCGTCGACCTTGAAGTTTGAGTATGGCCCCATCTCAGAGGTGGCGACAAAACGCAAAACGACCTACGCATGCGACGAGGCGATCAATAATACCCTGGCTATTTCGCACGCCCTTATTGTGGAGATTTCACTGTCGGCCGTAACGATGTTGCTCGATGAAGCTGCGGGTTCGGTGGCATCTAACAGCTCCCGGAACATAAGACTGCGCCGGCCAGTTGTGATCACTGAACCCCGCAATGATCTGGAGAGTGTTGATGACGCACTGCCTAGATATTCAAATGAACAGCTTGATCTTCCTGCTTATGAAGAACCATAGCCCACAGTAATGGTAGCATATGGTATCGTTTCTAATGGCAGTACTGAATACGAGCGGCAGAGGCAGTACCAAGTAAGAAACAGCAATGGAAGATGACAGATTTGACATCTCAGCACAATGAATACGTGAAACTACTGAATATAGTGTCCATAGAACGTAAGAAACGGCCATTCTGACCATTATTATGCCTCTCGATGCTTGACTTGGGAATATTCTCAGCAAAGCCCTGCCCAAACTCTCAGGACCCTCTCTCCTCTACTCAAAAAAAAAATCTTGATCAATCACCAGATCCGCCACTGTAGAAATTTCCGAAGGGTTATAAGTTAAGGACCGGGGCGAGATCCTCCTTGATGTTAGGCTAGAAACTTTGGTTTGCTTGATTGTTAGGGAAGAGCTAGGGTAAAAGAGCCAAACCAATCCAATATGAGTTCACTTCGCAAACTCCTGCCTTTGATTTCTCGCTTATTCACTTGCCTAACCGCTCCGGGGCAGTTGACCCGAAGCCCGCCACACCCGCATTTAATCAAAGCCAATCGGGTTCCCATTGGTAATTACGTTTCATCCGGATGATGAGATGCGATGTCGGAACTTACAGGCAACCCGCCCTCGAAGCGCCGTCAACGTAGCATCTTCAAGCAACGACGCGGTAAAAGACCTGTCCATCAGTTATTACTGGGAAATGAGGGAAATATTGTTGCAACCTAAAACCCAGTGGAGCCAAATTTAATCCATGACATTCGATATCCTTCCTCTAGTCCTTCATGCGTCCGACCCTTGACTTCCCGCTTACCGTTTGACGAGTTCCGTCCAGAAGCGAGTGTAGATTACAAGTTGAGTAGACACATGAGAGTGAATATCAAATGGGATCCTCTAGTTCGAATAATCAGTAGGCGGATGGTAAAAGATGATTAAAGCATCTCTGGGCTGAATATCTTCAACCCAATTGGCATCAGCCGAGGATGCTGAGCCCAAATCCCCCCCCCCAAAAAAAAAATATCGATGTTCTTAACGTCGATCATCATATTATCTTGGAAGGACCTTGTCGGGAGAACAGCCCCAGACACACTCGCCCCCCATGAGTTCCCTGACGGTGACCTTGTGTAAACTATGTGCAATATTCCTACAAACCTTAAGCTTTTTGCGTTGGCGCCCCCATCCGCAAAAGGCGCGACGTATCGACTCACCCCAAATCAACGTATATTAAAGAGATGGAGTACAGCCTCTATCAAACTTAAATTTTTTTTCTAGGATAATCAAATTCATTTTGAGTGAAAAAGCTATAGCTACTATGAGTCCACTGAGAAAAGGGAGCCGTTTAGATACTTCAGCCCAGTGTCGCAAGCAACTGTGACCACTCTCTTTCCGGCACCCAACTCTTGAGCCAGCTCAACGGCGGCAGCAATATTCAGGCCCGATGAGGTCCCAACCAAAAGTCCTTCTTCCTTTGCTAGACGGCGGCACATGGCTCGGGCGTCCTGCTCGTCAACCGTGCGGGCCTCGTCGTATAGCTCACGGTCAACATGAGTCGAGATGAAACCCGGCGCAGTGCCATCGACACCATGCGGGCCACTTTGGCCCTTTGCCAGTAGGGCCGCAGATTCCGGCTCGAGCAAGATGACTCGAGTGTTTGGGTCGCGAGCCTTGATCACCTTGGACACGCCCATGGTCATGCCTGCTGTGCCAAACGCACCGCAAAACGCATCAAAACCCGTTGGAAATTGCTTGACCAACTCGTGGCCAATTTGAGCGTATCCAATGAGTGCATCCCGGTTGGCAAACTGGTCGGTATAGAGATACTCCTCTCGAGACCCAAGATCGGCAGCCCTCCGGTTCATAGATGCCATCAGATCCGGCGTTGTTTTCCCCGACGGGCTATGTGTGATGTCGAGCGTCGCACCAAAAGCACTCATTGTACGCAGTTTCTCGGGCGCAATCGAATCGGCCGCGAGGGCCAGAAACGGATACCGCTTGAGAGCGCAGATGAAGGCCAGTGATGCGCCTGTGCTGCCGCCTGTCGCTTCAACAACAGTCATGCCGGGTTTCAGGTCCCCACGGTGTTCCGCTTGCTCGATCATGGATTTTGCCATGCGATCTTTATATGACCCCGTCGGGTTGAAGCATTCTAGTTTAACGAAAACATCGGCGCTGTTCTCTGGGACTACACTCTTGAGCTGTATTACTGGTGTATTACCAATAATATCCAGCACAGAGGAAGAAATGGGAGAAGGATTCAAAGTCATCTTTGAAAGAAATGTGAAAGTCAGTGTATAGTGTTTAGACTCAGAAAGGAGGCACGTAGAATTGTGAGGACAGAACCCTTGAGAGCTACGGGTAGACTTTGTGAGAGAGTACTTATAGTTCGCGGTCGAAAACACGGAAGAAGTCGGCGAGTTGGGATCTGAAGCAAAAATTTCGGCATTGAGGCTAATGACTCAACAGTCCAGTGGTGCTTAACACGGATTAGTTATTTCAACCACATGCAGGTGTGCCAAATTAGACACAACCAGAGGCTAATCGGTTGGATGAAACTGTGGAGCTTGATCGCAAACTCTTGCCAACGTCCTCTTGGTGTTAGGTAATAGTGGCAGAGTCTACATAACGAAGCTAACGGCCCGCGGGATAGTTCTACCAGGCCTGCCTGAAGGAGTATGCCGTAAGTAGGGCCGGCCTGTAAAAGAGCAGTTCATCTACATATAATAAGTACTGGAGATTTCCCAAGACTCTTCTTTAGTTGGTCCAATAGTAACTTCTTCTAAGCAGATAAATAACACACCACCAGCATGGCGGCCTCAGACTCAGGAATGGCAAACCATGGCGATTCACTGCAATATTCGAAATGGTAGGCTATATAATTATGTGGAAAGACCCCATATGCTAACTTCAATACTAGGAGATACATATCGATTGTTCTCGCCTCGTTCATGATCAACTTCACGGCATGTGGTGTTCTCTTTGGCTTTGGTGTCTATCAAGAACACTATGAGACTATGGTCGCCGTCCCTAATACTCCCTTTACCGGCGCCTCTTCGGCTACTATCGATCTCATAGGGACTCTGTCGGCGTCGTTGATGACAATTGTGGCCCCTTTTGTCATGGCATGGACCAAATACTTCGGGCCTCGACCTGTCGTATGTGCTGGCGGGGTGCTCTTTGGTATTGCGTCTGTCTTGGCAAGCTTCGGCAAGGCTCTTTGGCATTTCCAGCTTGCACAAGGACTGCTGATGGGGCTTGCTACCGGCTTTTCGTTTGTGCCGTCTATGACTGTCGCCCCAACTTGGTTTGATAAACAACGAGGTTTGGCCATGGGCATAGTCTCCGCCGGAACCGGCATTGGCGGCCTGGTTTGGGCGCCTACAATTTCGGCCTGCATTAATACCTTGGGCTTTCGGAACACACTCCGGGTAACAGGGTGCGTTGCTGCTGTACTTATCGGTATCTCGGGGTCTGTTCTCGACTGGGAGTTGTCGATGGCGAAGCACCTCTCAACCCAGAATGAAACCCTTTCTCCAAGAACCGCCCTCTTCAAAATTCCGCTTCCCGGCTGGTCAATGGTGAGGCAGCGGCTTTTCATCATGCAGGCTGCTAGTACGCTATTCCAAAGTGCCGCCTACTATACTCCGGTCTTCTTCACCGTCATGTATACCAAGAGCCTGGGTTACAACGAAAGAGATGGCGCAAACTTGACGGCAGTCAGCAATGCATGCAATGCGATTGGCAAGATCGCCGTAGGATTTATTGCAGACAGGCTGGGCAGGCTTAATTCGTTCTTTCTCACGACTTTGCTCACTGCCTTTGTTTGTTTAGGGCTCTGGGTTCCCAGTACGCTGATTGGAATTTACGACGAGGCAATGGCTAGGAGTCTGTTTATCAGTTTTACCGTCCTATACGGATTGTTCGCTAGCGCATTTATCAGCTTGTTCCCAGCAGCTCTTATCGAGCTGTTTGGTGTTACGGAACTTCCGCGGATCGCGGGTATCATGTATATGTTGCAAGGGTTGGCTGCACTTGTAGGCACACCTGTCGCGGGCGTACTTGTTCCAGGACATGGTGTACCCAGAGATTCTAGCAGCTATACCCCTATGGCAGCACTAGTCGGTGCATTGATGGCTTCTGCTGCAGCCGCAGTAGCAGGAGTGAGGTTTGAAGTGATGAAGGGAACTGGTGAGGGAGCTTGGCAGTGGAAGTGGAAGTTGTAGTGCCTAATGCTAAACAACCAAGCAAATTACACCAGAGTCCTTACATTAGAAACGCAAATTTTCCACATATTGAATCTAAGCTTTACGCTGTTCTTGTCTCAGTCAAATAAAACGGAGGTGAAAGTTGCTGATCCTTGAGAACAGCAAAAAAACCCTAGATCTATCAGACAACAATATTTACGCTTGAAACAGAAAAAAGCGGATATACTTCTTCCTTTTTTTCCTTCTTTTTTTTCCAACACTGGGACCTCATGGTTATTCACGCCTTCATTCTGTCATGGAATAGATTTAATACTACTTTCATCTGGGGCTCTCTAGCGTACTAATAGGACGAGCTCTCTCGATCGTTCAAGGTTATCAAATAACCACTACAGCCTACTCTCAAACCCAACCCGACACTTCGTGTACTGTGACGCACACGCGAGACTGGTCCTGACTCGTGGGATAGAACTGCAAGGCCAGGCCCAAGCAGTTCGGTCGGAGCCAGTTGCCACCTCCAGGTCGGATCCGCCATCCAGGTCCAGACCATGGATGCCACACAGTCGGAAGGATCGAACAAGAGGTATCTTGTCGACAGCAGCACTGCTCGTTATCCCTGAAAGCGAGGGGCGACTGCATGCCATCTCTGCCACGTTCGCAAGACAAAGTGCGACAGTGCCCGTCCAGCCTGCGGGTTGTGCGTCCAGTACAAGGCCAAGTGCGTCTACGGCAGCTCGGCGGAGGCAAACATACCCTTTGATGCTGCCAGCGAGGAGATCTTGAGCCGCCTGAGTGCGATACAGTCGCTTCTTTCAAAAGCTGGCAACCCGGTGTCTCCGCTCACGGCTGGTGATACTCGCTATGACCAGACTTGGCCGACCCCTGATATACATCAAGGCTTCACTCTCAAAACACCATCGGCGCCGGCATTGGTGAGTGATACATTGAGGATGCAGGGATATTCCACGACGGTCTTGTCAGCGACGCGGTGCGAGACGTTACTGCGTTGGCCGGTATTTGAAGACGTGCTTTCTGCAAGGGACTCCAAGTCTGAGCCGTTCCTCCTCGATTGGGTCTCAGACCATGATGAGCTCCCTAGTCTTGAAGAGTCGGGGCATCAACCATCTTCAACGTCTGAAGCGTCGAATGCCTCGGAGGCGCTTACAGGGCAGCAGCAGGTTCATGCGGATGACTATGTGAATCTGTGCCACATATTCCTCTCTACCATACACAGGAGGAATCCGATTCTTGATGGCGATGGGCTGATAGAATCTGCTCATCATGTCATGGCGCACGGTCTGGGATGGGATACAAGAACCTGTCTAGTGGTGAGTTGTTTTCTTGGCGTGGATCCGAGACGACGGACTGGGCGCTGACATCGATGTAGCTCCTCGCTTCTGCTTTAGCACACTGTGGCTTGTCTCGTTCATTTGAAGGTAGAGTGCGGTCTGGTCAAGTCGGATCGGCCTCTGAGGGCATAGAAAAGAACTCGATAGCGGAGGCGTTTTACACAGAGGCAAGAAAGAGGCTCGGCTTCTTGAGATCTTCAATCACTGATATCCAGTGCTTGTTCCTCGCCTCCATGTACGAGAAGCTCATACTGAATATTATCAAGGCATGGGAATACATAAAAGATGCCTGCTCCCACCTCCAGACGTACCTGGCACGTTGCCGCCGGATGCCCCATAAGCAATCCGGTTATCTGGAGCCACGCATATTTTGGTCGTGTATGAAGGCAGAAAGGTTCGTCTAAAACCCTTCCTTCATTACGCATGCTTTATTCGCTCCTCTGTACCTAACGTGTTCGACATTGGGCCCTTTGGCTCGGAAATAGAAACTCCAGTCCTCGACAGACTTGCGAGCTCTGGTGTCAAATTGACCGACTTCAACACCGCATCGGCATGCTCACCGACAAGGTCCATGCTTTTCTCCGGCACCGATAATCACATAGCAGGTCTCGGCCAGATGGCAGAGTTCATGAAAGATGACAGCTATCATGGCAAGCCGGGTTACGAGGAATATCTGAACTTCCGAGTGGCCGCGCTGTCGGAGGTGCTACAGGACGCTGGCTATAACACGTTCATGTCTGGCAAGTGGTATGCAAGCCCAGTCATCCCACTATTGATTCCGTTGTTGATCGCCAGCCTCTAACATGGCGAAATGCCTTAGGCACTTGGGTCTGACAAAAAAAACCGCACCCTGCTCACGTGGCTTCGACGAAGCGTATGCGTTTCTGTACGGCTGCGGCAACCACTTCAACCATGAGCCTCAGCTAGACGACCCTGCCACTGATCAATTCGGACTAATATCTAGCGGCAATTTCTAGACGGAAAGCGGCCAGTTTCTCGGCCGGCGGCGCGATATTCTAGAACAATTTTACTCGAGTACGTCCTTTGCTGGCAAGTTGGTTGACTATCTCGACAGCCGGACGGACAAGGCGAAACCTTTTCTGGCATATCTGCCTGTTAATGCCACTAGACCACCGGTAAAAGTGTAAGCCTACACTACACCGTGGAATAGTTCATATTATATAGCTATTGGCACCAACACTGCCCTTTACCGCCCCATTGGCCCCTTCAAGCACCCAGACAAGTCATTGAAAAGTACAAGGGGGTCTACGATGAGGGACCCCATGGGCTAAGAAAGGAGCGTTTGAAGCGCCTCGTAGAACTGGGCATCATTCCAGGCAATGTTGAGCCTGCAGATATGACCGTGGGTGCAAAGCATGACTGGGAGCAGATGGACGCAGAAGAGCGCGCCACGTCGGCCAGGAAGATGGAGGTGTACGCTGCCATGGTCGATGTCATTGACCAGAGTATTGGTCGCGTGGTAGACTATCTCGAAAAGACTGGTGAAATCGACAACACCTTCATTCTCTTCATGTCAGACAACGGAGCTGAGGGTTCGAAACTGGAAGCCGTCCCTCTCATGGGTGGAGAGACGACAATGGGTAAAGTCATCGACAAGTACTACGACAACAGTTTCGACAACATTGGCATGAGGGAATCCTATTTGTGGTATGGCCCTGCGTGGGCTTGCGCCTCGATGGCGCCCTCGCGTGGCTTCAAGAGCTGGATCACTGAGGGAGGTATTCGATGCCCCTGCGTCGTGCGCTTTCCCACAGCCGTCAGCGTGACCCTCTCACAAACAGACTCCTTCTGCACCGTCATGGATATTATGCCTACGATATTGGATCTTGCTGGTATCCCCTCACCCAGAAGTCCGTTTCGGGGTCGTGAGATTGCCCCCATGCGCGGCTCATCCTGTTTTCCCCATCTCAGCGGACGATCTACCTCGTTCCCCGACGAGGAAAAGGAGATCACAAGCTGGGAGCTCTTAGGACTCCTTGCAATCCGCGAAGGGCCGTGGAAGGCGATTTACATGACCGCCCCCAGAGGCAGTGACCAGTGGAGTTGTACAACGTGATTCGCGACCCAGGCGAAGCCCATGACGTCTCCTTGGCAGAACCAGAAATTTTGAAGCGACTGATAGAACTCTGGGAGGTATACTACGCAGAAACAGGCATGTTTGACCCAGGGCAGAATTTCAGGATGGTGAAACATATATAAGTCATCAACCCGCGATTGAGAGGATTCCAACCACGACGTCAGAGTTGTTTACTCGAGAATAAAACAGGCAGGACTACAAGTATGGTTATCATGTAAAAGTTTCCTATATGGCGGGTACTTGGAAAGTTGCTGTACGGCTCAAACATTCGCTAGCCTCAATAATAGGCCAATTGTTTGATTACAAAGAAAAGTTATTTGGTGTTTACCAGGCCCCTATATATACAGTATGAAATTAATTCCCCCTATGTTCTTCTCGAGAGCCACAGCTACTCATAAATCAAAACTGTGCCCCGTTTCTTGGCTGTTCATGCCGGAATCGTATCACCACCCATCCGGTCTCCACGTACTGTTGGGCGAAACAGCAGTTACGACTCCGCCATCCAGCTCTACTCGAGGCACATCAGCCGCGATCTCGTGAAAGCCCGGTGAAGGATCCTGGAATGTCGGAGCTGGTAAAGAAAGGCTGTAACTCTTCTGCAGCATCGTCGTTGAAGGTGAGCTGACCAAATGTTCAGTGGGATCGCTTGGGTCGCTTGGAGATGTATGGCTGGTATGGCTAGATTGAAGATGACTCCTATGAGTAAGATGACTAGCAGGAGTAGCACTATGGGCGTGAGGCGAAGGATAGTGCTGGGGCGATGTCTCCTCAAGCTCTGCCTTCTCCGGGATATCTGTGTTTGGACGACGGCGAAAGAACCAGATGGCAAAGGCAACGAGGGCGATCAAAGCTACGCCGCCAACTGTGCCTCCAGCGATTGCGCCAACATTTGTACTGCTCCCTGTAGATTCCGTTGACTGGTTGCCGGAACTGTCCGTTGTGCTGTTTGTATTATTCTGATTACTGTCTGTGGTGTCTGAGCCTACGCAAGTCACCAGTTAGCACCCACAAAAAGATTCATGGCAATTATTAGTGGCTTACTCTTTGAAAACATTGCCTTGATAGAATCACTAGCCCATAGAGGCTGTTCCCGTGCGCTGAAAACATGTTAGAAATGAGAAAATATAAACCGGGCGGCATTTATCGTGCCGAAAAGGGGAATACTCACGCATCAGCGTACCACTCCTTTATGACATCCGGCGAGTCATACTCCGGGGCGCTCGCATTATAGTCGTTCTTCCACTTCAACTCGGTGAGATCCAAGATTCCGAGCCCATTTCCCCACGGATCCGGGTCGCTGAAGTTGAAGAAGCTTCGAGCGCCACCCACGGAAATCATTTGGTTCTTTCGTGTGACGCAGACATGGTGCAAACGAGCAGGCCCCTTGCTGAGTGCAGTTGGACAGACCCAGTGGAAGTCGGGGAGGGTGAGAATGCAAACGCTGCCTTGGGTGCCGCCTTTTCCATCACCACCATAGGCATAGCTGAAAAAGAAGTGTCAGTGACCAGAGGATCTCGCAGCGCCTTAGATATGATCACTAGGGATCAAAAAGCGGACTTACATCTCATATGTTCCATTTTTGCCCTTTGCTCCGACGGAGCAGAACTCAGACCTATGAGTTCCAGCTAGTCCAGTGGTGTTTTGTTCGTACCATTCATGGGTATTAACATCATACAAAGTCACCGTTGACAGCGCGTTCGGCTGTGTATCCCCCGTATCAGGGTTCGTGTAGCGGCCACCAAATAGCAAAACGACCGGCTTGGAGATCAAATCCTCAATGCACACGGCCTCGCCCATCTTGTGCGTTCCATATGGCTTCGGGTAGCTCGAGTTCTCATGCCTCGTCCAGACTTTGGTGTCGGGGTTATACTCGAGGACTCCTTTGGACAGCTTGTTGACCTGGACCTTGGCGTACGTCTTGTTGCTCACGCTACCGCCGAAGTAAAGATGCTTGCCACCGCAAGTCACCGGCGTACCACTCACTCCAGGCGGGTTATCCTCGTCTGCTGGTGTCTCGTACCACAAGTCACTATTCGAGGTGTCGTTCTTCAGGTACCACATGACAGGGTAATCTTTTGCGACCTGCGAATCGTCGGTTCGCTCACCTCCCCATCGGAAGATCTGACCCAACTTCTGGTTGGTCCAGAGAGCGAATATCTTGACACCCAACGTATTCTGCCCATAGCCGTGATATGATTTCTCCACATTGGTGTTGTTCCAATCGTTCTTCAAGGAGATGACCGTCGTGTTTAAAACTGCGCCTTCCTGTCAGCATCTTAATCCACCGCTTCCCAGGTCGTCTCTGTGATTCGTTATCTGACGTACCCGCTCTCGTGTTGTATTCTGTGCCCTCTGGCAGCGAGCCGTTGACATGATTCGACATGGATCCGCCATCGATGTAAAGATTATCGCCCAAGATTGCGGCTACATCACAGGAACGGTCAATTATCACCCGTCGAATCCGGATAGCGGTGTTTAAAAGGGCATACATACCGTTGTGCCAGAATCGCCTCTGATATATTGTGAGGTCTTCACCCGCGACTAGCCCTGCGGCGAGCCACAGGTAGGTAAGGAACGACAGTTGAAGCATGGTGATGGCCGTAGCCCGCTTCGCGATGAAACAGCTTCTCGTAGGAGGAGGTGGGAGGGATCAACAGCATTTGACGGCAGAGGACTGCATACTAAAGACGCGGGAGGTGGCCCATCCCTTACACGCCGCCAAGTCCCGCGCCCCCTGCTCGTTCAGGTGTTTTGTCGACACCACTCGGCATGAATCCTTTGCCTTTTTACATGGGCCAACTACGGATACAGTGGAGCCATTGGCGGCTTAAATGGACTTTGGGTTGTTTGATGGATCTGCTAAAGAATAGCCAGCCGTGGACATCTCAACATCCAACGGCCGAAATGCGCTCATCGAGGAATTCTCTGTCCCTGAGACCTCTGCCAACCATCCATCAAGTTGCATCAACTAGCCTAGACTCAATGCCCTGCAGTGTGAAGCTTATCGCAAAGAAGACTCGCGCCATGGCGCCACGGCCTGTCCATTCCGGGTGCAATGTCGGGCAGATACTTACTTAGGAAATGGCCGATTCACAACACGCATGTAACCGCGTGTAACAGGTTTGCGAAGCACCGTAACCCCTCCACATTCATCCAGTGCCCCGTCAATCCTTCGGACTGCCCCATTCTCTCCCGCCAGCCGCTCTTGGCGACGCGCTCACTGGCTCCTCGTCGAACCGAGCGCCCCTGAATACCCCGAAACGACAATCGCCGAACGGCATAGTTATATTTGGCGCAGGGATCATGTCACCTCGAATCCTGGGAGGCGTTCTTCATAGTACACCACCAAGAGCCGAAGTAGTTAGAGCGCATGTCCGGCTGTGCGCACATTTAACCAAACTGCCACCCTTCGTATTGTTTTTTCCCACCCGTCTCTGTTTCACCATTTGTCAATATTGCCTCTGAAGAGAGCAGCAAAAGCCTTGGCCGGTGGCGGGAAAACTGTCGGCCCGGATCGGTGTGGATGAGTTCTCTGTTGCATTCCAATCTTAAGTTCTGTACTTTGGTAATGAACGACTGATCCAATTTGCTTTCAAATGCGGACATCTCTCTTGCTTCCAGACCCACGAACATGTAAAAATAAGTGACCCAATCTCATGCCAGCCAAAATCAAATGCCAGACCAAAAATAAAAATAACACACCAGAAGTTCAGAACAAGTCCCGCACCATGCTGGGGGCCATCGCGTCATGAACGACAAACCATTTAACGGTCGCCTATTTGCACAGAATCCAGCCAATCATATTCATCTTGGAGACAAGGGATACGCACCGAAGCCTTGCAAGACGAGCTTGACAAATCATCCTATCCCCCAGGTCATACATCCACAATACAAGGTTGCTCGGCGATGGTTGAGAGTCCTTTACGAATTGGTAGTGACGCTTGCGCAAGCTCTATATAAATAAAGAAGCAATCGATTCTTCTGTTCTAAATTTAACACTGTGACGAACGATGCGGCTCTTTTCAACGATCCCGACCAGGCCAATTCCATATGTAAATTACTGACCCGGGCGAGTATTTCGAACAATCATAGAGGGATCTTATATAAAATACGATAATATCTATAGCATTGCCCCTTCTGAAGTGCATTGCTCTTGTGTAGATTCTAAGTGTGACTTTCAAAAGAGGAGCAGGTTGTCGAACGCTACGAAATGGTAGATTTGAGTAATAATTTATCCACAACATCAGTTCGCATTTACCAAAGCAAAGACCGCCCACTGTTCTTTATTATAATAGAGGCCCCGAATAACCGAGTTTGTTGGGGGCATGGTGCACTTTGAATTATAGGTAAAGTGTGGTGATTGTTGTTTGGCGGATATAGGGTAGGACCGGAGCACCAGCCGGTTATTGATGTCAATTCAGATACACGGTTGATTGACAGATACACATCGTTAGTCGGGCTATTACTAAGCATTCATAGGGATTGATTTAGTAATAAAAACTGTAGGAGCATCGCGTTGTCTTAAACCCAATAAGATGTGTATTATCTGAGCATTCTATGTAGCTTATGGATGTAAGAGAATTGAAGTTATCGCCAAAAGAAGACCAGACCCTTTATTCAACGAATCTATTAATGCGTAGACTCTGAAGGCAGTTCAGATATTGACATGTGTTATCCATCCATAGGGGTCAGTTGGTGTTGATAGATTCTATTTTCAGTTGGTTTCAAGGAAACTTCTATTGACGCGGCCCCGTTTATTTTTCGCTCTCCTTCGCATTGTCCTCTCTAGAATTGCCTTCCGAGAACTTATATAGCACTTACTCTTGTTAATCTCCTTATTAACTGCCTACCTACCTACCAGCTGTTCTCTACTTATCTTGAAACAGAGCTGCGGTGAAATCAAGGTGCCCCATGCGACACAATGGTGAATCCTCATAGACCCATTATTGGATAGTTGTTCTAGAACTTTTAGGTAAATCGATTGTGGCGGTGACAGCCAAAAAAAAAAAAAAAAAAAAAAAAAAAAACAAGAACATGCATAAGAATCGTTGGGACCAATTTTACTTATTGAATTATGAATTCAATAATATTAAGGTGATTAGTTTCAATTTCAGTTGCATACGTTCTTGGATCAGGTGAGTTTTGACAATCTTGCAGACACATATCTTCTCCTTCTTCAGCAAAGATTGCCCTGCAGGAGAGGATCACCAGTAGGATCGTATTGTCTATCAGTATTCATTTACAAGTCTGACAGTGGAGACTTTGTCAGCCAGCCCAATCAACTTCTAGATACAACTACTTGCATATGCATATTGCTACGCCACCTAAGCGATGTCAGCCGCACCAACCCCCCCGCTTTAGATCCTTCACCATCGAAATCCATCCATATTTGTAGCAATCCTCTCAAGTATATCTGACTCTCCGTCCTCGAAGAGCTGTATCGAACCGGTAGCTTGAGTGGAGGTGAAGGGGCGCGCGCGCAGGGATCTTTATCGCAGGCTCTAAGGGCTCAGATGCGAGAGAAAGAGCTCTGCAAGGCTCGTCTGGCGCTCGCCTGGAGCTGGCAACCGCAAGTCTCACCGCGATGAAGATGAGACGGACCGTTTTTAGGTTACGGCAATTGCCTCCTACGACTGATAGACTGGATATCGTCAACCTATTGAGGGAATCCACCGGGCTCAGGGCTTCGGCGATTACGGTCTTTTCATTGGCGCGTTCTGTTGATATATATAATCCCAGCAGCAAAATAGCGACATTGATGTTTGATCCTGAAACTGACATCCAGTTGTCCCTTAGAAGCTTCGCCACTGGGAACTCCGGCGACGAATGGAAAATCAGGATTGATAACCTTCCACACACTCTTATTCTGGACACTCATTTTAGAGGCTTCACTCCACTTTATGATCCAGAAGACCACAAGGCAGAGTTAGTACTTGGACCAGCACAAACACGTGTATATGTCTAACGAAGAATGATAGTTGTATTGCGCTGTCCGGACTGGCTAGCCACCCGTTTGGCTCATGGCAACAGAAGGACGGGTTGAAAACATTCATGTGGATTCGTGATGCATTGCCCAAGTCCTTGCCGAGGGTGAGGCCAATTTTATATGGGTATGATACCATATTACAGAATAGCAATTCGTTCCAGTCTATCCTGGATATTGCTTGTGGCCTCCTCAACCAGTTGCGAGCCTGTGGTTGGGCATCGCCAACTGCGAAGCCTCTCCTTTTCCTTGCGCACAGCCTGGGCGGTCTCGTATTAAAACAAGCCTTCGTATCTCTCGCCAATACTTTGCAATCAGATAACACGTTGCGTGTTTCAATTAAGGGAGGCATCCTCTTTGGTGTTCCTAATTTTGGCATGGAACAGTCAAGCCTGCTGTCTATGGTGAGAGGGCAATCCAACGAGGGCCTCGTGGGGGACCTAGCCCTAAATTCCCAATACCTCTCGCATCTTGATAAGCAGTTTGCTGGTCTGTCCTTTCTTCAGGATGCTAAAATCTATTGGGCTTACGAAACAAGAAAGTCCCCAACATTGAAGGTGAGATCCCCTGTACCGACTACTTTTACTCGCTAACATTCACTTCTCAGCAAGACTCTGCTCAAAATTGGTCAAGAAGTGGCCCAGAAAAAGTTCTTGTGACCCCAAACTCAGCAACTCGGGGCTTATATGCTCGCAAAGATCACACAGAATATGTATTTCCCATCAATGAGGATCACTCGACGATGGTCAAATTCTCAGAAGACGACCATATATACTCTGTGCTCGTGCATAAACTATCGTCTATCATGGACAAAATTGAAATTGATACCCGCAACGAACTTCTGCGGACTGGCTCAACACTATACCAAGCAGTCGAAATGGGAGATGACTCTCTATCGATCGACACACTTGAAGGCATGCAATCAGATAGTCAAGCTCCAAATAATCCAAACGCCCCAACCCTCGATGGTAAGTGACAGCGTATAAATTTAGTGCTTTTGAGCGGTGCTAATTTAGTTATAGAGATCCTGAAGTCTTTGAAAGTACCTGAACAACATAGTCGGTTGGATGAAATCGAAGAGAGGTTCAGGACAACCTTGGATTGGGTTTTCGACCTTCCCGAGTCTGGCTTCAGTGACTGGTTGCAGCATGGCACGGGCATCTTCTGGATCAATGGTAAACCAGGCTCTGGAAAGTCTACTCTGATGAAGTTTATTGTTCAGGATCCTAGAACGCACACGCTACTATCGGATTGGAAAACGAGACACTCTCCGATCTACGTATCCTTCTTCTTTCACCATCGAGGCTCATCTTTACAAAAATCATTTGAAGGCCTTTTACGAAGCATCATTCACCAGATACTCAGCAGCCAGCCGGACTTCAATACAATGCTGACTCAGTTCGTTGATGGAGGTGACTTTGTGTCCTCTGACTGTTGGACTCTGCTCAAGCTTCAGACTGTATTTCATGGAATCCTTGAGCAAACAGCTATACCTTTGCATCTCACCATATTTCTCGATGCCCTCGACGAGTATGACGGACCAAAAGAATTCATTTGCAGATTCCTCATAGATATTGCGAATGTAAATCAAACATCTACCAAAGACATCCGCGTATGTTTCTCTAGCAGGCCCTGGGACATCTTTGTTACCAACTTCCAGAACTACCCCAGCCTCCGGCCTGAGGATTTCACTCGAGACGATATTATGAGTTACTGCCTCAACTCCTTGAAGAATGAAGAGATTTCATCGTTAGACTACGAGAGCCTCATCACTGAGCTAGTTGATCGCTCTCGGGGCGTATTTCTATGGGTTAAACTGGTAGTAAAGGATCTTGCTATAGCTATCCAGAATAACCAGAGCAGGGAAGAGCTGGGGAAATATCTTCGGTCGCTCCCTATCGAACTCGATGACTACTACGCCGAGATTATTACACGAATCCCGCTCTCGCACAGATGGAAGACCTACGCCATGCTAGAAGTGGCTGTTCGGCCAGATGAGCCCCTAGAGGCCAGAGAATTCATATGTGCTGTTGAGTGCTCAGACTGCAAGACGTACCAGGCCGGTATCGCCACACTGCTGAAGTTTCGAAATTATTCGGATGATAATTTCTCGGGGTTTACCCAACACAGATCCAAGTTTTATTGTGGGGGGTTGGTCGAAGTTCTGAGTGCGAATGAGATTGGGATTGTCCAGGTCCTCCACCAGACCGTTGTTGACTTCGTCTGCGATGCAAAATTCAAAGCCTTGATACTTCAAGAGCGCGCAAAAATCACAATGGACAATGGATGGACTTTCTTGGCCAAGTATCGATTCTTGGAATCAGAAATCCTCGAGAGCCAAGGTTGGCATATCACACAAGCCGTAAGGTATTCGATTGAATCCGAAATGACAACCGGCCGTAGCCTCAGGTTGTTCCTGGACACTTTTCCTCCATCATTCTTTCGAAGAGGAGGTGGCGATTACCCTTGTTCGACTACAGGATTCGGCTTTGCTGCGCTTGCTGGACTTCGTTTATACATGATCGAGACACTGGAGGTTGATGCCCAAGTCTTGGATAACTGCCCTGACCCTCCATTGGCTTTGGCTGTCACTCGACTCCCCAATTTTCCAGACAAGGATATCATAGCAACGACTAGCCTCATTTTGCAAAGAAAGGGAGAGTGGGCTCGACGGCTGGATATTACGGTCCCTGTACTGCGAACAATATTAAAAAGAAACACGTTCTTTCAGTGGCAAGTTGGACAAGAAGAAGCTGACCTCGACCTTGTCACTTTGCTAATTGACTGGGGAATAACTCCCGACATTGATCTTGGAGATGGGTTGAGACCTATACATGTGGCCACACTATACCTAGTAAGGTTACTGTTCGATAAAGGGGCCAATATCGAATGCTTGAGCTGGTTTCAGATGACGGCTGCTGACTATGTAGCCAATGCGATGATTTCAGCAAGCAGAGAGGAGTTATCCTCGGACCTTGTCAGATTGTTGCCACGCGAGATTTCATCATTTCTTCCCTCCGATATTATAACATATCTCCCAGAAAATCTTGACGCGTTCGTCTCACACTTGATACCACACTTATACTTTCTTGTTGACCATGGGAGCATGCTCGGTTTGATGAATATTACCTCACTAAAGGCGTTAATGCCGGGGTTCTCAGCAAGAATTCCTCAGCAATTGGGGGGAAGCAGCAGCCATGAGGAATTTATAGAAGGCCATACAGAAGAGCTTGCAGAGCAAACCAAAAATTTCGCTTCCCCTCAGAAGCTGAAGCTATATGAAAGGCTAGCTCAAGTCTCCAATCGGTTGAAGCGGGCAATGAAACGATAGGTTGTATGGAACCTGATCAAGAAGGTTGGTTCTCTGAGTAAACATATTCTTTTCATCTCGTTTCTTGGTGTTCATAGAGGAGGACCAGTACTGTTTATCGTATTATATAGGAAAGCCCTACTGCCATTCGGTATGATACTTCTTGGGGTTGCGGGGCGAATTCAAATCACACCTTATGAATTGGAAGTCACGAGATTCAGTGTCAGCTAGTGTAGCCCAGAAGCGAGGCAAAGCGCTCCTAATTCAACATGACGGACGATTGATTCCATTTCCAGTTAAAGTTTAATAGTAAGTATATTAAGGAGCCAGTCTCAACACTTCATCATTTGTTGATTCTCAGTCATCAGCCTTGATGACAAAAATTATTTTGTCAAGGAAGTCCAACTGAGCTTAATCTACATCGCTGTTCTGCTAAGATTGTCCCTTTGTTGCGATACACTTCTACTCTGCGATTTACAAGAATATTGTTTCCTCAAAAACAAATATGATGCAACCTGACCACATGCCTTGTATGAACACATGGTTACATGTGCGCCACTGCTAGTACAAAAGCGATGCAAAAATCGCTCACCCAAGCGTCTTGTGCAACCACGCGAAGATAGCTCGGTTCAGCTCCTGGAGAGCACCTGCTTGGCAATGATATCCTGCGGTACCAGTAAAGGGGTGCAGAGTTGCCCTTTCGCCCAATGCCTCCTTGACCTTCTGAGGCTGGCCCCTGAAGAACCCTTCAAGCTCTGCATCGGCAATCCAAACTGGCACCTTAATGCGAGTGGTAACATTCTTGAGGGTGTACTGTTCAGTTTGGTGGAAGAAGTCATACGGTGATTTGGTTCTGAATGCCCACATGCCATGCTCAATGCCCCAGCGAATTTGGCTCGAAACGTTTGGATTGGAGAGCAATGACAATGCGGTTTCATCAAACGCACCCTTTTGACCCGACTTATAGAGATCAGTGAGCACAGGTGGACTTTGGTCAAGGTAAGACTCATGAACATCAAAGATGCCGCCGTTGAGTAGGATGGCCTTCACCCTGGGCTCGAAAGCTCCAGCCCGCGCCGCGAGATATCCGCCCATTGAATGGCCGTAGAGCGCAAGCCTTTTTGTATCAACTTCAGCACGTTTGTTTGCCAGCAGCCAGTCGACAGTAGGCGTCAGGACGCGCTCCCAGTGGGGGATGAAGCCCAAGTTCTGGTTTCGACGAACAGTAGGCTGGCCGGGTCCTTCGTAGGTCAGGGCATTCCATCCACGAGCCAACGCATTTGTCACGATGGTGTGATACATGTCCTCCTGCGCACCGTCATATCCACCTCCGAGAATCAGAGTAGGGTGCTTTTTATGTTTGCCTCCCGTGTATGCCGAATACCAGATAGCCTCAACAGTAAAGTTGTCGGCCGGTATTCTGACACGTTGCCCGGGAATTGGCAACGAGCTGATGCCCTTGTCGAAAGCTGAAAGCATCTCCTCCCAGAGTTGGTTGATCAGTGGATCATCCCAATTACCGTGGGTGAACGAATCTGCACGGCGAAAGTAACTTGCTGCAGAGAACCATGTGTCGCGCACATTGATAGGGTCGTAGGCATTGGCCGGGTCCAGAGCTGCAGCCTTGGTTTTATTTGCAAGACGGTAGAAAATGTCGGTGAATTTATCGAAGTCACCAGGCGTGACATTCTTCGCAGCTCCGAGGATTGGGGAAATGTCGCCACCGCCAGTCAAGGCTTGTCCGAGGCCACCGAGAATCTCAAAGTGGAACGTAGAGTCTTCGTTGAGTAGAAGAATTGGGTGCTCGTCCTGTTCTTCAGCTTGAACATTATGAATGCTTGCAAACGTCGAGAGGATAAAGGTGATGAGTAGTGTAGAAGATTTCATTGTGACGAAAGGACGTACACCGTGATGAATTGAATCAGATATGAGATTGAGGGACTCAGCGTTTGTATGATTTGTGTGATATGAAAAAGTTTGTCAATTAGCAGGTGGGAGAGCATCATTATATACCCAAGCATCCAAGTCAAGCTCTTCATTTTACGACATATTTGGTTTATCGCCTCGTTTAGACTCGTTTAATGATTACTGCTATAATCTGACGAAAGATTCTTTCGATGCCTCGTTTAACACTTCGTTCAGCCTTTCTCTCATCCCAAAGTGACATTTAATGCATTGGCTTAACCCAATCTGGGTGTCTTTTTGCGGCGGACTGCATACGTCTACAATATCCCTGAGCGTCGTAATGCCGGGAACAAGCCCCGTGTAGCATCCCAAAAATCTGACTGCGCCTTGTCATCTTCAAGATCACCAGGGCTGCAACATCCTTTATGGCAGTTAGCCAAGTTCTAAGCAACTGGAAAGAATGTCAGCCGGTCTGTAGGGCAATATTGATGTCCTGAAAGCGTAAGTTACATGATCGAAATTTGTCACAGCTATGCTTCCTGTATACCTGGGGTGATATACTGTAAAAATCAGAATTAAATAAAAATAAGACTATGACTGATACGGCGATGATTGCTGCGAAAGGCCTTGCTCTGAACTGTAGTTGTATCCCGGAATCAACACAAAGATGATTTATATTCTTCTCAACTGTCCCTAGGTCGCTATGTGGCAGTACTACCTAAATAGTTCCCCAACACCATTGAGCTTAAGCTGACCTATTTTCTTGCTTAACGCCAAATCCTGCAACTCTGATTTATCAGACTGATTTATCAGAGGTTAGTTAGCGTTGCTATTTATTAGCATGCCATCGGTGGTCGCCAATCTTAGAAATGACGTTACTCCTTTAAACCCACCGTGCATCAAGTAGACGACTTGGAACGGAACCATGCCCGGATAGATCAAACAGGAGGAGGGTTTCTGGTTGCTAAACACAAAATTAGAGTTCAATGTGGGAGTCCAGTGATGAAAAGAGTCATGATGGCGAACTCAGCCTTTATTAGCTCAGAACCTTAAATACAGCTAGCTCTACCGAGCTTCATTGTTTGGGCTGCCTAAATTAAAGTATCACGAACCACTGGCTCGTATTAATTGTGCTTCTGATGTCCAGGCAGTTGTTACTTTATTTGTGCTTAGCTACAGTCGTAGCATTTACCCCCGAGCTTGTGAATAGGACACATTCGACGACGCATATAGCGTCCCATTGGCCCAAGACGGTTCTTGGATGGCTTCGAGTTCTCTAAAGGTAGGAGAAGCTTGATATATCGTCGACACGGGAATGTGGGCACGTTGTGTTACCACTAGGTCAGTTATCAGTGCGATCCCGGGAAGCAAAAAGGTTGGTAAAGTTGTAGGCAGTCCAGAGAGCACGTTTTATGAACTCTGGGGAAACAATCCCAAGAATCTAAGTTAGGTCACCCACTACCGATAATTTCCATGCATGTATAATTTGGTCTGTTCGCAGCATGCCTTCTAAATTAGACAAGGTGTTAATCATCGTTGCAGCTTAGCCATTTGAGTCTCTTCCTCGGAAGGACTACTAAACTTGGAGCCTTTTCTACATTATAAGGTCTAGTTTAGAGACTCAATTGCAAGCATGACAGCGATCAGGAGCCTGGTTTGGTGAATAATGGAACGTCATACAAGGCGTAAATACTCATATATGCTCCTAGAGACCTCACGGTCACGTCGAAACTATCGCAAAGAGCGGAAGAGCCCTGAAATATAGTCACACTTGCTCTAGGTAGAAACCCTCGAGGCTGATAAATTCGAGGAAAGCAGGAAGATCATGGACAGAGTTGCGACAAGTAGAGTGATTTCTGTGTCCATTCTGGCCGAGTCTGGTAGTTGTGTGTGGTGAATAAGATTGAAATAGCAACGGAAAGCGCGGCTACCAACAAGAAGAGTGCGAACCTTCAAGACGAAATGAGAAAAATTATCCTCTCCGTGCTTTGAGCGAAGCATCGCCTGAATTTCTAAGAAATGTGGCTAGCCATGCCAGGACAGGCTTATATGTTGAGTAATCCTTTGTTCTCGCCGTATGCGGCTTTAGTCAATGTCTCAGGAACCCTTCCGATGTAATTTGCGGGCTCTTCGATCCTCTAGCCACAAAAGATCCAGCACGCCCATTCTAAGAGAATTCCTTTAGACGCTTCATGACTAATGTCCCGGCGATCACAAAATGAAGTCTTTCTTGGCGATCTGGGCCGAGCTGCTTCCCTGGAAATCCCCATTGTTGTCTTCAGTCATTGATTATCTATTACATCTGAGCTCAAGCAGACTGGCCTGCCTTTTTTCATTCATGACCAACAGAAAAAGCTTCATTCAATGACTTATCATTCCTGTATGGCGTTTGAGGCTGATGATGTTGACTCGTAGTCTCCCGGTGCCAACGGTGCCGTTTCCCACCGTCTTTTCCAAGATCAGAGCGTCCCACACCTTCAATATCGCCCTCGTGATCTCCTATCACTTGCAAGGCTCCCTACCACTTTCTTAACAACGAAAGGTTAGCTGAAAGTGAAAACAGTGCGTACTGTCTCTTTAATCAACCGAATCCATCTACACGGATAGCACATACGGAACTTTGACCATTCGACAATAGAACAAGTCAGGTTCCAACGCAAAGCACTCAAATTTAATTGTTGATATGCATTTAACATCTTTTTCCATCTCTTAAGCATGTGCTATCACGAGGGATTTCTTGATGGCCGCGGTGTCACCTAGTTAGTTTGATGCTAAGCTAGATAAGCACCCGCGTTTCAAATGAAGAGCGGGGATTGTTCCAGGGGGCCTGGAGGCATTAACCAAATTAGCCAGGCCAAGCCTGTCAGCAACGATCTTCCGTGGGGGTGCTGAGCTGAGGAAGCAGAAGTCCTGTTGCATGACTCCTTGTGCTGGCGCCGGTATCTCGCATCACACCCTCGCCTCACTTGTGCTCGGAGGGGACTGTGCATGTAGATGAGGCCCACTGGCCCAGAATCTTTCCGCCTTAGCTCAGGTGTTTAGTGAAAGTGGTCACCTGCCCCTGATAACACATCAACAGGGTCGCCTGACTCAGTGCCTGATTCGGTCTCGCGCAACCGCGTGGCCATTCCCAACCCCGCAGGGCCTTAGCTTTCCTTAGCCCCGCGCTTGATGGACAGTCCACGAGGCGATGATTCTTGGATCTAACGTAGCATCTGACTTGGGTGGCCAAAGTGGGCTAGCGGCTGTGGTATGACCTTGCGGCGTTGCTTATCTTTGTCTGAGGGTTCTTGTGCAGCCGACACATCACACGCCGGTGGAACCGGCCGAAGATAAGGCCTTATTTCTGGATGGGACAAAAGAAACTAAGTGACCCCCTAATGCGAGGGGGGCTCGTTATAAGGTTGCGTTGGAATGTTAAGCCATGTCTCGCGTGCTGTTTCCACCCAGACTCCATCTCTGCTCCCTTGCAATATGCGTCCGAAGCTCTCACGTGTTTTTCCTGTCGTCGTTCTTTTATCACGAGAAGTATTCGCCGCGCCTATCGCCGACAGAGCTACTTGCCGGAAAACCCAGGTGGCGATTCTCGGTGCTGGAATCGCCGGAGTCACAGCCGCACAGGCCGTTTCCAACGCGTCCATTACCGATTTTCTCCTGATCGATCGCAATGATTACATTGGAGGCCGCGTAGTGAATACAGATTTTGGGAAAAAGCCCGATGGCTCCTCTTACACGATCGAACTCGGCGCAAATTGGATACAGGGCCTTGGCTCTGTCAACGGCCCCGAGAACCCGATCTGGACCTTGAGCAAGAAATATAGCATCAATAGCACCTTCTCCAATTATAGTGCCATTCTGTCCTATGACGAGACCGGCCAAGTTGATTACCTGCATCTGCTTGAAGAGTACGACCGGGCGTACGAGGAAGTGCAGAAGCAGTCTGGATATATCTTAAATCTGAATCTGCAGGACACCAGTGTCCGCACAGGCCTGTCCCTTGCAGGATGGAATCCTCAAGGGAACTCACACGCACAAGCTGCAGAATGGTGGGGATGGGACTTCAATTCTGCCCAGCCGCCTGAGCTCAGCAGTCTGCTCTTTGGGGTGGCTGGCGATAACGCTACTTTTAACCACTTTAGTGATGAAAACTTCTTCGTGACGCATCAGAATGGCTTGAATGAATTCATACAACGCGAGGCCCATCAGTTCCTGAAGAAAAACGACCCTAGAATCCTGCTGAACACAACCGTCACATCGATCAAGTCCTCGGATGATTCAGTAGAGGTGCATTTCGAAAACGGAGACTGCATCGAGGCTGAACATGTCATCTGTACTTTCTCTGTTGGTGTTCTCCAAAATAACGTGGTCGAGTTCAAACCTCGACTCCCTCTCTGGAAGCGAGATGCTATCCAGTCCTTCAATATGGGGATCTATACGAAAATATTCATGCAGTTCAATGAGACGTTTTGGGACGAGGACACACAGTTCTTTCTCTACGCTGACCCGTATGAGCGCGGAAAATACCCCGTCTTTCAGTCCCTAACGGGCCCTGATTTTCACAAGGACTCGCATATTATATTCGCCACCGTTGCAGCTGGTCAGGCACAAGTCGTGGAGAAGCAAACGGACGAGGAGACCCGGGCCCAGTTGATGGAGGTCCTAAGATCCATGTTTCCTGACGTCAACGTCCCCGATCCTATTGCGTTCATGTATCCTCGCTGGTCCGAGGAGAAGTAGGTCCCAAGTCCGAAACCCGGTGTCAACGAGTAACTAACAATATGAAGATGGGCATATGGGTCCTATAGCAACTGGCCCGTTGGCGTGACCCTCGAGAAGCACCAAAACCTGCGAGCAAATGTCGACAGGCTCTGGTTTGCCGGAGAGGCTTCCTCGTCTCTGTGGTTCGGATACATGCAAGGTGCCTGGTACGAAGGCCAAGAGGTTGGGCAGCGCGTTGCAGGCATGCTGGGCGTCCGGGTTCCTATGAAGAACCGGGGATCGATGCGGCACTATAATGTCTTGCACGGCACGAGCTTTGCGGATGGATATGATGACGAGCACGGATGGAATGTCGACACATTTGCCGATCAACAACCTCGAAGGCTGGGCCGGGTGAAAGCTGCAACTGTTGATGAGCAGATTCCTTTGTAAATTACGATGTATGATTTGTTAGAAGGTTTGGTATGTTAAGGGAGCAAGCATATGTTTTTACACGCGAGAATGAATGAAATCAATGATTATCATAACTATTTGTTATCTAATTAATTTAGTAAACAGTTCTTTTCATGTTATACAACAGCTGAAAGTATTACATCTCATCCTCGGGCGGCGCTTTTATTGGTGAATTATCTTAGTCCTCTTTTGCCTATATGTGCTATTTAGGTTAAGATTATGAGATAGGAATAAAGAACAGTGGCATCTTGCGTATCAAATCCGAGGTTGTCTTATTCTTACTGTTTTGCGGGCACCAACCAGCATCTCAGATCCAAGAATAATCTCCACAAATCGCACTTCGGAAGTTGCAAAGCAGATTCCTGGTTGGTGCCCGGAAAATGATAACATGAGACTAGTGATGAGATTCCGATTCCGTATTCTGCGTATCGAGAGGCCGCTTCTATCCTGGCTTTGTGGATAAAGAATCAGCTTGTTTCTCTCCCAGGCTCCAAAATATTCACTTCGTCAGCAACTCACCAACATTGCTTGACCTTTCCCTCTGACGCTGCGTTTTAATCATGTCCTCCTCACCAAAAGTCCGCGTCGCCGTCACCCAGGCTGAGCCGGTGTGGCTCGATCTCGACGGCGCCGTCAAGAAGACATGTGATTTGATACAAGAGGCAGCCCAAGAGGGCGCTCAGCTCATTGCGTTTCCAGAATGTTGGATTCCTGGATATCCATGCTGGATTTGGTGAGGATAATACGGCCCCAGTGCATTCAAGAAGCTACAGCGCATGATACTAACCATATATTCGAGAAAAGGACCCGGCTGGTGGATTTCGACCTGAACGTCAAATACATCAAGAATTCTATAAAGCTTGACTCGTCGGAGATGAAGGCCATCCAGAAGTGCGCACTTGAGAACAACATTGCCGTGTCGCTGGGATTCTCCGAGAACGACAATGACTCCGTGTATATTTCACAGGCAATGATCGGCGCCGATGGCGAGATCAAAGCGCACCGCCGTAAGATGAAGCCCACGCATATGGAGCGTACCATTTTCGGTGATGCTTCAGGCCACTGCCTCGCCTCCGTAGTCGAACTGCCATTCGCTCGCGTCGGCCACCTGTCATGCTGGGAGCATATCCAGCCATTACTCAAGTTCCACACCATGTCTCAGGGCGAGCAGATTCACGTGTCCGCCTGGCCCAGTCTCACCCCGCACACTGGCGGACCAGATTTGTGGTCCATGTCGGCAGAAGGTTCGATGTCCCAACCAAATTCTTGGGCTTTAAGATGAGCAAGAAGCTAACTAACACGTCCTGATTTTCCAGGTTGTCAAGCCCTATCTCGTACATACGCTATCGAGGGTTCAACATTTGTTCTTCATTCCACAGCGTTAATCACAGAGAAGGGCGTTGCACTTCAGAAGACCGAGAGCGGCAGTCTCATGTCGTCTCCCGGTGGAGGCAGCTCCGCTATCTTTGCTCCTGATGGTCGCAAAATAAGCACTGATATCGACCCAACGACCGAGGGGATTCTCTACGCTGATTTGGACCTGGATAATATCATCCAGAACAAGATGTTCGCACACTGCACTGGGCACTACAGTCGACCTGATCTTCTGTCCTTGAGCGTTGAATCGAATATTAAAACCGTTGTGAAAGAGATGACAGTGACCTTGAAGGGGACGGAAGTCGATAATACAGTCAAGAGTCTGGAGGATTAGGTGTCCACTCCCGGTTTTATGTATTGTGTAATGCCGAGATACTGGGTGTTCTAATGTGTTGTGATACTGGGTATAGTGTCAAGTTGTTAAATTCTTGGTGTTTGGAAATTTCCCCTTTTTTTTTCAGCAGCTGCATAGCTCTCTCACTTACTTACTGGGTGTTCCTAGGGAGAATGGGGGTTATCCATTCGTCAGAAGCAGCCCAGCCCGGAAATTCAATGGTCTGAGTTTGTATAGTCCTAATTACGTCGTCACTAAGAAAACTTATCGATGATTCACTTTCAGCAGTTTCTAATTCCTGTACATGTTCCCCAGCCCCTTTCATAGTACTCTCTTGAAACATTCTGAACGCTCTGCGCGATATTAATGTTATAGATTACCTTGAATTCTAATATAAAGGAAGTTATTTGTATTATTCAAGGTGAACGTGAGAAATAGTGATTTGAATTTTGAGTCTCTATTCTACAAGAAAGAGCGTTTGTTGTTTGGTCTATAGAATAAGACATAATGATAACGACTATAGACGATAAACGATCTTGATAAAAACCGAAAACTTTAAGACAAGATTTAGCTTTACAGCTCAAGGTAATCTTTCAATCTACTACAAGGGTCCCCTTCAAGGCCTATCGTTATTGTGCGGGGAATAAGTCTTAAGGAAACTCTCCTGGACCTGGACCAAACGACTGTCCTTTGGAAAGCGATAGTCTTGTGCATGTCTCGGCCTCGCAACCGCTGTTAGGGCTGTTGCCCCACTAATCCAGTTCGACCGAAGGATAGCTGAGCGCGAAGAAGATGACGACAGCAGCCAGAGCAATAGCAGAGGAGAAAGCCGCTGAAAGGACGTAGTTGTATTTGGACCAGAAATCGAGGTGTCGCTCTCGGAGATATTTCATGCTAAACCAGGCGGGTAGGACGGCAGGCCACATGTAAGCAATATTGTACTAGAGAAGTTGGCATTAGCTCTGCTTCAAGCGCTACAGAATTCCCATGGCATGGTTGAAAGACTGTCGGAAAATTAAGCGTAATAATATAATGTACTGGGTTTGAACGTACTGGAGACCAATGGATACCTCCTGCAAGGAGCATTACAGGATGGACAGAGCGAAACCAGTGGTTGCGGGGAACGAGCTTCTGAAGGTAGTAGAGAACAAAAGGCACCGCAAATCCCAGAGGAAACGCTGTCAGCAGAGTCGTATACTGAGCATTGGAACCAAACACACGTCTAGCACCAATACTGCCAAACAAAACTGCCGCCGTGAAGTAGGTGTTGACTCCAGGGCAGGAGAAACGGTCCTTTTGATTCCTTGGGAGACTTTTAGTCAACTGAGACATGGAAAAGTTAGACAGGGGTACCTACGTTTCGCAGAGATTTTGAATGTTTTGAATTTGGAAATTCATGACTCCAGTGGTCACGAAGGCGGACACAATTACAGCAACGACCTGTGCACAGAATGTCTGCCGTTGGGGAATCTTGACGTAGTGGGCGAGCTTGAGGTCGTTTGCGAAGTCGAGTGCATGAGCCGTCGTCACATAGCTGACCCAGGTTCAGTAAGCTTTAGTGACGGAGCGGGAATATAGATTTAAAAGGCTCTTACCCGAAGCACTTGAAGAAGTTCATAGCCAACGCGTTGCCCGGCTGCCAAGCACCGCCGATGAACTCGGCTAGTACACTAATTGAATATGTCAGTCAACTCTCCAGACAGGGTGAGATGGAGATTGCTTGTCTCACTTGTATTCCACCTCCATTCCTGTGGTGGCCGCAATAATTCCTGTGGGAATTGTGAAGATCATGGCAAGCGCAATACCAAAGAAGACAACACCGACGCTCGTCTATGTTTCCACAAGTTTATCAGTTCATTGGCTTTAAAGCTGGATAGATTACTGCTTGTTACTCACATGCGTGGGCCAACCGGCAACTGCACCAACTCCCACGGCCACGGCGACGATATTGAGAATCAAGTACCACCATTCGGGAACTAAGAATTCCTGTGAGTTGACAGTTTTCAGAAGGCATATGTTATAGACTCACCTTCTTTATATGCCGACATCAGCCTCGAGTGGACATCTTGGAAGTCGTTGGTTCCATTTCTCCTCATGCTTCTCCACAAACTCTTGAACCCGAGTACGATATCTCGTCGGTGGTATAGAGTAGCATATGACACCATGGCGGCATACACCGCAAAAAAGTAGTAGTACATGGTGATGCTACTAGCAGCAAGGTAGACTGGTGAATATGCCTCATATTTTGTCTCGTTGAGCCATCCTTGGCCGTCCAGGATTCGCGTCACATTGTACGATTTTCCGAATCTGTCAAACATGGCGTTGGTGTTAATGGAAAGGTAGCCCGTGTGATACGCATTAGTCCAATACATGCCGATAATGGTGATCCCGCCCAAGAGAACACCAAAGAACGTGTTGATTGTAACATGGTACGGCACAATAAGGGGATCCTGGATGTGTGTCACGATGTTCCAGTCAAAGGTAGGAAGAGGGTTGAAGCCGAGTCCCTTTTTGATCCCCGTGATGGCCGTGAGGTTGAAGTTCTTTGGTGCGATCCACGCTATCCAGTTGAAGATACTCAAAGCTTGGAATATATACTCAGGGAACCAAAAATATACAAACATTGACGAGAAGGCTACCAAGAAGAATCGGAATCGTGAAATCGTAAACAGTTTTTGAAATGGGCCGGGTACAGTGTTATTCACATCTGAGAGGAACGTGTGAGTCAACATAATGGACGTGCAAAAGGGGATTTGCCTGGACAAACTTACCATTATGAAGCGAGCTGTTAAGAGCGATGGTGACTAGGGTTGCTGGCCATAAGCAAAAGGATGGATAGACCAAGAATCTCCGACAGAGACCCGCAAGACCAAACCCCATGAGATTGGTAGAGATAGCAAGCAAAATCTGGTACCCAAAAGATTTTGCGTAAGACTGTCCAAAATACTTGTCGAGCCATCCGGTGAAGACTGCAGAATGTTAGCAATTGACGGTATAAACCTGGAAAGAGATACACACTGATATATCTCGAACTAGGCAAAGTCTTTCCAACACTGGCCATTATTGATATAAGCATATGTTCCTTCTTGTTGAAAGGACCAGGGTTCAGGCTGTGTCTGACACCAAAGAGAGTGAACCCGATATCAGGGAGGACGCGTTCGGCGAACTTTCCAACAGGATATGACAGAAGCTGCACGACCGGGGCTTGGACAAAGATGGTCGGCTGGCGGACGCTGAAGAGCTGATTGATGAAGGCAATGACGACGACGAAGAATAAACCAATTATCCAAGCACGGATAGTTCCGCATGGCAAGCTTGGAGTGTCGTGAGCATCGACGACGGCACGGACCTCTGCATAGGGGCTGTTACCAGTGAGCAGAGCGATTTCGATCTTAGCTTCTTCAATTTCCTTCCTATGATCATTTGGTGACTGGAAAAGGGCGTCGTTCTGCAGGAATGCGGAAAGGCGGTCGATTGTGCCATGTGCGATATTTGGGTCGGAAACGTGAGCCTCGACGAGCCGTTGAGCGTGCTGTATTTCTAGTTAGGGCTTTGTAGATCTGAAAATCGACTGTAGCTACATACCTGGCGAGCATCTTCAAGAGTCAAAGAGCGAGCTTGTTCTTGAGCGTCTAAGATGTCTTCGATAGTGGCGAAAAAAAGTCTGTAAGGGCACAAATTAGAGACAGGATAGAATAGCACGAGATCAATTAGTTTACTTGGCCAGCCTCTCTCCATCCAGCTTCACATCGAGGTCATTCGCCTGTCGAACTGTCAGGGAGGTCTGTGATTGTTACGAGTAGGTGGAATCAGTCTATACCTGCTCTTCTGCCGGTAGAGTAGTAATCGCCTCCTCGACTTTGGCAAACTTTTCAGACGGAACTGCCATCACAAGAGCTTTTCTGATCAGTCTTAATCGAGGTTATACAAGCAAAATTTGTCTTGAAGGGCTAAGATGGCAGTCCCGTTTATCAATCGCAGGCGAGGAGCGTGGGGATTATAAATGGCCCATATACCTCCCCTACTACATGAAATCTACTGGAATATTTAAACTCAGCTTTGAGACGGCTTTCTACAATAAGCTTGATGGGATGTCACTCCAACCCCCACAAAGGCCCAATCTACCGGCCAGAGTGTTGACCTCTTTCAACGGCGGGATTGCGCCATTCATATAAGATCCGCCCGGAATTCATCCAATTTTGTGAGACTGTCGCTTTCTTAACCAGCGGGAATCGTAATAGCCATCAAGCCACATATCAAAATATTTCGCAATAGTACGACGGGGATTTTAAGGAGTCTTCGGCTTGTTTCGTTGCAGTAGAATTATGGTGTTGGCCCATCTCGCGATTAAGATTGCCGGTTCTAGAGTCTTTCCGTCCGAGCCGAAACCCACTCGCGATTAAATCTTCCCTATTTGGTAGTACTCCGTCAGCTGGGCCTCGCATGATGCACTTTTTCGAACGAATGGCGACATGGCGCAAGAATCCGGCCGAGCAGCGGCCACACCCCGAGGGACATAAACAGAGACACTCAGCTCTCATTACTTCTCCCAGACAGATCTAATATTTGAATTTCCTCATGAAATGGAGTCTTTGCCACGACCACTAAAATCGAACTCTTGGAAGCTGAAGCATACGGATGAGAGTTGGGGTGCAAAGTCTAAGAACAGCAATGGAAGATGCCAGATCCGATATCTCAACAATATGAACACGAAAGGAAAGAAATAGGCTATACTAGCCCAAAGTTGCAGCCACGCAGGAGAAGATCCCAGGAAAACATTACCAGCCTTCATACCGGTGACTTACTTGCCGTCGGGACGAGCCACTAGTCAGATGATTATGCATTTCACCCTCTTTCTCCTCGCTTCCTTACACCAACCCAAACACTTTAACACCCCAAGCTCAAGGCAACTCGGTGAGTACCAGTAACCCCTTGGGGAGCTGAAGCATATGGGTTGAATCTCGGGGGGCCTGCAACTTTAAGCTCCTACAGGATTCCTATTGCACTAGCCTACCCGTTGGATAAAGGGTCTCCCTAGAGAAGGCAACTGTACCAAACTACTTGCGAAAGTCACCAACCATTGATTTTGTGGCGCATGTGAACACACTATTCCGCACCCGTTAGAATTGTTTCCCAGAAGTAGCGAAGATTGTTCAGGGCACTTCTAGGCTCCATTTACATCACATGTAATCTTTCAAGAGACGTTCAGATAAATCCCACAACCTTTCGCCGGTCCCTCGCTTTTGGAGTCCATCAAGTACGGTCTGAGATTCAGCACCCCAACGGCCCCATGGCTCGACATAACGCCCATTCTTACCCCCTGCATCTACCATTGACGTATCCACCTCTTGATTGAATCCTGAAAAAAGCTCTGTTAACCCACCAAAGTGCTGATCATAAAGCAGGGGCGAGGTGATAGCCCTGAAAAGCTTCGGTTGATGGCGTTGAAACTCTGATTTCACGGATCCCGGATGCAGAGAGAGCGAAACCAGACCCTGAGGTCCAAACCGACGCGCAAATTCATGAGCATACATGACGCTCATGGCCTTGCTTTGGCCATACTTGAGCATGCCGCCTTTGAGTCCACCAACCGAGTGCATGTTGATGTCGTCCCAATTGACACCATCCGGGCCAGGCGCGCCACGATGCCCAGACGATGTAACCCAGATGACTCGGGTAGCATTTTTTAGCGCGTCTGAGTGAGCCGCTGTCCTTATGCAGAGCGGTGTCAGGAAATGCTGGAACAGAAACGGCCCCAAGGCGTTGACTCCTAGATGGGTTTCGAAGCCTTGAGCTGTAGTACTCCCTTGCGGTGCGCCGCCTATACCAGCATTGTGCCAAATAACGTCCAGACGGGTCTCTCGTGACAGAAATGTTGCCGCAGAGGCTTTGATTGAAGCCAAGTCGTTGAGATCAAGCTGGAGGAACTCTATTCTGCCTTTGCCGCCGGTGACGGTAGGGTGCGAAGCGGCGGGTTCGGCTTTGATTTTATCAATTGCGGCTTGGGCTTTGTCGGCAGATCTTCCGGCGATGTAGACATGTCCGTTGAGGCTGAAAACAGCCTTGGCAACCTCATATCCGCATCCTGATGAGCCGCCGGTTACGATGAACACCCGGCCGTGTTGGTCAGGGATATTCCTTTCAGTAAAAGCTGGCTTTGGGGGGAAAGACTCGCGCCAAGTAATAGCCGACATTTTGAATTACTGCTCTGGTGAAAAAGAAAAACTGTTTATTATTCGGCGTAGTGATCAAAGCCATACTTATAGGCAGCTTGGTGAGAACTTAACTTGAGATGAGTGCCTATCTCAGGTATCATCCGTCATAACCCGCGGCCTCATCATGGCCCCTGCTGCCGCGGCCGCGGGTTTTTTGTGGAGCACTGCTGGGTCTCACCGTGTAGATTCCAAGCTGGACGGTATGATAGTTCAAGTTTGTTCCAATCTCACCTATGATTGACTAACTACTCTCATTCATCTATTCGGAGTTAACAGTACTGTCCGGAATCTCCGCCTCTTCCGCAGGATAATAAGTGGCTGCTGCTAGATAGCTTACATTGGCAGTCTCCATCTGCCGTAATTTTCACACAGTGTTGGAGTCCATGATAATTTTCAATAACGCACGTTATTCCAGCGATATCAGGCGGACCGGTCACGCAAATGATTTGCAGATACCGCCCAATTTCTTGATCTAGGTCGATTAACTAATCCATGTTATGCCTATTATTAGCTGGTCTAAGGAATAGGTAGCTAACATTGATAATCCCATCATATAGAGATGCTAGGAGTATAGGGTAACCGCTTGCTTCACTGCCCACCCTGAGAATCACAGAGGAGAGAAAACAATCTCGTTCACTCAATGCGCGGTGAAAGCGGATTAAAGCCAGTGGATGATCATAGATATAATGTTGGTGAATCCCACAGCACAGAGGAAGAATTACACTGTAGGGCCTTGGACCGGTTGCAGACTACATACTACACACATTGGAAGCCCGCATGGCGGACCGTGACCCGCTGAGCTTTTTAAAATTTCCCCATCATCCTTCATGAAATTGTTTGTCCCTTCTTGACAACCAATGAGTAGACATATCGAATCTAAACAAATTCTCGTTAAAGATACATATAAACCTTGATGTTTCGGGCTATATTGTTGTCGTTGTCGCTGTTTAACACGAGCCATCGAGGTCTGGACCCTGACCTAGACACTGTAAATACGTAGCTAGGGAGATTTCAGTTTCCAGTCGACAACAAGGCTCTTGTCAAAAAAATACCTCCGATCCCCCATCGCCTGTTTAGAGCTTCCAGATTGAATCGAATAGTAGCCAGATCGGAATCCGCAAGGCTTATCTGGTGACCTCTTTGAGATGCCAGCACAAGAAGTACCCCTGCAGAGCAAACACAGCAAATTCCCACTAGGGACATTGCGGAAGAATCGTTCGTCTGCAAGATGTAACTTGCTGTTCTGTTCATGTCGAGGACCATGCGCTTAGTTGTCTCTAGAGCGATATTATCTTCTCCAGCGATGTGGCTTTTAAGCTGGCACGTTGTGCGGAACAGCTGTAATAACAACAACGAGCTGTAGTGGGATCCGGCTTAGCTTCAATAGTGGTTATATATGAGCGAGTGATCAGCTTACCAAAGAGCCAGGGCAATGCTCTCGCAAAACTTTGTGCTAGCGGTACCAGCTTCTTCGATCATGTTGCAGGTGATGAGGCTGATCTCCTTCTCAAGGTCTTTGTATAGTGTTGATGGTTCTCTCCCGGCTGCCGCTTGTGCCACATGCTCAAATACATCACCGGCCAGGATTGATACGCGGTATAGCATTGAGAAATTGGATGTTCCCATTTCCATGTCCAAAAACTTTCCTTTAGCGTTAGGGTGACTTGTAAAACTTGGCAATATGCTTGAACTACAGATGGATTCCCAAGACAAGGAGTCTTGTTGAAATAGCGTTTGCGTTGTCGTAACGTCATCGATAATCTTAGAAAAGATGGTTAAACTGTATAGGGATATATGAGCAAAGCTGCTTGGCTACGACGACCACAAAAGGGAAAGAGGGGAAAGTTTCTTACCGATCAAGAAGTATAATCGACTGCCAGCAGGCCTTGATCCCCGACATGTCCTTATCTGAACTTGGTTCTTGATCACATTGGGATGCAACAAGACTTCGATATATTGCTAGACAAGAACTGACGGTATGTTGGGCTTTTTTGGTGAGGCCATGACCAAATTCATATACTGCAATAAGGAGACCGCTCTGGAGCAGCCGGATTGACATAGTGCTCAATGCCTGCATGACAAGAAACATTTGCCTGGTAATTAGATATAGAGGGCTGTCAGCAACATGATTCATGTGCTCGCACAGAGGGTGAGATGCAAGATACATGGAGAGCAATAGGTGGCCATGATCTCCTAAGTTGGTGGGAATGGTCGAGGACAAGAAATGTTCGACATCTTCCTGGATGATCGGAAACCAAGAATGTACTTCAGCGTAATATCTTCTCACAATCTCCTCAACACCCGATCCGCTGTTGAGAAACAGTTCGCAGACCAGCTGTGTTGCTCTGCTCAAACAATCCGCGCCAGTCCCTCCGAAGGCAGCCTCAGAAGCGGCGTGTATAAGAGACATCCGACTCTGAGACGAAAGATACCAAATGCATGGCTCTTGAGTCTTTAATGTTGTATAAAGGTGCTCTGGACCGAAGGGCCAAAGGCTAACATTTGCGGAATAGTCACACCGTAAAAGCTTTCTATTCCGGCGCAAGTGATCAACAACGCGCTGCGTCGATGAAATCATTCCAAGGTCATTCCACTCACCTGGCGCACCTTGAGCAGGTGGGTAGTATTTTGTCGCATCGCTGCTTGCCAACTCGACATTGGCGGCAGACACCAGCTGCCTGAGCTATAAGTGTGACTTCGGTGGGATCCATGTCTAGAAAGCTAAGCGTACTGTTGCTGGACTGCATCGGCCGTTGCAGAAGAAAGAGAGAGGGCAATCTTTGGTATTCTAAGAAGGGTTGAGCGGTGATTACAAATCCGGCTCGCAGTGATAGCGGAATAATAAAGAGCCAGCTTACGGTGGAATCCAAGAAATCACCACTACCACCACCGATTGTGTTTCCCCTAGTTTATCAGCCTATTTTAGGAAATTTTATTTCAGTGAGAGTTCGAGGATAAAGTAAAAAACAGGAATAGAAGATGCTCGATCCAACATCTCAACACAACGAATGAAGAAATATTAGTTATTTCATAGAGTCGAGCCTCTGAATCAATTAATATCAGCTTTATAGTTACAATTTATTTGTCTATTTTTATTTTTCTTTTTATCCCTTTAAAAGATCAATCACAGGTTGGCTCAACGCGATGACATGGAACCCGAGATGGATGAACAGAATTGGACTTTAGGCCATTGGAGAGATGCAAAGATCCCCAGCAGTCGCCGAATGGGGATGTGATGGGATCTTATTACTTTAACTTGAAGTACCCTGTTTCTGATGTATTAGAATGAGAAGCGACTTCGCGAGTTGGGAGACTGCGGCCAGGAGCACGGTAGGCTTGCCAGTACTGAAACTTACCGTGTTATCGAGACTGTTGGATCCATGTTCCATGCGAAATCTGACATGCGGGGACGCGATGGTTAACCGTAATGTTTGTTATGACTGAAAAGTCGAGTTTCATCGCCCCTGATAAAGTGGCATGCTCGGTCTCGGACGGACATTTCATGGTGGGGAATCTGATTTGTCAGTGCTCTGATCGAGGTATCGCATGATTACAGTAAATATGTGTAGAATGAAGCGATTGATTGGATATCTGAAAGCCTGGACCGAGGCCGCATCGGATTTATCGACTCTGGTTCCTCGACTGGTTCACGAATGATTTGGGTTGGCCGCTACTAATCGAGGTTTTCTTCTTGGTATAAGTACCTCCGGCCAGGCTCGTTTATTCCCTTTGGCATTTCCATCGCCGCAAGATTCAAACTCGATAGCTACCACTGCAGTCACATTATTCTTTATATTCCCACCCTTACCCCCGTACATCAATCATGCTCATTTTGGTGGCTGGCATCACCGGCTTCGTCGGTATCCCCGTTGCCGAAGCCGCCCTCAAGCGCGGATATCAGGTCCGAGGCTTGGCTCGCAATCGCGACAGACTTCCCAAAGGCTTGCTGGAACGACTGGAAAGCTTCGAGACGCTGACCGGCCCTCACGATATTGCTGCATTGGAGCGTGCTGTTGCTGGCGTCGATGCCGTCGTCAGCACCATTGCCGCCACCCCTGAAACAATAATGGAAACGCAAGTGCTGCTCCTGAAGGCAGCAGAGTGGGCTGGTGTGAAGGTATGGCCTGCTAGGGCTTTGTAAAAATAAATGTCTCCCCAAAACTAATGCAAACATCATTTAGATTTTCCATGCCAGCACCTGGAACCTCGACTGGAGGCAATCTCCTGGTACCCACGAGGTTTACGACTCGCTCGCTCACTTCGCCCATCACGCCTCGATGACTTCCACCATCAAACCAATCTATATGTTCACCGGTGCGATTGCGGAGTGGTACTTTGTTCGAAGCGCAAAGGACTGGGACCGCGAGACCAAGACGGTGATTTACCATGGAGACCCGGCGTTCAAGACCCGTTACACCACCGCCAATGACATCGCCAACTACGTGCTCGAGGCTATCACTGCGCCAGATGCAGCCGAGGGAGGCTATATCAGAGTACAAAGCTTCGAGGCATCCCCAGACGATGTCGTGGAGGCATACAATGCGGCGAGGGAAGGGAAGGCCAAGGCTAACCACAAGCGCCTGGGTTCTGTGGAGGATGCGAAAGTAAAGTTAGATGAGGGGAGAGCCAAGTATACGAAGGCGGAGTGGTGGAATTACGCCTGGTATATCTACCAGTACCATATTCCCCTGCGCACTTGGGATTACGAGCCGGTTGATGTTGCCCGCTTCTCCAACGTGAAGCAGACGAGCTTGGAGGAATTCTTCCGCCAGAACCCCGATGTTTAAGCCGGGCGCTGATTTAGTAAATCGTTTTCGCTGTCTGGGCCGCAACTTGCTTGCATTGTACCTCATTAGTCTGGTATGACCAGATTGATAGCTCAGGTAGACAGTTCACCCCTGGGGACTAATACTCTACTAGTGTAAGCCGTCGCGCAACTGGGATGAATAGCATCGTGAGGATGTTGGAATAACAATTTTGAGGTTATGACAATATTGATATCGGCCATTTAATCAGTGAAAGAATGTTGTGTGGCTGGTGAAGATTGGTACTCGTGAATGTAGTTATTGTCCTATAAACTACTTAATGAAAAATCTCACCAAAAATAAGCAACTAGAATTAGCAGTTACGGCGGCCATTTTGCTGATAGGTATACACCCTATCAGCCAGCATAAATCTGATTCGTGAGTTCAATCCGCTCCACCCTGTCTAATGCAAAGACAGGGAACGGCCGATGCAGATATCCACCTAGCCTCTCTGATGCGGGAGCAGGGAACGGCCGATGCAGTAGTGGTCCCACGCGGCTGTGACTAAAGACCTGCTACGTGCGAGAGGCCACCCGATTTTGGGTGCTGTGACTTCGGACTTTATGATGCTGAGTAGAAACGTTATGGTGCGAAATGGGTATATAAACCCTTAAGAGTTTCTACCGTAGTGGTGGGAAAGGTAGTATCAGCAACCTCATTACTCTACCCGCCTTGAAGTAGACCTCAACGTCTTTCAAGATGGGCCCGATTAAGAACGTAGCAGTTTTCGGCGTAAGTCGCGTCATTCTTTTCAGAAAACAGTCCTTCAGCAGCGATTGACTGACACAAAGAGCAATAGGCGTCTGGAAGAGTTGGTAAGGTCGTCGTTTCCGCTCTGAGATCGGCAGGGTTCAGCGTGACTGCCATTGCGAGACCGGGTTCAGATGCAGCCTATCCCTCGGACCTGGTAGTCAAGCGTGCTCCCTACGATGACTTCGATTCTCTAGTGGCTATACTTCGTGGACATCACGCTATTGTGGAAGCCTTCAACCCCGCCGCGGCTGACCAGCAGACCACGATTGTGAAAGCCGCATTGGCTGCTGGAGTTTCGCATTTGATCACTCCAGACTTTAGTACTGACACTTTCAACCCTCACGCATCTGAGATCATGATCTTTGAGCCAAAACTCAAAGCCCAGAAGGAACTGGAGCGGTTGACTTCATCACCCGATTGCCCCTTGTCATGGACCGCCATTATCACGAATGGGTGGTATGACTGGGCCATAGATGTTGGTGTGTTCTGGATCAACAAAGCGGATCGAACCATCACACGTTTTGGTTCCGGGGACCAAAAGTATGCCATGAGTCGATTGGATATCTGTGGCGAAGCCACCGTTGCAGTCTTGCAAGAGCCCGAAAAGTTCCGCAATCGTCCCGCTTACTTTGCCCACCATACCGTCTCTAATAACGACCTCATCTCCATCATCAAAGAGATCTTCCCGCATGAAGAATGGAGGGTGCTCGATGTTCCGGTCAAGGACTTTCTGGATGAGGGTTTGAAGCTCTGGCATGCGGACACGGAGAAGGGTGTGACCAACCGACTTGGAACCAAAGCGTACCAGATGCTGGGAACAATTGCCATCTTCGACGAGGATAACCGCTTCGGAGGAGATTTCGGAAAAAAGGCAGAGCCGGATCACGACGCTGGCTTGGACAGTTTGAAAGAGGATCTTAAGCGATTGTTGACATCCGCTTAACTCTCTGCGGGTTAGGCCTAAAACTTGGGATCAAGTTGCAATATAAGCACCTACCTGAGTGAGGAACCATCAATTTATCAGCGTTACTGCAGTAGGTTCAGTTAGTTGACACCAAATTATGCTATTGAGTATATCGAGACTGTTTTTTACATGAACGAATGGCCATGGCTAGGTTGTTTCTCAAAGGAAATCAAGCCGTGAAAGTTTCCCAATAAGATTATATCTCTCCTCCTTTTTGATAAGTGATATTTTGTCCTGCAAACACAACGCAAGTGGCAGATGAAGGGCCGTGGTATGACGAGACGTGATCGAGTGAGCCACCCTTCTCCGCCTCAGTGGGTGGAGTGGACAGCAAACTCCTAACTCCGAGAGCTCCCAAAGGAGATCTTTGGCCTACCATAGAATGAAACTCTGGTCAGTAGTCTCTAGATACTCGAGAGTGTTTTTCTGATCCTGAGCTTGTGCATGTATTTTATAGAATCGTCGTGCTAATGCACCCGAGTGGATCTAATGCAGGCATGTCCGAGATCCGGAAGTTAAGTCCAGAGAAGCCGTCTGCATATAAAAATACGCATTCGACGTGCCAAGTTTCTCGGCAAATGATCATATCCAACATTCAATTCGAACTCAAGCTGCAATCATCATGGCTTCTCGACCAGACTTTGACAAAGACACAACTTCGGAAGAGGTTGTTGCAGCGTTTTCCCATCACATCGCCGGGACCACAAGTAAGCTTTCGTCGATTAAAACATGTATTTCCTTTGTATGCTAAGAGATGAAGTACTTATTACCGGAGTTTCCCCTAATGGCCTCGGCGCAGCTATGGCAATGACCCTTGCTTCAAAGCATCCTGCTCTGTTGATATTCACGGCACGGCAAATCGCAAAAGCCGATGAGGTGGCTCATGCTATCAAGACTAACGTCAAAGATTCACCGTCAATGATTTCATTAGAGATGGATTTGTCCTCTTTTGAATCTGTCCAGGACGCTGCTAAAAGGCTGGTAGAGCAAAACATCACCATCAATACCCTGGTGAATAATGCCGGAGTAATGGCATTGCCAGATCGAACCCTATCTGTCGATGGCCATGCATTTTGCGACTAACTTTCTCGGCCATTGGCTTTTCACCAACTTAATCTCATCCAATATCGCCCAAGGTGGACGAATAGTTAATGTCACATCCGGAGGCTACATGATTTGTCCTATCCGCTTTCATGATATCGATTGGGAGGGCGTAGAGGCATTGCCCCAAGAAGAACAGCCAGATTTTGCCGCAGCAAAAAGTTTGGGAATTGGATCTCTCACATCGACTGGTGATTATAATGGGATGCTGGCGTACCTGCATTCAAATGCGGCAAGCATGCTTCTCTCTGTTGGGCTCACAACACGCCTCAAGAGTCAGAGGGTCTCGACACTCAGTGCAGCCCCGGGAGGTACGATATCATTTCACTAATCTACTTTGCTCTTCTAAGTTAACGATTTAATAGTGGCAATTACGGAGTTGCAACGGCATATCGGTGGTTTCCGTAATGCAACTATGGAATACAAGACTGCTACACAGGGGGCCGCCAGCCTGCTTGTTGCAGCCCTTGACCCTGCTCTTCAAAGTAAGAACAGCTACTTGAGGCTCATCTCCCCCGAAAAGGAATTTCTATTGACACGGAGCAAAACATAGGTCACAGCGGTGCATACATCAACGATTGTCAGCTTACGGAGATCATATCTAGCCACGTTCAAGACGAAGAGGTGGCGAACAGACTCTGGGCCGTCGCCAACAAAATGACTAATTGCAATTTTTAATGGTCGAATGGCCTTTTAAGAGTTACTATGGGTGTCTGGGCTAAATAATTTCAGCTAAAGAGTATTTGGAACTTACTTCGGTACCTCAGCCGTGGGTGAAGAAGCGAGCTGCCTGTAGACCGTCAGAGATGGAGAGCGCTGCATTAGGCTAGACTAGCATTGCTACACGTGATAATGGATGGCTTACAATTTCCGGCTTCTGTAGTGGTAACTTAAGAGTTTCAACATAAATTAATTCTGAGTGCCTCCAACCACTGGACATGGAAAGCATGGGAATCCCGGCCTGCGAAGCCTGTCGGCTAAAGAAAAGGAAATGCGACAAGGCCCAGCCTACATGCTCTCAGTGTTCACTGTAAGCGAAATACTCACCCACTGCCAATCATTTGAGTGGTTTGTCTGATCGCCAATGAGATGTAGGCGAGACCACCAATGTACTTATATTCACGGTGTCCGATCCGGCAAGAGAAGGCGTCCATGCTCATCTCCTTCGAATGAATGCACCGTCATTACGGAACCTGGCGATCCCCGAGCTTGCACTACACGTTCATTGCCGGATGCTGCGGAGGCTCTTCGAGATGGCTTTCCCACGGTCGCTTTTGTTGATCAATCTATCCATAAAGAGTTGCGCACACAGGTCCCTAGGGCCCCTTCATCCCGGGCTCTCCATCTCTTCGACTTGCGGCAGTTAGGAGAGAGTAAAGAGGAGATGCTGACCTATGTTTCGTCGTATTTTAGTGACGTACACGTGTGGCTGCCAATCTTACATAAACAGCAGATTTATACCTATTTGGAAACGTCGAGATTGGATCTACCTGTTGACGTCGCCTTGCTTTTCCTTTCCATTAGACTTCTTGTCTCTGGCCCTAAAACTTGGCCTACCGGGCCTCGATCCGCTATCTATATGACGGCGAAACAAGGCTTCGCTGGGTTGGAGATCGGTGGAATTCTGTCCGAAACTGTCCTGCAAGCTAGTCTTTTGATCTCACTCTATGAAATTGGGCATGGGATATATCCATCTGCCTTTCTAAGCGCTGGGGCCTGTGTGCGCTATGGTCTTGCCATCGGTCTAGGAGGGCCACAGGAATGCCGACTACAACGACCGTTGAGCCGGTTCGATCACGAGCAGAGCCGTAAACTTTGGTGTGCTGCCAATCTTTTAGAGCGGCAAGTTCCCCCCGTTTTAATTCATACGACTTCACAGCCGGCCACCGGAAGTGATCACATTGCAACGGACGGCCAGCGTGAGCTAAAAGGCGACTGTACACTAACATCTATCCAAACACCAGATTCACGCAACTGGGCCGCTTGGGTCCGATACCCCCGAATGGGAATTTGCCGGATAGCAAAGCCGTGCAGATGTTTGGTAACGTATGGTTAATTGTCCGCAAGACAGTGATATAAGCTAAGATTTTGACCTAAGTCCGAAAGCATCCTGGCACACAGCACTTCAACTAGCGGCCAAGAAAGAACAAGAGACGAGGGTTGCTTTGTTTTACTTGTAGAGTCTACCAAGCTTCTCGGACAAGTGCTTTCTCACATTTCCTCTACAAAATCAGAAGAGGCTGTTGGCGGCTTGTCAACAAAAGCGCAGGATGAACATCAACAACTTGGTCGGACCATGCAATCCTTGATATTGGCAGCAGAAGACGAGGCTGCCAAATACGGCGTTGAGATTAGAAGCCAGCTATGCATCTGTTACAGGTAGGTACTCCCCTTTACATTGGCCCTTGTAGAGTAGACTCTAAATATTTTAGCTCTATACTTGCTCTACATCAACATGAACAGATGCGAGGCTATAATGATGGTTCTTTACAGCCTTGGAGTGAACACTTGGATTCACCTTTAGGTCTTGTTATGGACAGAGTCATGGAGCTTTGCGATACGATTCTGAAAAAATCCGAGCCTGAATTGCAGTCCATACCTCCCTTACTGCTTCATAGCATTTACGGTGCTGCGAGGGTGGCATCATTGAATCCGCTGGAAAGGTCAAAGGGGCGCGGATCCATCTTCCGAAACACACTGCAAAGGCTCAATACGAAGTGGAAGGTTGCGGGTACGTGATGCTCTCCGGACCAAACAACTTGTTCCGTATCACCTCTGCTAATACTGCTTTAGGTGTATATATAGAATCTTTGGAGACATTAGACGTTTTATGTTTGTGAAATTTGATACATCTTAAACCAAACTATAGAGCCAGTTTCATTGAGGAGAAATGATAGGGGCATCCATCAATATTCTTCACCACTCAAGGGCGGTAGTATTCTTTGCGCAGGACAATCCTGAACAAAAGCTGATATCCTCCGCCGTATGATCAGATCCTCCAGGGGCAGCCTGTCGAGCGGCCCATATTTCCTGGCCGGCGGCTTGCTCCAGCTTCCGGTGGTCATTCAGCACCTGTCGTACTCGACTTTGGAAGTACAACGGGCCCTGTTCCATTCGCGGATGCATCTCTCCATTGACGAAGACCCCGGCATTGAGATTCTTCTGGGCGTTGTTGCAAAGCCACTTATCCTCGTTCAGGATTCGCTTGAACATTTCATCAATCGTCTTGAAGTCTTCATCACTGGCGTTTTTGTGCCGGTACACCTCATATTCCATCGAACAGTGCGTGTAGGAGGTGGGGACGCATCTCATCATGTAAAAGAAGTGCGGTCTACATTGATTAGCAGTAGTTCGGATTTGAGGTAGTTTGCTATACTCACGTAACCGTCATGCAGGCATTGGGAAAATAATAGTTGGACACGAGATTATATACATCTTTGACCTCAGTGTTTGTTGTATCAGGTAAGTGCTCGATGTGTCCGCCTTTGACTTCAACGCTGTACTTGTCAAGGTCGGAGAGGCCCAAAGCATCCGGATGCGTCGTTTTGCAATGATAGCATTCGTTGTAGTTGTCTGCGAGGGTCTTCCAGTTATAGTCGCCGCTCATCTCCCAGGTATGGTCGAAATGATAATCATCAAAATTAAAGGCCTTGTGCCTTTCAAGCTTATCAATGTTATCAAATTCTTTCCCAAACGGCTCTGGGTTCTTCGAAGCATCTAAATTCACCCAGATGAAACCGTGAGCATCCACGTGGACATGAATGGGAAACAATCCATTCTTTGTTTTATCGAACCCTTCCATGTCGAGATAGCCAGGCGCTTTGGCAAGTTGGCCACTGAGTCCATACGACCAGCCATGATATTTGCAAGCAAGTACTAATGACTTGCCCTTTTCCTCTGTAACGATAGGAAACGCACGGTGACGACAAACATTGTGGAATCCATTAATCCTCCCCCTGTGATCCTTCACGAGAAAGAACTGGAACCCAGCCTCCTCGAATCGAATCCACGTGCCGTTCTCCACGAATCGCAGCTTGTGCGAAATAAGAATCCATTTCTTTGAAAAGATAGCACGGCGCTCAAGTTCGTATACCTCGGCCGATCTGTACCAGGAAGAAGGGAGGGCCCGGACAGTAGCCTTTTGTGGGCTAGGCTTTGGGAATAATGATTTAGGCAATTTCGCTAAAGCTAACTTTATGGCGAGTGCAAAGCTGCCAAGCGCCAGGGCAACAATCAGGTTAGGGAAAATATAAGGTGCGATGGTGATGTGCATGGTTAGATTTTGAAAATCGTTTTGTGCTGTGAGGCAGGCAAGGCATGAGCAGCCTGAGCATTCTTGATTCTTCATACCGACTTATATCTTTCCATCAAGGGGACTGCGTATCATCTTCAAGGATGCAAAGGCCGGATTCTCCCCGCTCCGGTGACGGGGAACTGTCAAGGGATGGAGGTCATGTGATCGGATATTCCGTGTTGGTGAGCCACACCCTACGCCAGCAGAATAAGTCTTTGAATTAAAAGAATAGCTTAGGATATGGAAAAGTAAATATAGAATGCGTCGACTCCAGCGTTCATTGCCCGGTTTCTAACATCCAGTGAGTCCATCCCCTCTTAATGGCAGTGATTTACACTAGCATCTTGGTATTTGACAGATAGTGGTTGATATAATTGAATCGCTACTTCATAATAATAAACACCATGTATATAAAATCAACAATAGTTGTGTTGCCAGATCATACATCACAAGGTAGTGAAATCCCACCATTCCAGCCCTGGCCCAAAACTATCTCCAATGTTCCCAACTTGTCCCCAAGGACCCCAAGCCAAATTAAAGTCAGTTTGGTCGTACTGCCCGTCGGACATCATCCTGTTGAAAGACTGGTGGAATGCCTCTTGCTGTGCGATCGACAAGTGTGGACGGGTTCCTGAGACTTGTGTCTCGTCTGTTTGTGATGACATCCACTCGGGCGGCGAAGCGTAATGTCCCGTCGACTCCCGGATCCTCGCCGGAGGTGTCCCAATGTCTGAGCTGTTCAGCATCATCTCGTCATGGCCATCCTCTGTGGAACCACATTGAGACTCGCTAGCGTAGTGTGGGAACTGAGGCGCGGCGATGTCGAGAAGTAGCCATTTGAGAGCCATTGTAGGCTTCGCTTTGGTCGATCCGAGGCGTTCAACTTGGATTGGCGATGGTGTTACAAAGTTCTTGAACAAGTTGAGGGATTGCTCCTTGAGTTAAAAATCAATAACCAAGCCCAAAATAGTAAAGAATCAATACCACATACGATAGTTGCACAAACCGGTAGGTATGTTGCCATTTCAGATATGACTGTTTGACAGATTTCGAGGTTCTCTAATGCTCTCGTCCTTACACTAGCGTCGTTTACACGCGCCCAGTACAGATTCAACGTTGCCGCAATTCCTGCTGCCTGAGCGAAGAATGGGTCATCGATCTGCAGCTGTTTCTCTCTAGGCAACCTCAGAAGCCTAGACACCCAATTACAATGTCGAAGGGCCTTCTCTGAAGATTCTCTCCAAAACGTAGTCTTGCCGAATTTTTGTTTCGAAATCTTGGACGAGAAGAGAAATGGGTGATTGAGCATACAGAGAATAGTATGGTATGTAACCTGCATTCGCAACCATGGGAGCCAGTCGTGCCGGTCTCTTTGTACCTCCTCTTTAGATAACTCTGTAAACCGTACGTTATTGTAGCTCAACTCTGTTCGGTGCGTTACTTCAAGGTCTAAAGACCGTGAATAGAGCGCGTGGTAATCAGAGTTGATGTTCCACGGAGCCTCAGTAGACCCTTCCATGCATCTGGAAATGAATACTCTGACATCACCCCACAGACTGCCAAGCCGTGCGCAATGCGCCCAAACGCCAAACAAGGTACCCCCATCCTCCAGAGGAACTGGTGGGCAGGCTGTCTTACCATTTTTCGACTCCGCCGTTGAGAAGAACGAAGTCTTGATGCCATCCGCTAAAACCGGAATCAGAATCGGGGGGCCATAGAATCTGTTCAGCACCGAAAGACTCCAAAATATCCGTGATCTGTCGTCAGGACTGTACACTCTTCCTGTAGTATCTGAAGTAATGTTTGCGTATTGCATGAGGTTTTGGGCAAATGACATATTCAGGCCGGCAAGGGGGATATTTCCCGCTATCTCATATTGTAAGTCCCAGTTTGACCTCAAGACCTGTTGAGATTGATGCTTCAAGTAACTTACAAATCACGTTGAAAAATGACAGGAGGCAGAGTACTTTGATGCTTTGCAAATCCGAATTCCCTTCTGCTATATTAAGCATAATTCGTCGCCTCGCTTGATCATAGTAATACGTAGAACTCTGCAAAGCCGGGTCATTGAATTCCCCGGGAGAATAAGTAAGACTCAAGGCAAGTAGGGCATAAGTAAGTTCCTCAGACGTATCGGCAGGGGGAGAGGCGCTCGTTTCGAAAAGCCATAAGGGTTGACGATGGATACGTTGAAAATACACTTCGAATGACTTTCGCACATGGTTCGTCTGTAGTGTTGATCTGCGTATGTTAGCCTGCTATCTATTCGGGTCATGAATGAACCGTACACTGGCGTTGCTGGACACGCTGAACCAGGTAAATTAGTTCTCGGACCAGCAGCTAAGCTTGGTGTCACGTCCTTTGCTGGTCCAAGTCTGCGATAGCGAGTCAGTCCTCAATTAGATCATTCAAGGCTAAGACAACATACTCGAACTTATCATTCAGACTGTTAAGCTGGGCCTCAAGCAGTCGAAGCCGGCTGATCTGTTACCGTCAGCAAGTGTCTAGCGTTTGTATAGAGCTTTCACTTACCACATCCTCATTCGAAGGCTGCTCCGCGTCATGCTCATTGCCATCATAAAAGCATCTCTGATCCAAACGTGCACAGGTGGAACATCTCGGTCTCTGGCCTGGGCACCGAGTCTTCTTTCGACTCCACGGGGTATGTCAGTATGGCGATCATGACTTGGCAGAATGGGGTAGTTGTACCGGCAGTTGTCACAAGCAATGCCCACGCGTCGATATTGTCTCGATGACCGGGTATTCATGGTCCCGATGGGCTCATTCGACAAAGTGATCACTCAACGAAGAATATTCACGATAGTGAAGCGGGGAGACGGTCGGAGTATGCCCCTCGGAATTCCCGACCTCTTTGTCCGCCTGCAGCTGCTAATGCAGAGTAGCGATACCGGCACGGAAATCCCGCGGTTAAATCTGTGTTATCAATTCAATAATATTGGCTATCTGCAGGCTCAGGTGCTCTCACCCCCACCATAAATTGATGTAACTCTCGGTCGTCTCGACACGCTGGACAACAAATGTTGTATTCCGCCCTCATCTCCCTTTCTACAAGACAAAATTACCATCTACCACATCTCATCTCGTTTGATCAAATTAAACGATGGAGCATTTTGATGTAGCCGTTGTTGGGTTGGGTGCCATGGGAAGTGCTGCTGCGTATCATGCTGCAGCCAAAGGAGCCAAGGTGATTGGGTTTGAACAATTCGAGTTTGGCCACGTCCGAGGCGCATCGCACGATACATCTCGCATCGTGAGGACTTCATACGGAGCCCCCGAATACGTCGCGCTTGCTAGATCTGCCTACAAGGATTGGGCGGAGCTTGAGAAACGATCCGGGTTGTCGTTGCTGACCATCACTGGAGGCGTCGTATTTTTCCCCAAGGATGGGCCATGCCCTGCGAGTGATTATACCGAGAGTCTGGACGCAAATGGGCTTCCATACGAGCTTCTTGACTCTCAGGAGGTCAACAAGCGATGGCCTCAATTTGGCATCCCCGATCGGGTAGATACGGTCTATACAGCAGACACCGGAATTGTTAATGCGTCTCGGGCTGTGAATACTATGCAATATCAGGCTCGTGCGTTTGGAGCCGTGTTGAAGGAGAATACCCGCGTCGATAAAGTGACCCCAGACGCAAACGGTGTGATCGTTGAGACATCAAATGGCCCAGTTCATGCACGCAAAGTCATCCTCGCCGCCGATGCCTGGATCAATAAGCTCCTGTCGCCGCTTCATGCCGAAATCCCCCTGCGAGTTATGCAAGAGCAAATCACATACTTCAAGCCCACAGATGTCGAACGATTCGAGCCCAGCAAGTTCCCAGTATGGATCTGGGGGGCTGAGAAGTGGTTTTACGGCTTCCCTAGCTATGGCGAGCATAGTATCAAAGCCGGACGCGATGTCTCTGAGAACTTGATGACACCAGAGCAGCGCACCTTCACCCATTCGCCTGAATTAGAAGACGAACTCTCGAAATTCATGGACACCATCATCCCTACAAAAGGTCAAACTCTACGGACAGTCACTTGCCAATATGCCATCACACCTGATCGACAATTCGTCATCAGTCCGCTTGAGGAGCACAAGGATATTCTTGTGGCTTTGACAGCTGGGCATGGCTTCAAGTTCGCACCCGCAGTTGGACGTGTTCTCGCCGAACTGGCTTTGGATGGAAAGACAAAGGAAGATATTTCCAAATTTGGCATACCCAAAGTAGCACCTACGAGCAAGCTGTGAGAAGCAGTAATTTGCTCTTGGGACGAATCATTCTTGGAATACGGGAGACTTTGACTGTTAAGATAAAAAACAGCAATCGAAGATGCCAGAACCTATTATCTCAGCACAATGAACTATTGTCGGGAAAAATGCGCTCAGCATAATTGATCTCCATGGGTTGTTGAAGCTCCGAAGTCTGTGACCCTTTAATTGCCAACAAACAGACTCACACCAGAAATTGTCAGAAGCTCGAACTAGCCTTGAACAGCGGGTAGAGGAATGACTGTAAGACGTAAGATCAGAGTTTCACGTGCTGTGCCTGTAGCTTTTTGGCTGTAGGTTTGGTCATTTACATCATCTCTTGAGTTCGGGCGAGCAGTGACTCGAAACTATCAAGATACTACTCATCGCTCAATGGCTTCGCGGCTGCCACGCGGGTAGGTTATTTGATAAAGGAGACATATTCACACCTAGAAGTCTATGTGGAATACACCCATGGTTCACAACATGGGCACCAAGGCAACACCTTTGATCACTGTCCACGAGCATGGACCATGATTTACAGATTTTGTGACTATGACTCTAAAATTGATGTGATACCAATTTCGTAGCCTAATAATCACATTTTGACTTCTTTTCTTGGCAGAAGCTTAATTGTCTCATCCTTTGCCATACGGTTCAGTATCAGACTCGGGGTAGGGGGCGGAGTGAGATCAACTTGATCCCGGTTGTCTCCCATCTCAGACTACTTACCGCACTCGCAGCCGCCTATGATATGAAGCATAGTAACGTTATTCTCGCCCTAGGCATACTTGAGTCACCTAACACAAATATCAATATCATTTGTTCGTGGACAAGGCACAGAAATTCGCCCTTAGGCAGAGCTACATGTCTTCTGAGGACCCTGTACTCATCTCATGATCTCCATAACTCTAAGGATTTTCACACGCGGTATGAAATGTCGAACTGTTACACACCATGTCCTTACAGCTGATCTAACTTTCTCGGTAAGTTGTCTAGATGAACGTATCTGTGATTTACTATTCATTGTGTTGAGTTGTCGGGTTCTAGCATCTTCCATTACCATTTAACTTTATACTCAAACTCTCTCCCCGTATCTGTGATTTACTCATGACGTTTAATTCAACATAGGACAATAGGCAGAAGCGAAGCATAACTCACCATTCATACTTGCTTCGGGCAAAGGTTGGAAGATTTATCTCGAGAGTTTATTGTCGCGGGGTGTGCTAAGACTTTTCCTGTAGAGTCAAGGTTCAGGCATCCATTGTGAATAGCTTATCACGACCCATCTGACTCCCATGGCTGTGAAGAAACTCCAAACCATCTTGATCCAAGTTATTTGCAATAGAACCTTGATCGGAATGGCTCACCCAGCTCTCTGCTCGGGGGAGCCACGCTAGGAAAGACTGAAACTCTAGGGTTTTTTACGCCCTGTTTTTCCGTAAAATGCAATTTGGCTTTGGCAAAATGAGTCAGAGATCACTTCCTAAGGGCCACAAGTCACATATATGCAGGGCGGAAAAGTCTGACCATGGAAAGTAAGTCTCGAGAACAGAGTTTAGTCCCCACGGGGTTACTACACTGAGTTTCTTCCCCATGGGGAACCCCAGATCCAGTCCAACAGATCATTTCTTAGTGTGTCCAAAAAACCTATATATAGACGTCCTCTGGCCTTTCTTGTCTCCCATCTTTTATTCCTCCATCATCTTCTCAATATCAATTGTGACTTGACTTCTTACTGTCATCCTTATTTAACTTCTCCTTATCATCACCGTTCTTGACGACTTGAAGTCATAACTTTAGACACCCTACTTCCTCACACGTACCTCGAGTCGTGTGAATTAAAACCTCTCTACACTCGTCACCATCTATTCTCTAGTCACAATGTCTCCTCGACTTACCTCTCACTCTTCTTCCTCTTCTTTCTCCTCCTCCTCCTCCTCATTATCATCGTCATCATCCTATTACTCTCCTCCCTCACCATCCTCCTCGTCCTCGTCCTCATACAAGCCGCGCAAGGCTTCTCAGAAGCCAGACGGTTCTCGAAAGCCACACGGCTTCTCGAGCTGGGAGGAAGGCGACATTGCCTTTCTGAAGCCGTGGAATGAGATCGAAAATGACCTCCCACCCAAGGCATTCTCCTCATTCCACAAGGCCATCGGGCACCAAAAGCGTGCCTGTAACCACCCTGTCATCATCCTCAAGGCATCACCGGATGGGTCACACTTCGCAGTGACCACCGTATCCGCCTACAGTTCCAGCAGCGACAATGATTACCTCGCGCCCTGGAACCAACCTCACCACTTCAGAAAGGCAAAGAAGGACTTCCGATCCTTCGACGGCTCAGAGAGAGCCAATGGTCGACCAACCCTCCTACTAGAGGGAAATAAATTGATGCCCAAGCCTGAGCTCAGCTGGGTATACATCCAATCGATTTTGGTCGTGGACAAGAAGGCACTCAAAGTCTTCACCAAGTCCCGCGACCATCTTCGACTGACCCCACGGAGCCTGACAGACCTCTGGGCACACATGGAGGCAGAGACGAGAGACTTCGACCGAGTAGCGCGGACACTTGCCACCGCCATCATGGCACCACAGTCTATTGCCCAACCCCATAGAAAGGGTCAGGAGCAAGCAACAGGGCGCAGTTCAAACCTTCCCGCGAAGGCAGTCCCCACACCTACTTCACCTCCGGTCCGTCCCTCAAACCCTCCCTCCTCATGGGCCCAAGTGGTGGCATCAAAAGCCATGACGGGTGGCTCTCGGGCTGATGCCAGCTCATCCTCTGCTCCATCGCTTTCCGGAGCACAATCTTTGTGCCGATCCGAAAGCAAGAGGTCGAAGCCACTTGGGTCCCAGAACGCGTTCCGTGTGTTGTCATGCGCCTAATGCGCAAATTCCCTCTCTCGCCCCCTCAAACTCAACATAAGGTTGAGTGGCTTGACTCACATAGTGGAAGGTGTATGAAAGGCACGAAGAAGCTCTGGTAGCCTTAGGCTACAGTCATTGTGATTGGAAGGTACCTCCAAGGAAGGGTATTTAGCTCGGAATTTGTGCAGAACTAGATAGAATGAAACTCAGACTTGTCATCGCCTCTCAAATCTGTTCCCACCGTCTGTTCTTCTTGCACTACGACCAAGCTGTTCACAACAAACCAGACCCGGCAGCTACAACTGCTGGGTCTATCCATCTATTGCGAAGCTAGCCGCGCCCAGTATTTCCAGAGCACTTTTTGAGGACAATGAATGGCTAAATGGAGAGACATACCTTGCTAACGACGGCCCTCTTATGCATGTCTATCGCAACCCAACGTTTGACCAATCGCTCCAGAGTTCGTTTTCTTCAATCGCCATGGACGACACAAAGCACATAATCAGACCACACACGCCACCACATCACATCAAGAAAAAAAAGGAAAAGTGAAGAAAAGAAAAGAAAAGAAAAACACGGTCCATACATGAACCTTCCACGCCAAGAAAGCGTCGTCGGAATTTACATATAAAGCCTAACCATACGCATCACCGTCTCAAGAAAGAAAAGAAACAAAAACCCCGAAGGCTGGCCAGCTTATACATAATTTGATCATGGCTCTTAAGAGGGGAAGCTCGTCATTCATTAACCACAACCACCTTTCCTTTCCAACTTGAATTTCATCATCCATCAATCACAGCCATCTCTCCCCCTAGTCACCAACCACAGCCACTTCAAGCAACAACCACAACAAAATGCCATCTCATACAATCACCCCCTACCGCAAGGCTTCAGTCAAGGCGAATGAGAAAGACCTCGAAGATATGATGATGAAAGTCTTAAGAGACAACAGCACACGGCTCTTGACCGAGCACATCCAAAACAAGCCCCTCCGATTAATCGAGGGCGTCATCGCGGTGACGAAGCCGACTTGGTATATGATCGATAGAGTCGGTCCGGGCGGGGACGGCTCTGGCTACAATCAGACATGCGACACGAAAGATGGAAGAAAAGGGATACATTGGTTTTAGTGGGACAAGCGATCGATGACAGGCAGAGGATGAATTGGGAAGACATGCATGGAGAGTTCAATTATTTGGTTCGTGGGTTCGTACTGGGATTATACATGGGTTTCAATGGGTTATCAATTGGTTCATTTATCGGCAGCAATATTGGGACAACATAACGTTGGGACAACGTTTTTTCTTTGGGGAGGCAGTTGTCGGATACGAAAATGCACCGACTGGTATGTTGATTGACCTACCCTGGACCCATTGATCTATCTGATAGCTTATCGCCGGATCGCAGATAGGAGAATGAAACTCAAGCTTATCATCAATCATTTGCCTGTGCCAATTGGTAGCAATTGAAGAATCAAGACAGGGTTTTCATACCTAAGGTCGTCAATGACATATATGGCGGATGAGTCCTCCCACAGGTGGAATCGGACGAGGTTGAGAAATGAGTGCCAGAGAAGATTCAGCTGAGAATACGTTCTCTCAAGGAGTCGCAGCTACTTGGAGTGGGGGAGATCAAGGACGATGACACATGAGCACGACTGATGATCGAGCCCAGTATTGGAGATATGGTGTATTTGGTGTTCAGGCTAATGAGCTGACTTGGCTGAAATATGATATTTGAATTGGCCTTACATTGATGTGATGTGTGAATTGATGAACATTTTGACTTTCAAATCCAACACCAATATTCAACATGTGTTTGTAAATTCCAGGTTCTTCCAAATCAAAAAAGCTAAATAGGCTTTTGCTATCTGCGAGACTTTAACACGTCCGAGATCAATACTTAACTAGATCTACATAGATGATATGATGAATGTTGCTCTGAATGACTACGTTCACTTCGATGGTTTACACTTCAGCAGTATGGGTTCGTGTAAAGAATGGGAGCCGAATCGGTTCGAGATGGTGAAATTCATGGCTATGTCACTACGTGATCGAAGCGGGTAATTATAACATTCTTGGTACTGCCGGAAATTGCATTGATTCTTGTATTCAAGAGAAGGGATTTGACAAGCTATCCTCCATGACAAATGATCTAATGCTCTACAGTCCTGCAAGCCTCTTTTCTCCGGGTGTAGAATGAACAAGATAAGGCGAGACGGGCGGCACTGCCTGGAAGTAGTGATAATCTTCAATCACAAAGTTCTTCCCAACAACATCGATTTCCACTTTCCATTTCAAAATATGAACGTTGCGGATCAAATGCGTATCAAAACTCGGCCTCAAGTGATTTGCGTGGAAATTCATCTCCTTCTCATAGGGAATTTGGAATTTCACCGCATTGCCCAAATCGACCGCGGGTGTCGAAGCCTCGTCACACGGTACCTCCAACTCATAGCCAAGACGCATCAGGGCAAGATTGGTGTTGATAATCTTGTTCCGGTCCCAGAACCTTCCCACGCCTGAATTCATCGGCCCCATGACCGTCACGCGAGTAATAACCTCTAGAGCGAAGCGCTTTATAACAATCTTGGGCGATAACTTGCCCAGGCTCTCCTGTGACTTGTCCCACAGAGGGGCGGCTTTCATTTGGAATGGGACGAAATATGGGTTCCCCAGCTGAATCAGTTTGGGGACAGCAATTATGAGCTGGAAAGTGAAGGTCGGGGTCGAGCGGGAGCTGAACAAACCCTTCATCTTCTGCGAGGTAGAAAGCTTGGTGTTCTCTTTTCCCGGGATCAATCTTTGTGAAGACACGGACAGTTCTTTCTGACAAAAGTTGAATGGCGTAGATGTCAACGACTCTCCAGTGCGGAAATATTCTATAATGATTGGCAGTACGGCCTTGGCCTTGCCGCTCTTCCCTTGCCCCTCCAGTTCCATTTCAGCTTCGAGGGTATACTCGATGACAGCTTTCCGGTCTGAGTCGTAAGTCCCATCGAAGGTCGGTGGTAATATCGCCGTCGTGCCATCATCGTTTCGCAGTGGGAAAAAATACTTTTTGGGGTTTGCGTCTGCAGAGAGGCACGCCGAGTCAATGTGCGTTGGAATCGTCAATGTAAAGGGCCAATCCTGGCGCAGCTGTCCCGAAGGCAAGTAAACCGGCCCGTCATGGATAATTTGGCTCTGGTCCAACATTTGCATCTGCCCATTGAACTGCGGAATCTTGGTTCGCACTTGGCCATGAAGCCTCAGCTTGAGTGTGGCGTGATCACAGGCAATAGGAAGCTTCCGGTAGATTCGCCCAGTGACCACATCGCCCGGTTGGTGAGGGTGTTCGGCATCTAGCTCAATATTCAGCGTCGAGTTGAGGGAGTCAGACTTGAACAAATTCATGGTAGCTAGCCGGGCATATTTACTGGAATACAGCAGGTCTGGTATGAGCGAGACGCGAAGTATCTAACTAGACCGACAAGGACCGTTGGGGGCAGATAGAATATTGCCTCTTGAAGAGGGGGTGGAATAATCAATGAGTTGAGCTCGAAGCCTAAAATCAACCTTCAGATCATGCATGACAACTTCGGCAAACCGGCACATTTTATCGATCAGCCGCAATGTAACCAAAGGCAGGGGCATATGGCTCTCGCTTACCTTCGAGCGGGGTAATCGACAGGATGGTCCTATCCATGTGCCCAAATTTTGCATCTCTCCCCGTCACACGGCTTTAATCAAGCCAATAATGCAAGGGCTATACAATCCGGTCTCGAGGTTGCCTCAGTCGGTCTCTGCCCCGTTGGAATAAGCAAGTGAGGGCTGCTAGGGCCAATATTATATTATTCAGAGGAACAGGCTCCAGGCAGCTAGGTGTTTGGTAAATTTGACCCAATCAGTTACCAGGAAGTATATTCAAGACGTGCTCCTTTCTGGAAGTTTCTACAGCTACAATCTTTCATAGCGTGCCTTAACCATTGGCTGAGACGAATTTCAAACTTAGAATGCTAGCTGGCATAGTCAATAGATTTTTTACGTTGCCAATATATTCACAATTAAATAGACATTCTATGTGAAATTCCCATCCTCATGATTAATTCTTTTACGAGCCTTCCTATATCCAACAGAAGCCGGGTGCTGCCATGACAGTCCCTTCTTCTTAGTGGTGATGAGCTTGATACAAAGTCGCTCCTCAAATCTATTTATTATTTCCTGTTTCTTCTAATTATTTAGCTATTTGGGTCATGTTCGTTCTGACCTTTCTAATCCCTCGCGCTCCTCTACTGTAAGTTCACTCTTGGCATGTCCTATTTTGATAAAGGGCAGAATGAGGCACGATACACCAGACACCCCGACAGCGAACCAGAATGCAACCTGATAGTTCTTCTGTCGGCTGAGATGGCTGGTATGCGAGACTGCAACTTCCCCAAACCCGGAAAAGAAGCTTACACCCAAGAACAACAAACTATTGATGAAAGCTCCAGCAAGCCTCTGCTGGTGTCCTGGCAGGTTCGTTGTGATAAACACATTGCTGACTGTGAAAGCAATATCGATACCAATTGTTGCCGCAATCATGGATGCCATCACCCAGGCCCAGTAGTTCGGATCTGCAGGCATCAGGGCAAAAAGCAATACACAGACCACAGTCCCCACACCAGAAAGACACAGAAGCACTGTTCCATGGAGGCGGTGCAAGACCAAGCCTCCCACCTTTCCAATGAATAGACCGCCGATAATCATCGGTAGGAACCACACAGCGGTCACCAGCGGCGACTTGCCGACAACAAGTTCGAGATAGAAGCTGCTGTAGAGAAGAAAGATGCCAAAGGTGCTGTAGAGGCCAAATTGTGCTACCGCGAGTGGCGTCATACCCGTTGTACGGAACAGCTCAGCAGGCAAGAGCGGCTTCACGGCAACGTAACCTTCAACATATACAGCTGCGGCAAAAAAATCCGACACCAAGAATCAGTGTAACAATGATCCGAGGGCTTGCCCATCCACTTAGAGCCTGAGAGCTGTCGGTGATGGCGTAGACCAAGAGGATGAGGCCAGGGACGACTGTCACAACACCCAGCCAATCCATTTGGATGGCGGATGGTGGTGTGCGATGAAAGTCGTTCGGAATGGTGGTAACACCCGCCAAACAGAAAATGCCTAGCATAATGGATCCCAGATAAAAGTACCAGCGCCAGGTCAAGTATTCGCCTGTGATGCCACCAAAGAGGATACCGAAGAAGAACCCAAGCGGTGCAAAGGCACCGTACAGTGCAAATACTCGATTCTTGCGCGGTCCTGGCCGGTAGATTTTCCCGAGAAGAGCAATGCTCGCCGGGAGATACGCCGCTGGCCCGAGTCCTGCAAGTGCACGACAGACTATGAGCATGACATAGTTCTGGCTAAAACCGGCGACGAGTTCCAGATGAGGAACCAGACCATCCCAGCATTGAAGAGAGTGTAGCCTCCATACATGTCGCCGATGCGACCGAACGGCAATAGAATACCCCAGTCACAAGAGAGAATACGCTCGAGGGCCACGTTTGTGAGCCCGCAGGGATATCCAGCTCCTGCGTGATAGGTGGAAGAATGATGTGAAACCCAGATATGAAGAATTCTTAGATCCGAAACCGACATCAGCTCGACTGCAGCGAAACCGAGACAAGTGGTATGGATTTCTGACCTACCGCCATCAGCATACACCCCAAGACTGAAACACAAAACCCCATCTCCGACCAAATGTTTCGGAACTCTTTGGGCCTCTGCCGACCAAGCTTTTCGATCTCCAATTCGGTTGTCAGCTCTCTGTGGCCCAGTTCGGGCTCGGATCCGATTGCCCCCATGGCGATTGAGGGGACCAGGACGGTTGCTTCAATGGCTGAACTAGTGGCTAGTCTCTTGGCCTTCACGATACTTCAAAAAGACGTGACAGTTTTCAATGTTTAAATATAAATGAACGGCCCCGCTGAATACGTCAAATTAAGCTTGAATGAGGCTATCCCTCATGCCATCCTCGTGACAAAGCCCTTGCCACGATGCAGCATCCGGACTGGATGTAGGAAAAGCAGGACATCGCCCCATTTATTCACGGGATCTGAAGACAGGCCACGGCGCTTCCAAACGCTGCTTGGGTTGCCATTGGATCCGTCGAAATTAGTATTGGCCGGATCCACTGACAGAGCTTCGAGGATGGCGAGAACGGAGTTCCGTGGGCCCGGGATCAAACTTACATAGCATCATGGTTTCCTTTTGAACCGAACGAAGAATAAACAGTTATTGAAAGTTTTCGTTCATCGCTCCAGGAGGACCATAGATGTATATGTTCTTCCTTCCCTAGGAGCCGTGCCATGAGCAAAAAGTGACACCAATTCATGGTTGAAGTCTTCTTGTTCCGTTCGTAAGGAATCACGTGGTCAATTAGCCGACAGGGGATTTTGCTTAGCCGCGCTGGAAAATCGTTTGATCTTGCCCGGCAGGATTTTCTTTTTTTCGTAATGCAATGGTCATGGACTGCGCAGAGGCCTGCTCTACATTGCCTCCATTATGAAGAAATCAATCTCGGCATTGCGGTTCCGACGTCCGAGAGGGGCCAGGGGTCAATGTCATCAATCCGTGATCGGATCAGGGGAGATCTTAGATCCGAAGGCTCTCGGCAACTCACTATGCTCGCGGAGAGCTTCACATAACTGGTCCGTCTGTCATGACGAGCACATGGGAAGTTAGCCTTGTGAACTCCGTAAATCGATGTCTATTGCTGTACGGATGATCGGAAGTATATTATAATATTGTTACTAGAGTTAGTAAGGATTGTCGAAATGAAAATATAAAAGGGCCCATTCATACACTTCCCTGTAAGTCTCAGTCACTCGATTAATCATTTATGACATTCTATTGCTTTTGCAAGCACTTAATATTCCAATCATGGCGCAAACACCAGACAGTCCAACCAAACCTCTTCCGGTCCGAACAATTGCGGGTGTGACAGTTGTCGACACGCAAATTGTCCGCGATGCCCAACAGTTTGCGCGAGAGCACTCCACAGATTGGGTTTATCGCCATGTGATGCGAACCTGGCTCTTTGGCGTCCAGATAATCAAGCACAACCCAACCCTCCAACAGGGGGTAGACCTCGAGGCTCATGCAATCGCTACCCTGCTCCACGATCTCGGATGGCATCAGACAGCTACTTCTTCCTTTGTAAGTAACGATAAACGGTTTGAGGTGGACGGCGCCATTGCTGCCCGGGAGTTCATCCGAAAGCACCAGGACGGGAAGCTCTGGGATGAGTATAGAGTCCAGCGCGTGTGGGATGCCATCGCGCTGCATACACAACCCTCAATTGCCGAGTATAAGGAACTCGATGTCAAGGTAACGGGCAATGGAGTCCTCGCGGACTTTGCCGGGCCGATTTACGGTGTGACAAAGTCAGAGTACGATGCAGTCGTGCAAGAATTCCCCAACGATGACTTCTTGGAGGGGGTGGATGATACCATCGTTTGGCTTTGCAAGACTAAACCCCAGACAACCGTTGGTAAGTCAATTAACTGTATTGGCGAGAATTTAAGTTGGAATGCTAAAAACGTGGCAGATACCTGGCAGCAGCGTTGGGGTGAGCACCATGTTGAAAACTACCCGCCCAAGGGCGTTTCGTTCTGGGACCTTGTACACAGGTGAGGGTGAGAAGACAGGTTGTGTGAGATGAGCTTTCGTGTGCTATTGGAGGCCACAGGAAGATAATATCCATGATGATGTTTTATCATATTCATAACACCGAGTAGTCAAGGGAAGGGTGGAAGATTAGGCAGGATTTGATAACGTAAATTTATGGCGGTAGTTCCTGAAAATGTCAATAAGGACATCCGCCCTGGTTCGCCATGGCGGTTCGTCCTCCCGTATGCTAATGTGCTAAAGTCTCGCAATGATGCAGAGTTCCTAACGCCCGTGCTGTCGCATGCCGGATCATGGCCCTCGTCTAAAAGAAAATAATAAAGTAATGGCTCGCGCTGAAGCTGAATTGATGATCTGTACTAAAAAGGGGCACACCGACCCCAGCCACTTTTCCCGGATTGTTGTATGTATTCACAGTAATTCGAGTCCATCAGGACGAGGCCTCCGCGCTGCGCCAGGAGCTCTCGTACTCGGCCTTCTTGGGCTTCTGCTTGGGCAGATCCCACAGCTTCTCCTCGCTCTCCGTCGAGGGCAGCCGCTCCATCACCCCGGTATTCACGCTCGGTCCGGCCTTGGGTCGCGACACTCCGCTGCTCAGCTCCACGCCGCCGCTGCGCGTGCCGCGGGAGTCCTTGGTCGAGTCGCCGTAGACCAGCGACTGGCCCTGGCCGGCGCCGAGCTTGCCCTCACGCCAGCACTTGTAGAAGGCCTTGAGGGCGGGCATGTTGGCCGCCAGTATGCCCAGGTCGATCTCGACGGCGGACATCATGACCATCTTGCCGAGGGACCAGGAGAAGTCAGGTGACTTGGCGAACTCCATGAGGATGATTGCTCGCAGACCACCTGCGAGGACGGCCGAGCCGCCGGTGGTGATGACGCTGATGACAGCGATTTTTCGTTTGAGGGTCATTTGGAGGCTCATGATTGTGGGAATGGGAAGAATCAAAATGCAGACGTCGACTAAGAAAATCTAGAAATCATGTGATTAGCAACGCGCGGCGCGACTTCGAAGAGGAGAGAAATCAAGTGCTTGAGCAGACACAGCCAGGCAACTTACCAGGGTAAATGGAAAAAAATATGTACTAGATCTCTATTAACAATTGTTTCTTTAATCGGAAATATTCATAGTGTTTACTCACATTTTCGCGTTGATGCACTTGACATCAGGGTGACGTTCGGGGTAGTAGAAGGCCTCGAGTGGCAAACATTGGAGGCCATAGAAGAGCAGAATGGCGATGGTGCCGAGAGAGTTCAGCGCAATGACTGCCCACAAGCTCCAGACGAAGGCTCTGGTTTGGGACAGGCGGAAAAAGAAGAGCAGGAAGCACATCTTGACGAGGAATTGCAGGGTGACATAGTAAAACTCTTCGGCCAGCAGCCCCTATAGTACACTGTCAGAAAGTTAAGGGTGCAGAGGACTTCATTGGTATCTACCTTGAGAAGATGGGTTACCTGCCCTGGGTCTTCTGCTATGACTTGTTCAAGGTGCCTGTTGAGGTTGAGAGTGATTAGCTTGTGGTGATCTTGGCAGAGAGGACAAAGTCATCAATGAACTCACAAGCCGGCACCTTTCATCAAAAAGAATGTGAGCAGAGCTTCCTGGCCGGGAAAGAGGATCTAGAAGAAGTCAGCATCCACCACATCTTGCATTGGGTGCGTCTTCCGGTGTCTAAACGCACAAGCATGCTCGTCATGACCCAATCATCCCAACCAAACGACTTCATTGACACTCCACGGACCCAAATGCGCATCGGAATCGTAATGTAGGTCAAGACAAACAGGATCGAGATGATCGTGTGTGCGAGGGGGCGCATGTCATTCATCCTCGCGGTAGGTGTCGTTTGCGAGGACAACGGCTGAAGCACATCTGACGAGTATCAAGTGTGGATGGAGTGGAAAGGAAACATTTAAGAGTCTCAATCAAGACGATGAAAAAGCAAATATCTGCAGCGAAAGAGTTTGGCCCTGCCAAGCCCCCATGCTTTCCCCAAGGCGGCGATTGATCTTCCTCGCTAATCCCCTTGGTTGTCGGACATTAAATGGGGAAGGGGTTCGCGGTCCAGGGAGTTGGATCCTGGCCTCGCCGCATCATCTACTATAGTACAGTGCAAATATATATCCGCAGTCATCACTAGTGTAGGTAGTCCAGGAGCTAGCTGGGTCATGATGGCGAGAATCTGCCTCCTAAAGGTCTCAGGGATCGTGGACGTTTGCCTCAGCCCCATATAGTAAGAAGATGGAAACCAGTACTGTCTTCCGAGTCGTAGGTGAGAGATACATCAATACCAGATTGACCAAGTGCTTTCCTGTTAGGGTAAGTTTACCAGCAATTAATACTTCTATGGCTATATCAACAACATGAAGAAAGAGGTATTACCATCTTGTGGCAAAACTGGGCCAAGCTGCACTTGTATCACGCTAACATTACTAACGTCTGTGATCCCCGGGTGTGCAACGGCTATAGATGAGGGGAAGGAAGCGAGTGTAAGATCAAAGAAAAGGCCATCTAAGCTAAGCATTGCTGCTTTTCAGAGCATTTAGTACCTGAATCAGGTTCCCTTCTGATGAATACGGGAATGTGGATTTGTATGAGACAATTTCTACCCCCATGGCCCGGGATGCATGTCACCAGAAGAACACCCAAACTGGAGGGAATGCTGATCAGTTACCCACACTTGGGCGCAAGCCGGTTTGCTCGATTCATGATAAATGCCCAAGGGTCCAGGGTCTGACAACAATGTGCACGGTGGCGGATGCGACATAATTCGCAGCATCTTTCCCTTTCTATTTCCAATCGTGATATGTGACGGATGAACAATTCCGCCTCCTCTCAAGCTGTGCGCCTGTCAATGTCGGTCCTGGAAGCCTGCGCTGTCCATCTTGCATACCGTTGAGGTCCAAGCGTGGCACTAAGAAGTGGCATCTCAAAAAGAAGAAACTATGAAGATTATGCAGGCTTTTCTAGCGGTTGGTTGTTGGTTGTTGGTTGCCCAGTCCATGTAAGCAGTGGTCCCCTTTTAGCAAGCATGAAAACCATAGCACGGAATCACGGAACCGAACATGATTCGCAGGCCTTCCAATCATCTCACGGGAATTATCTTCGGTTACGGGGAAACAGGGATGGCAGCCGCAGCGGAAAGGGCGCAAGACCGACCAGAAACGGTCTGGGGAAGCCAGCCGGCTGGACACTGAGCTCAACCACATTGATTCTCTCGCTTTGGGCTGCTCCAAACATCCACTACCCTCACGCTAACTAACAAGCGGACCGCGGGTGCTGGCTCATGCATCCAAGGGAGCTATTGCGTCTCCTCCCTGGCGCATTAGGCATGTCAGCCTCACCCACTCGAGGGATAATCGCGGTACTCGAGGATATTTAGCTCCGCTCGAGCGTGTTTTCAGGTTCTTTAGTCACCGTTTAGTGTGCAACATCCTGCCCAAAAATCCTTGTCTGAACCGCCGATCACTGGCCCTCAACCTTGGGTTGCATCTTGGCCAATAGCGTTGTTTCCAAAAGCAATATGCCACGAGCGTACTGCATTGCCTTGAGCAAATCCGTAGCCCCCCACGACCCTAATACCAGCCATTCTCCCGCATCTTCGCTTGCCATTACGCGACTGCAACCTCTCTCCTGAAAAAAGCAAGAAAGAGCAGCTCTGCAGAGATGGAATCCGCGCTTCAGCTAGCGCTGAGATCGTCCTGGCAGGCGACAGCCGGGGTCTCAGCCCTCCTCGCCGTCCTGTCTCACCATGTCGTATTCCGCCCGTACGAGATTGACGGCGCTGCCTGGGAGCTCGTCTTTGGCTACATTGGCTCCTGCGTGGCGCTATTCTTCCTCTACATCCTGGTGGCTGGCTACAGCTTCCTCACGGCTGTCGGCCGCACGCTCCTCGTCTCAAGCACCTACAATGTCACCCTATTGATTAGCATCCTTGTCTACAGGGCCTTCTTCCACCGACTCCGTGGCTTCCCCGGCCCTTTCAATGCTCGGCTCTCTCGCTTCTACGCCTTCAGCAAGGTCGCCAAGACCGTCCGAGGCTGCGAGGATGTCCAGAAGCTACACGAGCAATACGGCGACTTTGTCCGAATTGGTACGTATACTCGGTCAGTGACGAAGTGGCTCACACATTGACTGATTTGTGTAAAGGACCCCGCGAAATATCCATCAACCGGCCCGGTGCCATCCGTCCCATCTACGAGCCGCCCACGCGAACAACCCGATCCCCATGGTACGCCCAGGTATCTAACGATGTGACCAAGATCTCCATCAACTCGACTCGAGTCCTCAAGGTTCATAAGCAGCGCAAGAAGGGTTGGGAGAGGGGACTCGGATCACGAGGTACGTATTGACGCCAATGGTTGCTCAGCTGCATGTATATACATACATAGGTGCTAACATCAACGGAATCCCAGCCATGGCCGTTTACGAGCCTCGCGTAGCTTCCAAGGTCGATTCCTTGCTGGGCCGACTCGCCGCACATGCTGGCAACCCGATCGACATGACCAAGTATATCATGTTCTTTGGCTTTGATGTGATGGGTGACATTGGTAAGCTCTATTAGCTACATCAAACACTCGGCTAGACAAGCCGGCTAATCAACTGCATCAGGTCTTTCCAAGGATTTCCACATGGTCGAGCGAGAGGTCGAGGACCCCGCTATCCAGGGTGTCCACGAGAGTATGTTTGCAATTGGTGTCTTTGGTACGGTCCCCTGGCTTCTATCCATGCTTGGCAAGATTCCAGGCGCGGCGGGAGGATACAACAAATACACCAAGTGGTGCCACGATGAGCTTCAAGAAAAGCGTCAGGTAATTGTCTTTCCTTGAGCAATCATTCCAACCTTAGCTGACCATGTACATAAGATACTGCTGAGCGAAATGGCGTCCCTCAAGGATCAAGAGCCCCGAGACATCATGACTTGGCTTCTCAAGGCCAAGGAGCAGGGAGATCCATGTGCCCCTCCCGGTGATCTAGCCATTGAAGAAGATGCTCGACTACTCATCATTGCCGGCAGGTAGGTCGAACCATGCTTCCATCGTGAGGGATCAACAGAGTAGTTAACCATCTTCCTTTTTACACAGCGACACCGTAGCTTCCGCCATCACCAATGCGTAAGTATCCTATGATCTTTGATCACTTACCAGTTTGTTTTCGTTCATGAGTTGCGCTAACTACCAGGCAGCCTGTTTTACCTTACCAAGAACCAGAATGTCTACAAGACCCTCCAAGCGACTCTTGCAAAGGAATTCCCCGGAGGTGACAGCGACTGGACCTACGAGAAGGCGCGAAACGTACCTTACCTCGACTGGGTCATCCAGGAGACTCTCCGTCTGCGCCCTTCCGTACCCGGTGGCCTGGCCCGTGTGACTCCTCCTGAGGGTCTCATGGTAGACGGCACCTTCATCCCTGGCGACACTGTGACCTCAGTGCCAACCTACACCATCCAGCGCGACGAGCGTTACTGGCCCGACGCCCTGTCCTTCAAGCCAGAGCGCTGGGAGGGTCTGTCTACCGAGAAGGCCCCTTGGCTCCCATTCACCAGGGGCCAGTGGGCTTGTTCCGGCAGGGCGGTCGCCATGATGGAGATGCGCATGGTGCTCGGCCGTATTGCGCTTCACTATGATCTCTCGTTCCCACCCCCGGTCAAGCCTGAGACTGCCGAGTTCGTCTTCCAGGACACCTTCACCCAGACGCTGCCTCCCCTCCCTCTCGTCTTTACTCCTAGGAAAGACTAATTTTCGCCGGCGGCGTCGGGATGCACATTATCACGAGCCTGTCATGGTGGTTTCTTGTGCGGATAGATATGTCATTGTCACAGGTATGATGACCAAGCTTTAGTTATTAGTAATCTGGGGAGCTAGGAGAAGAAGTGACATAATAATGTAGAACACAAGTGCCTTCAGAAATGGTTTTAAATACACTCCATAATATAAGTCAATTTGTCCCTAAGCTAGACCCCTCATGCTCACCAACTTAAGCCTGTTGAAGATTTATCCTACTCCCATCCAACACAAAAAAGGAATCAATCCATACAGAGTAGTTTTCCAGATGAGTACAAAATGACCTCTGCTTCCTGGCAGACCTGGCAGCACCACTCCAGTTTGAAGCATCCTCGTGTCATGGTGGCTCACATCATACCTACTCTACACCTTTCTCCCGCCTAGAAAACATAATACATCTCTCATAGCTTTATATATATCCAGCTATGACTTGTTACTAAAAGAGGATGTATAGAGACCTTAAGGATTAGCTTTACACTTTGAAGAGGCATTTTTGCTCCTAAATCGTCGGGTTTGAGCAATATATATGTTCCGAGGACTCGGTTCTTGGGTCAGGTCAATTAGAACGTAAACACCTTCACATTTTCTGTTTTATGCGACCTTATCTTATGTGGGTTTGGTAAAGGCCTTGTGATCAATTTGATATTCCAAGGTCTGTTTCTCGAGATAATCCCCATCCTATGGGAATTGAGAAGTGACCAACTGCTAGCCTCACATCTAGCTACCGCGCTCGAAAAGCATTCCAGGTTCAGCTGTCAGATCATGTATCCGAAATACTAAAATCCCTCGTTAATTTTATGTAGCCGTTCCAACACCCCCTCTCGGAAAACATCCTGCAGCCTCCGGTGGCGAGAGGCCGCCTTTTCCCCACGATATACTGGAGACTCGATCTCAGTGGCGCGAAGGAGGAGCTGGACAATGTCGCGGTAAGGATCGCCACAGAGAGCAGCCACCCTCTGTAGGAATTTCGATTCTACAAAGTGCGGTTGAGGTAGGGGCTCAATATCGCCATTCAATGTATCTGGGCCAGTTTCTGGTTCGTCGTCAATGATCGTGGCCCGAATGGAGCGTAACTTGTCTTGAGTGAGAGCACCAACATTCTCAATGCTTAGAATGCTGTCGATAGGTGACCAGTAAGCAATCTCCAAGAACACGATGCCTAAGCTATAGAGATCAAACGATTTGCCGTATGCGCCGGCGTTTTCCCCTCCTTGGACCAGCGGATGCCGATACATGTCCACTTCAGGCTCAAATCTCGCCTTGTCTGTTAGTTCTGACATCTCGTTTGGGCGTGAGAGCTCGAAGCCCGTGATGTAGGGCTGGTTGAGATCCACTGTCTTCAGGTTTGAACTAAAGAAGAGGATGTTCTGGCTGCGAAGGCCTTTGTGCAGCCAGCCCACATCGTGAAACTTTCCAAGTGATGTTGCCAACGTGAGGCTCAGCGCAGCGCGTCGTGACAGAGAAGGCATTGGCACTCCAGATAAGAGGTCTCGTAGGCTGAATATGGTTACCGGGGGATGTATCTCATCCGGGGCCTTAAGAGCCAATTTGAAAACTGGCTGGCTGTCCTTGTCCAGCAGTTTGATGTATCCCTGACAATGGGGGGATCGGAAATCCTCGGGCAGCGCAATGCTAAGCAGTCTAGCGAGTAGGTAAACTCTGTGATGAATCAGAGCTCCATCTGGGTTCCTTTCCAACAAAATAGGTGAATAATCGACAGACTCCAGCCATATATTCTCTTTGTTCAACGATATGATTTGTCGCGAGTTGGGAATTTCTCCGGGTGCAAACGAATCTGTGATGTTGAACCCGTTGTCAAGCCTGGCCGGGGTGGCACCTAGATCTGACTCGCCATCTTGGCTGATTTCTAAACGATGAATTTTGATGTTTGCCAATTCCCTCATGGCTATCATACGTTTCATGCTGGCCTGTCCATTGACTGTCGTGGTAGGAAGTCTCGGCGCTTCCGTTGTGTTCGGGGCCCAACGAACGACCTGATCCTGATGAGCCACATGCGTCAGTGCTTGAATGATGACTTTCAATCCATTGACGTCGTTCCGCATTTGAAGCATCTCGAGGTAGCTCGCTTCCGTCGCCTTTTCGATTCTCCGTGCCCGCGAGTCATCAAGAAACGCAATGAGGTATGAGTTGATCTCAGAAAGCTTCCGCACAAGATCAACGAATTTGTCCTGGTCAAACGCTGCCCAGACTAGGCGCCTTGGCTCGGTGACTATTGTACGAAGCTTCGCCGCCCTCCTTTTCGCATTCTCGATAATAGAGTCGAGCTCTGAGGCCTTCGCGTCTTTTTCGTCGATGATTGATACCAGCTTGATGTTTTCCACTCCGCTTTTCGTGCTGTGCAGGAGATCCGTTAAGCTTGGCGAGACGCTTTCTTCGCACTTATCGTGTGGTGTGAGGGAGACATATCTCCCATTCACCTGTTGGAACCTTTCAAATAATGTCTTCAATTCTAAAACGGCCCCCTGAACCGTTGGGGAGTGGGCGGACAATGACCGGGTCAGATTCGCATCGGCAGATAGTAATCCAACTTCTTCTGCAAAGTTGAGGAATCGCTGTTGTTCCATCTGCAGCCGGACTTGTAGAAATCTCTGGGTCTCGGGCGTATGCGACGCTTCGGAGAATAACTTATAAACTAAGAACGTCAACTATGACACTCGGTGCATGGACTCATTTGCGTACATTTAATACATTCATCGACCGCTTGTAGAGTCAATGACCCAGTGCCAAGGGCTATCCGGGCTACACCTAGTGGATCAGCCATGCTGAGTGAGTGTGGGAGGGAATTGCACAATTGATGTGTTATGAATTGATGTGTTATGCAGAATTATTAAATAAACCGAAGGCCCTGGGGTGGTGCCTTTATAGGGAAAGCCGGCTGACCTCCATTGTTACAGGTAATGTGCAGTTACGTTGCCTACTGCATGTTACATGTCGCTCAACACTGTTTTGGGTGGGTGAGAGTCCATTATCATAGGCTCGTCTTCAACCCAATTATGCTTTCTTACTCAAGTATTGATGCCCAAAAAAATTTTGCACTTCCAATGTTCTTTTCGCTTAGATAGAGCAGACTGTTAGTCTTTAAGCGAGTTCGAGAAAGCACTGTCCACACTTAAACCCCCTCCCCCCCTCCCTCTTCTCTCCTCTTCCTCCTCCTCCTCTTCCTCCTCCTCCTCTTCCTCCTCCTCTTCCTCCTCCTCCTCCTCCTCCATAGTTATTGTTTCCTGAGATCCTGGCGAACTAAAATCTTTCTGAAATCCATCTCATTTTCAAACACTCGTTGAGCTCGGCCCAATATCCTGCATCATCATGGCATCCCCTGGAGATATCCCAAATCCCGTTGAGACCACTACGAAAGGGATCGGAGGCCACAAAAATGCCGAATTCGCGACCAAAGTCATTGAGATCTTGAATGGCGCCGGTTATCAGAAGCACATCGCTCTCGTTCTCAATGAAGGCGTCACCGACTACTGGCTCCCCATTCCCAAACGCACTATAATGCCCGCGAAGCTTCTTGATTATATCACATTCGAAGCCTTCAAGAATGCCCAGTCGCCAGTCCTTGAAAAGTCGTATGAGCTCAATCGATCTCACATTCCCCTTGACGCCCAAGCCACGTATGAGTGGAATGGGGTGAGATACCCCAAGAGTCTCATATACAAGAGATACCTTGGTGAGGGCGGGGCAGGTATTGTAGTAGAGATGCAGGTAGCTGGTGGAACAACTTACGCGGTGAAGCGAATCCCTCGAAAAGCCGGATACCACGAAGCCAAGAGTCAGCTGAGATCCATCAAGCAGGAAATTGAAAATCTCAAGAAGATCAACCACACGCACTGCATCAAATTTTTGGGCAGCTACGGCGATGTCGAGGACATTGGGGTCGTCATGGACCCGGTCGCAGACTGTAACCTGGACAGTTTTTTAAGCACGTTTAATCGCAGTGAGCCGAATAGTGGCATGGTGCTGGCAAGCTTCTTCGGTTGTCTTGCGAATGCCCTCGTGTATCTCCACAAGGAGGTCAACATTCGACATAAAGATATCAAGCCGGAGAACATCTTGGTCAAGAAAGACAGGGTCATACTTACCGACTTTGGCATCTCGCTGGACTGGAGTGAGCAGGGCCACTCGACCACTCAAGAGGAGGCAAACCGAAGCCCCAAGTACTGCGCCCCAGAGGCATATATCCTAGGCCAACCCCGAAATCAAAGGTCGGATATTTGGTCTCTGGGTTGCGTTTTTCTTGAAATGAGCGCGGTGCTCCACGGATTCTCTTCTGGTTACGTGACGACGATACTGAAACGTCACGGCTGCCTTTACTTTCGAGAGTGTCCGGGGGGGATCCTAGATGCCATCTCGGAAGTGAGAGAGCAGGGCGCATCGGAGAACAATGGCTCCCTGGAGCTGGAGTGGATTGAGCAGATGTTACGACTGGAGAACAATAAACGCTGGTATTCCGAGGACCTCCAGCAGGCGATATCACAGAGTAGGAGCGAGCCTCCGTTCTGCGGGATATGCTGCAATAGGGCTTGGCCCGGCGCACTGAGAACGGAGCCAGCTCAACTACACGACAGCAAACTTAAGAAATGGCATAGTGTCACAGTGATACGGGACAACAGCGTTTCTGGTGGATGGATCTCCAAACGGTTGGTCGACCTGTACCAATTGGAGACCCATCAAATGAAGCAACGGGAGATACTAAACGTGGGAGGGCACCAGTTTGAAACGGACAAAAAAGCTGACGTCACTTTTGTTCCGGACACAACAAACCACGCTGAGAAGGCGAATTGCCGGGTCATCACATCAGCCCCATTTGACCTGCTAATTGGCAACACCAACCTTAGGAGCTAAGTCGGTAGTGTACGGAAGAGAAAGAGAATAGAGTTTAACAACAATGAAGCTGCCGGGGCCCGACAACGCAACACAATGAATAAAGTCGGTAGTGCAGTTGTGACGTCTGCCAAACGTCAGGTAGGCAAAAGAAATGCTTGCCGAGTTTTCTCCGGTCTACCCTATATCGTCATAAGGACCTTTTCTGCAACCAACCCCTTAGAAGTGAGCAGTTCAATAATTTTTCAATCCATTACCAAGGTTCTCCAGCTATCGTGCATACGCTCTTTAAGTATGCGGATCATGATACCCATGCGACGAGATCCAATTATCGGGATAGCCCTAGCAAGGTTCATTGCCTATTACGTGCAGTTATCCTTGGCCCGTGAGTAAGGAGTGAATAGCCAACCAAATAATTGCAGTCAATCGCATCTCGAATGTTAGGAAGCGGGTCGGATTTCCCAATGAAAAATCCATGTTGACACGGCGCACGTGGATTAGCAGTGCTGCACCTAGGTACCTGGCTGCGGAAAGGCGGCTTTATGTATTGACCGCCCCGTCGCGTTGGGTTCATCACCACGATTGGGTAAAAAGATTTGGGTCCTGGAAAATTAGCAGATGCACACTAACAATCCGAGCCGAGTGCAACCCCAATCCCTATTCTCTAAAAATATTCGTCTTTTTTGCCCCCAGTTATTTGTACCCGTTTTCCTACATAAATCCAATGGTATATGAGCTCCCCGCGTCTAACCCAAACTTACGGTAAGCTCTGAGCGCGCTAACTGCTGCTTCCGTCACCGCAAAAAAGACACATCCTGTCCGGGTGGGCTGCGACGAATAGGGTGGCCAGGGAGCCAAGAAACAAAGATATATAACAGTTCGCCCGTGTGTGAGTTTTGTGCGAGAAATAAGAATGCTACAAATGGTATCAACATCATATTCACAAGCTGCTGCCCTGCCTGTTCACCTACAACATTTACAACGACCGTACCACAATGGCGACAAGCACAGTGTCAGCACATGGCTCTCACGGCGGACACCTTGGGCCCAGCTTGCCCAACAATCCCACCTTGGATGTAAGCATCAATTTCTATTCCCCTCCAGCCGGGACACAGGTGTGTCCCTCACTATGTTATTATCGCTAACCGTTCCGCCGCTCCGAAACAGAAAGCCGCACGGGAATTGATTAACATTAAGCCACTTGGAAGCCAAGATTGGCACGGAATGTGCGCACTGCATTGCCAGCAGACGCGCACCTTCATTTCCGTCGAAGCTATGCAACAAATCGGCCTGCCCGTGGAGGACGGCGGTCAATATAAGTGTGAATGGATGCTCAACGACGGCGTGGAACGCGTCGGAATATTTCAAGCTGTGTCAGGACTTGGCGCCGACGTCGCGTTCGGAGTCAACTGGTTAGACGACGGTCCAGCACCTGCAACAGCGATCAGCATCGATACCACCCCTCATTCCCCAAGAAACCCATTGGCCGGCTTGATTACCGCAGGTCATAGCAGCACTCCAAGCCGTCAGCTCTTGATCGATGGCCATCCCGCCCGATCGGGAAGCCAAGATTGTGGCGACATCGGACATCAAAAGCAAAGACACCAAGATGCGCCCATTTCCATGGGTCCGTACGGAGGACTGGTGCTTTGGCCATTCCTAGGGTGCCTTGCTTTGGGAAGTTTCTACCTCTGGCAGAAAACAAGAGCCACGCGATGAGGGCCGGCATTAACTCCGGCGGCCCGCAAACGGTACGGTACCAGGTGAGGGGTTCTTTACCCCGCCCCCTCTCCAGCTGGCCAAGCATGGGTGTCATCGGTCATTCCTTGCATCCGTAAAGAGGGCAAATTAGCTGGCCCCATAATTTTATTCACTCGTTGGGCGCAGATGGCCAAAACCCGACGGCGCCAGTGATTTCGATGGAACACAGCACACATCATGATACCCACCGCCTTGGATCCTCGATTTGCACACCAGCCGTCCTGCGAGGAGGGGGGGCCCAACGGGCCAAAAGGAAGAAAAAAAACTTACATAGAGATAGATTTCGGTTTTCATATTAATTATACGCTTCGACTTTTCTCATTGATTTTCCAATAAAGCCCGTACAAGCTTGACAATCCCATAACATAACAAATCAGCTTGATGTGATGAGGCGAAATCTATGGCCATGACCGCTCGGAATCTTATATTTGGGATAACGGCATCTCGGAACGAGGAGTTTTCGCGCATGAAAAGTACAGAAAAGCTGGTATTTACCTGAACCAAGCCAGCTTATGCACAGCCCCAGGCGCCTTGTGAGGCGACCCGCGTCGAAATCCTAATGTTCTCTATAGCTCTGCATGTTGACCCATGCAAATCAGGGCTGCCAATAAGAAACGGCCTATCCCCTCTTGCTGCCTTCCCCCAGCCGCCTGCGAACCACTAGAGACTGGCTTGCAAATCTAAGTAAGCTAGGCGCTCGGCGCGGCTGCAATGTTGGGCATCGTCTTTGCCCCAAACGGGAATGCCTCTAGGGCAGGTGCGGAAACTCCATTTAGGCAGCTAATCGTTGTTTTTGAGCCTCTAAAGGCGTCGAGTTCCTCAATCCTCCGTATTTTCCTCAGTACAGGGGCTGCAGGATGAGGCTAGATTATTCCTACGCCAAACTCTTAACAGTTGAGATGAGGAAATACCTCTCGCCTCTTCTCGTCTACCTTGATTTTATTTCTGGTATAATGTTCTAGGATACAATTTCATCTATAATAGCCTTCAATCGGTCCTGGTTTTAGCGTTTTGTTCCCTTATGCTGCAACCAGATGATACAAATACCACACGCCCCGGTTGATCATGCCTTCGGGAACCGATAAAACAATTCAAAGGGAACATCTTTCTGGCGAAGGAATTTTTTAGAATATCAGATAATCTACCGAGAGAAAAATACGTGAATCCAAGCCATCATCGTTTCGCAACAAATCTATGCATTTACACAACGTTCGAATATCTCCAACATATAGCGGAATCAGTGACCGTGGTCCACATGATATTACATGTTCGTTGGCGGCTTGCGACCCTGAACGGCTTGCTCAACACGATACGCCAGATTAAGCAATTCCTGATCTTTGAGAGGCAGAGACAAGAGCTCCAGCCCAACAGGCAGACCGTTGGATGTGAATCCAGCGGGCACAGATATAGCAGGCCATCGCAAGTTACTGGCAATGGCAAAGTTAGCAGGGACTGCCAACCGCATCTTGGCATCTATGTCGGCTGACACTGGCGGAGGTATCTTGGCCTCTGGAAAAGCGAATGCGGAAACCTGGTGCTTGATCATCAGAGCAGATAGAACGGCGTCGAACTCTACCCGTGTATCCAGCTGCTTTCCGTATTCTCCAGACTCATATGGAGACGGGGCCACGCGGGGGAGAGCATAAGCTACCAGGACGTTCTCCTTTGGAAGCTAGCCATTGGCAAGTAAGGAGCTAAAGTCAACATCGAAGTTTTCTTTGATGAATCCCTCCAGGTCGATTCGGCTTCTTGTTAGCAAGACGCTAGACCCGGCGATGTAGTTTGTCAAATTGGGTACTTCAATGTCGACCAGTGTGACACCAGACCTGGAGAGAGTGTCTAGCGCGGCCCGGATGACTTCGTTGACCTGTCTTTGCTCAGATATTGTGTCATCGCCGAACATGGCGCGGATAACCCCGACTCTCTGTGGAGAACGAGTATCAAACTGGGAGGCAAAGCTCCCCCCGCGCGGCATGTCGAGCGCACGGGCATGGATAGCCGTAACGCTGTCATTCTCATCGTAGCCAGCAACTGCATCTAGCAATAGTGCCAGGTCGGTCACAGTCCTCGCCATTGGCCCGACAGTTGACTGTCCGTGGACTGCACGCAAGCCCCCATAGCCGCTGATAAGCCCGGCCGTGGGCCTAAAGCCAACGAGAGAACAAAAGGCGGCTGGGACACGGCTGGAACCGCCAGTGTCGCTTCCTAAGCCCACAACTGCCAGATTTGCTGCCAGAGCTGTCGCTGTTCCACCGCTGGAACCGCCTGGATCCCTTGCTAGGTCGTATGGGTTGCGTGTCGTGCCGGAGAGGGAGGAGTTTGAGAACCAGTCAGTTCCCCAATCTGTGGGTGTAACTTAAATTAGAACACACGATGTGAGTGCTAAGATCAACAAGACTACTCACCAGGCATTGTAGTTTTGGCCAGGATAATAGCCCCGGCAGATTTGAGCTTGGCTACAACGGTAGCATCCTCGTCGGGAATGTAGTCCTTGGCAACAATGGAACCATACGTGTTGGGCATTCCTTTTGTCTTTAGATGGTCCTTGACGACGACTGGAATCCCGTGCAGAGGCCCGACAAAGCGCCCATTCTTGGCAAAGGAGGCATCCAATTGCTTCGCCTCCTCGATCGCCGCACCATTAATGGCCAAGGTAGAGTTGAGTTTGGGTCCGTCGTCAGCCTTGTCGATTTTCTGGATGCGATCGAGGAAAGCGGCTGTCAGGGCTTCAGCAGTAACGCGGCCTTCTTTGTAGGCCGCGTGGATCTGGCCGATGGTAATTTCTTCCAGTTGAATGCTCGCCATTGTATGTTGAAATTGATGCTTGGTGATTAAATCTGTCAACAGAACCATGAAGAGAATGCGCGGGGTATTTATTTATGGACGAGCAAAAGTGCAATTGATTTTCCGAAGAGGCGGCATGATTCTCCGATTGAAACACAAATCGGCCGAACGAGTCGGAGTCGGACTCTCCCTCGTGCATGTTTCAGTACTAGGAACACGCGCATGACGCTGTGCCACAAGCTTACTCGAAGACTTCCGGAAGTGCTGGGTCATCGCGGCGTCTAGGGGGTGCGTATGCGCTCAGATGAGCGTATTCAGTGAGGAGCCTCAGCAGATCTGGAGTTTAGACAACGTGTCTTTCTGGTTCTGATCCGGATCAATGGTCTCAATATGATTCAGCTGGCTAGGATGGTCCTTTGGAGAGAGAGAAAGGCGAGGTGGAAAGCGGTGTTGGGTCAATTCACTTAGACGATCGTGATCTCTTGCTCCGGTGGTAGACTGTGATAAAACATGAGGGCATCCTCTTTCTTCGTCCCCGCAAACGTCCATACACCGCACCGAAGATATGTCCCATCCCTCAGTCGAGATAGAGCCAGTCCGCTAGACCAGTATCTGTCTGCTGCACCCCATGCTCCCGAAATGGGGAAGCAGAAGACCTCCCCAGCAACATCCTCCTTCGTATCAAACAAGATTGTTCCACGATGACCTCCACCAGCGTAGTCAACCGATTGATCTAGATAACTTACAACTGTGCGCAGGGTCTCTTCCTCCCCGTTGCCAGGATCAGTTCCCAGATTTGCAAGGGCCAGTTTCCCTCTCAGAGTGACTGCACCGTCCAGAAGGCCCTCAGCAGATAAACTCATGCCCACGCTTACAAGTTCACAGAAAAGCCCAGTGTTGGCATCCGTCGGACACCTGATGTGGAAGTCAATAATACCATCAACGGATGCCCAACTCCACGACGGCGCCTGGGATACTGCTGGTCGTGTTCCTGCACCGGATACACTCCACACCAATCCCTTGGGAAGCATCATCTTCCACATTCCCGCGAGGTATGTGGTATCGTTACACCCCTGCCCTTGTAACGAACGCTTCATATTCTCTGCCACAAACTGGATATTCTGTAGCTTCTCGTCTGATGATGCCACAGCACAGCGTGAATATTCACGCAGGAGGTGGAACCAGCGCGTAAAGATTTGATCAATAGAATTGTGCTTGACCGGAAACTGCACACCGATGAGGGGTTTCCAATTGTCGTTCAAGAAGGTATTATCATCAGCCATCTCCCCCTCACGGCCCATAGAAAACCCAGCGGGGGTAGACCAGCCACCAAGGTTAACTTCGTCGCATATAGCGCCATAGCACTCCCAGTAGACAAGCCGTTGACCGAAATGAACCATCCGTGGTGAGAGAAGGCGTTGTCGGAAAATGTGTGCATTTGTAGATGCTAGCTCTTTATGAAATGCATCAGCACCAGCTAACTCTCTATCTGTCTCCAGAATATAGGAAGTCGCCTCAAGACCACCGAATGGAAGCTTGAGTATGGTCGGAATCATGAGATCTGGATCACGTCCGGTAAAAAGCCCAGAATAGGGATCTGTAGAAACCACAGCGCAAATACCAAGAAGCGCTCGAGAGAAGATGCGACTAGTTTCATTTGCGTTCAAAAGTTGGTCGAATTGATCATCTTGCAGAACACAAAGCTGGTCAATCCAAAGGTAGGAGAGACCCAGTCTATCCACTATAGTAAATGCATCCCGATAGGCCAAAGGAAGAGCTGATAGAGGCTGCGGTTCAGAAAGGGAGGCTAATGTCGACTCCGTGAGCTGGAAGTTGCTTGGAGTAAAAGAATGTGATAAAGTGACATATTGAGCCCCTGGTGTAATGGCACTTCCATCTATTATATGGAATGTACCAGTAGGCTTCTCTAGCCGAAGCAGACGAGGTGGAAGGTAGCTTGTTGGTTGGTTGCAGCGCTCATGATTGTCAAGGCAATCGTGCAGCCAATTGTATACTACCTCCCAAGTGGCCTCATCTGCAGTAGAGGTACCAAGGTTGAGGTTGAGACTATTATCTATTTTTACTTTCATTTAGTACAAACCGTATGCGCAAGGATTCACATTGAACTCACCATCATACTGACATAGGTTGATGCCCCCGTATCTGTCACCGACTGCCAAATTTACGGAAGGTATGTCATCTATAGACATAATTCTGAAAAGGGAATAAAACCCCAGTTCAATGGCTTTCGGATGAGCTTCCTGCTCTTCCTTAAACATACAACATAGGGAACAGCCATCTCGCACTGACTTCTGGAAGGACTCAGAAGTCGCATGATGCCCAAACATGAAATTATCTGGGCGGCTGAAGTCACCATCACCCAACCCAAGAGGCTCCGTGAAAATAGGGCCGAAGTATTCGTCAACTCGGCAGACCTTTCTGGTATTAGGTGTATCCCACATGCCTTGAAGGACCTCACGGCACACTTTGCAAAGCATGATGGAGATTTACTCTTCAGAAGTCGTGTGATATTGCGGAATGAAGGGCATGCAAATATGGTTTGAACCGGTGAAGAAGGGGATGCATTTGAAGATGTCGAGTCACTAACGGCAGAATTAGTTTTGATTCATACAAACTTATGCGGTAATACTTGCCAGCCTTTTTGGCAATAGACTTTTCTATAAAATACGCTGCATACGAATGCCACGAACGATACTAACTGGGAACCTTGAGCCCACGTAGTGTTCGTGCTACCTCCCCCTGCAACCAAAGTACGATTATCTGCACCGCGTAATTCGTATTTGGCCTGAATTTGCCCCCTGTAAGATGCCTCTGCATTCCGTCTCCACTTGGATGTAACGGAGCTGCTCTATCTCACATGCCCATCAGTCGGTCAGCAGATGATTTCCTAACTCTCAAGCCTCTTGTTCGGAATTACAACCGACAAGCAGCATGACGTGGCGCGGAGTGCAGTCGTGACGTGTTGGATGTGACAATACTACGGAAATGTCATGCCTTACGGCGCAATATTAGATTCTGAATATATCACCGAATGTCGTCCAGACCATCTGGCCGAGCTACCCTAGACTATAGCAACAACCCTCTATCATCCCAATGTACACTCTCAGCCAGATGATGAAAGTTCACAGTCGAGAAAAAGAAGAGAGGATAGAGTAGATTGCGAGATTAATGTGAGCGTCTATTGTAGTTGACTGCCTTAATGTTGTATCTACCACTTTACATTCTTTCCTAAAGTTTTACCATATCTAGAAAACAAATGGCTACATAGTCAACGTAAGTATGATATGCCTAATCCAGCTTGGGGGTGGAAGAAACTGCATAAGGCCAAGTGATTCGGGCACGTATAACGAGATAGGTAGATTAGAGAGCTTACACTCAATCCGAGCACCTGGATATGTACTTCGTACCATCCATGTACATATGAAGCCGGTCTTGCCAGCTAATAAAGCAATAGCCTTACTCAGCATTGAATCACCCAATCACAATTGCCTTATATGAGTACCACTAAACCAATAAACATGGCAAGTACATCGCACAAGGGATTATTAGGTAATCCCCGCGGCAACCCCTCATGTCATGTTGTCAAACTCCAACGAACGAGCCTTCACTCGACTCCATGAACAAGGGTCCTACCTCACTGTAGTGCTCAGGTCCAGCTACACCAATTCACTTCACTCTATGCCGGCCCTTCACAGCCTCAAAAACCCACTCCAAAAATGGATTCGTCTATCGTTGCCTCTGGGACCCAAAGTGTCCTTGGAGATAATTATAATATGCTACTGGAGGTCAACAAGAGACTTCGACAAGTTCAAGCCGGCATCTACCGTGCGTCTTTGAAGTGGATGATGCTTGCGGGCAGCTTGGAAACCTCTGATCGCCCTGAATACTGGGCCAACCCGTCCGGGCGCGATACTCGGAGTGTCCCACCTGAGATGAAAGGATGGGACTTTGGGATTCGCACCGACGACCTTGTCGGCTCAAGGGAAATTGTACGGACAGTGCTCAAGGCTCTAGGCGACCTCAAAAAGGGCCTTGAAAACATCCAGCACCGGCTCAGGCTGAATATTAACAAGCTATCCCGACCAGGCCTACGATCATACAATATATTAGATATGCCAGAGGAAATTCTTTATTGTATATTTGAGTTTGTTGAAGGATTCCTGCGGGACTTTCCCGAGTTCGAGTGTGGTGCAAGCAGAGACATAAAAAACTGTCGACTCACCTGCCAGGCGTTTAATCGCGTCAGTGAACGGTTCTTCCTTCGTTCCGTGTCCGTGGACTTGAATGCTTCGTCTCTTTCGAGGTTCAATGACATATCCAACCACCCAACCATCAGCAAGAGTATACAGTCCATTCGCGCCATCCTCCACTTTTATGACACTACCCTTGGCGACAGTCTACAAGATTTCATTCTTTACAATGCTGGAGCGCTTTACGATCGAGCGGAAACACTTGAGTTGATGGCACCATGGGAACTTCGAGAAACTATTTCCAAGGAAACTGGCATGAAAGTGGTGGAAGCACTGAAAGAAGCTTCGGCATGCTGGGAGCGAATTGCTTGGGATACACAAGCACAATCTCTTGCCGACCACGACCGCACCCACCTCGAGCTACTCAAGACAACTCATCAAAGATATCAGAGCCTGTGTGCTTATCAAGAAGAAATGTTGGAAAGTGGAGGATTTTTTGCAAGCAGTAGCTGCGGGAATATCGAGGATGCCTTGTGCAAAGACAATGTTCTTCCTCGACTGGGACTTTGCAACTTCGACGCGTATTTCATTCTTTGATTCGCAGGACATTAATGCATCAATCTACGAGTATATGCTCCAGCCAATACATTATAGCACGGCCATGAAGTATGGTTTCACGCCGAGGCTCTGCGACATGATAACCAAGCTTCCGGTAGCAGTCCATCATGCTGGGGCATGGCTCGAAAGAATTGATATCAAGTTGTCGCAAGTGGAATCTCCTTCAGATTTGATACCAAGCCCCGAGCTGCGGCAGCAGCTTCCATTGGCCATGCAGCGACTGCGCAAGTTCACTATCAGGTGTCAAGGTAACATCAACGGAGAGTTAAGTCAAGATGCCCTTTACGACATGTTTGGATCTTGTTTGGATACCGGGAGTCTCCGAGAAATCTCCATCGATATGTCGCAGATGAGAGAGCCAGACAAGCTGGGTGTCGGAAAGATCATCACATCACGACGCTGGCAGAATCTATCATATCTGTTTTTGCGTGATGTCGCTTTCCATTTTTCGGAGCTTCAACTCTTCGTCAGCAGGGCCCCCAAGTCTTTTTCGTATTTCTGGGTGGAAAGCGTCTATCTGCTGAGCGGAACGTGGGCCGAGGTTCTGGATACCTTGCGAGAGAAGCCTCTCATTGACCGGGTGCAGCTAGAGAAGCCTTTGGGCGCCGAGTGCGCCGACATGTCAGCTGAAGAGTTAAAGAGAATATTTGACAGAGAGGACCTTTTTTTCCGTAGCCAAGCAGAGCGCTACATTGCCCGGCTCATCCCTCACAATTCTTTGAGAGACCAGGAGAGGTTAGACCACGATGCTGTCGACGTGGAATCGGAGGATTAATGGGCGCTGAAATGTAATGCTGCCGAAGCAGGATGATGCCCGAGTTCTACACATCCTTGAGATACGAGTTTAAACTACCGGTGGCAATGTTCCTGCTGCAAGAAACTCGGGGGCAAAATGCAACCAGGTCATCCTTGAATGACCCAATAATCACGCTGAACAAAATTCTCGGGAAGCTGATGTTTTTCCTGCTAGGAATGTGGATAATTCCTGGGGATCCCAAAGCCTGCGTGAGACTCATGCGCACTCAGTCCAGTACTTTTGTCTAGTTGAGAGATTTCCAGAGGTTTCAGGTACCAAAAAAAAAGCATCAAAGTCCCTTAGAAATATACATTATTATCCTCGATAAAAGGTACTGATGCATGTAAGAATCACCTTGTCAGCTCAACCTAAAAGTCTGAACGTAAACCAAGGGTTAGACATAGCAGTGAATCCCCTTAATGTGATGCCGGAAAAAAGCTTCCGATTAATTCGACGGGTATCGAGTTTTAAGACAGTTCGGCTTCCTAGGTACTGTCGTTTTTTTCTTCGAAAGACTGGCAGCTTATACCTCTCCATTGTTTTGACGGAAAAGGGCCTACGCATGGCACGTCTGGATCACAGCATGCCTGAGCTCCCTTGTGTCTTGAATATTCGAAACAGTGGCTTGTCGCTCCTTCTATATCTCACAGCCTAGCTGGACGAGATCGTACGATAATGCCACATCAAGAGAAAGTCAGCAACTGAGAAATGCAAATAAGGACTTCCGTCTATGCCGAGGCTAAACATGCCGTTCTTCTGACGATTTCGACCGGATCTGGTAGAAATGAGTTTTGGATGTGTCGAAAGTAGACAGAAGCTGAAAGGAACCGGCCTATGTCTACCGCATGTATAAAATGGCTCAAAAGCTCTCGTCCGAGTGATCATGTTGCATTCACTAAAGGCAAACATCAAATAAACTAGGGGAGAAACCCCTCACATTCATCTCAAGAAAATTCAGCTTAAACGCATTGAAACAAAATGCTCTTCAAAACCACTGCAGTCTTGTCCACTTTGGCCTTTCTCTTCGCTGGCCAAGCCCTAGGTAACCCCGAGGCGAACGGGGCCCTAATTGCCACTGACCCAAGTAAGTAGCCCCCCCGGTCTCTGAGACTCCAAACAACTATTGGAATAAAGTGATTGTACTCACATGTTGCCCGGAAAAGAGTCTGCATGTCGATGTCCCAGGAATTGTGGCCACAGGGCTGGGAGTAGCTGCAAGTTCTATGCAGGCAACTCTGACAAATCTACTGTCGTGAGTGGAAGTGAGTGCTGCCTAGACACTCATATTTCAGTTTTGAAAATGTACTAACAGCCAATGTAGAGTGTGGCAAGGGAAGAGATGGTCTGGTTTGTATCCCATAAAGGCAAATCTTTCTACTATTAACGATATGGGGCAGGATATAGGATAGCTATCTTATTCAACAGTGCCTGAGGAGGCTGTTACCTATTAAATGACTTCATAGTAGGCAGTCAATAACAGCGCAGCTGGTTTGGTGCTTGTTTTCCAACAAGAACGAAAATACTTGAGTGTAGATGGCGAGCCTACCTAGATCCCACAGCTCTCGACGACCCATTACCGAGACAAGCCTATTGGTTTGTAAGAATGGAGCATCCTGAATATAAATAACTTGAGAATTAAGAATTATAAATTCATGGAATTCCATGAAACGAAAGTAGCTGGGCTGTGAAAATAAGATATGTGGGTACACATGGCGAATTCACGGAATTCCGCGAAGAAGCAGCAGCAACATTGGAACTCTACCAAATTTCTTGTTACAATGCGCAGTTGGATTTGTAAGCTTATATACATTCTAGTTGGTGTTTTCTTTTTTGATTAGCCTTAAGTGTAGCTTCCATCTTGGCAAGACGAGATATATAACAGAGCTTGTAAGCTCGTTCTTTAGGCATAGGCCATCTCAACACAATACTTCGCTTGTTAAATGCTTAACTTACCTGCCCCGCGTCCGCCAGAATCAAAACATATGTCTAATTTGGTCTTGTATCGCGCCAATGGAGCCTGCTCCTTGGCACCGCATATCATCTTGAACGAGCTTGGTCTGTCCTTCACGTCTGTTGTCCAGGGCTCTTCCCCAAAAAGTACGATCCCTCCGACAGTTGAAATCGAGATGGATGAGTATCGGAGAACCATTCATCCGCAGGGCTATGTCCCGGCACTTAGGGTGGATGATGTGATCATCACCGAGAATGCCGCCGTCATGTTCTACCTGGCGCGCCAGAAGCCTGAGAGGAAGCTAGACGGCAGCTCTCCGCTCGAGCAGGCACAAGTTATCTCTTGGATGAGCTTCTTGGCTGGATTCCTTCAGGGCCAGGCATGGACTCCGCACTGGGCACCCAGCCGCTTCACGACCTCAAAGGACGCGAGCCAGCTAGAGGGGATCAGCAGCAAGGCAAAAGTCAAGGTTGATCACGGATACGACTTGATTGAGCGGCGATTGAAGGGCCTGTTTGCTGTTGGCGAAGCAGATACGATTGTCGACTTTTACTTGATAGTATTCTACAACTGGGGACAAAATTATGGCGTCGATATGTCCAGATTTCCAAAGCTTGGAGCATTAATTGCTCGGATGGAACAGAAGCAGTCGGTCCGAGATACGATCAAGGCAGAGGGGTTGATCACGTACTTTGACTAAATGGTGATATGGAAATGTACCTTTTTGGCACCCAATATCTTGTCAATGGACGAAAAGCTCAGGATTTTGGTATTTAAGATAGCTGTTAGGCTTAGATCATTGCAAGTACCGCAATTGGAAGTGCTCATTCACATGTCTCAAGCTCTCTTTGGCTATGGTAGTCGCCGCTTGACTGCTCTGTTAATTTCCAATCTCTGTTCATGAGCATGATATATGATTCTCCGAGATCATTATCTAGTTACGCTCGCAACTTATTTAATCAGGCCCTCAACGTAGCTATGGTTAGGGCTGGGGCTACCACTATCCCCGATCCCTGGTTTCGCTGACAAATATCCATTCCTGTTGACATGCCCGTGGGGGCTGGAGCATTTACCTCAACCTTACTCTTACTTCGCTGCTGAATGAGGTACCAAGTGTGGCAAAATGGACGGACAATCCCCTCTGCAGTGCGCCCTCTGTAGCAAGACTTTTACTAAGGGTGAGTTGATCCCCTAGATGAGATTACCGCAACTAAATCTTTGGTTTCAGAGTCTACCTCGAGAAGACATTGGTACTACTGTCGGTCCAAAGCAGGAGCCAGTGTCTCGAGACCTAGAGCCTGCTATTCCTGTGTGAGACGGAAAGCTCGGTGCGACGAAGAGCGACCCTCATGCGGGAGATGCACATCCCGAAACATTGATTGTGCTTACCCAACCAACACAACCCAAAGTGTTAGCCGTGATTCGAGACTCCGGCGTCGTAACAGCAGACAACACAAAGGAGCATCACCGTCATTGGCCACTGACCTCACAAGTGTCTCAGATAATTTGGGAGCACAAGAAGACGATATGCATTCCGTTGCCACATCTGCTGCCCCACGCTCAGAGTCACAGAACCCGGGAGTCATTGAATTCAGCTGGGACGACTTGGCAATCGGCTTGAATCTTGTTTGTACGCCTCGGTTGTTCATCCAGCGACCCAAGATGACGACCGGGGGACAAAGAACGGCAACCCTAATTCGCTATACGCTTCAATCCTACACACAGAAGCTGTTGCACCAAAACGATATGCCGCCCTTCATTCATCCTCATTCCCTTTCTACCACTGGAGGTAGTGAACCTCGTATTAGCTCGCTCAATACGTGTACCAGCCTTCTTCATGTCCTGCATTGCGGGGTTCCAGGAAGCCCGGCTCTGTTTTGGAGGAATGTGCAGTGCGAATGTGAGCGTCTACGTAATGAGGTATGCAAATAACCAGGAGGACTTTCAAACTGCTAATCTAGAATTTCCCAGGCTCTCTCGATGAATAAGTGGGAACTACTAGCCGCTTTGCAAGCATTGGCAATATATATTATCGAAAGACTGAATACAGATGGAACAGGGTATGAGACTCTGGATGCTCTATTGATCAGAACAGTGACTGTAGGACGGCACCCTTCCTGGCATCTGATGTGAGAATTGCTGCTGATGGGTGCAACGTAGGATTTGGCTCAACAATGTTCCAATATCGATATCAACGTCGACTTGAATCCCGAAAGACTGTGGTATGACTGGATTTTCAACGAGTCTACTCACAGGTAAGTCAGCATCTTATCTGATATACTGCAATGATCTCATCGCGGATTATTCGCCTGACAATGAGAAGGTTATGCATAGTTTATAGGGTGATAGACATGCTGGTGCACTTTGAGCCAGCAGCCATGTGCCCCTTTTACAACACTAGCCTCGTCATTGCGCCACTACCAGCAAAGAAACAACTCTGGAAGGCCCACAATGCCAGTGCCTGGCATAGGGAGAGGGAGCTGGGAGCCGGGGCGCAAACGTCCTTTGCATTGTTTGCCAATGGTGAGCTGATCGATGTGGAACAAGTGCCATTGCGTGTCCGCGACTGGAGAAGAGATGTGGGGTTGTTGAATGCAGAGTCCCAGCCAGAAAGTACCGCGAATTGGAGGGAATGGTGTTCAGGCATGGACGAGTTTGGCAGTCTCGTTATGCTTGTTGCTTCATTTATCGAGATGCGGTCACCAACAACCTGAGATGGCGTCATGGGCTGAGTCTCTATATCCAGCACATTTGTACTTTGATGAGTGAGCCACACAGAGTAGCCTCTTCGGCTCCTCCCATGCCTAAATGCTTGGATATCCACCTCGGATGATACGGTACAGCATCACATGTGAGATGTCGATTTGGACTTTGCTTAAGCGTCTGTGGTGCTCGTCAGCCAACCACAATCAATCTCCGCGAATGAACACTACCAGATCCACCCGCGCGGTTGTGGGTCAGATCGTAGCTCCTACATGATTACGGGCTGGATTGGGAGAGTTGATTATCAATGTAGAGTGTGCTGCCTTAGTATAAATAGGAGGATATTTCTCATGTCTGTCCTAGATTTCTTCCTGTATTCTAAAGCAAATCAACATCTCTATTTAGTTATTCTTCACCCTTCGCTCAAAAATGGCTGCCAATTCTGTTGTCCTCATTCTGGGAGCTGGGCCGAGAGTCGGCACTTCCGTCGCTACGGCTTTTGCCAGAGATAGCTACCTTGTAGCTATAGCGTCCAGGAGTGGCACAGGTGGGAAGACCCCTGAGGGATTTCTCTCCCTCAAGGCTGATCTAGCCGAGCCGGAGTCCATCCCTGGTCTGTTTGATTCAGTGAAGAAGGAATTCAACACTGCTCCAAATGTTGTGGTGTACAATGGGGCAGCACTCACACCTCCTCCCAAGGAGGACTCCCTACTTTCGGTACCTCACGAAGCTCTTGCTTCGGATTTGAATACCAACACTGTTAGCCCTTATGTTGCTGCGCAAGAGGCCATCAAGGGCTGGGAAACACTGCCCAAGGAGGTCAAGAAAGCTTTCATCTATACCGGCAACAAATCAAACGTTTCTCTGATGCCAATTCCTATCACGATGACTCTTGGGGTTGGCAAATCCGCTTCAGCATACTGGATTGGTCTCGCTGACTCTATGTACTCGGCCCAAGGGTACCGGTAAGTTTTTGTTCACGTTCGGAGTGTCACATGAAACCGAAACTAAGGTCTTAGGTTCTTCTATGCCGATCAACGGAATGAAGACGGTAGTCCTGCTGGCTTTGGGCTGGATGGTCCTGCACATGGCGAGTTCTATACTCAATTGGCCAAGGACGAGAATGTGCCGTGGCATGCCACCTTTGTGAAAGGCCAGGGATATGTTGAGTTCAAATAAAGGATCAACCCATGTAGCCTATCCTCATGTTCTTTGTTGTCTATTTGCTCCATGAAAATCAAGGACATGCCTATTCAGTGTATAGAAGCAAGAGCTGGTGCACCACCAGTCAGACTAGCAAAACCATATCACCATGAGCTTTGAAGTATGCAGAAAAGTCCTGATACACACCTTCCTCTTTTCTATGCCACACATTTTCCATGACCTCTAGTGCTTTCCGTACCGTACTGAATACTATTGAGGGTTGCAACGCCTCCACCATTCGACGTATTTCAGCTCGTTGGGCCGGCTCCGCGAGACACCCTGCAATGCAGAACGGCCATACCATCGAGCGTAGCAATGTACTGGGGGATAATTTGTTCGCTAGCAGGTCGATTATTAGGGCAACATGGTATTGGACCTCATCGCTCGCCGGCTGCCATCCGGACACCACGACAAGCAGGTAAAGGAGAGCGGCACGCGTCCAGACAAGCGTAACCAAACGTCGTGAGCTCGATACGCCGTCATTCGGTGCGAGGAAATCCAATAAATTCCCACTCGGGTTACATCCTTTACTAGGCTCGCTCTCAAGGCTCATGATTTGTCCTTCTAGGGCATTTTTAATCGGTGTCGCGCGACTGGCCAGCTCAATAATATCGAGATTGACGGCGTTCTGGCATTCCCTTTTCCATTCGTCGAGGACCGCGATCTCACCAATCTGTAAGATTGTCGTGTTTTGACATCCGATAACTTCCTCCAAGTTTATTATAGGTTCGCACCCTTCGGTGCTCTTGAGGAGACTCTGGTGAAACGGGTATAAGCGAGGTCGTTTTTGCAACGTGGTGCTGGCAATAACATCATCGAATAACAGAAGAGCGGTCGTGAAATAGAAAGCATCCTGCTCAGCGCTCGGAATGAGGATGTGCTCAGCCGGGGGAATGTATGACGACGGCCCCAGGTGGTCCATAAACGCGTTGAAATGCGCCCGTAGTCCAACAGGCTCAATACTGGGAGATCTATCCAAGAGTTGACCGAAGAGTGCCAGAGCAGCATTGAGATGCGCGCCACAGTTCTCAAATGTCAGGGCTGCGACTTCAAAGTGAAGCATCTGCACGATACTGGCCATAATCTGTACTGCACCGTGGGGATTCTCGATGATATCCCACCCGCCCATAGCTTGGATTGCTCTTTCCAAACTCTGAAAGGCCTCTCTGACTTGCGAGAATACAGTATCACAAATGACCTCGCGGCTGTCCGTCCCCTGCGCAAGGCAGAAGAAGAAGCAGCCCTGACATAATGTAGCTTGCCTGACCACCGGACTGCGGATCATCAGCTCCATGATCCATGCTGTCCCGCCTCGTGCGATTGGGGGACGATAGAACGGAAACAGGAAGGGGAGCACACTCTGGAGGTAGAATGTCGTAAGGATTGAGTCCGATCGGTCCAACAAGCTACTTCTGTCTATATGACCACAGCCCGTCCCTCGTGAGAGTGATACATGCGACTCTGTTATTCTGTCTGTCCCGTTTTGCATCGGTTCTGGTGTCAAATTTTGGGGTCCTGTCGGCCATCCGCCGAGGTCGGCATTGGACACTTTTTCACCAGAGACGTGCGGACACCCAACTCGGCGGTATGGCGCATTCTGCTTCACTTCTCGTTTCAGCTGCTCTATCATTTTCTCCTGTCTTGTGCCGCCATCCATCCACTCGGGCTTCTTGTCGTCGTAGTGGCAGGTGATGCAGAGGGCCGCACAAGTGCCACATACAGGGCGTTGTTCATCGCATTTCTTCCGTCGTAGTCGACAAGTCCAGCATCCATGAGAAGTCCGTGCCGTACGGGATGGTGGCTCCATTGTAGTGTTCCAATCGGACATGACATTATATTTTGAAGGATGTGTGGAGGGAAGTGAAAGACTGTCTAGTGCCATGGCGAACGGAACAATTTAGCTGACACAACGAGATGATTACGCGAGCAATTCCGGCGTTAGCGGGGGCTTATAAAATCTTCCAGGGAGCAAGTCTTAGCAAGGTAGTTGTACGATCGCGATACCGGGCTGGGGGCTGCTCATGGCCTATCTACAACTAAGTTTGGCGGCTGGGTAACATATATTACTGACCAACCTAACGATTTATGCTAGGGATGCCCCTTCTACGCCTCTCAGCTGGCCAAGGAGACAATCTCATCGCAGCTTACCTATAGCCCGGGGGGGGGGCTCAAATAACACGCGTTGTCACCCTATCATTGAGCGTTTACCCCTCTCCAGGGGTTCTCGGCTTCATTGATGACTACGTCTTACCGCCTTATTCAAGCGTGATACATCTTACTCAACCCGCTCGTCACATCTTCATCTGAATACTGATATCTGGCCAGAAAATCTCTCCATACATGGAATCTACTAGGCAGATCGCTGGTGGTCCGTTCTGCGCTCTATGTGGAGGAACATTCCGCGCGCACAAAGCTGATTCAGACACGCCACCTCTGAAGTGGACGTCGATAATCCGCCATGGTAAGCGCAAAGAGATCACGACCAGAAGTTGCAGATGGAGTCCGTTAATCATTCTCCTATTGAAATATAGTCTCATGCATACGCAACGATTCGTACCTGAGCGATCCATGTTACGTCGCCTGGAGAGCCGCGGGAGGGCCCGGACCAGCCAACCCGGCTGCGGACATGACCGTACAAGGCTTGGAGCCGTACTATCTGGCTGATTCTGTAGAAGATTCTATAGTGTTTGTGTTCCATGAAGCTTGTTGGCAGATGCTTGTCACCCGGCTCACGTACAACACCGGTTCAGACCAAGGTGATTACTATGTGTCCTACTGGCTTCTCTTTACCCTCGCCAGCGTCCCACGATGGAATAGACGGCTTCTCCCCCGCCATGGCTATCATGGAGTGATGCCGATTCTCGAGTCAAACCATCTGAGAGGTGTATTGGAAGCTGTCATCGATTATATCCCCTTCCCTTCCATCTCTACACGAAGTCACCCGTCCCAGCCAACAATGGACTCAGGAACTTTATTATCAACTCAAGACCTACCGGTGCCTACTTATGACCCGTTCCGGCAACTGCCCCCAGAAATTATCTGGGATATTATTGTCTATCTTATGTACGATGACATACATAATGCACGACTCAGTTCCCGCCATTTCGCCATGCACACTTCCACATCGAGATTGCCCCAGAAATTCTGGGCCAGCAGGTTCTCCCCCGAGAGGGACATGGGCTTCGTCTTGGCTATGGATAAGAATGAGACGGGGTATGCAGATATGGACTGGCGCAGACTGTTTGATAACTGCATGAGAGTTCTTCAGCAGCCTGGCAGCTTGGGCGACGGCTTCCGAAACCGACAACGCATATGGATCTGTCTGCAAGATATCACCGTCACCATCGAGAATCTTCTCTTGTCTAACACCTACAATACGATCCTCTACGACAATACGCACCTCTGGACCGAGTCTTCCCTGGCGTTTTCTGACCACCCTTTAGGACAGAGGGTCTCGTGTACAGACCTTGAATATCGCGACCGTGCTGATCCACAGGAGATAATGAAAGACAAGAACCTGAGGACACGCGAGCTACTCGTTCGGCACACCAACCTCTCCTCAATAAAATATTCAACCGTTCTTTTTGAATCTGTGCCCTATATTTGCGGGCTAAGAGTTGAATGGTCGCCAGAACATCTATCATATACACGATGGCAAGAAGTCGGCATAGAAATCCCCTCTCGCACAAAAAGCGTACCTGTCGAGAAAGACGTATCATTGTCGGAAATTTCCGTATGCTACTCCCCGGATGGAGTTCACGGCTTTTCAATCTTCACACGGGAGGCAAACGGACGTCTCGATAGGCTGTGCGTCGGGCGGACAGATGCTGTCTACCCTAACTCAACTACTACGACGTTACCTCGGCCCTCAGGCTCAGGTCCTATACTAGGGCTACGCTGCGAGTTTGACGTACGGCTGATTACTATCCATCCCTACGTATCTTGAATTTTATCTGACTGATTCTTCTTATCCAGGCAGTGAAAATAATGTCCATGCAGCTCGTTTGCGATTTCCCTCCTGAACCAAAGCCATCAAGGGGGTTATCGGCTTCTCTCATAACCAAAGCTCGAGAATCGTCAGCGAGAAAATACGAAGCTGTCAAAAGATTATTTGGTAGGCACTAAAAAGACCAACGAGATGGTCCCATAATACTCCCGACTTGAAATAGAGGGTTACATGTCGAGAGGAACTTATTCAATCATATCATCATATCACAATAGGCGCTCAGGGTTCTTGATACTGTTATATTAAAATATCCCATACTTGTCACTTAATGTCCCAGAATTTCCTTCACTTCGTACGTTTTACGAGCGAATAAGAACCAAAGGGAAATGGTCAGAATGGCCACGGCGACAAGCACTGGCGAAGCATAGTTCATCTGGTCAGCGACGGCCGGAAGATAGTACGGGAAACAATAAAAGACTATAGCAACAGCACCCCAAGCGAGCATGACAATATTCGCGATTAGTCCTAGCTTGGGATACCAGAAAGGTCCATGCGGGAAGTTAGATCGGCCTTGCATGAGCATAAGCACAACGGGAATACTGTAGCTAATGTATTGGAGCATAAGACCCGTGGAAATGAGGGAATTGAAGGCCAACTCGGATCCAAGATACAGGCAACCGAATATCGCGGTAAAAGTGCTCGACATTACCATGGACCAAATAGGCGTGTAGAAAGGTGCAGGGGCAAGCTTGCTCAGATGCCGATGCATCGGGAAACCAGCTTCGCGGCTGATAGTCCATGCGATACGAGACTGCCATGTTTGAATGGACCAAACTGCTCCGGCCGTAGTGATCAGAACTGGGACCCATAGTCCAACAGCGGCTGCTTTGCTGCCAGTAATCTGATAGAACAGGGCCACGGCGGAGTTGTCGCCAGATCCATCGATGCTCTCGACGTTGATCAGCACAGACATAATCACCAGAAGACCCGACACAAATCCAATTACGATAGTCCAGATGAGGGCTCTGGGGATGTTGGATTCGGGGTTGGGTATCTCCTCGGCAAGATGGGTGGCGACGTCAAGACATGAAAAACTCCAATTAGCACCGTTCATGCCAATAATGAACGCAATCCCCTTCTGCCAGCCAGTCACATTGACAGACGATACGAAGAAATCCTTGGCAGTAGAGTGACTCTTGGACATGGCGAAGAGTGAGATGAAGATCACCCCTATTGTCAGGCAACTGAAAAGCAACATCACTTTCGAAATTTTAGGGAGCGCATGCTCAAAAGTTGCCAGTCCGAGAGTGAGGATATTCAAAATTTGATACCCAATGAAGATCATCCATCTCTGAACGACGAAGTCGGGATTCAGCAGTCTAATTATCGAGAATACTCCTGCAGGAACGGAGAGACATGCCGAGGCACCTGTCGCCACCGCTGCGAGCCAACTGACCATGGCTGTTGCAAACGACATGAATCGCCGATACCGGGGAGGAGCCAGCCGGTTGACCCAGATATATTGCCCTCCCGGGTGAGGGAAAGCAGATGCCAGTTCCGCGAGGGTTGTGGCTGTGGCAAGACCGACGCCAGCCATTAACAAAAACCCCCAAAACACGAGCGGAGAGCCACCCATTGGAAGCGTGCTTCCAAGGACTAGAAGGATGCCCACGGCGGTATTGGTGGTTCCATATCCAATGCCAATGGCAGACAAGGTTGTGAAGGGCTTCTGTGTTTGTATTACGACACCGCCATTATGAATTGACGACGGGGATCTCTCCAACTTGCCATTGTCGACCTTTTCATGCACAACGGGAGAGTTCTTGGCCCCCTTTGTTGATGACGGGCCATCTCGGGATGATTCGTTATCCATGACGCTTTGTGTAATCAGGGTGAAAGATGACACGAGTATTGGTCCTTCACGTATCATTCTACTGTGTATTTACGAAGAAAGGTGGGCCGAGATCCAATTTATAGAATCAGACAGTCACTTCATCATGATCAACTCGTGATAAGGGTGGAGAGCAATGTTCACATCCGAGCCACTAGGCGGAATGTGGCAAGTAGGTGCGATCTCCCCCGCCATCGGAATTGTACTGAGACATCCGAGAGATAATCCTGTTACCCCGCAAGGGTCTTATCTGGAGCACGTTCGGCTTGGCCTCTGTCGTGTGATGTGGTGATTCTTGGGCATCCCCGGCTTAACCCATCAGTGGAAGAGGCAATACAGTCGACTAGTATCGGCTTTAGCAAGTTGTAAGATCACGAAATGGAGTCACTTCCAGGGAGAGCGGTACATTCGAAATCACGCAACGGCTGTTTGCGATGTAAAGCCAAGAAGGTGAGGCCTCCCTTGGCGTCCATGATGGGGATATCCCATATGCTTACGATGTATTGCCAGACTAAATGCGATGAGAGGAAGCCCGCTTGCGCCCGCTGCGAGAGTCGCGGGTTTCAATGCCCTGGCTATGCATTGAATGTGCGATGGTCTCAGAAGCATCAAGGCCAAACAGAGAGACCGTATGCCAGAGGTCAGAGGGCAGCCCAGAGCCCGGAGGCAGTCTCATGTCGGAACATGCAGGCTGGGCCTATTGTTTCGGGACATACTACCCGTGCTGCCAGTGATACAGGCTCAAGCGGTGGGCATTCCGGCTCGCTGATCAATTCTCCTTCACCTTGGGACTTCCTATTACCAGACCAACTCTTTGATTTCCAGGCGTCTTCAGAGTCGTTTATGGTCGGCGACGAGCCATCGGCTATAATATCCAACAATGCCTTCTTGGATTGTGCTTCTGCAGACTCCGTATGGAGTACCACCAGTGAGAACTCTGCGGTTTCGTCCGCTGTAGATACAATGCTCTCTCCAGGGCAAAGGCGCCTACCAGATCACAGCCTAACTCTGTCGACGCTTACCGAACGACCTACTTCCATGCAGTCTTCCTCTAGGATGCAACTTGATGTCAGCCGCATAGTCCCAAGCCCCCCACGAGAGCTCAACCACATGCCCACGGTTCTAGCCGAGCATTTCTTTCGTGAGGTCATCACCCTGTATTGCACCTGGGATAGTGGGTCAAACACGATGCGGAATATCGTTGAAAGAACGTGGCAGTCATCAGGGGTTCTTCATCATACTATCCAGAGTATGGCAGCAGCATGCCTCTCGGAAGATTTCCCCCATTTTGCCCCTATTGCGGCCAAAGAACACGCAAGCGCCCTTCAATACCTTCGTGATATCTCGGTACCATCATTAACACCAAGTCAAGACAAGATTTTAGCATCTACAATGCTGGGGCATACGGCTAGCTGGCTCAACCCTCAAAACCTTGCTACGGACATATTCAGAGTCAGCTGTGACATGGTCAAGGAAATCCCTGCAGATGGTGAAGATGCCGACAGCAAATCATTCTTCAGCGACACCATAAATTACTGGGCAATGCTCTTGGTCTATTTGACGGACAGAAAGAACCTCGGCACCTATACACCGGAGCCGGAGATACCAGCCACAGAAACTCTTGATCTGTCTCAGCCCATCGAGCCCCATCCTTATTCGGGCCTTTCAAGAGAGACAGTGAAGCTCCTCACAGAAGTGGGAATGCTCATTTTTCAGTATCGAAAGCACACCTCCAACGTAAAGTTCATGACTGAGAGAGATCTGGACGTCTTTCGACAGTCATTACGGGACGCACGTCGATTTGAAAGGAGACTGCTCGCTCACCGCACACCTCACCTCTCGCTAGTCAAAGACACAGGGGATCCCAAGACCTCACTGGTCCATCTGCAACTCATTGACGAAGCCTACAGGTGCACGGGTCTGCTGCAGCTTTACCGCGTGTTCCCCGATCTCCTAAATGAGCGGTATGCTCCTTGGGATGAAAAACTTATCCTTCAGCCAGTCCCCTCTGAAACCGTCCCCAGCGCCCAAGAAAGGCAGGTTTGGTTGACCAAGCTGGCCATTCATATCTTGAACATCCTCCGGGAAATACCGTTTGAGTCCCGGACCCGCAGCGTGCAACCCTTCATCATGGTCTCATCTGCGAGCGAGCTAAAACATCATGACCGAGGCCACGCGGATGGGACTCTAGGTGTGAGTCAGTTCTCGATCGAAGTAGCGCGCGCACGTAAATTTATAAGCTCTCGATTGGCAGCGTACACTCATATTCTGTCTTTGCGCAAGATAACAGTCATTTTTGAGCTGATTCGGTCAATATGGTCAGCGATCGATGCTGGGGAAAAGGATGTGTATTGGTTGGACGTGGCTTGGGAGAAGCAGCTTGGAACGATGATGGGATGAGGGAGACGGCCAGTTTGTTATTTAGTTAAGAAGTATGCGAGAGATAACTATCCTATAGCTTCGCCTGTCTAATACTATCGGGAAGTGGAATGCTAGAAAACTTCGATACTGTCTCCTCCGGCGTCAATGTGCTTTTAAGTCGGTCCTCCGTGAGGAGAAAGCATTGTGGAAACCACTCTCCCACGTCTTCCCCAAGCATGATTCGCACCAGGGCCTCTCCTGTTAACCAGCATTTATCCATACCGTATCCGTTGAAGCCGGCAGCAATCCACTGCTCGCTATCTGTCGCGCTGCCCGTCAGAGACGCAGGTATTTTACCAACGACAGGAAGGTCATCTGCAGTATGGCCTTGGGTTCCAGACCATATAGACTCAATTTCGGCTTTGTCCTCATTGCCCCAGCCCTTGAGGAATAGCTTCGGTAGGATCGTTGAAAGAGCGGCGCGTGCTTCGCCAGGGACGTATGTATCATCTGACGTGAGTATATCCTTGAGGTATGCTGTCTCATTCCCGATCCATATCCGTGAAGTCAAAGGGTTTTCCTGTAAATAATACAAGCCCGTGATATACATGCCGGTTCGCGGGTCCAAGGACGGCTTGTGCGAGAGACTCCAAGATCTGGATCCTTTACCGCTCTTAAGGTAGGGGCCCGGCTTCTGTACACTCATTGTCCCGCGGAAGGGATAGATACGGCCAGCCAGCTGTGGTAGAAGATGCGAAGCATGTCCGTTCGTGCAGTGAATCACACGCTTTGCTTTGATTGTTCCTCTTGGTGTCGTAATCCTGTAAGGATATTCTTCGTCTTTCGCCAGATGCTGCACTGATGTGACAGGTGTGTGGGTTTCAATAGCCAACCTACTGGGGTACTTCTTGAGTAAACGCTCAAAAATGCCAGTTATCAGCCTATACGGCCACACCGCACCAGCATTATGCTCAACCGCCCCGACACTGTTCTTGATATTCCACCTCTGGAGGGTGATTAGCCAACGGCCTCTCGTATATCGACGTGTAGGACTCATACCTCAGGCACTGCGTGTTTTTCGACAATGGTATGATACTTGTTATACTCCGTGACATTCTTTTGGAAGTTGAGAACTGAACGAGTTGCATCTGCCCAAGTCTCTTTGTCTCCCACTGCCATTACCTTCAGCACATCTCGCAACTGGCAATGATCTTGGAACTCTTGGCCCATCCCCCGGACCATCTTCATGATAGCTTCAATGTTGAGAAGACTGAATCTCGTCACCTGTTTCGCAGCCTCAACCCCATGTTGTTCAGCCAACGGCCCGAACGTGTGCCCCGATGCTGTGACCAGGTGCCCACCGTTGCGGCCTGTGGCGCCACTCACGAGAGTTCGCGCTTCCAGGACCGTCACATGGAGATTATATGTGGCCTTGTGTTCCAGAAGTGTCTTGGCGACGCTGCATCCTGTGATGCCTGAGCCGATAATAACAACATCCGTAAACTCGGGAAGTGTCGTAGACTGGATAGATGCCACGGTAGGATGCTCTGGTATTTGCCAGGACGACACGGTTGGGTTTCTCCGAGGCAGGCCGGGATCTTCCAAAATGGCTTTAGAGATGTACTCCAGCATTGCAGTACTGGTTGGGTCTAGTCGTACATTGCGACAGAAGTGAGCTGGATACTCTAGATTTTCAATTATCAGCTAGGCTCACCTCGACGGGCTGACGTATGCGCTGCCTTTTGGTCCAGGATCGTCATTGTCAGCGATAAGATTCTCCAGGTCGGAATTTCGTCTATTGATGCCAGAAGCAGACTTGGGCTGCAGGTTTAGTTGGCTGTTACGACGCCTTGAGATGAAGGAAGATACGGGCTTTACACTTATTGAGTTTCGCCTATCAGTTCTTGGATCCGCTGGTGCGGGGAATGACAAAGAACTCGGAAACAAAAAGTTTCCAAACATGGAAAGTCGATCCGAATAAAACCACTAGTCCGTCTGGGCGGAATCGGACAGAACAGCCCCGTTGCTGAGCCCAGATTCAAGAAGCAGTACACGGGAGCAAATGGTCATCTCAACTGTGAACTATGGAAGGGCGTACGGGTCACAACTTGCTGAAATCGATATTCGACTACTGAAATCTATGGATATAGAAACAGGGCATTCAATGATCACAGTCATCTCCCATTCCCGGGCTTCGCATGAGGCTCTCTCATCATTGTAAACAGCTTGATAGCAACCCCATCATCATCGCAAATCATGTCCTTGACGAATTTAAATCCCCAGCGCCCATATATAGCAATGTTCGGATCGTCACGACTTGATTCCAGATAGCACTTCATATTTTCGGCATCAGCTTGGTCCGTCACCTGCTTCATCATAGCAGCCCCAACTCCCTTTCCCTGCGTTTCAGGCAGAACCACCATGATATTCAGAAAGTAGTACCCCCTTGGGTCATCCCATGTTTCAGACTGTACCTTTGCTTGAGCATCCTTCCAGATATAATACCGCTGTAGAGGATATATGGTTAGAGCTACGCCGCAAGAGAGGATGAGAGGCCATTTTACCTTGACGTTTAACCCGCCACGTCCATAGTATAGATTCATCCCTACTTGATTGAAATAGAGCCTCCATCCTTCCAACCAGTCGTTCCAGGTCGGTGGAGAGTTGGCTGGCTGTGGCCGCAACCACATGGCCACGCCTAAAACCTTGTCGCTACCTTCTTCCTTTGCCACGTGGAATTTACCGTTTCGCATGCCCCATCTCATGCGTATTCCAAGAGAAGTGGCGTTCCGTTGTTGATTGAACTGTAAAATTGCAGTGATTAGTGCACAGTCTCTTCATGCGATGCTGAATTTATTACCTTGGAGTGGTCATAGACCCATTCATTATAGGGATCGTTTTTGAAGGCATCTCTGAGTGCGAGTCAGCACTGCTTCATGGGCAAGAGCAGCTGTGACTACTCCCTCCATTGTGAGCAAAAAATACGTACTGCACAGCTGCAACAGCCCCGGGAATGTCGCCCTCGGTGAGGTTGGAGATTTTGATGACCATTTCGAGATGCCACAGGAAAAATTGGTAGGAGTAAATGCTTCCGAATATGCACTACGCGATGATATCGACGATACTGCAGGACGATATATTCCGCAACAGGGTAGTAAATGCTTATCATGTAGTTTCCTGCCTGGATCAATCTCAGATAATGTCCCTGCAATGCTGAGGGGAACAAGCATCACGCATCCGTCCACGACTCGCATAGACTTTCCCAGTTTGGTAAGTCTGTCCCCTCAATCCTGGTTGGACAGACTCTGCTCCAGCAAAGTCCCAAGTTGGTCCAGTTGCATAGGCTGAACACAAATGAGGGGCCACTGAAGTTAAAGCCGATAACGATCATAATGGAGACTGATCTCGTTCTCTTATTCGACGAGTATGGCTGGTGCTGAGACAAGGGGTATCAGAGCCAACGCATGCACGATCTTGAGGGCTAAAACGAATGAATATGTCTGTCATGCATCTACTCATCGCTTCACTTGTAGAATCTACGACACATTGGTCGCAGCTATCCATTAATGATTTCATTGCATATTCCTGCAACTTCTGACACAGCCAACCCTGCTCCAGTTGGCTGCAGCCCTACATACTCCCCAGCCCATAAGGGAGGGCCTGTGATAACCCCTGTTTAAACCAAACACCAAGTAATACATTATTAAGAGTAATTGTATTGGGCCGCTTGCCTCGCCCTCCTTCTTCGTATCCTCATACGTGATTGTTATCTCGTTGACCCTGACAATATTGCCACTCCCTTGCAACAGAATCGTCTCGTCACTGTCGTTCTTGATCGTGGACTTGGTCATGGTGCCCGCTATGGCCTCGACATCCTCCTTGTCGCTGCAGCTGGTAAATGTATTGGTCTTCTTACCGCCGCTCTTCTTGCTGCGAGAATATGAGCTGAGCTGGTAAGGACCGGTACCTCCGTAGCCCGAGGAGTTGTGCTGCTGGTAGCCGCCACCCGAGTTCGAGTCGTGGCCGCGCAGCTTGTTCCACAGAGGGCGAAATGACCCAATCGTCACGCATATGATGGTTGTTGATACTTCGGTGAATGTCCACATGTAGTTGTCGGGCATGGCATCTATTAAGAATGAATTGTCAATCTTGACAACGAACAAGTTTCACTCAAGTGGGTGGCTTGGCATACAGAGATAATCATCGGTCTGATTCAGAGCCCCAAGTCCAGAGGTTCGGATGACACCACAAGTTCCAGCACTATTATCAGAAATATTTGTCAGTATGTCATTATAGGACGAACAGGGATGGCAAAAAATGTCGTACAAAACGCCGAGACTGAGAGAAATGCAGATAGTAATGCGCTCTTTTCTCTTCATGTTGAGATTACGGAGAGCTATCCATGGGAATCCAGCCAGAACGAAATCCAAGAATGCGGCTTATGCTATTTAGAAGGTTATATTGGTCAGTTTGATTGTCTGCACACGTTCACGCAGTTGAAAAGACCAGAGGGGCCACTTACAACAGTCCACAAAGGCGAGGATTGTGAGATTGATGTGGCAGACCTTCTTGTCTGCCAAAAGCGGATTCCATATAGACTCAACAGGTGAGCACTGAGCAAAAACAGCACTACTGAGAATAAGACTCAGTAGCATCATTGAGCCAATGCAAAACCATAGAAACCACCGTTGCCTAGATCAGGTTGACAAAAATCAGCAAGCGAATACTTGATCGGTGAGCACTTCGGCATCAGAGGGAAGAGAGCCTACCAAGTAGCAGTCACAATGCGGAGCAAGAAGGTAGCTACGACTGCCTTGCACATTCCGATAGCAAGAGACGCAATGAACTGTGCGCAGGTAATGTAGAACACGCCGTTTGCGAATTGCTCCGTCATGAGGTCGGCGCGATGCTGGCCCATCCCATGGCCCACGCCCACGGAAGTCAAGGCGCCGAAAATTACCACTAGAAGCTATATGGTTGGTGAAGTCAGAACTATCAACTTATATTCTTCATCTGTTCTGTGAATTCGCATCAGGATGCATGAGATGGACCAACCCAAGTGACGATGAGCCAATAGTCATCCCATCCAACTTTTCCCCTAATGAAATGTCGAGTGTAAAATCGTAAACCGATTAAGATTAGGGTCAGGAAGTTCTCGCCCCAGATGACAGCGAGAACCGTTCCGCCTCTCCCTCCTATTCCAGCTGGCTGTGTCATGTTGATGTTGTCGAATCGCTTGTTTTTGGGAGAAGAGAGAGGATGGGGAAACAGGAGGGAATCTGATGCGAGGATGGTTCTGTCGGCCCTCTCCTGAGAGCAATGTAGCGTGTGGTCGACCTCACACGTTCTCGTCTTTCAGCCGATACGGTGTAACAGGTCCCTTCACAACTACGATCATAGAAAGGAGAGTCTCCCGATCGAGTGGAGTTAGAACCCGGCCACGAGGTAAATAAAAAGAAAAGAAAGTTCCCAGGAAAGGGCCAGAAAAGAAAACATCGGAATCATGCATGTATAGATGGATGATGATCGCCACAACTATTCATCACGCCGCCCATTCACCTGGAGACTAGAGCACAAGCTAGCTAGGAACATGCATGGAGGACTTTCAGCTCCCACATGTTGGTGGGCGACACCCGATGCTTCGCATCTCACGTCCAGGGGCTTGGCGCCGCCTCTCACTCCATGCCAAATTCATGCCGCTGTACCCTGTGCCGAGAAACACCTCGGCATTGATTATAGTAATATTAGAAGCTCAGCTTTAGACAGCTGCTACCGAGATTATCTCGGCGGCTGTCGTCTTAGGCGGACAACGTCAGTAATGAGTGACTACACGGAGCAATAGACCGCTTCTTGGAGACGTTAGACAACCGTCGATCAAGTCCAGACTTGGTTTTGGCCACGCCATGACTCGACCGAGCTGACTCTTCAGCAAAAGCCCTCTGAAATTGAAAACCAGAGCGAGCCAACGGTAAGTACGATCAGGTTACTTGTGGGTGTCCGGCAAGTCCCCTAAAAAGGACTTTCCGGGGAAGCCCCTGAGCCATGTGAATAGTAGCACCCGCATTGAGTTTCTGGCATGATGTTACCATGATGTTCCCGGCACATATTTGCGCAAGAGGGTTGAATGGGTGGCCTCATTTGAAAGACGGGATGACATCCTATCAAGCGTTAAAATAGTTATTTTCATCTCAATGCATTACCCTTAGATTAATAAGTATGTTCACAGCACACTACTAAAGAAACTACTCTGCAGCAGGTAACCTTCTCGCAGGTAAATCTCCTCTTCCCCAATCTGGATGCCTACATGATTCATTCTATCTCTCGTATGTTTGAGACCTGGGTTGATCGTCATGCCAAGTTTTCGCTGACGGCTGCTTCATGGTGAGACAACCACATTTTCAATCTACTCAAGCTATGCCAGAATAGCTCCCTCCAATCTAATATACTCACACAATTTCTCGTTCCCAATTAAGAAAAGATGCAAGAATTTAACCTAACGGGCTCAATGCGTCGGCGGATCATAGCAATCAAGCATGAGTCCAGTGGCTTAACATCCCCGTCAATAGACGACCGGTTCCCCAAACGAATCCATCGAGCCTCTATTGGAGGCTCCGGGGCAAACTTTGCGTAAAGATCGTCTTCACATGTGGTACATGTGCAAGGGCGATCAGGTGGAGATTGCATCAAGCACGATAATCTCATCCGTAGCCCTGGGATTTCTCCCCAGATCCCATCGACCCAGTCGAACAGCCCTAATCTTAGCTGGTCTCGTCATGGGTCGCGCGTTTGCTCCGGGGCCATCCCGGCAACCAAAGATGGAGCAAATGCGAAAGATCTCCGTCAGCCGACTTCCTTGCTCCCCATCGACCATCGCCAGGAGGAAATGTCCCGTCAGTTCGATGGCAACGCTACCGACACATTGGGAAGAAGCCGACGAACGCCAGGGATGTTCGGTCGATGGATCATGGTGCCGAATACCGCCTGATTTCCAAACTAATCATAACTCGGCGATTCTCAGAAATCACTCATACAGGCTAGCTTAGAATTGGCGTTGTGGCAGGACTCTCGCAGGCTCTGACTCTACCATGCTTCGTATCTTCCATGATGATCCTACTTGCTTTCATTCACGTAGCATTTTCAAACGTTCCTCGCGCAATAATCGTTCAAAGATGTTATCTGGAAGTGTAAATGAGCTACCACAAGATCATAGTAAACAAAGTTTAGGTAGCTCCCCATCACCATAAAGTTTCACTATCTATACTATCCTCGCAGAAGCTTTCCAATATCCGCGGTTCTTGTTCAATCTCCCCTAACTCCTTATAACATATTAGCCTCAGCGCAATCAAAGTTTTTCACGCATGAACTCAGTTGAGGCTCTACCTCCTGCACATGGAGATCACTTGTGCGGAGTTCTCATGTGTCATGATAGTTGAATATTTATGAATCCCAGTCATGTTCTTGTGTTCACATTCATGCTAAATCTACAATTGGTTCTTCTTCAATTCTGCAGTTTACTTTTGACTTCAGTTCTCGCTTCCGCTTAATGCTCAAATCCGACACCCAGAGGACCGTTCAGATCCCTAAAATCTCCACGCAGGACCTCAATTCCCTCTCTTCTTACCTCCTCAACAAGATCCCTAATCTTGGGTGCCATCTTGGCCGGCACGTATCCAAAGTACTCATAAGCAGCCTTGGACGGCAAGCTCTTCCCGAACCGGCGCATGGAGAAAGACGCATCGGCATAACGCTCCCATCCATTAGCAGCATATGCCTCAATCACCACGGTGGGCTTGCCGGAGCGGGGCTTGAGGACCGACTGCTTGTATTGCCGGGACTGCTACTCGAAGAGTCTGGGGCAGGGAAAGGAAACAACGCGGGCTTTAATTCCGTACTCCCTGGCGAGGAGATCGCGAGTCTCCATGGTGTAGCCCATCTCGGAGCCGACACCGATGAGAGTAACGTCGAAGACTTCAGATTCGGCGAAGACATAAGCACCGCTGGCAACACCTTCGCGGGACGAGTTCTGTGGGAATTGGGTCAGGTTCTGGCGAGAGAGTGAGATGATGGTAGGGGTCTCGGTGGCTTGGATGGCGGCGAGGAAAGCTCCTGCGACTTCCTCTGAGTCGCAGGGGCGGATGTAAAGTAGGTTGGGCATGGCGCGATAGAGGGCAGGAAGGGCGATGGGCTGATGGGTTGGTCCATCTTCTCCGGTGCCGATGCTGTCATGGGTGGCGATGTGGATCTGCTGAAGGCCCTGGAGGGCAGCCATGCGCACGGCTGGCGCGGCATAGAGGTAGAACATGAAGAAAGATGAGGTGACGGGTAGGAAGGTTCCCTTCTTGAAGGCGGCCAGACCATTCGAGATGGCGCACATGGCGTGCTCGCGGATGCCGTAGTGGATGTATCGGCCGCTGTAGTCACCATTCAGGCCACAGGCGGTCTTGAGATTGGGCTATTCACATTGTGTTAGGAACTGGTGGCAGGTTTCAATTATTTGAGTACTCACAGATTGGAAGTCGACCTTCTGGTTGAAGGCCACATTGCAGGATGGGGTGAGATCAGCGGTACCAATCAAGAAGTTGCGCATCCTCTCGCCGAGAGGGTTGGTGATAAGACCAGCAGATTTCCTGGTTGCAACTGGTTCCTTGGGGAGCTGCTCAGATGTAGGAATGCACTTGGTCCAGTCATCGGGCATCCTGCCAGCGACACGGAGCTGGAACTCAGTTCCGAGCTCGGGATTTTGCTGCACATACTTGCTCACGGATGCGTTCCACTCGGCCTCGTACTCCTTACCACGAGGGCCTACATCTTTGAAGAAATCGTAGACGTCCTGGGGAATCTGGTAAAACTCCTCCGGGTTGAGGCCGAAGGAGGTCTTGATGCTGGCGATATCGTCGACACCCAAAGCAGCACCATGTGTCTTGGCACTGCCAGCCTTATCAGAGCCGAATCCGATGGTTGTTCGGATGTTGATAAACGTCGGCTTCTCAGTAGACTGGCGTGCAGCAATGAGGGCATCCGTGATAGCTAGTAGTGAGAGTCAGTATAGATCTCTATATCTTCATTTGCTGTGCAGGGGGCGCCTTACCCTCAATGTCTGAATCTCCGTTGGCGACATCAATGACATTCCATCCCGTGGCCCTCATCTTAGCGTTCATATCTTCGGTATTAGCAACATCGGCTGTTCCATCGCAGGTGATATTGTTGTTATCATAGATCACGCAAAGGTTGTTCAGCCTCCAATGACCTGCGAGAGAAACTGCCTCAAGACCAACACCCTCCTGGAGGCAAGCATCACCAATCATACACCAAGTCATGTTGTTAACAACTTCAATGCCATCCTTATTATAAGTGGCTGCCAGGTTCTTGGTGGCTATGGCGAGACCGACAGCATTAGCAACGCCCTGACCGAGGGGCCCAGTAGTAACCTCGACACCCTCATTCTCAATTTCAGGGTGCCCAGGGCAAATGGAATCTGTGCGGCTGGAGTGATATGATTTAAGTTGTTCGAGAGTCATGCTCTTGACACCAATCAGGTGCATGAAGAGATATTGCCATAGACAAGCATGACCTGTACAGTCTTTGTCAGCTAGGCTTCCCAAAACTCGAGACATAAAATGGCTTACCATTGGATAGAACGAAACGATCACGATTGAAGTATTCGCAGTTCTGTGGCGAGTACCTCATGACATATTTGTAAAGGGAAACACCAATGGCAGCCATACCCATGGCGGAGCTGTTTTTGTCCCGGTTAGCAATGCTCGTGGCTATTGGTGATTAAACGTCTTCAAATCAGAAAATACATACCCAGGATGCCCACCATTGAATTGCTGACAAAGATCCGCAATGAACGCACGGAAAACTTTAAGAACTCTGTCATGCGTCTCAGTGCTCTCGAACTTGATGCCCGAGGCTACGGCAGACTTGGCGCCCTTAAGAGGGTTGACGGGCAGAGATTGTGCTACCTTGTCGAGAACTTCCAGTGAGGGCGCCATCTTGAGCTCGGAAAATACGTGTTTTGCTCGGCTATCGTTTGTAAGTGGTCTGTGTGGCCCGAAGGAGATCAATCAAAGCTGTATAGTTTCCGAGAGGAAAATAAGACAATTCAGTGAATGAAGCAATATATATGCTCATGCCATCGAAATGGCTTCTGTAGCGACTCGGGCATCTTCCTGTCCTTATACATCAACAATTGCACCAAAAAGAGTAGGGCCTTATGATGCTGCATATGATCGAGCGATGCCCGTGTCTTCGAGACGAAGCCAGGCATTTTACCATAAGAGGGAGTAGTGCTCCCCCGCGAACATCAATCTCCACACGGGGAAGCAAGCAAACGAGGGCTCGATGAGGAGACTACGGAGGCGGGGTGTGGAGAATCGCGTCTTCGATGCGAGGCCACGCTACTGGGCCAGTCAACAGGTCCTGTTGATTACTGACTAAGCTGGACTCGAAGCGAGACCAGGGCTTGTTTCATACTGCTACCAGTGAGATACAAGTTGTGTGCTTCAACATTCAGGGGTAGAATGGGAGTATCCCACTAGTATAACCAACCACCACATGTTTCATGAAAAACAAGTCTTTTCGCCAATTGGTGATCCGTTCGTCCATGACACATCACTGCTTTCCGGTGGCGTCAATTCGGGCTTAAGGATTTTCTAACATCAGATTGTGTTCTACTGAGTCTACGCACTACGCGACATCGTCATTGTGATGGGCAGATAAAACCTGCAGAATTGATAATCGCCTCGGTCGGATGGGTGTTCGCATTCTCTCTCAGCCACGCTAGATCAGCTGACATTTTCATTTAAAGTTTGTTTAGAACTCGTTTTCTTTTCCATCGCGTGCAGGTGGTTATCGTTCAGGCATATTGCGGCACCCGGGCGTTATGCTTGATCCGAGCAAGTAGATGCAAATGACACTAAATTTGATTGAAGACTTCTATCAGAGATTAATATCGTATGCTTTAACTAAGGCCTCACTTTTTTGCAGTTGTACATAGCTGGTCAAGAGAGGGCATCACAATAAAATTTGTCGGGCTATAGGGTAGTTGGACCCTTACATCAGCACCCGCTTCCTTCCGATCTGATCTCGTTAGCTTTCTTACATAATGGCCCTGAGCTAGTCACATGATCTTCAGTCACCTGAAACTGCACGTGATAACCCAAAAAGCCACGATGCAACTTGTTGCCATCGAAAAGAGCCAATGGGTTGCGTGCACAGGAGACACCTTGGGGGCATTTTACTGCCTAAGACGCACGAACCGCCCAAAAAGTTTCCCCCGGATTAGCCCAGAGCCTGTAATTTCAGCCGGCTCGTCCTCTGCTCGTGCAACTGCGTCAAACTGACGATGCCTTGGCGGGTGAAGCCGGGGATGAGATGAAAACTGGGCCCGGCCTCTCCCGATCGTACGACACACAAACCACTTTCTGCCTGCGTCGCCCGGCCATTGCATTGCCTGCTGCATTTGGGTGCTACGCAACTGTCACGAGCGCCACAGGATTTGCAGCATGACGCTGGACCGAGAAAGATTCGGGCGCACGTCTCCGTCATGAAACCCGGGAGTCAGCGCAGTGGCACACTGATCAGCCCACAAGATGCAGACTGCCGCCGACTGGCCAGCCAAGATCCATTCCATCTGCCGATATTCTCGAATTAGCTTTGCTAGCCTTGGTTTGTGTAATTCTATAGATAGAGGGGCGTTCTCCCCAGCTTCTAATAGACAGATCAGATTCATACCCCAAACACAGATTGACCAAGCCACTGATCAAATCACTTGCACATCACATCAAACATGCCTTGCACATCATCGATTGAAGCCCAAGCACAGGACATCACGCCCAAGAAGGGTGTAACGTCCCTCACACACATCCCTGACCCTGCCCACCTGGCAGGACTCCTCTACGCTGGCCAGAGCCACATCCACGCCCGCGCCCATGCTCACGATGACCACGAGCACATCATCATCAACCCCATAGGCGACCATGGCGTTGACCACTCTTTCCCATCCACAGGGATTCACACCCCCTTGACCGAGCATGACGATGAGGAGGCTGTCCTCAGCGACATCGCTTCCGAGGATGAGTCTGACCTGGAGATCCCACCCACCACCCCAATCAGCGAACGCCGCCACCGAAATGCCACTTCTGTATCCTCAGACGACTTCGAGTTCCCCATCTTCTTGGGCCGACAAGATGAAGAAGCTGTCTTGAGCGATATGCCATCAAAGCGGGAATCAATGTTCGAGATCCCACCGTCGTCGCCCATTAGAGAGCGCCGCCACCGAAATGCCACCTCTGTCTCGTCAGACGATTTCGAGTTCCCCACCTTCCTTGGTCGACAAGACGAGACCAAGGTCCCCCGATACGCTGTGCACACCATCGATGCACCAGTGAATAAGGCGGTTGAGACCAAGAAGTCGGTCGACAACTCATGCCCTATCCTCGCCCCCAAGTGCCACCCAGTCAGCTTGTCCGGCCCCATGATGTCGTGGTGGCCGTCACCCGTCGAGGCCATGGACTGTGGTTGGATCGACGAGAGGCAACAAGCCGCTTGTATGGAAGCAAGCCTAATGCAGGCTTGGCTTCGCACGCCCAAGGATATACTAGACAACGAGTGGTCGGAAAGCTTCTATGAATAAGCTTCATGGGCGACGATGGGACGATTTGCATTTTTCTTCTCTTTTAGCGTACTGGGTTTGGGCATCAAGGGTAAACATGAAAGGAATTGCATTGGGATCAGGCGTACTGGAATGATTCCCAAACCATGTGTACAACAAGGGAAATTAGTATAGACACGGGATGCACTTGATTTATTTTGGAACTTTGATAGACGCAATTCAACTTTGAAAGACATTACAAGAGTTACAATCCGTCACGATATATTTCCGCAAACTGCAATAGTATGCTTGCTCTAGCTATTTGGTACCAATATTACCTGTCTTATCCAATGAGCCGGTTTAACCCTAACTGAATGTAACCATCCTGTAATCAGATAACGAAGTTCTGAAACACAGGATGGCTAATCTTGTATTGTCAAACCTGCCTCATACCGGACATTCTTCACATGCCAGGATACAATCCAGGAATATGGCATCAGACTCAGAAACAAATTCCGCAAATGATATTTGAGCAAACTTGTAGGAATGTAGATTGCTGCCATCTTCCGAGTGCGCTCCTGTAACTTTTCAATAATTGGCCGCAATTTCTTCATGATTGACTAGAGCTTGGGCAACGTCCTTCGTGTTTGTCAGCTCAACCCTCAGGAGTTCTGCCGAGGCCAGAGCCATACATGCTCCCTGGCCAGAAATCAATGAAAGGCAGTGCGCTGAGTCGCCCAGGAGCATGATGCGGCCCTTGGACCACTGCCGAAGGTTAATCATGGTTAGAGTGTCGATAATCGGCGTGGATCCAGACGTTTCTGCGCGATCGAGGATGGTTGTGACAAGAGGAGGCGCTCCCTTCGTGATATCACGGAGAACCTTAAATCTGAACTCTCGATCTTGCGGCTGGGTTGCCTCATTCCGCCATATATGGAGAGCCGCTACTCGCTCGTTCCTCAAGTAGTAGAAATTGTCGATGCGTGCAGGACTGGCGAAGGAGTCGCAGCTCGACTGGAGCTTTGATTCATCGTCAACAGCGTTAACGTCGTAGGCTGCGTAGGAATACCCAAGCTGGTCGAAACATGCTCGCCTTTCCAAAGCTGATCTCTAATAGCAGAGCGTATCCCATCTGCCCCTATCAAGAGATCTCCCTCGAGTCTTTCGCCGCTCGCAAGTGTTGCCCTGACTTTGTCGCCTTCATCTACCACCTCTGCAACTGTCTCTCCGAGGCGAAGCGTGGCGCACGCGGGGAGAGCCTGTAGAAGAGTCTGAGAAAGGTCGCCCCGGCATAGAGCGATGCTGTCAACGCCGTGGAAGTCCTTGTATCGCAGGCGGATTAACTCCTTTCCCTTGTGATCTTGCATTGTGTTCTCATCGAATGTGTAGATGATCGGTTCTAAGTTGAGGTCCAGTTTGTGAACGGTTTTGTACCCGGGGCCGGAGAGACTCATCATATAACCACCATCTCGAATGGTCGGGGATTTGTCGATCAAGATGGACGACCAGCCTGCCCTGTCCAACCACCATGCCGCCGACAGCCCAGCAATTCCAGCACCGACAATAATTGCTCTTGGTTTGTTCCCCATCGTGGTTGTTATGTGCCCTATACTCATGATCTCGCGATTTGGAGTTCGGGCGCTGGGTGTTTTACGGAAACGAGATCACTCATGGGATGGATTAGAGTGCGTTTTTAAACCAAAGCAGGGGAGCCAGAATCTACCCGAGCCCGACTAATGGTCGCCAAGTTTGGCAAATCGTCAGTGTGCACGGTGACTAACAGAAATTCGATGCATGGACTAATCCTGGATCAGCTCGCCGGCGACCATCACTTGCTTTTACGAATTACCTGCGCCAAGCCCAGTATGAATACGACCTAGAGGGGATTCAAGGCCAGAATCAATAGCAATCATCTTGATGGGACATTGTTAACCAGGCAAGTGAACGGCATAGTATAAAGCAGCCGCATTATCGCTCATTTACTTCGCTTGACCCCCTTGTCGATCAGCTGAGATGTAGAGATTGATAAGATCATGTATCATGAGGAATTTCTCCACTTGGCGTGCCAGGCCTTGTGCGCTAGCCTAAAGAGATATGCCTTCAGGCAAGCCAAGATCGATGATATTGGGTCCTAGTATTAGATCTTGGTGTATCTCGGTTGTCCCGCCCGAGAGCAGAAGAATGAAATGCCATTGAACGAAGGAGTTAAGTTTGGGCCAAGCCTTGCCGAATACCATACTACAAGTGAAAGGGAATGCTAACGTTAGAAACAAAGCCATCTCATTTTTGCATTGTTCCAAAATAATAGCCCGCCTTTCAAAGCATTGAAGTTAGGACGGAGAATAAAGAAAACTCTAAGCTCCTTGTGGTAATGAACAGAAGCTTCTCCGCCATTAGCGTTCTTCGAAGGCAACGCCGCATTAACTTCTATCACCACTTTTTGTTACTAAGACATTGCGAACATGTTCAACTACAAGGTCCGCGTTACCTCCACTATTGCCAAGCTCCTCTCCGAGAGAAAGAACATTTCACATATGACCAACCATTGTTGTGATCATATTGGTCGGTTATGCGATAGCCTTCGTTCAACTATATAGCGCTGAATTTCCTCCCACTGAGATAGGAAAGGAGTCAGTCAGAGCACTCTCATCAGAAACCTTGCATCAACCAAGATTTGAAAGGAAAGACCACTCAATCTCTTATTATAATTGAAAATGGAAGGCTTTACCCGAAATAATACGGGCGCCTCCCATGAAGCGGCCGTTGATTGTCAACCATCCGCCGGACCCGCTGATTGCAGGAATATCTCTAAAACGGTTAAACCCTGCAACGGAGAAGATTGCAAATGGTTTGCAGAATTATACTTTTCAAGAGTTGACGCCTTTATCGAAGACTACAAGAATGGACGCAAGTGTAGCCGGCATGTTAAGCGCGTCAAATTTCTCGCCAAGGAGGAAAAAGGCAAGGGAATGTTCGCTGAAATGCGTGCCTTGCGGATGGATTTGAAAGAGGACGCTAGTGAAGAGATTCTTGCGCCTGAGACTCAAGAGAAAATCTTTTTAGCTCTCTGTTCCGTTTGGAATCTCATCAGCGAATGGGACCTCGAAAAACCCCTCGCCCTTACAATCGAAGGGCGTTATTTTCGGCCTAACGACAATTGTCTGACGGATTTCGCTCACCAGAAAAACATTAAGAGACTGGCGTGTGAGGATGCGATATTTGCGGATCCCCTCGACGTATTGAAGATAGCAAAACGCCTACCCGAGTTGAAAAGGCTTGGGGTTCACGTTCAACATATGGACAAGCAACTACGCAGCGAAGTGGCAAATGAGATGCGCACATGGAAGACGGCTCTGCCCAAACTCAAGGGTTTAAAACTCCATGGGGAGAAGAAAAGAAATTCATGGTCCTCAAGAGGGGATGTCGCAAAGCTTGAAGATATGAGGGAGGACGGAATTGATATGCTCTGCCGAGAACTGCGTCTTTTGACTCAGCAAGATGGCTTCATCGATCTTGAACTGAAGTTTGTCCCTATATCCGCTGAACTTTTCCAAGACACTCAAGATCCTAAAGCTGAAATGAAGTGGCCAACCTTACAGCGTATGAAGATTCAACTCCCTGAAATGTCCGCCACCGGAAAATGGTCGTTCCAGGCGTCTGGAACTAAAAATGTACCAATTCAGGGAGAGATAAAATTATTGGCTGATTTATTCGAGCGTACTTGGAAGGGGATGCCGATGCTGCAGCCCTACCTGGGTAAAATGAGCTGTGAGGGCGTCGATGCGCCAATCACAAAGTTCAAAAAAGCTGACGCTGAAAAAAAAACCGTCCTGAAGTTGTAAGTGGAGGATTTCTGGATAATACACAACGTTGTTATTGAAGAAAATCTCTTATGAACGCAAGAGAAAAGCGAATAAAGTTCAACAGCAATGGAAGCTACCAGAGCTCGAAAACTCAACACAATAAATAGAACATCTCTTATGAAATATCTTATTTGATTGTTATACTTGAACGGTCTCATAAGACTACGGCCGTGTCTGAGTAGTCGTCGCCCTCTTCCTCCTACAATGTGGTCCTCATTGCGTTGAGATGTTCGGTCTGGCCTGTTCCCATTGCTGTTCTTTTCATTCTACTCTAATCTGATTAATACTGTTTGGTGCATTGCTATTTAATGTATAGAAATGAAACCTGAACGCCATTCCTGGATGGTTGCCATATTGAGTATACTATTTTAGTCACAAGAGAATACATCATTTCCTCCCCACAGGTCTTGCTTGTCATCTATTCTTTTTGTTTAGAAGCAACAGTGAGGGTTATAGCCGCTGAAATATAATAAAGCCTTTGAAATATAATAACTCTTCTGTCAATTAAACTCAACTCAGGATAGAGGTCAATTTGAGCCTAGGTAGACAGATTGGGATTGATCGACAGAGATGTGTGATTCACTACTAGAAATCGGTGAGAAGATTGACAATTAGCAGTGATAACTGCAGCTCAATAATCAAAGCTTATTATAAGTAGGTAGCGTACGTCTCTTCCTGGGTTAATATCTGTCCGCCGCGGAGAAGCGCTACTACGAACTCTGTTCATGATTTTTGGAGGTCTTGTTATAAGAGTGTTCTTAGAATTTAGTTGAGCATTTTATTGAAATTGAGAAAAATCTTTCTTTCGGTGCCTTTGAACTCTCTCAAGTGCTGTCGTGGCCAATGGGAGCAAAGAGGCTTGGTCAGAGCCAATTCTACTACACCAGCAAAAACGGAGCGCGCTCGCGCTGATTGCTGTGCCTAATTGACCTGTCACTGGCACCAACAGGCTTATCTCGGACAGCCTGAGACAGAGCATTCCGGTCGACTTATGCTTATTCGAGCTGTTGGCTTACCTGGGCTCACGATGTTTATCAACTTCATCATATGGAAGGAATCTTTGGAGTCAGACTGGCAGGCAAATACCTGGCCATTTTGTGCGTCTGCCTGGGCTTACTTTGGAGGTTATCAGCCCATCCGAGCTCCGATCCCAGAATGGCCGGTGTGCTGGCAGTCCAGGTTTCGAAATCCGAGTAGCCTGTTAGGGCTAGATTGCGCGCCAATAGTAGGGATTCATGCAAAGCTTTGAGCTTACAATCTTTACCGAGCTCCACTGCTCACTCAGATCCTGTCATCATTGAAGGAGGCTATGTGGATGCAGTTGTGAGATGACCAACCAATCAGATATGCTGCCCTACCACGACGACTTATTAAAGTACGCCGGGGCAGAACTTCGCGGTGAGCTAAACTGAGTCTCACTATCTATCCATCCATCTCTTTGGAGGTAGACGATAAAATGGCTACTGGACACAAAAAGAAGCAGGTCATCATCGTTGGCGGCGGAGTGACAGGTCTCACTCTGGCACTAACACTGCAGCATCTGGGCATTGACTGGGTGCTCCTGGAGGCATACGGTAGTGTTGTGCCAGCGGTGGGAAGCGGAATTGGGCTCTACGCTAATGGGCTTCGGATCTTGGATCAACTGGGTATCTACCACAAGGTTGCGGCCAGCGGCCAAACGACTGAGTCAATGAACTACATCGATGGCACCTCGGGTGGGCTGATGATGAGACGCATCCTCAAGTCACTCATGGTTAAACGGCATGGATACATCAACATGTTTCTGCCACGCTCAGCGCTACTCGGGATAATGTATGACGCCATCGTCGACAAGAAGCGCGTTGTGTGCAACCAGAAGGTGAAGCAAGTCGAGACTACCGAGGATAGTGTTTTCGTCCACACAGAGGACGGCACGACCTTTGAAGGACAGATTGTCGTGGGCGCAGATGGTTCACGGAGCACGGTGAGAAGGGAGATGTGGCGAAACGCCGACGAACAGAAACCGGGCTGGATTCCAGAGCAGGATCGAGAGAACAAGCCCTGTGAGCACATGTGTCTCTTTGCCACGGCCGCACCCGTCAAGGGAATAGCTGCTGGAGATGTGATTGGCTCTGCTATGCCCGGAAAGGCGGCTGGATTGATGTGCAATCCAGACAACAGTATCTTCTGGTTCTGGTTCTGGACTCTCCCTTCATCAATGCGTTCAATCTCTCTTGACCAGATCCCACGACCTTCAAAGGAGGACATCCAGCGCGAGTTATCGAGCTGTGGCGACGCCATCGTGTCTGCGACTGGCACGCATATGTCAGATCTGGTCAAGACCATGGAGAATCAAGGTGCTACAGCCTTGCCTAATTACGTCCTCAAACGTTGGCACTATGGGCGCATTGTTATTCTCGGTGACGCTGCACACCTCTTTAATCCCCTGGTTGGGCAAGGTGCCAACAGCTGTATGGAGTCAGCAGCAGCCTTAGCAAACGTCTTGCACGAACATCTAGGCCCTGATAGGAGGACAGCTGCTTCCTGGCCCCTGAAGAAGTTGTCCACAGCTCTCGTTGCTCTTGAGGAGCTGCGGGTCCCGCGCCTCGAGTTTATGGTGAGCAAGTGCCAGGACGCTATGCACATGGTAGCCTGGGAAACATGGTTCCCCAAATTCATGATGACGAGGGTTATTCCCCTGTTACCTCTACCTATATTCGTGAATTCCTACAGCGAACTGATTGTTGACGGCGTTTGTCTGAATGACCAATTCCCCCGCGCAACGGCTCCGCATGAGTGGCCGTTCCCCGAAGAAAGATCTAAGCAGATGGGGTATTCGGTGGGAGCAAAGGCAGGGGTTGTCGGTGCTGCATTGGCTGCTACAGTGTTTGCTTTATCCGTGGTTGGCAATGGGTGGAAGCATTTACCAATAACCAATTTGTCTACGCAGGGCATCTGAAGATATCACCTAACACAAACACCTGGATTTATCGCGATTTATATTAGCCTTGGAATCATTGTTCATCCTGTTATCCCTCCTGCATCTATCTTGAAGTGACTTAGACTTGCTCTTCTATTCTCACAATACATACTTGACGCCTCAGTACGATCAATGGCTGTTCCACCATGCTTTTGTCATAGCTAAATAATATGAATCCTGACATGTTGATTTCCCTTATTGGCCTTGCAGCACCGCTGATCCTATCTTGCCGCGTCTGTTAAGTGGAGAAGCTCAAGCACGGTGAAACGTCCGAAGTCGGGAACAATGTGGGATTATTTGCATCTCACCTCTCACGAGTGCGGGGTGGCTCATTGATATTGACGTATGCTTGCAACCCACGATACAATTCTCTTCTCTTTGTTCATATATCGCTCTTGTGGTCCATTATGGCTTCAGACATACTCTTTTCAGCTGCGACCGTTGTTACCGGCGACGAGTCGGCTGCACCCTTTGAGGCAGACGTGCTCGTCTCCGGCTCTCTCATTGCTAAAATAGGTCCTCCAGGCTCCATCGATGCTGAAGCAGCCCGTAAAATTGATGCAAAGGGGCATTACCTTTGCCCGGGATTCATCGATATGCATGCACATTCCGACCTCTATCTCCTAACAAATCCCGCGCATGAGGCCAAGATCAGCCAGGGCTGCACTGTGAGTTGTGCTATTCTTTTTCTATGCCAGTAGTGTTTATTTCGGACGGTGGGCTCGCCTGTCCGATATTAGCGAATACTAAGAGCGAGACTAATGGATGAAGACCGAGGTTGTCGGCCAAGATGGCATATCATATTCTCCTGTGCATACCAAGGACCAGATGCAGGCCATCCGAGAGCAGATTGCCGGCTGGAATGGCAACCCCAGCGAAGACGAGTGCCGGACAAGCCTGAAGGAGATTGGAATGTTCGAATGGCGAACGGTTGGAGAGTACTTGGACTGTCTGGAGAGGAACCGAACCGCTACAAATGTCGCCGTTTTGGTTCCGCAGGGCAATCTACGCCTCTTGGCCTGCGGGCCGTACGATGTCCCTGCCAAACCCGAGGAGATACAACACCAAGTGGAGTTGCTGAGAGAGAGCATGAACCAAGGAGCTGTTGGAATGTCGAGGTACTTTATCTGAGTCTCAATCTGCACGTTGGCTCTGATATCTGACTTTCAAGGTAGTGGCCTGACATACACGCCCGGCATGTACGCACCGACCTCTGAATTGGCCGTCCTGTGTCGGGCACTGAGTGATGAATTTCCAGGGGCTTTTTATGCTCCACATCATCGAAGTTACGGTCATCGAGCTATTGAAAGTTACGATGAGATGATTGAACTCGGCCATGCCACTGGCTGCCCCATACGTAGGCCGATATTTCTACCGGTTTCACACTCCTTGTTCATGAGCATTATTCTAATGTAGGAGCAGATTTAACACATGCAACGCTCAATTTCTCGGAAAATAAAGGGAAAGCGCCCGTGCTCATCTCAATGATTGACACCGCCATTGCAAAGGGCCGGGATATCACCCTCGATACATACCCATACCTCCCGGGATGCACAACGCTCGCCGCGCTTTTGCCAAGTTGGGCTTCCTCTGGTGGCCCGGCAGAGACTCTAAAGCGGCTTGAAGACCCTGATACGCGAGAGAAGATTCGAGTTGCCGTTGAAGTAACAGGCTGCGACGGTGGGCACGGTATCCCGACGGACTGGGACTCGATACAAGTCAGTGACCATCACCCGCTTGCCACAGTTAAGTACATGTGTTAATTTCTTCATTAGATTGGTACTACAGTAGACCCGTCTCTTGCGTCGTATTCTGGTAGACGAGTTGCGGAAGTAGCTGAAATAGTTGGAAAGCCTCCGATCGAGGTCTTTTTCGACATTCTGCGAAAAGATCGTCTCGCCACAAGTTGCCTGATGCATGTTGGCCATGAGGAGAACGTTCGCCAAATCATGCAGCATCAAGTCCACATGGCTGGCAGTGATGCCATCCTGCATGGCAAATCTGTTCACCCAAGAGCCTACGGGACCTTCACTCGTTATTTAGGTTTGTCAATTCATCTAGAACACATGCGTGTACCATCATTTGCTTACTTTGGTGGCAGGACACTATGCGCGCGATCTTGGCATCGTTCCTCTTCCGCAGATGATCGCCCATTTGACTTCCAGGCCTGCAAAACGCCTATCTATATACCCTCACCGAGGCTTCGTGGCCGAAGGATCTGCTGCTGACCTCGTCCTGTTCGATCCCGAGACCGTCAGCGACATGGCAACGTTCGAGGAGCCGAAACTTCCGAGCAAGGGAGTCCGCTTTGTTTTAGTCAACGGCCAGGTAGCGTTGGATGAGGGGAAGATGGCTGGTACAAGAGCTGGGAAAATCCTTAGGAGAAAGGGCGCTGGCAAGGTCGAATAGCTACATACAGTCCAAGAGCGTGTCAGAGAACCGGAAGCAAAGATTTTCTTCCGCCCGAAAAGCGGCTTTGCGATATCGAGCTAAATTAGAACCAAATCTAAATGACTTTGAAAAAGTCATAGCCGTAACCTTTCTGCCACTACATGGCGCTGAGAGCAGCAACTTACGCCCTCCCCACCCCATAGATATAGTTGAAAAGGAATTGAGAAGGCTAGAAACAAACGTGATATTAAAGGTTATGGAGTTGAACATTTTTTTAAGTCACAGTTTTCGGTACGCTAATTGGGGACAAATCAAGACTGCCACCTTCACTCGCCAAATCGCCACATAGGGGAGTCATAAAAGGAACGGTAGGTACCTTGGCCGATCGTGAAGTGGCTACTCTACTGGCAATATCAGGGGGTGAAGAGGAGCTAGGATGGATTAAGGTGAGGTTTTGTCCAGATATGCAACTGTTTCTCACCATATCCACTAGTTCATTGCCCTGTCGTCTATACGACGCAGTCAATTCCCGTATCAGGCTGCAAGGTCCGAGTTAGCTCGAGGCGCAGCTGGCAGTTCGTTAGCCCGTGTTTTCTCTGTCTTCAATTTCGAATGCCAAGGATCGTACAACGGCCAATCGCTGTGCAAAGGGTACAGAGCCCGACTCATGAAAAGAACAGATCTTCCTAACTCCGTCCAGCCTCCATTTTTTTTTCGATTTATGTGAGTCACTGGTTTAGCTTAGAAGCCACACGGGTCTTGATTGGAATAAGGCCAGCTTGTGTGAAGTCTGGAGGAAGAACACTATATATACTAGGCTAATGGCCACTTAGTCAAACTTCCAACACTCACTCTACAACTTACTTTCCAATTGCTTCATTTAAAAATATCTGAAACCTCTCAAATCACCTCTTATCATTCACATCATCATGATTGCTCAAAATTTGTTCCTCGGCCTAGCCTCCACTACTCTCGTCGCAGCCTCCAAGACCACTGTCGATCTTCCCTTTGTCGATGATTACACAAACGGCCTTGATCATTGGTCTAAATTTGGAAATGGAACATGGGATTCTCATCATAACCTTCTAGAGGGAAGGCTTGGCGACAGCTCAACGTGGTTAACCGTGACTCCAAACCGCAATGACTATTCTATCAGAACCACTACCAGCGCCATCAACTACCCTGGTGTCTCAAATGGCATCGTATTTCGAGCCAGTCAGAAGGATAAAGCTAACTTTTACTCCGTTGGCCTTCATGTCGACTATGTCGAGATCCATGTATGGAAGGATGGCAAGGCAGAGACGTTAAAGAGGTCAAAGCCGATTATTAGGCCAGGAGTCGAAACACCAATTCGGGTCGAGGTCACCGGAAGTAACATCAAAGCCTTCCTCCCATACGGGGGTGATATTGAGCCGCTTATAGAGGTTGATGATGAAACATATGAGAAGGGTGGCGTTGGATTCTTCATTCAAGGGGAAGGTCATGATGACTTTGCTGGTATATTCCGCACCATCTCTATTTCCGACAATCACCATGACGAACGCCTGGAGCTCTAGAATGTTGGATATTAAGATGAATCTACGGGGCAAACGCATATTTTGGTCTTTCTGGTCATGGCGTTAGATAGGCCGATGAGTGATAGAGAAAGACGGCTATTGCCGCTGCTGTTCAAGCTCTGAGAGCAAAGTTAAGAGATTTCCCACCTAGTTGATTGTTTCCGTTGTCACTTGATAGTGTTGGGATATCTGCATCAGATGTAGAGAAATTTGGACTCTTACCGCCTGGCATCTCCACCACAGACTTCAGTGACAAAAACTAGTCACGTGCCAGATCATCCGGTGAGATGGCCGAGTTGGTTATGGCGTCAGGTTAAGGCTACCTTAGCATTCACTCCTGGTGGAGCAATCCTCCTGGGTTCGAGTCCCAGTCTCATCATTCCTTTTTGATCGTCTTTTGAATAATAGGGCATCCCAAAGGCTGCATTTTGTAGATTCAGCATCACAAGATCAAAGCCGGTGGTGCTATCATGATTTTTGGTTTTGGAACATCTTTTACCCAGTTGGGTGACGAAATCTCTGAAATATTGAGGAACTAAACCGACTAAAACAAATGTATGAGGATCCTTTGGAATATTCAATCTTGGCACGACAACTGAAATAATCACCCATAAAATAGGCCAGAGCAGCACTGCTGGCAGCTCCCGAATTGAGATCTTGAAATTTGAGCCAGCAAGGGAGTTGTTGGAAGTGAATTGTCGCACAACAATAAGAGGCATATTGACTTAACGTTACTCAGCCTGTCATATCTTAGGAACACGTTCTGCTGCCTCCAGACCTTACTCTTCTGTGTCGATACTAGGAGGGATCATGCCACTCGCAAGCAACAGGTCCCTGCTGTGCTATTCTTAATCTTTTGTTCGAGCCTATGGAGACATTCGAGCCCGGGGTGGACGTAGCCAACTGTTGATTTTCTTCATCACTGAGGTGTTTACATCTAACGTTCAAAGACCCGTTGCTATTGTCGCCGCCTCCTGCACCAGAAACCCTGCATGAAAAGGTAATGGCAATATCACGTGCCCATTCCCGAAGAGCAGGCGTATCCCAGTCATGGAATAAACCCGTGTTGATGGTGAGTTGTCTTAAGGGCTTCATGGCTGAAGACCGCTGTGAGAGGAGATAGCTGAACAGATGACATACTGCGCTGTACGTCACATACGGTTGTCTGATTTGATATGGTCTTCCATTTGGCCTTCCCGAATCAAGCCGAATAGTTAGGTTTTGGAGTTGTGGAAAGCCTGCTAAGATGTCCAGCATCTCATATGGCCATTCGCCATCTCTGCGGATGTCAATGGCGAGATCTCTGATGTGAGGGCATTCTTGTTGGATAATTAGAAGCCAGGAAGAGGATATATATCTAGGGGGTTCCCAGCAGTGATAATCATGGGATTGGAGCTCTAATGTCTTGAGACATCGGCCATGTCTCACCAATGCTTCCAGGCCAATCATAGAAATGTCTCCAGCTCTGATGGTGCTGAGACCCACCGGAAGCGACTGGAAGAAGTGCTGCACTTTGTAATTATATACTGAGACCTCTTGGAGAGAAACTAGTTTTGGTGCTAATTCCTTCGTCAAGGTCACTCGGTGGAGGTGCAAACGTCTCAGTATTGACCAGTCAAACGTCTCTGCCCAATGAATGATTTCATCGCCACTCCCTGGATATCCTATGGAAGGTTCCCACGGCCACGGGAGTTCTTCTTCCTCGGCATGGCCAAATTTATAGTTAACCAGATTTAGCTCTTCCAATACCGGTAGTCGTTCACCATCCATGAATCCAAACCCAGCGTAATGTTCTGATAGGCGGTTGTGTGCACCTCCCCATTGCTTTATGTCGATCGTAAGTTTTCGAAGGTTGGGACAAGACATCAGCATATGTTTGACACATGGCGAAATTAAATCACACGTCTTCGGCTTGCGGTAGGTAAACCGCACCTCGAACGAGCTGAGATTCTTGAGCCCTTCCAAGCGGTACAAGTTGTACTCAAGATCATGTTCGGAACGAGGGTGGAGCACGGATGGAGGTGAAACGCCAGCATGAAGGCGCACCTGCGGCCGTGACTGAAGCAGAGAAATCAACTGATTTGGGACGCAGGTGGACATCTTGATGTTCTTTGCATAACGCCATTCGAGGTCGATCAGCGTCGTCATTTTCCCAATGAACTCGACCATGGTGGTGGTGCATTTCTGTTTGTCTATTGCTCCGATACGGGCTCTGACGCGTCGGATGGCAGGGAGCAGGCCTTCCTTCTCCACCACAACCAGTCGATTTTGGAAAGCCACTTCATTGGTAGTTGTTGATATGGCCACACAGACTTCTCGATATTGGCGGTACCGTGTCAAATGATAATAAAAGGAACTCGTGCAGGCAAGCTCATCAGCGCTGGCTGGGCTGTCGTTGTAGAGCACGTCTATGATCATGGTGATGACCTCAGTGCTGAGGTGGCTTAAGGTAGGAAGGGATGCGTCATTCTTTTGCGGAGCCCGAGGGAGAATAACTTGATTCTCGATTAAGTCATCTCCAGCGCGGCCCCCAGCGCCTCGCTCACGTTTCTTGGGGAATATGTGGCGCATTCTGGCTTTTGACGATGGTCGGTTTGTTGATGGAAGACAGAAAAAGCGCCACGCGCGTGCGGGGGAATTTTGATTATGTTTGTATGACTCATCTCTTTGTGTAACCTTTCCTTGTTGCTTGGTCTGATCTTAGGTGTTGTCTATGGAGAGATACCTACTGCAATGTGTAAGAATAAGATGCCACTCTCTCTTGATAAAGACACAATAGTACAACAAGTTGTTGATGGAAAGACTCGATCTACACCAAACTTCTCTTATCAGAGGAGATGCCTGAACCGACCTGACAGACAGAAAAACTTTACGTTACAGATCTAGGAAATAGACTGGGGGTGTTCATCCTACCGGTCGCAGTCCATCAATTTCCTTTTTTTCCTTAGCTGCTCTCGAAATGGCCCCCAAACCCCTCAAAACCGCCAAACACTCTGTCGGACCCCGAATAACAACAATTGCCTTAGCGAGTGTAGAGAGGTATTGGTCTAGCTTACATTCGTATATGTATATTGAAGAAGGGGTTAAAGGACCTCTCTCGCCTAATTTCCCTCTTCAAGCTCTCCAATCGTTTTTCTTTTCCATTGACAAAAGAGTTAGAAGTTTGGTTGAGCTACTCTAAAGCAAGGAGCTAAGGGAGGGTATTCACTATTGATCTGGAAAAAGAACTGAAAAAGTGAATAGCATAGAGTGAGGGGCAAGCAACCACCGTCTGTGGGTGACGCACGTAACTATCGTTCTGATATTAATGGGTACTACATTTATTATCGAATGTGTAACTAAGCAGCAAGATGAATTCTACATGCCGTCTTACTCAAGGAATCGGCCGAAGCTACCAGGTCTGAGCAAGACTTTGATTCACTCGCTAGCACTACGCCTTTCGGGCAAGTGTAGATCTTGGTTTTCAGTCCCATTCTCTGGAAGTGAAAGACCATCTCGTACGGAAGCATTCGTATTACTTCAGCTTCCCGGCGCTCTCGATTATTTCCTCCTGGACAGCTTCATGAGACCCATTCTTCTTGAGCTCCTCGGTAGCCAAAACAGCATGATCAAACTTGTACGATTTGAATTTGCGAGTAGGAGTCTTGTTGGCAAACAAGAAGTCGAGCTGCTCGAGCGAGAAACCCTTCATCTCTGGTAAGAAGAAGTAAACCCAAATGACGGTAAAGAAGGAGAATGAAGACCAGATAAATCCCTAGTAGAAGATAACGTTAGGCTCTGAAAAGATTCGGATAATCTGAGAAGTATTGCTTACGATTCTACCACCTAGGTTTCCATAATCCTCGTTCTGGATGTATGGTGAGACGGAAGTAATCATCAAGGAGACACCGAATCCAATGAAGACAGCCACAGCCAGAACCCTTTCCCTGTTGCGAGTAGGGGCCGCTTCCGCCGTGGTAATCCAGACAAGAGTAGATTGAATACCGAACCCAACTTGCCAGATGAGAATCAGCGCGAGGGAGGCATTCGATGTGGCAGTCGTCGGAGGGTTCACGGTGGTCGTCAAGACGGCAACGATAAGGAGCACAACGCCGCAGAAAAGTGCTGTCGAGATGATAAGCGGGCGACGGCCGAACTTATCTGGTAGAATATGGCCAGTAAGGATTGACACATAGTATAGCGCGTTCACTCCCATGATGGCAGGGAACACGTCCTTAACGCCGGAGGCCTGTAGGAATGACACAATGTAGTTGCTCATGTAGCTGGAGCCTTGTGCCTGCTGTAAGCACTGCATGCCCATTGCAATCAGTAAACGCCGCAGGAATGGGCTGCGCAGCAAGTCGAGCCAGCCACCAGATGTAGCGTTGAGCTGTTTATCTTCCTCTACAGCGAGCTCGATCGCGTTGACATATTCGACTGCGTTGAAATCATTCGTTGGTGAGCCGAAAATTCTCTCAGATGCAATCTTCGCTTCTTCGAGGCGCCTGTTCATCCCAAGATGTTAGCTCATGTCGCATAAATTGGGAGGGACTGGGTGTCAAGATGTCATACCCCTTTGTCACAAGCCAACGGGGACTTTCAGGAAGGAAGGGTGATGTTGCTAGCATAAAAACAGGCGCAATAAGCTGCAGCGCAAAGGGAATGAGGTAAGATGCGGAAGTTGTCAGTTGTGCCGTGCCATAGACGGTACCAGCTGCCGTGATAACGCCCACGACAAGGATGTTTTGGTACAACGCGATGCCAGCACCTCTTGCCTTGTTTGTAGATGTTTCGGATAGGTAAATTGGGACGATGTTGGCACAGAGGCCCATCGATATCGCTGCGATAGTCTTGCCAACAACGAATTGCGAGAAACGAGGTTTTGCTCCGATGGCGCTGGTCAACTCAATCACGATTCCGATAATAGAAATGATGGCTGTCAGGACAAGTCCCTTCTTGCGTCCAAGGAAGTCGTTGACATAGACCGCAAGTAAGCAAGCAAACACTAAAATGCCGGAATTAGCCACCGCCAGTCGAGTCTTGTCGGCATATTAGAGTATCAACATACTCATTCCTGCAGACTGAACTGCGCTACCCGCAGATAACTGCCCCGTGGAGAGATTGCATGTCTCAACACCGTCGGTCGTTTTGCACGATCCGTAGTGTCGAAGAAAGGTGTCCGCGCCGAGGATGGTTCCCCACCATCCGTTATCGAAACCCTACGCATAGAGAAATGTCAGGACAAAGGGAGTGGCTCGGGATTGGCATCAAGGCCTTGTATGGCTTTACTCACAAACAAAAATGCACCAACGGAGGCCAGTAACATGCAGCCCAGCCCAGTGCGGGTGGTGCCTTCGAGGTAGTCTCCGAGTTTTCCCATCGTGGTTTTTCGCAAGGGGCAAGCTATTCTGGTGAGTGACTTGAGTGATTCAAGAGGTGAAGATGCTCTTATTCGATCCCTTGAGGGAGGCGAACCCCATGATTTATAGTTGACTCTTATCTGCCCATGAGAACGAGATGAACATGAAAGAGAAAACATTGTTGTGGAGTTACTCCCCGTGGAGGAGAGATAAGGGTCGAGACTCGAGACCGCGAGTCAAATTGAATATTGGTAGGGATTGGGGTGATAACCACCCTTGCCACCGCCATGGGCCGATATGCTGCCGTAGTGTTTCAACAAGTAGACGCATGATCGGTTAGTCTTCTAGCTATGATCCGAGCACTATGGGGACCGACGGCCCCCGTACGGGAACAAGGTGAGGCCGACTACCAGTGGATTTGCGAGCTATGATGTGCGAGTCATGAGTACGTAAATATTGTAAAACCGGAGGAGATTGAGATAATATCGAATGCTACCTTGTTAAGACAAAGGTAAACAGAGAGTTATCAAGATCATGATGAACTCGATCACTAAAGATGCATGATATGTTGCCCCTGCCTGATAACACTCAGAACTGATCATGAGCTAAGGCGAGAAACTCACAGAAAACAAGAAATCGATATCAAAATTCTCTATCATTCATATCCTCACAAGCTTCGGGGTCTTTTTGGGGTGTTTTAAAGGTGCCTATAATGGACGCTATTGTAGCTTCTATTCTTATCTATGCTTGTCTAGAACTCCTACTACAATCCATCGGAATGATCCCTATTTCTCGGCGACCACATGCTTCCAGATATTTTCAACAAACTTAGCAGAGTTCTTGGGGATTCGTTTGAACCCATTTTCTTTGTCAATATACGTGACTCCAAAACGTGGTCCATAGCCACAAACCCATTCCAGGTTGCTAGCAAAAAAAATCAAATTAGCTTCCACAACATCGGAAATCTTCTACTTTTCATATTGAAACTTACTCCAATAAGCTCCAGCAATGATATCCTTGGATCTTGGCTCCATGGTCAAGAACTGCATCACAAAGTCCCCGGATATAGTCAGAGTAAAACTCTTGTCGGTCTTTGTCATCCAGAATTTGTTCTAGAGGCATGTGCTGCTCATCTTCGACGGGAAACCCATTCTCATAGATGTAGATTGGCAGATCAAGGTCTTTGGCGTAGTTCTCCCAACAGTGTACGAGCAGGTTACGGAATCCCCACCCCACTACCCAAAATATGAATCAGCGTCAAGGACTCAAGATTATGAAACTGTCCATGAGGCTTGATTGTTTCAAACTTACCCAAGTGCGGATGGCCATTCTCGCCACGCTTCCCGATGAGCTTCCCATCTTTTTCCCAGCTCTTATTGACTTCTTCCATTGTTTGCCAACCCATACCATCTTCCGCCTTGAAAGGCTTGCCGGTAGCGTACATGGTGCCATAATGGTTGATAGAAAAGCTATATATATAGACCGTGAATAGGTGAAATTAAAAACAGCAAGTTCTAGCATCACTTACAAGTCGGCAGAGCCTTTGAGCAGTTTCATTTCGTCGTCTGAAAAGCGGAGAAAGAGATCTCCCCAAGCATCCCAGGCGCTGGTCTGGGTGCCCTTGACTATATGCGAGTCAGTAACTCATTTGTTCAAATTCTGTTAAACATAAGTGAGCACTTACAAATTGGGTCGGCAAACTTCACTTATTGATTAGCAATCGACTTCTCAGCAAGAAATCCATGGGAAATACATACCCAACCCAGAGTACGGCCCCGTGACAAATTGGCAGCAGCAATAGCCTCTGGAGAGTTATCGATTGGTTCGACCCATTCATTGTTCTTTGATAGGTAAGCTTATGCCCCACGAAATATCATTTTAAACTGTGCTCATACCAGCGCGATGCCGATTTGCCCCTTTTGCGATTGTTGGAATTCCCGACGATAGAGATCCGTCGCATAAGCGTGGGTAAGTAAGGAATTGTGACCAACCCTGCGCACCAACAAAGTCAGCCATTAATCCAAGAACTGTGATAGGTTAACTTCGCATGGTGAGTTTTACCTGATAAGGTCTGCATTCGTCCAGTCTTTGATGTGATCCACCATCGAAATGGTAAAGATATAAGGCTTGGGTTTAATTTCTGATTAGAAACGAGGTAGAAGATAACTCATGGGCGCCACGCACCTCGTTGATGGTCAACCATCGCTTTACGCGATCTCCATACGCAGAGAAGCAGACGCGAGCGTAATCAACGAAGTCTTCGACCAGTTGAGTAGAATCAACAGCAGCGAAACCACGATAACGCTCTTGGAGGGCTTGGGGGACATCGTAATGAAAGAGCGTCACGGTTGGCTCAATCCCAGCATCCAGGAGCGCATTTATCTGAGAACAGCGTTAGCTTAGCTATGTGGTTAAGTAAGGTATGATCTGTATTTCAACTTACTAGATTGTTGTAATAGTCGATACCTTCCTGATTCAAAGGATCGTTCTTCCCTCCTTGAATGGAGTGTAAGCGCAAGCCATAGATGTAGGTTAGCTATAAGAGATATCTCACCAAGAGGCTTGATTCGTGTCCAAGATATAGAGAAACGATAGGATCGCGCACCATATTGGCGAAGCAACTCGACATCATCCCGCCACATGCGATAAGATTTACAAGCTACTTCGCCAGTATCGGGGAAGTCTTTGAGGCTGATGTCGAATATGCAGGGGCCTCGCCCACCCTCAGATGCCGCACCTTCGATTTGATAGGCCGCCGACCTAGATATTGAGAATTAGTCCAGGATAGTCACTATCAGGTGAACCGGATAATGAAAGCGTACGCATATCCATGCAGGAAGTCCGAAGGCAAGACTCCCTTGTACTTGGGATCCTCAGCAATATTTTTAAACGCCATCTTCGAAGCGAGTATCCTAGAGCTGTAGCATTGACGGATTTCGTTCAAAGGAAACGAAGAAGAGGAGGACGATGTAAGCGAGGAATGGGAAGGGCTCGAAAGGGGATGGGCGAATGAAGGAGAATGTTAGCGCTCCACTACGACAGACTTCATATCGGCCGATATTCTTGTAGATCTTGGCTCTACGGGTCCATTCTAAGGATCGGGCTCAATGGAATCCCCGGCTGTATCCAATGACCATATTGTCTCCAGGATGATCCAAACTGCCTAGTAGGTGGGGATTGGTCATATCAGGAGACCAAGAATTCCAATTTCCGTTTCCTCACTGTGTCTGTTAGTGCATATCGCTCTACCCCCCCGTAAAACATCTCACGTTGACCCATTCGAGTGGAGAACCGACGGCACCCGACGGGTCCAATATCGAACTGCAAACGCCGACTTTATGGACGTGAGGCGCCCTTACCAGTTGGACAAGGATATGGAACTTTCTTGCTCAGCCAAGAGCAAGGCTACTACTAGAATCCAGTGAATTAGCTTTACAATCTCGACAGTAGCATGTCTGCGAGTCAAACAGGAGGCACTTAAACATTTCGTATGGTGTGAACCGCTATCAAGGAATATAAGCTCGTTTAAGGTCCTGGCCCCAAACCCTCATGATAACACAGCCTAGACTAAGCCACTATTATCAAAGTATCAACTCTTGTTGGCTGGAAAGCAGCAGGGGGTTATCATGGACCCCGTCGGGACCCGTCGTGAGCCGACGGACTGCGTCGGGATCCGTACAAACTAACGAACAAACGGGCTACAAGGTTCAGCCTACTCTCCTCTTAAGCCCTCTAAGCCCTGCGTGTCTGTTGAATATTTGGCCCGGTGCACGGATATAACGATTTCCAGGTATTAGGTACTTCCAAATGCTTTTGGCCCTGGTCCCAATTCCTGAGACGTCACGCGAGACATGCGAGCTGCGCTCCAGCATGCGGCCCAAGGGGATGGCACCACCCACAGGACGGTGATTGTTCCAGTATTCCGGGTCTTCCTCATTTGGGGGGGAATGAGCATTGGGTGGGTGAGTAGGCCCAACTAGTGGAGGTGAAGGTAACGTAGGTAGTAAATTACATGCTATCAACAATATTCTTGAACATGTTGTCAAGCTGGGAGAAATCCAGCTCCATCCCGTTGGGCTCGAAAAAGTCCACTGGATTCTCAGATATCAGCCTCGCCCCTCCGATCAGAGACGCGAATTCGGGGCTTTGAAAATTGTTATTGTATGCTGTTCCGTAGAAAGGGGCACTGGTGTTTGGGGAAGGGCCTGGGTTCGGAGTCAGCTCGGATAGCGGCAAGCTACTTCCATGGGGTACATGTTGTGGGGGGGTGTTCTGATGGCTTTCGCCAAGATTTCCAGTTTTTAGGACTTCGATAATGCCCTGCCTTGTGAACGAGTGGCTGGGGGAATCTGCTGTCATTTGACGCTCGATGGAACAGAGATGCGAAATCAGCTTGGCGCCACGGACGGCAATTCCCGACTTATCTCGGACTTCAAACAGAAGATTCACAAGATCTGATAGTCTCTGTCGCTGTAATGCGAGGTCGCTTTCATTGACTTGCTGCTTAGAGCTCAGAAGCAGGTCAAGAGATAAGACAATGCCTGCTGATACCAACCAAAGCGTTGTGTTCCAGAGGCGTACGAGCGCGGAGGGGAGGCCCTTCTGAGCAATATAGAGTATTCTCTCAGCCGCAATCACACATGCCGTTCGTGATTTCTCATAAGTCTTCTCACGGAGTGATTTGACGAAGAAAGCGCGATGGATAAGATATGATCGATATGCAAGCATCATGGCCAAGTATCTGGATACGAGCACGATGTTAGGCTGCCCTGGAGCGATGTCTTCCGTCGGTTCCTTCAATCTCTCTGGCAGTGAGTTTGATAATGCATCAAGCCTCTCTGAGGCACGAAGAATCGCTTCGTATGACGGATGCTCATTTGGTCTTAAGGTGCCGTAGAGGTCGTACATAATTTGAGATGAGTGGCAGCAAGTCAGTAGGAAGGAAAGGGAGTGAACTTCCTTTGAGCGCGATGCGAGAACACCTTCTTCATCTGTAAGATCGGGAAGACTGGTGTCGAACTGATGAGGCGCAACAGCTGGAGAGGCTCAGGTCAGCAGAGAAAAAGAATAATGACAGGCCATGTCTCACAAGTGAATCTTTGGTAGGGCAGAAAGTGCCACTCTCCTTCCACAATCTGCCACCAGGCTCTACGGCCTAGGTCTCGTTTCAATACCATTTCTGACGACCCAGAATTTTCGTTTCCCAAGAGATGTAGATTAGTTGACCTACCAATCCCGATTAAGAGTTGCATCATTGATGTATGTATTGGGGTATTCCCAGAAAGATTGAAAGCAGGGAAAAGGGCCAAGATTGTATTGCACGCGGTGAGAGTAGGTTTAGTCATGCCTTCACATCGGAAGAAAGTGGCCAGAGAGAGGTCGAACCATTTATGTGCCAGGCTTTCCATCTCGTCCAGGTTTGGCATGCCTGGGTATGTTTGGTAGTCTTCAAAGAAGAAAGCAGATACGCTCAGGACAGCAAATAGTAAAGCCAGTGTCATGCTGTCCTCGGCTTTGCCCTGCTCATGAAGTGACCAGAATGTAGCATGATGTCGATATAAAGTTCCACGATGAAGACAGCCGAATATCCAATTCAAACGATCACAGTAAGCCTCCAGGAGGATATGAGATTGATGTCGCGTGGGTAGCTCATTCAGGCAGTCACTGAATGCAACCGAAGAGAACCACGGGGTGTTGGAGAGACTGGATTGAGCAGGATCCTCCATGAGCGCCTCGCCATGCCATCTTCGATTCTGGCCAATCCCTAAAGCGGCTTCCTCCATGGCACCGGCGAGTCCATTCTCCCGAAAGTCAATGCCGTCATCGCTGTTTGAACTTGGATTCTCCTCGCGTCGGATGCCAAGAGCTGATTCAATCTCGGCCAACCGATGCCGCACGGAAACCAATTCATCCTGAACCTCTTGGAACGCCTGAGGCGTCACGCCAGTTGGGGTTAATTCCGTCGTAATCGCAGCAGGAGAAGGCCGACGTGCCGGACCTGACTGATTTCGAGGATAACACTGATCACCTTGACCCCTTTCCCTGCAGGCTCTACAGGGAAATTTCTTGTCGCATCGGATTTTGCGACGACTGCATTCTTTACAACTAAGCGGGATCCGGTATCGTCCACTCAGCTTCATCTTCACCTGCTCCCCGGGCTGCCTGAGTTGGCCGTCAGGTGACTCAGATAAGCTGGTGGCGGACATATCCGAGGCAAATGCATTGACACCCCTAGAATTGATTCATAGGGTTTGACGGTGACGATGACGGCACTAAGCAAGGCAAAGTGAATTGCACTTGGCCTGCTTGCTGATGAAGCGGCCATGTCTAAGCCGGAATCTGATTCAGTTGAGACATTGGATGTAAAGGTCTAGACGGAATAATGGAAGGTCCGATCTCCGGTAGACACTGCTTATTAAGCTGAGTTCACTCAGTTGGCTTACCCTATACATATCCTCCTCCGATGAAGCTCGAGACAAGAAAGGCTTGTATTTGAGACTTAAGGTTTGAAAATCATGGATTTGAAAGTAGAAGTATAATGTACTTGCCTAGTCTAATATTTGTGAAAAATTTAGTTAAGTTGATTTGCCTAAGTCAATTATCCCGATTTCTCGCCTTTCTCACTATGGGATCAGATAGCTTCATTTCCTAATATTAAGCAGTAGCTAAGTTACGCAGGATTCACATATACCCAAAACGGGAAAATGCATTCTCTACTCTTATAAATTCTACATTAATAACCCAGTGATAAATAGTACTCTTCAGTGAATACTCATACTTGCGCAAAAAGCATCTGCAAACTTACACAAAAACTGATTGGCACATATACAAAAAGAGAAAGGAATTAATTGCTAATTTGAAACTCCCCCTCCACAAAAATGCTGAAACAAAAGGAAACAACATCTAAAATGACGCAGCCTCTCCCATTCGCAAAAAGAGAGTCCTCCGTCTGTGAACAATGTATATCCATCTTCCAAGGAAGATGCTTACTCTACACCGCCGACGACGAAAATGCGTGGCCTCTGCCAGTTCACCATCAGACCCTCGATTCCTTCGAGGCCGCGGTTAAATCTGGTTGTGTCCTCTGCCACCGTATGTGGATGAATTTTACAGGAGGGGCCGTGGAGAATTGTTTATGCTAGAGAGAGCTACAGTGTTTTCTCGCTACGCACTGCGAAAGTTCCAGGATGATGACCGCGCCGACTTTTGGCTCACGCTTATTGTCCTTCATCCGGGTTCAAGATGGAAGTGGATGGCTTCAGCGTTGAGCATGGTGTGATATCTTTAAATCGTAGGTATGCTTTCCGCAAGTTGAATATTATTGGTTGATGAAGGATTCAGGGTATGACGGACCTACAAAATCTTTGGAGCATGGACCGAGTACAATGTCTGAAACTGCCTGGGATCAAGTTCTCAAATGGAATCGAGAATGCTGCTCGCACCACACTGTTTGCAATTCTCATCGAGACCCTTCCTATCTCCCGACTCGAGCCCTTGACATTTCCGGGAATCAGAACGATGATATCAAGCTGAAAGTCACTGAGAATCACATGAAACAGATAGACGACAATAAGAGCGAGCATGAGTTCGCCACCCTTAGCCATTGCTGGGGCCGTAATCCCATCATCACCCTCCGCCAAGAGAATATCAGTCACTTTCAAGATTCCATCGCGATGACTGCACTCCCCCTAGTATTCCAGCAAGCCATCTACGTTGCGCGGAAGCTCGGGTTTGCGTACCTCTGGATTGATTCTCTCTGCATCATCCAAGATTCGGAAGAAGACTGGCGGCATGAATCTGCCCTCATGGGAAAGGTTTACAGCAACAGCATGCTCAACATAATGGCTACAGATAGTAAAGATGGCACTCAGGGCTTATTCAGGGAAAGAAGTTCTTTGGACCTGCAACACTGCGTCATTCGAGCCGATTGGACAGGCATCGCACCCGATTCCTTCTACATTTACGACTGGATGACGTGGGATAATCTGATAGTCAGGGCGCCGTTAAACGGACGCGGGTGGGTTCTACAAGAGCGAATCCTGTCGCCTCGAGTGCTGCATTTTTCGTGCAACCAGCTGGTCTGGGAATGCCACGAGAAGGACGCATGCGAGATGCATCCTGACGGTATACCGACGATATTCGTAAATTTTGATACCCAAGTCAAAATCATGGACCCAGAGGCGTACTTGAAATGGGTCAACACCTGGCGGCAAATACCCTTCAAACCGACTATGGATGTTGGACACGCCATATGGAAACGTCTAGTCCATTTATACAGCCAAACGCGCGTGACGAAAGTATCCGACAAGCTCATAGCTATCAGCGGTCTCGCCAGCCGAATGCGTGCTATCATGCAAAATGATGAGGAATACCTCGCTGGGCTGTGGTCGCATCAACTGACCAGTCAACTTCTCTGGAAGGTTGCGCCCAATCCGATCGGCTCTCGCATCCCACGATGGCGGAGATCATACCGCGCGCCCTCTTGTTCGTGGGCGTCATTGGAAGCCGAGATATACATGCCAATGGAGGAGTCTGCGGTGCCCCTGTCAGCGTATATCGATATTGAAGAGGCGAGCGTGACACCTCTCTCGTTATTGAGCGATACAGGAGAAGTGGTAGATGGCCACATTCGGCTGAAGGGATCCTTGATGAGGGCAGAACTTGTAAGTTCAAACGAGGAAGAATCGCGTAGTAAAATGGACTTGTGGGTGAATGGAATGGAAACCGACTCGGCTATCTCTCTCGATGAAGTGCGACTTGAGGATAGTTACTCTGTGGTGTATTTACCTGTCGCAGGGGTGCATGATCCAGATGGTGACAGCCAGGCTGTCATAGGGATACGTGCTTTACTGCTACTCCCCGTCAAAGGCAAGCCTCAAGGGTGGTACTCGAGATTTGGGATTGCCGATACGTGGCACGACTGTGAAGATCCTGAGCCGATGAACCACTTGATTCGTGTAATGGAGGATCGTGCCTTTAATGACGAGAGTCTCTGTCTGGAGGGAGTGCCCAGGACTATTATGTTTGAATAGTTCTATTATCAATCAAAATAAACCAAAAAGTTAACAAATGTTGAACTGCTGAAGTTTGAAGCGGGAACCCTGCCTTCAGATTTGGCAGCACTGGTTGGATTGCAATTGCGAGACATGTTAATATCCAAAACGGTGAGATGGCCGAGTTGGTTATGGCGTCAGGTTAAGGCTACCTTAGCATTCATTCCTGGTGGAGCAATCCTCCTGGGTTCGAGTCCCAGTCTCATCATTTCTTTTTAACTTTTTTACCTCAATGCTTTTTGTCAATCCCGTCTTTGCATTCTGCGGCCTAATTTCTAAATCTTTATTTTTCATCATGTTTCAAATTGCAACGAATCCAATCATTCTTTCTTGTTTCCGTGAATGTCTATGTATGAGCAACGCATCAATATGTCTGTCTTGGAACTAAATGTTGAACTGTTGTGCGATCATCGAGCTCAGTGTCTTATTATTGAATGATTGTTTAGAGAACACTATTTATCTTGGCATGCTTTTCGTTGACTAGCACATATCTGAACCGAGCCTTGCCGGCCTCCATGTCGATGATAGCCTGGTTAGCATCACTCAGGGGGCGCGTTTCAACCCAAGGCTTGATGTTTTTGCTAGATGCAAGTGCTAACATTTCGTTGATGTCGCTGATACCACCAATGGCACTGCCGGTGACCTTGATTTCGCTGTTGATAAGTCGAAATGCGTTGATGGGAGGTAGAAGACCTTTGTCCGGGGCTCTAGAAAATGTTGTAAGTAGCAACCCTTTAGCGAAGATAACGGGCAGGAACTTACCCGACTTGCACGAAGGTTCCGCCTATGTCCAACAGCTTAAGGTAACCCCCTAGCGGGATCTTGTCGCTGGACACAGTCGAAATGATCAAGTCCAGGCTTTCGGCGTTCTTCTTGACCCAGCCCGCGTCATCATCTGTCGCTATGTAGTCATCTGCACCAAGCTGCAGTACCTGATCTCGCTTTGATGCCTTCCGCGAGATACCCACTACGTGATCTGCTCTCAAGGCTTTGGCGAACAGGACCCCGAAGTGGCCCAGTCCACCTACTCCTATGATGCCGACTCGTTTGCCCGGGCCGCAGCCATGGGCCCGAAGGGGTCTAAATACCGTGACGCCTCCGCAGAGCATCGGGGCTGCATCCTCTGAAGCCAAGCCTGGAGGGATCTTGACGACAAAACGGCCGGGTGCCCTGTTGTAGTCCGCATACCCACCATATGATTTGCCCTGATTATCGGGGTACCGGGAGTTGTATGTGTTTACCTGAGCTTGATATTAGATGGTTCAAGGGAAATTCAAAGTAAAAGGAAGCAGCGCGGCGGACTGACATTGACTCGGCGGCATATGTTCTCGTTGCCGTTGGAGCACTGCCTACAATCAGGCTGAAGACAGCTGAGTGATTGTGCTCCCACGCCCACACGATCACCGACTTGCAGATGCTTCACATTGCTTCCAACACGCACGGCTTTGCCGACAATCTCATGGCCCACACAACAGGCTGGAGAATGCGCGCGTCAGCCTGTATTTTTATCTCACGAGGTCGGGAGAGAAAGGTTCCTTACGATAATCCGTCTTGCTCCACCCTGAGCTGAGAGTACTGAAGTGCAATCTTGTGTTAGCTCCTAAATTAAAATGCCATATGCATGTTTCTGCTGAGATGGACGCACTGTAGGTCAGAGCCACACATGCCGCAGTGGGTGATTTGGATATCAACATCGTTCTCTGTCCACTTCTTGGGCTCAAAACGACCCCATTCCATCTTGCCATTGACGCTGTCGGGATCATGGCCCAACCAGCCCTCGAATTCATATGCAGTCATCGTTGAGAGTAACAAGTAGACCAATGAATCGCAATGCTTATGGGCTTGGGGAGATGGTACTCGCTCTGGTGTCTCTGGTATGTAGCAGGTCTTCTTTCACTCTCAAATGAGACACGTGAGCCAACCCAAATCCTTTACCCCAAATGCCCCTGTTTGTTTCTGCCGCTATAATGGCAATGTCCGAGTCATGGCCCACAAAGGGAAATAGCGCTCTCTTGCCGCCAAATATGCTTGACCGTTAGAATGCCGCGCTGCAGCAGTCTGGGGTTATATTGAGATCAGAGAGGTTTCGAGCGTGATAAAATCTGACACATATACGTTCCCAGCGAGGTATCTTCAGCCTCTGATCCAAGGTCCTGGCTTCTAAATTCGTTGCTTGCGTCCCAACGGCCCACATGAGGATGAGCAAGTGAGGGGCACTGGCAAGGATTGGAGCGTCATGAAGGTTCAGCCGAGGCTCTTTACCTGGCTCCTCGGTAAAGAAAGGCGCTTGACAAAACCCCTGAGACGCGGCCACTTCCCAACGTTAGGGAGCGAGCATTGGAGCTGGATTGACCAGATTCACATAACTTTTTTCTTGTAGTTTACTATCGTAAAAACACTGCACCATTCCGTGATGCAGGCACCATTGATGTAGGATTGAAGCTATTAAAATAGGCAATTTATCCACATCTCGGCTCTTGCCGTTACCTGTGACCGGCCCCATCGATGAGCCCCTCGACGATGACTCTAATCTTCCTCGCCCTCGCCCTCGCCCTCGCTTGAGGACATGTACTCGCTCCTGCTAGATACCCACACGTCGCTGTCCTCATCCACGAGGTCGGCGTACCTGAATTTGCGATCAACAATGCTGCTCATGGTACTCCCACAATCCTCCACGTCCATCTCCTCATCAATAGGGCATTGGTCTTCTTCCATTTCGTCATCTGCGCATCCTTCCTCTACGTCAATCTCGCGTTCTTCTTTTCCGCTAGTCTCATGTTCTTCGTCCGCTTGGCCTTTCCCTTTTCCTGCCTCATCATCCAGCATTTCGGAATCCTGGGGATCATTCAATTCGCCCCCTTCGCAGTTACCAGAATCGCAGTTTTCGTCCATCTCCATATCCTCAGCTTCGGGCCCTTCATCCACTTCACTGGCTTCGTTATTCCGGTGAGCGTAATAACGTTTCCTTCTTTTTTCCCGCGCCTTGATAAGGTGCTGTAGAGCTTCACTATATCGAGACATCTCGGCGTCTTCGATTTCATCGCTTGAAACTTCATCAAGGAACCAGTAGTCTGCTGCGCTACCCTCGCTAAACTCGTAGTCACGCTCTTCTGTTGTGTTGGAATCCTCACTATCCTCAGAATCCTTCCAGCAACTCGCGCCCATCAAGTCGTCTTCAGTGAATATCGCATTTCTTTTGAATAACAAGTCTCGCCACTCAAAGAAATTCTCGCGTTGACTATCTGAGTGGTCCTGTGACCCATGACGATTCATATAGTCAAGGACATGAGACTCGGGAACCCAGTCTTGACTCTGCGAGGCCCCCATCAAGCGGCAGGATTCTAATTGAAGATCAGGGACTTCTTCTCTGATACGGTTGAGCGACCCCACGACTAAAGCACAACTGTCCAAGCCAAGGTGTCGAAGTGTCTTGGAGTTTCTTTGCAAAACTGGTATCAGTTCCTTGCAAGTGACTCTCGCGGAAGAATGAAGATGCAGGGAGACTAGTTGTGTGGATCGTATGGATGGTAAGTAAAACTTATAACGAAGATTACTGTTAATAACCAGATGGGTCAGGTTAGTCGCAGCCCGCAGGAGTGAGTGGCTATGGTTTCGTTCGTTTCCGTCGGAGTCATACATTAGGTGAGGGAAGTAGAATGACAACTCTAATTTTTGAAGATGCTCAAAGACCTTTTCAGCGCGTGGTACGGGCCGGGTACAGCTCCTGTATTGATCTTCATCATGCCAAAGAAGTCGAGTGATGCGGTTTCGAAGTCTTTCCATAGCTGGGAAGAGGAATAGAAAGAGCCCATCGTTCGCTGTTTCTTTTTGACTGTCTGCTTCATCGTTCGCCGTTTCCTTTTGATTGTCCATCTCATCGTTCGCTGTTTCCATTTGACTGTCTGTTTCATCGTTCGCCATTTCCTTTTGACTGTCTACTCCAAGCCAGTAAGTCCGGTGTGTCTGAAAGTGTCTAGCCCGAATCTCCAGAGCATACAACTCGGTCAGGATCCATTGGTCTTGACAGCACACCTGTTAAGTAGGGGAGGCAGTCGAGTGCGTCTTCAAAGAACTTACGAAAGGACGCAATGGCTTTTTCCCGTAGGGAGTTGAACGTTGCCGAATCGAATTCTGCTAGACCTTCACTGAATTGTCTTGCCCTCCCCTTGATGAAGTCGATCTCCTCCGGGGAAAATCCGGAGCCGCACATTTCTTCGCAGGTAAATGGATAAACCGATGATGATAAATCAGGGATAGCGAAGAGCCAGAAGTGACGATTGAGGGACTCGTCTAGGCAGAATGCCAATTGGGCGCCTTGATCTCCGGCTCGTAGCCTACCATATAGACCTGGAGTCCTCGTGCTGGAATTGTTGTAATACCAACACCAAAGCCACGTCACCAGCTCCGCCTCCTTGGAATAAAAGGCGGCACGGGAGAAAAATCCAGGATGCCATGAGATTTCCTGCCATTCGATGTCCCGCACATGCTGTGCTAAATGGGGCGTATGGCAAATACGGAGGAAGTTTTCACGGTCTTGCCACAGCTGGGAAATTGTGATACACCGAAACAGGCTCGGGAGTGCATGGCTTCGCAAAGTGCTGCATGTCAGGCTGATCGCCTTCCTGTCCTGAGTCTCTAAATCTTCGTGTTCCACAATTCTTCGAAGGATTTCTTGAGGGAGTCTTTCCAGAGAACGCCCGTTTGGCTGAATGTTGAGAAGAGTGAAGGACCGGGCGAAGATATCCATGTCGAAATGCACCAAACAATTATGCGATATGGAAAGAACTGTTTCTGAGCAGAGTTGGCTTTCTTTTCAGCCGTGAGGATGGTCCAAAGTCAAGACGTTGAGATGATATTGAGAACAGAGCACCAGTGGAAAGCTCAATGATAAATAATTTGGTCAAGGTCGTATCGTTCCAATCTTACGCGAAGCTCTTTCTCTTGGCCTACAACTCGAAATTAAGGTTTCTTTGTTGGACAACCGCCACTCACCTTTTGAGTATTAGATATCCTTTGCTCCTCAGACACCTTTCGGGGTTTGACAAAGGAAAGCCCGCCCACTTGCAAGAAGAGTGAAATTAATAAAACAATAAGGGCATATTCAGAGACAAGAAACCCTTTGAGGTTAAGTGAGTGCATTGTTAGAAAGTGATACAAAGATTATCTTACTGCCCCCTGTTGGCAATTGTAACCAATTCACATACGGCTATCAATTAAATCCGGTGCTATTACTCTCGACTGGAGTAAGGGAAAATCGACTAGATTCGGAGGTATCAGTAAAATGAGCTGGGACAATCCCCCAGTAATAGTATAGCAGAGCTCGCATTATTTTTTACTAGATGAGTTAATTTCACCGATGGTTCGCAGCATATTCTGGTTACCGGGATAGGCGTAAATCAAAAGGTCCAAAAACAAGCTCTTGGAAGTGAACGGGATTCCAGACTCAAACAGCAGTGTTGAACCAAGTTGAGCATAAGGAGCAGCAAGCCGGAACTATCTCTTTTTGAATAATGCCATTGACGATACCTCCTTATTAGGTACTAAGTGAGTTCGACAAAGGAATTAAATGAGGGCATTCAACAAGCGTTTACTAGCCCAAGGGACAAGTTTACCCGTTTGGTCACTCCCCAAAACCCCTCATGAAGGGTGGAGTTGGGTGATCACGCAATTTCTGGCCAATACTCTGGTCTCCTCTATTATAATATCCGGGGCCGCGAACATCTTTCAAGGTCATGAATTGATTCGGATTTTGAATCCATCCAGTTCTGCGACCCTAGACGTTGAGCGAGCGCTGAGCAACAGCCCAAAGCCAGCCATTGCGCCATACCCACGGGGCGATTTCCAACTCCCCAGAACCTGCCATTCACCCGTGGACAAATCGGGTGCCATAAAGGATGAGGATTCAAATTAATTTGAGTCAATTGCCAGCGGCACAGCGTCCGGATGAGCCCGACTTCAATGATACAGAAGACTTTGACAATGCCTCCCGGGGATTCATAGCAAAACTGGAACCATGCATTATTAGAGACTCCAAGGGCCACGTTGTGTGGGACAATGACGCATATGATTTCGTCAGAGAGCAATGCCCGAATACCGTCAATCCAAAGCTCTGGAGGCAGGCTCAGCTCACAGCCATCCAAGGCCTGTACGAGGTTTTGCCAGCTGTGTACCAGGTTCGCGGGTTTGACATATCTAATATGTCTATAATCGAAGGCCACAGTGGTATTATTATCATTGATCCCCTGACGTCGATGGAATGCGCTCAAGAAGCCTTGAAGTTTTACCGCAAGAATCGTGGGAACCGTCCAGTCGCCGCTGTGATTTATTCTCACTCTCACGCGGACCATTACGGCGGCGCACTCGGCGTTCTGCCAAATGACACTGGTAGTATTCCCATCATTGCGCCGGAAGGTTTCATGAAGGAAGTAACGTCAGAACATGTCCTCGCTGGACCATCCATGCTCCGACGAGCAGCTTTCATGTACGGCACTCGACTCCCGAAGCATCCACGAGGACAAGTAGGAACCGGCCTAGGAATGGGTGCGTCCGCCGGGACCACGTCCATAATCCCTCCCAACACCCTGGTGACCAAGACCGGGCAAGAGCTTGTGATTGATGGCGTGAAATTCGTCTTCCAGCTTGTTCCTGGGACGGAAGCGCCAGCCGAGCTGAATTTCTTCCTTCCTGACCACGATGCTTTGTATATTTCCGAGTGCGCGACACACTGCCTGCACAATATCGTAACTCTGCGCGGCGCATCTGTCCGAGACGCCAGAGCTTGGTCACAATACTTAGACGAGACGATCGAGTTATACGGAGAACGCTCGAAAGTGCTCTTTGCCGGGCATCACTGGCCGACGTGGGGACAGGACAAGATTAGGAAATTGGTCTTGGAGCAACGGGATATGTACGCGTTCCTCCACGACCAAACTGTCAGGCTGATGAATAAAGGCTTGACCGGGATAGAGATCGCCGAAATACTTGTCCTCCCTCCGAAATTACGAAGAGCATGGCACGCCCAAGGTTACTATGGTTCCGTTAGCCACAACGTTAAAGGGATCTATCAGAGGTATATGACCTGGTTTGATGGTAATCCAGCCCATCTATGGCCTCATACTCCTTCAGAAGAAGGGAAAAGATATATCAGATGCTTTGGTAGCGTTGGAGAGCTGGTATCAAAGGCCCAGGTGTTCATCGACGAGGGAGACCTGAGATTTGCGGCCACGTTGCTTGACCACGCTGTTTCTGCAGAACCCGAGAACAGACTGGCTGCGGAAACTTTGGCCTACGTCTTTGAGAAGATGGGGTTTGCCGCTGAGAATGCTACTTGGCGCAACTTCTTCCTCACGCGCGCGATGGACTTGCGAAACAAGGGTAAATCTGACCAAGCCATGGACGCAACAATGGCCGATGTGACTTTAAATCCTGATGCAAGAATTGAGGACTGGCTTGACGCAATCGCCATTTCTGTAGATGGACTCAAGGCTGCGGAGGAGTTTGAAGAGTCCCGGAGCATTCTGGTGCGTGTCCTTGAGTTAGAGAGCACATGGAAGATCACTCTCAGCAATGGCGCGATAACGTACCGATCATTTTCCAAAGCTGGGGCTGGGAAGCAGCAAGCAGATGAGCTCGAAAGAATAAGGCCTGCGATTATATTTGACACTAAGAAACAACTTCATGAGATGTTGAGTGGAAAGGCCAGCTTTTTACAGTTCACATGTAAAAGACTTGAAGATAGTCTCTTCCTCCAAAGGCTGCTGGAGCTGAGTGCGATCACTGTATGACAGCGATACCAGAAAACTGTTGAAAAGTTTTCGCATGATTAATTAATAACATATTGAGTTATCTCCTGTCTTTGAAAATCAGAAATAACAACAATCCTAGCGCACCAGAATTCTCTGAGACGCCTCAAACTCCTCCGTAGCCTTGAGTCCATCCGCCACGTCAGCTGTTCCAATCAATCATACCTGTAGCCCTAACTTCGGGCTATTCTTTTAAGTAAGCCGCCAGCTGTGGCAATCGTTTCAATTAATTGTATTTAGCTGTAGCCCTGATCTAGCTATCTTGAAGCCTACATCGTATGTCACTTGTGACCATCTAGAACTCTGATACAGTAGGTATTGGGAGAAAGTATCTAGGACTGGATACTCAGATTGGACCAGGTTTGCCTCCCAAAACATCTCGCCTTGAGCATACTGCGTTGTCAAGGGCTGAACCAACTCAATCTTGCACTCTTTCTTCACAGGCTCCCCGTGAAACCTTGCATCCAACCATGCTTCAATATCAGCACGGCCTGCCTCAAGTACCTGGCCGTGACCCATGTTCGGGTATAATTTGGCGGAAGCAGGACTCTTCGGATAAGTCGAACATGTGAGATTAAAATCCTCCATCGTAAGTGATGCCGGCGTGATCGTATCAGTGACACCTTGGACGACCAGGAGTGGCGTTGAAAGGGGATGTGGACCTTGACCGTTAAAACGGACTGCCCACTCATTGGTTACCGGGTGCGTTAGCCAGCTTTTGTTCGTGAAGATTTCGTCTGGGCTGAGACTTCCCACGGCAGCAATACCCGTTTGGAAGCAAGAGTTGTCAAGAACGGAAAGACGCTGCAGGGCTGTGTTGGTAAGATAGTCACTAAGTTCAATCTGCTCGGGGAAGAGACCAGCAAGGGATTGAAGAAAGTAAACCGAAAAGGGACCCCCTCCGGTCTTGGTTTGTTCCCATGATGTAGGAATCAACCTTTGTGGTCGCAGAGCTGGAGCAGCTGCAACGCCGCCAACAAATTGGCCAGCCTTGAGCAGCCTCTCTTGACCAGGTAGGCTCAAACGCTCCACGGTACGCCATGCTGTCATTCCACCCTCGCTATGGCCAAACACAGCCCATTTGTTGCTAAGCAGTGCCCCCAGCACTTTTCTGGACGCGATAACAGCATATGCCACATCGGCAACATGGAGAAACCCAGACTCGTACATGAAGCCCTGGGGGGTATCAGAGCCTTGGCCAGCATAGTCAGGCGCAATGACAGCATATCCAGATTCAGCAAGGATAAAGGGGGCTTTCCAATCGTAGTACAGCCCCTTGTTGTTAGTTGTCGAACAGAGGCGACTTCGTCCGGCAGTCCCGTGCGTCCAGACTACGGTACGTAACTTGCCCGGTTCATTTGGTGTGGGGAGTGTATGGTGATATGGCAAGAGAACCCATCCAGTGGCGGGAATCGTCTTGTTGTTGATATCTTCTGTTGCGTACATGATACGATAAAACGAGAGACCAGCGGGAATAGTCCAGTTCTGGGTAAGTTGCCTGTAGGGAACGTTCTCCCATCTGAGGATGTCGCCAGGCTTAGCTGTTGAGATATTCGCCGGGGTAGAGTAAAAGTCATCGCTGACTATGTCGCTCACCCAAAGCCTAGACTCAGCCTGATAGGTTGACTCAATGACCTTCTGGCACTCAGTATCACAGCTCTTTTGGCATTCTGAATCGCAGATAGACTGTTGCTGGGCAAAAGATGCCCCAATAAATAGAAAGATAAAGAGAGTAAAAGTAACCATGTTGAATAGAATTGATATAGAAGTTCAGTGTGCCACTGTCAGACCTTGGGTATCTTCGGAATAATTTTGTGATTTACAGAGCTCCTATCTTCATAATATGTATGGAAAGTGAGAAGGTCCCGAGGTCCTTTTATAATAGACCCAGCCTCTCATTAAGAGTACAGAGCACCGGAAACTATTCCTTCCATTGGTATTATCTCGGAACAAGTTTCTTTGGTTCCGAGTATTGAGGGGTAAATAGTGTCAGAATGAGATGAAACCCGGTATTCTGCTGGGGAAACCTGTCTCTAGATCCCCGTTATCTTCTGCGGTACTAAACCAAGTCGCTTATAGACTGAGTGCCAGCATGTCAAAAGGACTCTAGAGTAGACATTTGTCGAGTAAAGGGTAGTCACCTACAAACGTTAGGGCTGGTGTTGAGGCATTAGCATCCTTTTTGCCTACGCGATTTCTTTCGAACAACGGATAATGCACGTAGTTCACTAGCAAGCAATTATGCGCCGCAAAATTTAAATGAGTTGATCTCGTCTAAACATTCTATTCGTGACGGAAAGCTATTCACGATGTCGAGGTGAATGCCGCCATGGGTACCGCCTCGAGGTTGGATTTGAACATTTTGACAAGATCTCCTCTCGCACAACCGCCGCCACTCCACTTTTAGTGTAGCACCCATTGCTCACAATCTCAAGCGGAGGTATAACCAAGTTGGGAAGGAGAGCGATTGCGGTATGAGGCAGTGTGTAGATCTAGGCTATAAGTGGTTACGTTCTTAGACAATACGGCAAAATTAGTCGTTCGGTAAAACATGTTATCTGCCTATGTGTGGCGTGGTCAGCAAATAAAAGGGAGACAGCGACATACAGCGACATACTCGACCGGAAACGAGATAACAACTGGAATTAACTAAGACCTGTAGGCGGTTGTCGGTTGTCGGTATATGATATGCCCTGGTCGAAGAGGGGCACTTTCATCCACTATCAGCCCTTTCTACCGTGAAACATGCCGAGGTTAGCAATATGACGACCATCGAAGCGCAGCGTTTGCCGGTTCTGGCGACGATGTTCATTCATGCTTCATCGCATATGTTTTACACCTAAGCTAACACCGAGGAAGGCGTAATAATGCGAACTCCGTGCTTGATTCTGTACCCATAACTTTTTGCTCACGCTAATCAAGGCTAAGCCCCATCGACTTTGTATTAGTAGACCATGGTGGTTGCTTGAAGCCTAGGATAGTAACAGAAGACTCTTGGAGGTGAATCTGAGAGGCCGAGGGCGGCCGTTTGTAGTCCGTGAAGGTGAAAGAATATTTTCGAGAATTAAATCTGGGAGGTCGGAGGCACCTCGCCAGACTCCGTAGGGCGCTTCTTGACTCGGGGTCTGCCGTGGCCTTGATCGGCTATGTATATGTGAGTGTTACCGGATGCTCCGCACATCGACTGCAAACAGATGTGGCTGCCGTGACATCTGTCTAGTAACTAGCAGGCAAGGAACAGTGTACGTTATTGCCACTAGTCGAGGCCAACTCGAATCAGAGCACACAGATGTTGCTACAGATACACTCTGCTTTGTCGTGCAACCAATTTGCTCTATGCGCCGTGTTCTATTATACCTTGAATTTCTTGCATTAGGGTGGATCAAAGAATATAAAGTAAAATCGTAACCTGAGAGTGTTTTCTGTTTCCGACGACGAAGTGGCAAGACCTAATGTAGCTCTGGACAGCTCTTGTTGGGCTTTTGCGTGATAGGATCTTACTGAGGACCGTTGTAATTTCTTTTTAAAAGGAAAAGGGACCATAGAAGAAACAGGAAAGCCAAGCCAAAACATTTACACGACTATGACAGTTTCACAAATCAGAATGAACGCAAAACAACCACATCTCCCCGTAAAACAAGTTCCCCGACTGCCCCTACGGATCCACCCACCTCTTGGGATTTGGTTCCCAAAACTGATTTACTGCCCGAGTGTGATCACAGAGCACGTTGACTACCTAGGCTGTATGGAAACGTAGTCATGGTTGTTTCTTGGGTGAGCTTAATGGGCAGCATTAATAAGCGGGAAGACGAGCAAGAAATGGCTCCGCTTCGCAGCGCAGACCAGACCCGCGACCCATGCTCTTAGACTCCTAGTTTCTCTGTCATCTTACGTCAGGTTGATCGAGAACATGGATAGATAAAAGAATGTGAAACGTGAAAATAACTCACATGTAGTTCTCCTACTGTGTTTCCCCCTCTTTTTGCCCAGGCTCTGATACCACCAAGCCCACCGAATAATGCATCCCGTCGAAGGCAGTCTTATTATTTGCATCGTCCACGGCGGATGGCATCAACCACTGCACTACCGCCATCTCATTGATGCCCTCACCGCCAAAGGACATACCGTGGTGTGCCCCCAGCTTGCAACTTCAGGCTACGATGATGCCACCCAGAAAAAAAATTATCACGATGATGTTGCACGCGTACACGAATCACTTTTGCCATACCTTGATCAAGGACACAAGGCTATGGTCATTGGGCACAGTTTCGGTGGCATCACCGCCACCGCCGCGACCTGGGGTCATACCATTGAGGAACGTACAGCCAAAGGACTCTTGGGCGGGATCTCAGCCTTGATCTACATCTCAGCGTATCCTGATCATACCAAACCCATCTTATCAAGTGCTTTGGCCGACCCAGAGAAACCTATGCTTGATGTAAGTCTACCTACTCGACAGCCATAAAAAGATGATACATACTGACCGTGGAAGCCTGTAACGCAAATGTGGACGCATCAAGGCGCAGCTGAAATACTATATCACGATTCTGATCCTGATAAGCTCCAGCCTGCCCTGGCCCAGCTCTTACGTCTCAGTGCCAATGCGCTGACGTGCGAACCGATCTGTACAGCTCCGCAGGTGAAAACTGACAAATATTTTCTCGTCAGCAGGAATGACCGTATTATTCCTGCCGAATACCAACGAGAGTGTGCAGAGTATGCTCGGGCAACCATCACCGAGTTGGATTGCGGTCATTCTGCGTTCCTTCGTAGTAGGGAAGTCGAAAAGATTGTCGACTTTGTCGGCAATGTGCTACGTAAAGCTGGATAGACTGGGTCTCTAGCTTCCTACTGTGTGCCCTTCATCTAGGACCGAAATTTCAGGCGTGCTGGGAATAGATATATTCTGTAGGGGTCCAGGCTTCATCTAGCTGCCAGGATATTTAAGAAACCCAATGGTAATCCAAACATATTCTAGCTCTCACTCTCAGCTAAAGAAGAGCAAAATGCTAAAATGACGCTCATGCAATTTCAGCGAAACGACGTAGTATAATTCATACCCAGGCTACTGTTCAAGGGCACCATTGTTTAAAGAGATTGACGGCCCCATGTTAATCAGTTGTCTTGATAAGCTGAATTTATTTATCGACGACTGACTCTTCAACTCTGCATTAATTTCTGCAACAACCCTTCGACTTCTAACACCATACCAGCGCCAAATACTATCAAGATCATAGGAGCAATTGGCAATACCATCCCGCATACTCGTTTTTGCCAATCTTTCAGCGACAATAAGTACTGCTACTCTGGAATCCATTTAAAATTCTCATTAAACACTAAAAAAATTCAAAAAGAATGAGAAAAAAACATACAGCAGCAGGTATTCGCTGGTCATCACCGACCCAACTACTAATCCGCCCCTCGTCCGTTTAACTAGGCGAGAGCGGACGGGATCCCTCGCGTTCCGGGAGCAATGCCATTTTCCGGGCAATCTACGGGGGGCAGCCCCTTTCCCTACTGCTGAGCTGAATAACTTTCACAGAGAGTAGCAAAGCTAGGACCTAGTTGGAGTATAGAAACCGCAGGATGGGAACTTTAGATATTCAAGATATCCGTTAAGCTTTATTAGTAAGCTTGTCAGACTCTGCGCTATTTATACTAATAAAGCTCAGCTAATTTACTGTACAGAATAAATATATATCCGTAGATCTATTCCCAATCCCTGCTTCTCTCAAACTATGAGCCTCGGAGATTCTCGTTACCTGCTCGTGTCCGGATTCCCTGTTACAGGGTAGACTTACTGCGAGTGGGGTTGAGTGATTGGACCCTTGTTATGATTTTGGCGTTACAGCATCCGTTTGTCGGCTGACCGGGGCTGGGACTGTTGATGCCTGCTAAGCACCCGGCTCAGGCTGGCCACTCGTTTTGTGTATTGTGACTTACTAGATTTCATTTTTTATCTCCTTAAAAAGGAGGGTTATATCAGGATCAGTCTTTTATATAATGCTATATAGGTACAGGTAAGCGATAGCTCACGCGCTCGGACAGCAAGGAAACATCACTAGAAGCCCTGATTTCAGCTCTCGCGCAGATGAGCCAGACCTGGGAATACGGCCTTGCAATCCTCAGCAGCAAGCAGCTATCCTGTACTGCTGCAACTTTGACCTACCACTGCGACTTCCCATGCTTGTCTGAGCCCGGTGAGCTGGCCCGCCTGGCTGGCATTACAGCTGCGGGATTCCCTAAGTAGCTCAAAGTCTACAGTGAGGAATTACAGACTCCCCATAATCCTGAGCAGACATATTCATTATATACTAACAGCTAGGCACATGGACACAAACAGCTAGATGCCTTGCAGAGCAGTTAACACCGGCTCAGATTGGGTGGCCATGCATTCGTGTATCCTCGCCGTTTATGAAGTTATATTCAATAATCCCAAACCATCTAGCTTCCATGCAACAGAGGAAATCACTTCAGGCCAACAACGTGGAAGTTGAGGAAACGGTTCTCGATGGTCTCCACGACGTCGACCGAACTGACAGCAGTCAAAATGCTGTTGCCATCCTTGACAAGCTCAACACTCTGTTTATCAGTCTTGACGCCAGTGGCAGAGGAGAGAAACAGCTTTCTACAGTATCTCTTTCACGATACGGAGAAGACCGGAATAAGTGCCTTTTATAACTACAGCTTTTGTCGAAGGGGAGAGGAAGAAGACGGGAGTTGCGAGGCTAGAAAGAGATTATTTCAGAAGCCGGTGGAACGAGAGTACAACAATATCCTCGAATGGAATCGGGTCAAGTCGATATTCAATTAGTCAATGATCATTGGTATGTACTTGTTATTCAGGGTTAATCAAAACATTTTTGTAGAATAGGTTGCAGCGGCGGTTGCCGGCTTCATTACCGGACGCAAATCCGAGGAACAGACGCGGTTCCCCTGCTACGGTCGTGTAGATGCCCATGCCCTCTGGCTCCCTGAAGTCTAGAGACTTGCCAGCTTGGGTGAAAATGGGTCCCTGATGGATCTTGCCGGTATTTACATCAACGCTGGTGATCTCCGAGTCCAAATTTCCACCATTGACATCGTTGGACGTCCCAGTCAGCATATAGATGTAGGATCCGTAGGCCACATAGCCCTGAAAAACATCAGATCGTCCCGTGAGCTTTGGCTGGGGCACGTTGTACAAAGGAGCCGAGAAGTCACCCTTATTGGCCTTTTCAATGGCGAAACCGGCGAGACACTTTCCTTGTGGGCAGCTGAATCGACAGACAAGCGTTTGATCGAGTCCGTTGATGTTGCAGATGGTGTTGGCGGAATCCGCAAAAGGCTTGAACTTGGTGGCACTGTCGGAGCCGCTGCCTACGTCGATAGTATTGCCGCTAGCCCACTTGAAGCGAGCCAACCTCTCGCCATAGCCGTTCGCCTTGCAGTTGGCCTCGGTCCATAGATAGGTGCTAGAGCCAACAGACTCGGCGCCGATGGCAACGCCGTGCCCGGAACCTAGAACGTACATGTGGCCGACATAATTGCCTGAGAAGTCAAGCTCGGTGATGCAGAGATCACCCTTCTCCTTGGGCGATCCACTCTTCAGTTGTGCGACGAAGAGGCGGCGGTTCCTTTGGTCAAAAGCGAAGCTTTGCTGCACAGTGCCGTCTCTAAGCTTCTTGTGACGAAAGAGATCGTAGGAGGGCTCGTTCAACTTGAAGTGGGCCGACTTGGGAACATCGCGCACTACGAGAGACGTACCAGCCAGCTCGACATCTATGCGTGTCGGAATCAGAGCGGCGCATGTCGTCGAGACGAGGACGGAGAGAAGCAAGGGTGTGAGTGCAACGGCAGCTTGGTGAATGAAGTACATAGTAATGGCAGTACTGCATCAGACAAAGAGCCTGCCCAGATGAATAAGTGAAGGGGTGGGAAAAAGAGAAGGAAAAGATGAAAGAAAGAAAGAGAGAGAGAAAGAGAGAAAGAAAGAAAGAGAGCAACATAGGATGGGAAATTTTACATTCAATTCACGCAAATGGTGGCAGCGGAGTCTGCACATCTTATTGACATAATCCTAGAAGTATGCATATCTGAAGCAAAGTTCCATGTCGATCCGCGCCCTCCGCCCGAAGGTCGCACCCAGGGAGCGCCCCGCCTACAAGGCTCATACATAAGCCATTACGCCTATTCAGAAGCTGTTCTTAGCAAAATGTACTGCTTCTCTTCCTCAGCCCACGCTGAATCTATTTGTGACTGCGGATACGAGAATACGAAATCCTGAGCTGGTGCTTGAAAGACCCGCCGCCGTCGAATACGAAACACGACCTTCCCCATAGGGGCACCGGTCCCTGAATTGCGAACAGTACGGTCATTGGCATTGGTGACGGGGCCGTCGCGCTGAGCAGGCCCATCCATTTGAATTGACGTGGGCGGAAGCCTGAGGCAAAAGCCCCTGGACAGCTTTTGGAAGGATGTCATATCTAGTGATAGAGTGATAGAGTGAATTAGGCCTGTAAGAATTGAATCGATCTGCAAGCTTACTGGACATGAGGATTGAGGCTGTTTGACGATCAGCCCCACCGAGATGGAACCCTCGCACGAACAAGTCAACCCGAGCTCATCTCAGGAAGACCGGCGAGCTGCCGAGAAAACTACCGTTCGTCGCAGAATGCCATCCGTTGGACTACATTGAGCACCCCGGTGCCTGAGCTTATCTATATGCTACTAAGCCTTCCGACTTTATGTCTAGTAAGATTCGAGCCAAAGTCTATGGTAGGTGTTAACCCTCTGTAGATGAAGGTTTCGGTAGACAAGCGGGGAGTTAGTTCGGAGGCAGCTGGCCAACTTACCACCCAGGTTGCCAAAGGACAGCCATACTAGCACTTGATAAGAAGGTAGAGCCTCACCTACCGCAATGATAAATTGCACCAATCCCCAAGCTACGCTTGTACCTAAGCTGTGGCACCTACCATTCAACGATTAACATCCTGAGCGTCTGCGAACGCTCCGACAGTAGCCGAGTATCCACCGTTCGTCACACCAACGCCGGACAAGACGGGTTAAGAAGTCTTACGATGAAGGTTTAGGGTTTGTCCAAACTCTACTTGTAGGTCCTTGCTGATACTATGGATATATAAGGCCTCAAGAATTTCCTCAAGAAGCAGCAGAAGATGAAAATAGAATCAACAAATAAAACTCAAGTAGCCGTTCTCTTCTTCAACTTGATTGTCTCGCAAGTTTTTTGCCAGATCTTTTGCCCTCGTTGGTCAAGGTCCTGGACCCAAAGAAACGATACCAGTCGATCTCTAACAGCTTCCCAGCCCCAATACATCGCATCGCCCATGCAATGGTTGGCTATAAAGGTTACGTATCGATCCATGACTGCTAAGCCAACAGCCATAGATGATATGGCGCCTATTAGCGCAGCCCAACGAACCAAGTCGCACACCATGGCCCATTCGTGACTATCAATTCCTTCTTGGACAGCCTCAAGAAGGTCTAGTAATCTGCTTGTGAGACGAGACTTGATCTCCGCTTGAGGATTGAAGGTAGGAAAGATGATCTGGTCAAAGTAAAGAAGGGCTGCCAGACGGCAGAGCTCGGAGCAGTATGCGCTGACGTCTAGTGCTTTTTTCTCCTCTCCTTCAGGCTCTGAATAAATCTCTCTGGTCACCGGTAACAGGGCACCTAAAGAGAGTAATTTATGACAAGCCCAGTTGCAGTTGCCCATCCACACATGAGGATCCATAACAACTTCAGGGCCGACTCGCTGGATGTGATCTAGGACGACGGAACATCCTGCTAAGACAGAAACTGTTTCGCACATCTGCCCGTCTAATCTCAACCCCGACGAGGTTAGTGAGTCCTTCTTTGGCTGTCCAAAGTAAGAGCCGGCGACGAGGAGCATCTTAATAGCCTTGTCGTCTGGTCGCCACGCCTTGGGATGTCGCAAAGTCCGTAGCCCCCACTGACACGGAACTCTTGGCGACACGTCATTTCTGGCGGAATAAATCAAGTCAAGTCTGAACAACAAGGTTTCATGACAGATGGTTAGCTGCGGGTCACCAAAGACCCAGTCGGGGCTTGCGCAAGAAAGAAAAGCCTTACAGGGGAAGAACGATACTAAACAAAGAACCATTGATCGCAGTCATGCCGCCGCTTTGTTCGAAGAGTTTGACAAGCATATCCATGTGCTCCTTCCCAAAATGGACCCAAGAGTAGATTTGCATATCTCGACACTTTGCCAAATACCCCATGGGCGCTACCGCTTCTTCCCTCCCACCTTCGAGGCTATCTCCGATCGACGAGGAGACATCGATACTATCGTGCACGGCGAGGGTGAAAATCGTCATCATAAGAGCATCGGGCACAGGTTTGGTCGGATACCTTAGCTGCACATCAACCTCACTCCGTAGCTTCTCTATGGCCAGGGCCTTACTGCGCTGTCGTATGGTAACCAAAGGATCCGCCGAAGACAGGGCGCCGCGACGCTGAAGTTGGTAGTGGGAAGATGCTGCGAAGATCTGAACGTAAAAGGCGGCGCGGGATTCCATCGTGCATCTCATCCATGCCTGGACAAAATCGTCGCCCCAGACTGCCCAGCTTCTCGTGTATGCTAAAGTCCTCAATATCATAGTGATTCGTTAGCAACCCGTCATCAGTTGCACCGGCCGTAATAGATCAAGTATTGTAGGATCCACTTTCTCACCATAATTCAGCATAAAACGCTCTGTCTTGGATGCTTGCAGAACACTGAGTGCATTGAAAGGGTCCCAGCTTCTTGAGCTCGGTATACGCTCTAGTCTTAGCTGTGATGCCCGTCTCAAACGCATTCCCTCATCCTTCTGTGTCGGGTCAGCGGAATGAGAAGCCCGAGTCTGTACACAGCCGCCCGTTTTATCGCCGTGGGCAACCATCACTTCTCGCCCCGCTATGGGTGGACGTGGGGTCAGAACGCCTCTAGCACGCCCAGCATGAGCCCCGGCATGGCGAGTAGAATTAGGTCGGCCAGGGACTACGCAGGAAGACTCTGGGTCACGCGTGGTCACCGGCAGGAGCGCTGCCCACTGTTCCATGGAGCGAGGTCGCCTTCGGGTACCTGACGATATTGTCTATGAGTGTGACTCGTGGAGAAAGAGGATGTTTTGTCTTCAGCCCCCTAATTTAGTAACTAGTTCAAGGCTCGGGATACGAAACGAGATACGTGGCGCAGGACGCTACTCTGCTCCCAGGTATGATCTACATCCTTTTCCAAATCTGTGGCTGACAGCATCCGACAGAAGGATCGAGGATGCACCTCAGAGGGCCAGTGCGTTTAGCTACGTACGCTTCGACACCTTTGTCCGCATCTCCTACAAGCCCTGCCTTTCCATCCGCTTGTTTGTCCGGGTCCAATTTTAGGTATGCTCTACTAGGGTGGTTAGGAGTGGGAACAGGCCAACCTTCTCTTCAATTGAAATAAGTATGTCTTAGGTATTCCTCACGGTTTCCTGATCGACTTTTTGGATCTTTGACTCGAATCTACCAGCTTTCGCCTCCGTCTCAGCATCAAGCTTTTGATCTAGCATGGTCACTGTTCAGCAACCCGCCGCCTCCGTCGAAATCCTGCGCTGCATGGGGGACTGTTGAGATCACCTCAACGGATGACCCCAACTCCGTGGGTATGGTCAGGATCGGTCACAATCTGTACTACTGCAGGCAATGGGCCAAGATGGTTGGCCACGAATATTGAAAGCCTACAATGGAAAACTGAACCCTGGAACACGATTTTTTGTACGCTCCATAGCCCATTCATAGCCCCTCTACAAAACAGCGCCTTGAATCAACACCTTAATGACGGTATACCAATTGAAAATACCCTAGATTGCCCCTATCCTGCATACTGTAACGCAGAGCCGCGTTTAGCCGCCCAGAAGCAATCAGCCAGAGCTCATCTTAGGGGCCGCGCTTGTACCCTCGGTAATGAGTTACAGGTACTCATGATAGGGAGCTTGGCATATATAGATTTCCCAGTGCGACTCTTCTGGATATAGCTTGTCTTGAGAGCAGAACCAACCCGAGCTTTCATACTTGGATCGGCACGTCGTTGGGCGGCTACGTACGCCCCTTCCCGATACTCATCGCTGCACCGCTTTCTCTGCAATTACTGTCAGTGGTAACCAGTCAATGAAAAAATGAGTTGAAAGATAACAAGTTTGTGTGAATACCACATCATGGTCGCATGACCTGTGGCAGAGATAGCTCGATACGCTTACGTTAAGATAGAGCTGTTGAGTCGAGCAGTCTGTGTTTGATTTTGTCTAAATGCTGCTGAGATGTGATTCCAATAAGTTACTTGAAAATCGCTCTAAACGATGCTTTAAGAGTAGACGAGGCGATAAGAGAGAATGTGGGCAACCCTGCTAGCTGCAGTACTACTGTGATGAAAGTAGCGAGGACGCCGGATCAATTTAGATCACTAGCTCATCTTGAGACGAGCTGGGCGGTTCCGGCAGTAGGTCTATATGCTCGGCTCAATTCAGCTCCTGGGGAACCCGCTCCGAATTTAGGCTGCAAATCGGCTTCTCATCGTCCGCAGTATACTGCTTGGGGCATGGTAAGTTGGGAACGCGTGAGAACTTCCCGGTATGCTTTCGGGCACGGGGACGTCGCCAAGTACAGTGCTTTGTCCTTGCTAAGGTTCCCAGGCTTGAGAAGCTGCTGAAACGTCTTAGTTTGACGCTACTTAATGAATCTTAAAAACACTGCCTTACACCGGTTGATACTTGACGCTCAGTCACGAATCAGCTACGTATCCTAGCCGACTAATGCTCCAATTAGCCTCTTCTACGGGGATTTCCATCAATTCCGCCCCGTTCAAGAGAGGCCGATCCTTCTTCCAAGTACATCCATTCCGTGGGACGAAGAGAAAACGTTCAGAATGGAACAGAGGTACCAGCACGGCAAGGCGCATGCGCTGTGCTTGAGCTATTCCAGGCAGTAGCTGTTTTAACTGTGCCAGAAGGTGAGCGTTCATTACGGTTATCTTTTTCTTATTTAGGAAGGTAGTCTAAAGTGCACTAAAGATCAATTTTCGTAAATAAAAATAAAAGAGCAACGGCCGCTTCAAAGAGATATATCAGGTTCTAAGGATGGAGGTTAGGGGATGGCCTTTGAGATACTAATGCTCCCAGAATGCGAGGACATGACGGGATCGCGTGCTTTCGAACGGGTATGGTCGTATGTGACAGTGGTATGTCGAATGCGGACTATACCATCGGCTTGTGTAGAGAGAGAGAAGTGTTGTCGTCTCCCGATGCATCCTGGCCTTGTTCTGGTTCAGCCTACAGGGCTACAGTGGTTGTTCCTCTATCGAAGCAATTATCGTTGCGATATGGCCAAGTTTCGCTCACTTCCTAATAACTTACCTAAAAGTGCCGGTGTCACGACCAAGGCAATGGTGTGCTACCTCATTTATAATATTTTTCAATTCCCATTGCTTCTTATACCTACTCATAAGCTACAATGGCTCTTCTTCGCCAAGGTCATTGTGGTGCCGCCAATGGTGTTAGGTATGACTATTTGGACCTGCTTGCAAGCGGGAGGCTCGATTGAAATCTTCCAAGTGCAGCCGACTGTCTTCGGGCCTGATAGAGTCTGGCTGTGGCTTGGGACTTTAACATCTGTCACTGGGGGTTACTCAACAATCGCCGTCAATATCCCCGACTTTTCGCGATTTTCCAAGAGTCACGGAGCACAATGGATACAATTGCCCCTGATTCCGTTCCTCAAAGTATTTGTTTCTCTCTTTGGTATCATCTGCACTGGCGCATCCATCCATATATATGGCCAGTACGTATGGGATCCCCTGAAGATTGTCTTATCATGGGGAACAACGCCCGGCGGCCGATTTCTCGCCTTTGTCTGTGCCGTCATTTGAATGATTGCGCAGGTGTGTACCAACATATCCGCCAATTCAATCAGCTTTGCCAATGATATGAAGACCTTGTTCCCCAAGTGGTTTTCGCATCCTTGGTCGGGGCTTGGGGGCTTGTGCCCTGGAAGATAAACAATGCCGCTGAGAGTCTACTGAGCTTCATGTCGGGTTATGCAATAATACTTGGTCCCTTTGCCGGCATTATGGTGGCAGATTACTGTCTCGTACGCCGTAGAGAGCTTGATGTGATTGAGCTCTATGATTCCAAAAGGAAGTATCGCTATAACAAGGTACGTTTAGACACTATCCTCACAAAATTGCAGTCCGGCTCACATAAAATCTCAGTTTGGTGTCAACTGGAAGGCATTTGTGGTCTTCTTCTCTGTTTTCATCCCTCTAGTTCCAGGGTTGGCCAGGGTTGTGAGTCCATCCAGTGTGTCGATCGGCATCGGCCTTCGGCATTTATACAGTATCAGCTGGCTCTTTGGATTTATCACGTCACTAGTCTCCTATTTCCTTCTCATGAAAATATTTCCAGCTAAAAGCACAATGACTCGATCGCAGAGCTCGATAGAAGGGGTAGAAGCTACGATTTCTCAGAGTATAGTGGGGGTTGACAAGGAGAAAGCGTGATACAGGAGAAGTAGCTCGTCGGATTACATTGAGGGTCTAACTAAGGCCTGTGTTTTTTCTGTTCGTAGGGACCTGGAAGAAAAAAAGCTGATCGACAATACCGATGCACCGCGGTTCAATAATCTTGAAGTTCAAGATAAGACGCTCAAAATTCGATTATGTGACATCTCTACGGCTTTTAACACTTACTAGGCGGCCGCAGGGACATAAGTTTTCTGAAATTCATTCGAAATTTGGACACCAGGCGATTTTAATATCAGAGTCATCGGATATGCCATGTTAATACCTTGATCATCGTCACGCGGTACAGAAGTGTAGGGTAGGATAAAGGAAGTGATCTATTTTTAGCTCGTATTTTTGCTTAGCGGCTTTCAATTGGGCAAAGAGACACTGATCCATTTATCTTACTAAGGTGTCAGACAGCGTTGTACCAAGAATCACTTCAAGAGCAAGACTCTGAGTAATTTTAACACCCCCGTTTTCCAGTGGAGAGGCAGTGGAGTTTCACTCTTTATTTAGCAACACTGGACCAGATTGGAGGGCTCAGGGGTGAAGAGCTGAAGGATTCAACCAAAAGTTGTGAAGAACAGTCACTGATTTAGGTGTGAGTGAGCCCGATTCTTCCGTAGGGCACTGTAAAACTGCTGATTAAGCTCTTTCATGCGCTGAACACGACACGAAAAGACACGGCGCATCACGTTGAGGCCATCATCAGTGAGCGCGATCGACTCGTCTTTGCTCCCACCGAGGCAGATACAGCTTCCAGATGCAATGAGCGCGCCAGCGATCGAGTCCTCATGAGTTTGCTTGGGGCGAAATGTCCGCACGATTGATTTCAGCCAGCTGGCTGCTGGTCCTGGCCAGCCTGCTTAATTTCGCATGCTGCTCCGCCAGTTATGAGGTCCCCGATTATGTGGCCAAGCACGGTATGTCCTCACTGCCCTAGGAGAGGAGTACACGCAAGAATCTGACGATTCGCTCGAATAGCGCCCATCGTGTGGCTGCATTCGGATGATCCTTACTTACCCAGTGATCTCCTCACGCATGTGCAGCACACAACACCCAAGATTGATGGGAAGCTCATCAAAGACAAGCTCCCTGCGCTTAATCTGGATAATCTGGACCTCTTGAATAATTATAGAGATGTCGCGCTCGCTTCAAATGATGATCCGCTGTCCAACCCGGCTTGGATGCGCGGTACGGCGCCGGACAAGGACGGTCGCATTCACGATGCCACGCCCTGCGTCGTCATCCTCGTCGACAACCCTTTCAATGATGTCGATGCCTTCTACTTCTATTTCTACTCATTCGACCAAGGGCCGAACATTACTCAGGTCTTGCACCCGCTGGAGCGCATAGTCAAGGGAGGCAAGGTCGGCCAAGGGATGCATTTCGGCAACCACGTCGGAGACTGGTGAGACCCTCATCTGGTGATTGTGGGAGGACGACTCTGTTTGCTGACCGCCATCTCTCGCTAGGGAACACAATATGATTCGCTTCAAGGACGGAAAACCTGTTGGAATTTGGTATAGCCAGCACAGAGACGGTGCCGCTTATCAATGGGGAGACCCCGAGCTCACCCTCACCGACGGCAGAGTATGTCTTGTCCCTTTCTCGAGATTTTGTCTTACCTCAGATATCTGACTTTTTCAACAGCCAACTGTCTATAGCGCCCATGGCTCACACGCGAACTATGCTAAGCCAGGGTAAGAATCACGTGCCTGTCTTCCACAGTTTTGTACCCTGCTAACTAGCAACCCCAGTGATAACATCCATGATGTTGCCTTGATCGACTGGTGTGACAAGGGCAAGAAATGGGACCCCGTTCTGTCGGCATACTTTTTCAAGTACCATAAAAGCAACGAGACAGTTACGACGCTAAATCCTCCTGATAAGAAGAATTCAGGACCACCCGCACACAACTTCACTTCATTATTCCACTACGATGGAATCTGGGGAGACGACCAGCTTTCTGACTCGGACCCTCGCCAGGACCACGTGCCCAAGTTTGGGTTCCGGCGCTTCCTGGATGGCCCGCAAGGTCCCAAGTACAAGCAGATCGTGCGGAAGGAGATATACCCCAACCGCAGACCAAAAAAGACCTGGATCGAGTTCTCTGCGGGTATTTTCATGACGGCGTACCCTTTGGCTCTCGAGGGCTGGAGAGGATGGGTGACGTTCGTGTTCGTGGTGATTCTCATCTTCCTGATGGGAGTGGGAGTCAAGGTCGTCATCACCAAAGGAGTCCGGCGGTACTACTCGAAGGGCCGGTACCAGAAGTTGCAGCAGGGGGAGCAGATCCTCATGGAGGACTTCGAGACGAACGAGGTTCTTTTTTCGAGCCGCGATAGGTCTATGGAGAGGGACAGACCAGACCGGCCGAATCGGGATAGGGGTGATGACTTTGTGTAGACTGTTCTGTGGTTTATACTTTCACCTCCCTCGTCTCTTTTTTCTTGATTCTCTCCGCAATTTTTTCTTTCGTCTTTTTTTTGTTTTGTTTATAGACTAGGTGGCATTATTGTTTCTTTGCTAACGAATGATGGATATTTTTATTTCCGAGCTTGTGCATTATAGGGAAATATACAACGGAGTTTACATTGCATGGGAGAAGAAAGATCGAATTCTATTCATGAGGTGTGTGTGTATGTCTAAAATCTCTTTTCTGAAAAAAAAAAACAACAACTCCTAAATCACTGCTTTTGAATCCATTGCGCTGGCTTTCAAGGCTCCATCAAAACTTCAAGCCGCCCTTTTACTGTCCCAAAGTCGAGTATCCTCCTATCGGCCGAAGATTTCCATCCTTGGTGTACATGTACGCCGTAGCCTTCGCTTTTGAGTAAAATTCAATCGACGTGGCCAAGATCTGCAGAACTCTGTCGGAATCCCACAGATACGACCCCTGGAGGCAAATGGTCAACAGACCTAGATTCTCGCACTGCATGCAGGAAAGCATGGCAATGTTGTTGAAAACGGCCATGAGCACGGACCGGCAGATATCAGCGTCCGTAAACGGCTCCTCACCCCCCGACTGCGTCTGCCCCTCCCTCTCGGCCCGGCCCAGGATCCCAAACACGTTGCCAAAGGTGGCGGCGACGGCCGTCTTCCGCAGCCCGATGCCCATGTAGTCGCTCCCGTAGATGTCTCCAATGAGCTTGTCCACCTTGGAGTTCTGCCCCTGCTCCGCCAGCTCCAGCATCTCCTCTGGACTCCTGGCCTTGGTGAGCAGGGCGACGAGGCCCATGAGGCTGGCGCCCCCGAGGGTGGTGCCGCCGACGCGTTCCCACGTCGAGCCGTCCGACACCTTGTAGAAGGAGACGCCGGAGCCGACGTCGACGAGGAGGAAGGGCCCGTGAGACTTCATGGCAGTTGCCACGGCTCTGATGTGTCTCTCAGGGTGCATTGTGGCCTGGTCGGGAAGCTCTGAGTGAATGCGCGTGGCATCACCTGCTGCGGTTAGCTGAGTGTTCGGCGGTGAGGATAGGTTTAGGATTAGAGCAATTTCAGAGGGTTTTTTTATAATCAAACTCGAGAGCAAACTCATCGATAGGAGACTCACTGAAGTGCCCGTTGAGCTCATCCATGTCGTCCTGGTCATTTCGCCTCTCTACGATGGCAGATCTGGCTGGTTGGCCCTCCGCTTGAGCTGTATCATGCCCCGCGTTTGGGGCTCCTTGATGGATGGTGTCCTCTGGATGGCCAGAGACACCCGGAGCAGTGTTCATACCAGCCAATTTCCCAAGGACCTGTCATTGACTAGAATGACAGCGGTTTGGTCTGGTCAGAATTGTAAGGAATTCCCCGCACGACAATTGCAGTGCAATGTCTTGAACTATGGACACAAAGATTGCTGAAAAGGAGGTAAAACCAAATATTAGTCATCACTCAGGGCGGAACAAGGCTCGGTCCGAAGCCTGTGATTAGCTGTTCCTTGGAGATAACCCACTTAATTATAAGATATTCCTTGCTAGAAGATTTATCATCATAGGAGTTATTATTTAGTCTTAAATAATACTAATAGAAATTAAACTCTTGATTTAAGCAATACAAAGCTGGTCAAAAGCGGCTATCCAGCCAAACCGGTGCCCCTATCTCACATGGCAAGCGATTCTGTTCCCTGTCACCCACGAAAGCCGTGGTGGGCAGCTCGTTGCCCAATCGAGTTCATCGGCGCGTTATTTAACGTCACTATGGAAAGCCGATTTACGAGGCAACTTCACCGGCAGGTCTACTAGCCGCTTTGGAGGGCTGTATCAAAGGCCATCAACCCCTGTATTAAGTCGGCTTCCTCCACAGAGACATCTCGATCAACAATCATTTGTTCAATAACAGTACGGGCAATCCTTCCTGGTCCTCTTTCTTGATTGATCTCGATCTTACTATCAAGGAGAAACGTGCAGGTACCTCTAGCACCCCCAGATGAGAGCATTCATAGCGATTGGTGTACTCTTAGGCGAGCAACATTCTTTAATACATGACCTTAAGTCATTCTTTTCGGTATTGTTCTAGATATGAATTCATTACGATAGGCCAGGCTAAGGCCGAATGATACCTCGATTCGAGAAGTAGAACTACATCGGCACCAAAGAGCTAGCTGGAACGAAGCTCGGCGTTATGGCGAAGGAGTCCATTTTCCTGAAGACTGTTGCAGAACATGTTACGCCTCACTACAAGCCGCTCGTTGCCTGATTGAATCGATTGCGCAAGGTCGTATTCCCCGAAAATAAACCATGGGAGCAGGATGACGAGAATCTGTATACCCAGATGCGAGAGATCCTTGGAAAGGGTTACTTGGTTCAACTTAGGCCCTGATCGTAAAGTCTGGAATATATACTATGCAAATCGAAAAGTCGGCTAGCGACTCTCAGCTCCACGACTTCGATTCGTCAAAGAGCGGTCGATTCGACAGTAAAACTGGTAGCACCGTAGTTGGAACCCTGAGTAGCGGTAACCCATTCTATAGACTGTCCGACGAAACAACCAGTGCTTCTGGGGGAGTGGGAACAGAACTGGCGCCCGATGCATCACTACGAAGTGGATCCAACGTCCAGTATCTGGGTGATATACGGGAGCACCAAAACAGAGTGATGTGTTGTGCGGGAAAAGCCGCAGTCATCGATGAACACGCAGATGATATCCCGCTTCAGGGGATTTTGGTCAAGAAGGAATGCTCACAGGCTTCGACATGATAAGTATCCACCAGTATGCGGCCAAACAGGCTGTAAACCACTGTATAGCAACTTAAGAACATCTCGAGCATTAGTGAAAGATAGGGGTATAAAGTGAAGCGTATTTGAAAAAAATCCTCCTGTTTTTGAGATTGAAAATGAGCATTGGTGAAATATTGTATGATATGAAGGGCCTCATTTGGAACTCTTCCACTGAGCTAATAAATTCCACCTATCCACGCACCAACGGCGGCAAGTTGCGCATGTTCGACGGGCATGTATATACAAACCCCCGACTTGCCAATAAAGACACTCAACTCCGGTACAGCCATGACGCCCATCAATGCAAAATGAATAAAACTTGCTAGGTATGTTGATACCCCGAGAAAGAAAAGCATCCCCGAAGCCGCCCATATCGATCGGTTTTTAAAGATGCGAAGAGGGATCAGGATAAAATCCTCTCTTTTCCAATGCAACCAGATAAATCGCGTCCCGATCAGCACTGCTCCTACCAGACAGCCAATGACGTCGGTAGACTTCCAAGGCTTTGTCTGGCCACCCTATTGAAACGCGAGGACGAGGCGGCATATGTCATTCGTGAAGGTTAGGGCACCAAGTACGTCCATCCGGCGAAGCTTTTGCGAGAGCAGGAGAGATCTGTCTACGGTTTTCTGGCCGCGGATCTTGAGGAAGGAGTAGAGGCTAGCGATGAGACGACCCCGATAGGGACGTTTCTATGAGAAAAGTCAGTCTCTGGTGTTGCTCTGTGCTTGTAAAGGGGGACAGAAACACCATCTCCAAGTGATGTGCAGGGTGAAGACGCCTCCCAGGACGGGGCCAGCCGTGACGGCGATGACGAAGACACTAGTTACGACGCCCATGTACAGTGAGCGCTTCTCGAGAGGGACGACCTGGCTGATGATGCTCAGGGCGCCTTGGAGAATACCGGCACCGCCATCCAGCGATTGCTCTTCCCACGATGAACATGGGCGATCTCACGGCCGTGGCGCAAATGATTGATCCCGCTAACATGACCTATCAGTCAGAATCTAGTAAATTGGGTGGGCGGGAAGGAGACTCACACCTTCAAAGATGGAGGTGGGCACTCGAATACACGACATCTGTGCGGAAGCACGTGTACATGAAGCCATACACGGGCTAGAAGGCGGTGATGGTGAGCAGGTAGGCGCTACCATACCAGGCCGCATCCTGGAGGGACTCGAAGTTGGGGGAGATCTTGGGCAGGGCGACGTTGATGATGTTGGTGATGAAGGTGATGAGGGCGATGAGGGACGAGCCGTAGAAGAGGCAGGCGATGACGATGTGAAGACGCCATCCGGAGAGGTACAGCGAGGTGTCTAGGGCCAGCGATCTACACGTAGAGTCGGACATGGTGACGGACGAGACGATGAAGATTTGGCTTGCCAGACGCACTCAAGCTATCGCCAGCTCACTCACACGAAGATGATGAGAGGAGGAAGGGTCAAGAAGACGTCCAGACCCGGGACCTACCCAGGTCTGACCTCATGAGCACTGAAGGCGAGTGTTGTGAAGCTTAATCGCCCACTCCTGAAGGATGCTGCTCTGCTGCGCCTCTAGCCCCCAAAGCAACCATAATCCAACAAAAGCAACTGCCATCAATGCAAATCGGCGATGCGCCAATTCATTCTATGCTAGGTACTTTGTTACCGACAATTCAGCATGTTGAATAAGGTTTGGTAGCACCTGTTGGCTCGCTACGCCCCTCCTGGCGCTTCGCTATCCCGAAGACTTGAATCACTAGATGCGCCCTCAAGGATCAGTGACCAGGGCTAGGAGCTTCCTTTGGGCGCTATGCCATTGGAATTTATACTCTTTGATATTACGAAGTGTGTAACATTGTGTACGACTGAGAGAGTCTGGGCTGCTGTTGGTTCAAAGTGAAACGGCTAGGGGCGCCACTTACTGATGGTATCTTTGTAAGGTACAATATGGTGGTTGCAAGATGTCATCGGCACATGCCAGGGTGAAGACAGCGGCCAACGCTGCTCCAAGTCTCAACACTCGAAGTCCTTACAGCCCGCGCGCGTAGACAGCAGCTAAGCTCGCGTCCAAAACTTCTTGCATCGCCATCGTAGTTTCAGTGACGACCACCTGCTCAGCGGCTACGACGTTCTCTTTTCAAACTGCACGATGTAGGGAGCGAACGAGATGGTCTTGGAGTGACGATCAATCGCAGATATTAGCTGCGGTGAGTCAACGATATAGATCTTGCTTCCGGGCACGCCGAGAGTGAATAAAGATAATTATCTGAAGAAATAATTTCTTAGCCCAATAAGAAAAGGGATAGCTCTTCTCTCCCATCTTATACAAGATTTAGGGTAAGAAGCCTGGAAACTACATCTAGAAAACAATGGCCCCCTGGCATTTCCACCATAGAAAAAAACGAAAACACCTAAGTACCTCGAAGGCTGTTTAGAATACCAGACAGGTACAACCAGTGCAATCACCCCCGGACTTAGCGCCTGGAGTGAACCCGCAGTAGCCACCTGTTTTAGTTTCATGCTATATGCATTTGCTACTCGTGCACTTGGTCTTATCGCAAGTTTCATCCTTCTTCGTACCGACTGAATAAGATTTAGTGGTTCGTTCCTCGAGAAGAATGTCTCGCAATTGGAGCCAAGAGTCGGCAAATTGAGCTGAGTTCGGGTTAGATAACTTGATATGAAGCGAGGCTATGGCTCAGCCAGGTGTGAGAAATATACTACCGCGCTGTGCAAATTTACGGACAGTATCAGCCCTTTTAACACGAGCAACAGAAAGTGTTGCAGATGAAAGAATAGTAATACTAATGAATATTTTGTTGAAAGAAACTATTTTGAAAGTTAAAAGGTTATAAAAAGGTGAAGATCAAAGTAAAAGTAGATGGTTGAACCTAAGAGGTTATTAATAGTCAGATGTTTTGAACTGCGCTGAAGGATTAGTGATGGAAAGATTTTGAAAGTTGAAAGAGCAGGTTTGTTGCTTTTAAGCCCTAAAATGAGAATCAGTTGGGTATATGCTGATTTAGTAGTATTGTTATTGGTCCGATCTGCTCGGCTAATGAATTTAGAGCACTGCTACCAATAACTATATTGCTAATTTCATCTGACCCCTGTGTCTCCCCCCAAAGGCTTCTAGTAAGGTAGATGGATATGATTTAAAATACTGTTGGCAAATTACTTACGCAATATTACTTTGCTCCTCCTCGAGATATAGTGCTAGGAACAGAATTCTTGCCAAATGCTCGCCGAATTATGCCATGCCTCCTCAAGGTATACTTTTTTTTAAAACGATATTCTTAACCAACAACTCACAGAAGCCTGCGATTGCTATTACCTAAAGCATATTCCCAATAATAGATTCCCAAACCAACAAGTAGCTTATAGATCCCACCTTTTCCTCGGGGCATATTTCCAATAATAGATTTTCGACCTAATAACTAGCTTGTAGATCCTACTTATTCCTCGCGGCATATTTCCAATAGTAGATTTTCATGCCAACAGCCAGGTTGTAGATCCCACCTTTCCCTCGGGGCATGTTTCCAATAACGGTATAATTGTCATGGCTCGAAGAATCATGCCACAAGTTGCATCGAACCGTCTTTCCAAAACGAAACTCTGAACCAACAGGCCAAATAGCGCAGCAATTTTAAAACCTTTCTCTCCAATCACGGGCAATTGACTAATTAGAATGACCTACCGCTAATCAGTCCCGATTCGACATACGACATGTTACGCCGAGGCAATCCCGCCTTCCCCGACAAGGACTGTTATTTGCTGAAGGGAGCGATCTTCAGCAATACTCGAGGTAGAGATCAAAATACAACAGTTATTCGATGAGGAAAGACAAAGAAGATCGATCCAAGAATCAACATTGAGCATGGTCTTCAAGTTATTACATTAATCGTTGAAATCTTAAGGCTCCAAGGTAGAATCGACAAAACCAAGCGCGCCACAGCTGGAAAATTTGGGAAACGCAAGCCAGTGCTCAAGGTAGAGAAGATGCCTAGTAGCTCTGTTCAATCTTAAATGACTGTACTATATAACAGTATTTTAGAAGTCTAAGAGGTTGATAGTATGCTTTCTCCCTCGTCATTAAATACACAATTCAAAATAGAACGCCGTTTAGCAATTAGGCGGGTTATTGTCTGCAGCAAGAGCCAGCGGTACAGTTTTAATCAGGGGAATGGCCAATCAGTCGTTTAAGGGGCGGGGAAGTGCTATTTTCATTCAGTTTCAACACCAGCCTTTGCTGCCAGCCGTCTGGACCTGCGTGTTGGCTTCGAAGGCCCACGGAGTGGCCTAAACAAAGCCCCTGGCTTCTCGGGCATTCGAGGTACCATGAGCTCATCTCGGGTACGTAGACACATGTCCGGTATCTGAAACTGAAAAATAGCATCCAGTTGTTGGAAAACCCACCACAAGGCTGTGTAGGTGTTATGAATTAAATTACCCTCCTGCAATATTTCTGGGTGCTGCTGGGAAAATTCATATACTTGCTGTAGCTTCTCTCGGTATTTTGCAACGGAGGCTTCACTAAAAGCCTCTCCACGCTGTATATCGGTGAACAAGGTGGAGAAGTCGATCTCGCTTGGTGATGATCTGAACATGGCCCTTCTATCTGGTGCTTCGCCGCAGTAGACTCTCTGTGCCTCTACTTCAAGGGGTGTATTGTCAGGGTCGTCCCATTGAGCGACCACGACCATTTTCTGGAGAGAAATGAAACAACCTTTGGTAAACTCCATAGTCTCCAGGAACATGGTGAAGGATGTAGGAAAGAAGATTGCAGTTTGAATAAGCTTGCAGAATCCATCATCAATGCTTCGCATTATCTCTCGATCAAACGAAATATCGCGAAAGAAAAATATATATCGATCGAATCGCAACCATCCATAATCCTTCGTGAACGTGTGCGTCTTCTTCATGACAAATCGTGCCTCGTTGCAGGTTTCACCCGCATTTCGGGGAAAGTGACCCACTAACTTGACGCGCTCTCCATCGCGAATGAATGTGATTACAGTCCAGTGCGAAAGGGAATACTCCCAGATCGCAAGACGAATCTCCACAGGAAGCCTGGGGAAGAGGATGAAGCCTGGATCCATGATGATGGAGGAAATAATGCTGAAGAGAGCGTGGCAAGGCCAAAGATAAAGATGAGCTGCGATTCGTGGTGAAATTTTAAGAAGCTGAAACTCAAGGTGAATGGTAGTACTCGGAATGACGTCTGTGGGAAATGGCTGATCTATTTGTAGAAGAAAATTATGGATAAGTAAATATCTACTGTATAAGAATAACAGGGTCCCTACTAATTTGGTTGATAAGTTTGCAGATACCCCGACCTATACTGTGTTTTTATATCTTTAACCCTCCTACCTCTATTATCTTTAAAAATATATTTATTAGAACTATTACTCTATTTTCTTATATTATAAATAAAGGCCTCTGTAATAGATTATATAGTTATATATATCCTACTATCTGAGGAATAAGAGTAATAGAAGTATTATACTCCTATTATAGAATATAGCTAGATTACTAGAAGTAGTATACTCCTTATACTTTATAACTATTATATATATATATTTATTTTATTAATTAGAATATTTCTTTAGATAGTTATTAATATAATTATCTATATATCTATTATTACTAGCTCTATAATATTTATATATTAATAGTAACTTCTATTATATAGTTTAAAATAATCTAATTATATTATTTAGAATAATACTCTAACTAGTTTAATTCTAATCTACTCTAGATTCTATCTAGTATAAGTTAATCTAATTATTATATATTAATAATTTTTATTTAGCTAATTATCTTATTTTAATTACTATATAATATTAAAAAAATAAAATAGTTCTTATTAAACTACTAAATAATATCCTATAAGCTCTAATAGCTTAGAAAATTATATAATAACTTATAGTCTGAATTAAATAACTTAAGAAGAAGAAAATAAAGAATAAAGAGAAGATAATATAACTAACCCCTCTAGAACTCTTCTTAGATAATACTAATAAACTAAAAGAATTTAAAATTTAACTTTAAATATATTTTAAATTCTTTCTAATTAAGTTAATAATAAATAAAAATAAAATTAGGTTTATAGGAATATATCTTAATAGTACTATAGAATAATAGTTCTAGATCTATCTTAAGAACTAGTATAATAATAAAATTATACTAAGCTTATAAAATTAGAAGATAATTAATACTCTTACTAGCTATAAGAATTTCTAGATTTTATTTATTTAAATATTTAGTTAAGTAGATAAAGAATAATAAACTATTAAAGATCTTAAGAATTTATATTAAATAGAACTAGTATTAGAATATACTATTAAGTTTAGAAAAATCTTAATCTAACTAAATTAGAATAATAGCTCTTTTAAAACTATATTCTATAATAGATTTAAGGAAGAAGTTAAGAATTAACTTTTTAAGATAGATAAACTAGAAGACTTATTAGAATATATAGTAAATACTATATAAATTAATAACTATCTATATAAAAGATAATAATAGAAAGAGAATAAATATACTAGTTAGAACTATATTAAGAATAAACCTAACTAGGGAGTATAATAAACCCTATTACTATTTATAGAATCTAGAATATATATAGATTCTATAGAGCTAGAAGCTATAGAAAAATATAAGTATTATAACTATAATAAAATTAGATATATTTTATTTTAATATTTAAAACTTAAGAAATAGAAGAATTAGAAATCTACTAAAGAAGAAAAGAAATAGTTAGAAGTAATTAGAAAAACTAAAACTAAGATATTTAGAATAGTTAAAAAGATCTTTTAAAAAGAAAATTATATAATTATTATAGTTTTTATATTTTCTAGAAAATCTATATTAAAATTCTATAAAATACTAGAAACTAATAAAAAAAAAAAGAAATAAATAGTATTAGAAGAAAACTAATAATATATTATAAATATTCTCTAAGAACTTAAGTAAAAATATAAGAATAGAAGAAATATTATAAACTATAGATTTCTTACTAAATATAAATATATATTCTATTATATTAATAGACTTATTAAATATATCTCTAAGAAATAGAACTAATATATATTTACTAAAGATAAGATTAAAGCTAAATATAATAAACTCTATACTTATTACTAGTAGAAGATATAGATATAAAATCTAGAAAAAATATATAGAATAATATTATATAGAAAAAATACTATAAATACTATCTAATATCCTAGTAATAGATATAAAAACCTAATATATATAAATACTAATAGAGAGTATAATTATAGATTAGAATTCTAAATAATATATTATAATATCTAGTATACTATATATTAATAAGAAAAAATACTAAATAACTTTTTTCTATTTTCTAATAGAAGAATACTAAGAAAGTATAATATAATTTAAATATAATAGTTTATATATTAATAATATAGAATAGAACTCTATATTATTTTTAAAGAAAATCTAAAGGAATATTCTAAAGATTATATAAAAAAAGAACTTCTAGTAGAAATATACTAAGAATAAAGATATAAGATTTATAAAAATAATAAAGTTAGATTATAATATAACTATTAGTAGGTAAAAGATTAAACTATATATAATTATAGTAGTTATATTAAATAGTATTATAACTAAAGCTATAAAAACTATTAAGAAATTAAATAAAAAGTACTAGTACTAGTATAGAATAATAATAATAATATAAATACTATTAAATTATATTTTAAATAATAATAATTATAGAAAGAAGAGATATAAAACTAATATCTATATAGATAATCTTCTCCTATAGATAGTAAGAAAAATAATAATAAGAAAGAACTAGAAATTATTTTTACTAATAAATAAAAATAGAATAGAATATATAATAGATAAAATATATTATTATTAATAAATAAATTTAAAGAAAGAGTTAATTAGATAAAAAATAATCTAAACTATCTATAATAGAGCTATAGTATAGAATAATATTAATAATAGATTAGAGAATCTTAAGAACTATAGAAGTAGAAAGCTCTATATATATCCTTATAAAAATAAAGATTAAGAGGAACTAGCTTATAGTATTTATTAATTATAGAGTATAGGAAAATTATATTTTATTAGTAATAATTAATTAACTCTACTTATTATAGAAGAAAAAGAAAGAAACCTATATAGTTATAAATATTAAAGATTTAAAGTTTAAATATAATAATAAAATTATTAATTTTAAAACTAATTATTTTATAATTAAAATCTAAGAAAAGAAATTTAATATTACTTATAATTTAATATTATTAGAAATCTATAAAATTATACTAGAATTACTATAGCTTTAAGATATAAATCTATTAATTAATTAGTATACTAGCTAAATAGAGTAAAGAGATACTCTTATATATTAATATTAGAATTAATAAAAATTAAAATTTTATTAGATATTAGAAAAATATATTTATTTCTTAATATCTAAAAGTACTATTATAAAAAACTATAATAACTTATAATAATAAGTAGATATAATAGTATTAGTTATAATAGTACTATAATCTAGTAATATAAAAAATCTATTATAATAAGAACTAAAATAAATAATATAAATCTTAGATTAGATATAGAAGTAAGAACTATTCTTAGATATAGATTTAGTATTTATTAATTAGAAATAATTAACTAAGGAATAATAATTATTAAGATTTACCCTATAGATTATAGAGTAGATTAGGTTACCCTATATCAGTTAATTAAATAATCTCAGATTAGTATAGGGTAAGGAGGAATAAAATAACTAACTTAGGGCTTTCTAAAGCTAGAAGCCTGCTAAAGCTACTAGCTTAACCTGCTATAGCTACTTATTAGAGTAATTATATTAGTAGTTATAACTACTATAATAGCTATTATAGTAATTATATTAATAATCTTATATTATACTATAGTAGCTATATTAGTAGTCCTTATATCTACTATAGTAACTATATTAGTAGTTCTTATATTTACTATAATACTTATATTAGTAGATCTTATATCTACTATATAAGAATCTTAGTATTTAGTTAGTAAACCTTATAACTATTATAATAGCTATATTAGTAGACTTTATATTTACTATAGTACTTATATTAGTAGTTCTTATATTTACTATATAAGAACCTTATAGTAGTTATAAGTCTATATTATAAAAGGTAATATATTATCTTTAGAGCTCTTAGAGTTCTAAAATATCTATAAGTATAGAGCTTCCTTTCTACTAGATAGAGATTCTTTAAGCTATTAATTTATTTTTTTATTTATTCTATAGTTTATCCTTTTAACTACCCTATAGCTAATAAAGTCTTTCTTTCTTACTTAGTAAACTATTTCTTCTACTATATCTTTTAAAATAATCTCTTTAGTATTCCTTAGTTTACCCTATAGGCTATATCTACTCTAGATCTAGCTTACTCTATAGCTAGTTTACCCTATACTAAAAGCTTTAATCTTTTAAAAGATTATAAGCCTGATTCTTATCTACTTTAGTAAGAAAGAGCTTTATCTTTAGATTTAAAAGCTCTTATCTTATACTAGAAAAGTTTTCTAACTTACTCTATATCTTAGTCTAGATCTTAATAGCTTTCTTTACTAAAGAAGATCTAAAATAGCTAATAAAGATAGCTATATAAAGGAATTAGCTTCTATAGATATTAAAATCTATTCTTTTTTAGTAGTTATTCTAATAGCTAGTACTACTACTATAACTAGCTAACTAAACTCTTTTAGTATTATTAGTACTATTCCTATAGTAGAGAGTATTATTATTATTTAGAGTTTATAGAGTTAACTAGTAAACTTTAGTACTACTAATACTATTTCTTTAGGTCTTATAATAGATAATACTACTATTACTTAGAGTTTTTAGAATCTAGATACTATTAAAGCTATTACTACTATATAGTAAACCCTTTAATAGCTTATAACTACTATAAATCTACTATAGTTATAATAGATCCCTAATACTACTAGTACTAGCTAACTAGCTTTTAGTACTACTAGTACTACTTAATAGTCTATTTTATAGAGCTCTTAGAGCTCTAATTTCTTAACTAGGGTTTTTAAAAATTCTATTATTAAGAATTTTAATAAAAGAGTTTATAAGTTCTCTAAAGCCTCTAAATTATAGAGATTTTATAACTTTAATTAATAGAAATAAGCTTTAAAGATCTAATTTAGAGTCTTTAGATTACTATTATTTATAATAAACCCTACTATAGTCTAGTAGCTATTAGATCCAGACTAGACTATCTTACTTATACTACTAAAAGATAGCTATATAGAGAGTCTATAAGCTATTATAACTTAGTAGATCTTCTCTATAGAGGCCTATAAATTACTAAATATAAAGTTGTTACGGCGAAATTGCCCACATTTTTGCCGGATTCAGCCATCATTCTTGGCGGCAGATTTGCCCAAAAACACTCGCCGCTTTAAGCTCCATTCTTTCAACAGACCCCCTGCCAGAGCCTCGACAAGTACCACCACAGTACTGCTCTCCAGCTCCACCATAGCAGTTAAGTAAGCCGTTTGCTCAGTCGCCAAGAAGTTGGTCCCTGAGCTTCTGGTCAAGGTACCAAAATGGACCATTTCATGTCACAATTGGCACTTGGCAGCCCTTCTATAGATCTATAAATACTGTACCTGCTCGCCGCCATATTCTTTTTCCCCCATCCTTTATTCCTTACCATCCTCGCTTCTCTATCTCTGACAAACCCTTTATCTCCCACATGACCCTTTACTTTTCCTACTATTACAACTCCTTCCTCTCTCTAAGATCTACATTTTCACCCCTTCAAACCACAGCCAGACGGCAGCATGGCTCCCAATGTGCGGTTACCTCCTGATTCAGACTCAGAATACTCCGATCCAGGCTTAGAATGCTCGGATGAGTCTGATGTTGATAGTGTTTTTGACAACGATGATCATGAGGGCTCTGAGTGTGGGAGCGATGCGACTGTCTTGGGAGAGTCTTCTGATGAGGATGACGTGGACTTCAAAGACGCCGTTAACCTATTTGGTGGAAATACGCACCCACCAGAATACTATCAAAACGCAGTAAAAGACTTTGACGAGAGCCATTACGACGGTCAAGATTACAGCCCGGGCAGTGATATTCTCTTGGATGCAATAGAAGACACATGGAAAGAGTTAGTGATTAGTTCCACTCCCAACAGTTCATACTAATAGGTTTTATTTATAGGTTCTGCAAAGTTGTTAACCGCGACCCCAAAGAAAGTTATACATCCCTATCTATAGGCATTTTATACAATTTCTTCAATTGGCGCTTAAATCAACAAGTCAATAAAGATGGGCGAAAGCTATGTGGAACAAAGAAGAAAAGTTCCTTGAGTACATACTGGAAAGTGTTCCGGCTATGTGTTGAAAGGGCTACCGGCGATAAGATTGACCCAAAATTGAACCGGAAGATGCATAGAGTAGGAATCTTCACTATCCCCCTCCCCCCCGGAACACTTTCTAACATGAACTTCTAGGCTCTTAGAGACCTAGCCAAGAAGCACGGGCTGAGTGACGAGAAGCGGGTGAACCGCTGTATGACTATTGAAGATCTGTCGGAGCAGATCAGAACAACACTAAGCACAACCGAAAAATGTTTCCAGCTAGGAGAGATTCGAATTCTTGCAGTGTTATTTCTCCTTTTACTTGCTCCTGCCGGCGCTCGCCCTGCATCCATTTTACGCCTTCGATTCGGTGATATTCGTGCAGTATTAGCACGGGATCCTGAAGGTGGTGCACATAACATCCTTACTCGATTCACCTTAGCTTTCACAAAGACATACCTTGGAGTTAAAGATGCGTATGTATAACTCGTGTTAGTTGATGAACCTATATTATGTTAAAAAGACTGACAGTTCTACTACTATATCGCAGCAAGACCTTTACAGTTCCTGAGAACTTCTTTGATCCTTCACTATTCCTCAGCCCTCACGTCTACCTTATGGGCATCCTGTTTCGCCATCAGGTATTCAAGGCTCCAAGCCTCACCTCCCCCGATAAGCTAGATATGCTCGATATCCACGCAGGAGAAAAAGAACTGCCGCTACCTTTAAAGAGAGAGTTCGATGATCGTTTGGTATTCCGCCGCGCTGTAAAGACCCTTACTGGATATGATATCTCCATGGATGCACCTATTACGTATGGAATGATGGCGAGATGGATCAGACGAATTGGTGAGATACTAGGCTTTGAGTATTCCACAATACCATACAGTCTGCGCTACGCTGCGGCTAATGGGTTTGACCAAAGCGGTTCGTTTCCTGCCAACTCCTAAATAACCCTAAGATCTTTTGTCGCTAACAAGCACGATGTATAGTTGATATCAGCGAAGCGTTGCGAAACCTAGCTTTAGACCATGCCAACTCCGTTCCATTTCAGAGACATTATCTCGGGCGAGAAGTCAACGCTGATACGTGGGCCATTCTCCGAGGTCAAAAGCCACAGCAGGCGCTGATAAAACAGGCCTGCAGTGTTGGCCACTCGATTAGCAAGCGCCGACCAACAGACCTCACTGCTGAGCAAGTCGCCTCTGTAAACACGCACCCTCTGATCAGGAAACTCGAACTAGAACTCCGACGAATGAAGCGAGGGTCTAATGAACATGCTAAAGCCCTTCGCAAACTGAGAAATGAGAAACTGAGACTCAAAAGATCGCTCAAGCAGAATATCCGAAATGAGTGGACGGACAGCCAGGCTGTCGAAGACATTGAGCGTCAACTAAGAGGTGAATGGAACCCCAACCAAGTTGTTGATAAGGGCTGCCGTCCTCAAGGATCGGCCCAGAAATATCTGGTGCAAGCCCTGGCTGCCAAGTGCGACGATACGATCGAGGGCTATTATCGAAGACGGAATGATGCAATTAACGCTATCATTGCATACTGCACGGTTGAAGAAGGGCCGACAATGCGGCGTAAAAACACGTCACCAACTGAAACTCAACTTACACCTACAACGGATACGCAGAAGGAAGGTCCTCTGCAAAAAGCGCTAAAAATCGCGCTGAAGGCCATCAGGGTAAAAACGGACAAGGAGCGACCCAGATACTGTTTTTTATGCGTTGGTAAAGCTCTCACTTTACAACCAGACGATCCTTTGATAAAAGATCTAGTCCGAGAGTTCTACACGTCCGGTGATACAGCGAAGCACTTTCGTCGCAGGCACCTTTCCATTTTAGAGGACCATCATGTGATCTATTGTCGGGTTTGCGACGAAACACTAGAACACAAGAAGCACTTGCAGAACCATGGCTTGAAGTGCCATGGTCTCAAATCTTAGTACATATGTAGACATTGTGACTCTTTATGTTATTTAATGTCTGGCTGTAGTATGTATTAGCTAGGTATCTGGTAACTCTAGCAATAATTGTATGTATACTGTATGCCGGTATGTAGGTACTATAACTGTTGTAGGCGACCTTAAAAAGAAGTATAGGGTGGACCATTTGGCTGGCAACTGTTCCTGTGGTGTTGATGTATAGGGTAGGCCGATTCAGAGTGGCAAACAGGCCACAATGGACCATTCAGTCTCACCAGGAGGACAAGCAAACTTGAAATGGATCCTTCTGGGTTCAGCAAAACTGGCTGCAATTCGTGCAAAGGTGTGCGGACCCAGCTATGATCGGAGTAAAGGATCTTTCTCTTCAGCTTCGAGGTTAAGAGATAAATCCCTGCGGAGTGAAATTTGGTATAACACAATTTGCGGCGTGAAAGCGAAAATGGCCACATATGTTCTTATGAGATTATGCTTCTTCTTAAGTCATCAACCGACATCATGTAGATTATGCAGAGCCGGCTAACGTTCCTCTTGCAGCCGATAGATTGTGAAGCTAGGGTTTTGTGAAGTTAATTATATATGTACGTATCATATAGCACCCGAATTTGCACTTCGGGGATGCGCGGGAAATGTGAATTTAAGAGTTCGCAAATGCAGGTGAATTGAAGATGGAGGCGCCTAATTATGGCCTGTTTGACCATGTTCAGAATCGTGCCGTGGCTTGAGTAGGTGGACGCCATCATGAGGCCACAGAACGAATAGTTGAGTTTACTCAGAAGGATCAAGGTCGATGAGGCGGAAGTTCCTTCGATGGGTTACTTAGAGCCCTAGAGCGGGTCTGCCTTAAAGGCGATGTAATGGCGCCCCTTGTTTGGATTAGTTGGACAATCTCATGATGGCCTCCAAACGAGGCGGCCTGGAGAGCGTTGCCGTATTCGCCGCCCTGCGCATTGACATCCGCTCCCATATCTAGGAGAAGTTTGACAATCTCATAATGGCCTCCAAATGAGGCAGCCTGAAGAGCGTTACCGTATTCGCCGCCCTGCGCATTGATGTCTGCGCCCATGTCCAAGAGAAGTTGGACAATCTCATGATGGCCTCTAAATGAGGCGACCTGAAGAGCATTGCCATATCTGCCGCCCTGCGTGTTGACGTCCGCTCCCCTGTCTAAGAGAAGTTTGACAATCTCGTCGTGGCCTTCTTCCGAGGAGATCTGGAGAGCGTTACCATATCTGCTGTCCTGCGCATTAACGTCCGCTCCCCTGTCTAAAAGCAGTTTAACAATCTCGTGATGGCCTTCATCCAAGGCGACCAGGAGAGCGTTGCCGTATGTGTAGCTCTTCGCATTAACATCTGCTCCCATACCTAAGAGAAGTTTAACAATCTCACCATGGCCCCTAAATGAGGCAGCCTGGAGGGCGTTGCTGTATATGTCCTTCGCGTTGACGCCCGCTCCCATATCTAGGAGAAGTTTGACAATCTCATAATGGCCTCCCTCCAAGGCGGCCTGGAGAGCGTTGCCGTATTCGCCGCCCTGCGCATTGATGTCCGCTCCCATGTCTAGGAGAAGTTTAACGATCTCGTAATGGCCTCCAAATGAGGCGGCCTGAAGAGCGTTGCCGTATTCACCGCCCTGCGCATTGACGTCTGCTCCTATGTCTAAGAGAAGATTGACAATCTCACCATAGCCCCTAAATGAAGCAGCCTGGAGGGCGTTGCTGCATATGTCCTTCGCGTTGACGCCCGCTCCCTTGTCCCAGAGAAGTTTAACAATCTCATGATGGCCTCCCTCCAAGGCGGCCTGGAGAGCGTTGCCGTATTCGCCGCCCTGCGCATTAACGTCAGCTCCCATGTCTAAGAGTAGTTTGACAACCTCATGATGGCCCCCATATGAGGCAGCCTGGAGAGCGTTGCCGTATTCGCCATCCTGCGCATTGACGTCCGCTCCCACATCTAAGAGAAGTTTGACGATCTCATGATGGCCTCTAAATGAGGCCACCCGGAGGGCGATGCCATATATGCCGTCATTCGCGTTGACGTCCGCTCCCATGTCTAAGAGAAGTTTGACAATCTCGTAATAGCCCCCCGATGAGGCGGCCTGGAGAGCGTTGCTGCATTTGCCGTCTTGGGCATTAATGTCTGCTCCCATGTCCAAGAGAAGTTTGACAATCTCATGATGGCCTTCCGATGAGGCGATCTGGAGAGCGTTGCCGTGTTCGCCGCCCTGCGCATTGACGTCCGCTCCCACGTCCAAGAGAAGTTGGACAATCTCGTAATGGCCACCATAGGAGGCGGCCTGGAGGGCGTGACCGTATTCGCCGCCCTGCGCATTAACGTCTGCGCCCATGTCCAAGAGAAGTTGGACAATCTCATGATGGCCTCTAAATGAGGCGAGCCGGAGAGCGATGCCGTATCTGCCGCTCTTCGCATTGACACCCGCCCCCTCGTCTAGGAGAAGTTTGACAATCTTATTATGGCCCCCATGGGAGGCAGCCTGGAGAGCGTTGCCGTATTCGCCGCCCTGCGCATTGACGTCAGCTCCCATGTTCAAGAGAAGTTTGACAATCTCATGATGGCCTTCCGATGAGGCGATCTGGAGAGCGTTGCCGTGTTCGCCGCCCTGCGCATTGACGTCCGCTCCCACGTCCAAGAGAAGTTTGACAATCTCGTGATGGCCTCTAAATGACGCGGCCTGGAGAGCGTTGCCATATTCGCCGCCCTGCACGTTGACGTCTGCTCCGTTGCCGATAAGATTTTGTGCAGCCGCTATAAGCCCATCAAAGCAAGCATAGTAGAGCCTGGAACCCCGTGGAGGGCCTGGGTCATCCTCCCAATGTCTATCAGACTGATATAAATGAGCCCATAGTTGGAACGTCGCTTCGTTTTCTAGGAACCCGACTGTCGCTCGAACTACGTCCTCTGAAGACTGAGCTAACACGGCGTAGCCTGTCCAGACTTCCGCCGCATATTTTCCCATTGGAAAATCCCGCTTCATTTTTCTATGGCTATAACCGCTGATGTCCGTAAGATAAGTCAAGCACATCCTCACGATTGGAATGCTGGCGGTCGTAATCTTGAACTGACTCTCTCCGAGAAGGTACTCTTTGACGGAAAAATGGGCAAGATGTAGCTCCTTATCCCTAGCACGGACGACCGTCACCAACCCGGGACAGTAGGCAAGAACGTTTTCGTCGGAATACAGACGACGATTGACATCAAACCCTTGCGAGTCGCCTTCTGTCTGCGTTGCAATTACCTCTTTGGCCTCAGCTAGCTTAAGTGGCCGTTTAGAGTGCACAAGAACCTGCAAGAGGCGGATTGCATCGCTCTTCAGTTCTATTGGTATGCTTTCGATCATGCGCCGGTATGTCTCGTCCAGATTCCGTGGCAAGGATACTAACGTCTTTTCAATGGCTGCTTGGTGATGACATCTAGCGAGACTGTCTAACTGACAGAACGCCCATCTAAACCTAACTATGGTATCAGTAACCACCGGTGTGTTAATAGAAGGCAATACGGCTTACATCCCGTCCGATCCGTCCCCAACCTTCGTTCGGATCTGTTCCAGAAGATCTTGTGGCAAGTGTTTGTCCCGGAAATCACGTCGTTGCAAAAGTTGTGATGTGACATAGGACCGGATGTCGGCGTTGACGGCCTGCTTATCGAGTGATACGCAGTGTTCCTTCCCTATCAAAGTGGGAATTTCGTGTAGAAACTCCGACTCGGGCCGACTGGTGTAAAGCATGTGAACGTGCCCCAATTCTGGCCTAGACGCCATGTTTCTGATCCAGGATAGGAGTTCATCCCTTGTCGTCGACTCATCCAAGGCGTCTAGTACGATGCATGCGACCTTCTGAACCGTAAGCATCTTACAAACAATATCCTCGAGCGCCTTCGTGGTAGGTTGTTTATAGCCATTTCCGTGTGCTTGGAACAACGTGTCAAGAAGGCACGCGGAACCAGCTGAACCCCAATAAAGTTGTGAAGCAAGTGACCGCAGCATACCATCCAAAGTCTGCTTTGTTGTGTCACTAAAGTCAAAGAAGAAACTGAGGATAAGGCTGTAGTTTCCCTCCATTAGATGGTCTAGAACCGTCGCACTGAGAACCGTCTTGCCACACCCGGCAAGCCCATGCAGCCACAGATGTCGGTGCGATCCTCCTTCCCACGATTGGAAGATCGGGGTTTTCAGGAACCATGCGCCTGTGCCTTCGTGGCGGAGCTTCCTTGCGTAATTAAGGTTTGTAGATGGATCTGGGGGATGAAGCCAACGTCTCATCTCCTCAGTATGAAGGCCAGATTGAATAGACTCAGCTGCGGCTTTTGTTGCAACTACGGTCTTGCGGACAGCACCAAGTTTATGGTCAACTACCGAACATTAGAAATAGAAAATCCTGTAAATAATAGAGCTATATACTAACTATCACTAAGAGCCTCGGCAAGTGGCGTCTCTGCGTCGACCTTATTAGGTGGTATCTGCCGCAGAAGGTCCTTCGCATACGCTGCTGCCATCATAGCTGCAAATCCTTGCCACTCTTTGTTCTTATGCGAGTCCGAGTAGTCGCAGATCCCACGGATCACGAGACATGGGAAGTGGTTCATCAGGCCGGCTGCCTCCATCTCGAAGCAGAGGATGCCTTTCTCGGCGGCTAACATGTCCCGGATATGAGCATCCTTCATCAGTTGGTTTCCGCTGGCAATCAGACCGTAGTGGATGGCGGGGTCGTCTTCCTCTTCATCCCTTGCGGCACGATGCACGAGGTATGTTGCATCGCACACGATATCGCAACCGCTAGTTGTTGTAGCTGGGTGAACAACATCGGATTTGTACAATCTGTCGGTTGTTGGCGCAGGCCGCCTGTACTTCTTTCGTTTCTTGATGCCTTCCAAGGCCTTATCTACCTTGTCCACAAGCTGGTGGCCCCTCAACTCGTATGTGCCCTTGAGAGTGCTGACGGCTGTTCGTAGCACCATCGGGGGCTGGTCCAAGAACCCCGTTTCTTTAAATGATTGGTTCTGAATTGTCTTGCCAAAGTCGTATTGGAACACGCCGCCCTTGCCGCCATCGCGACTACTGACCACCACATCACCGAGCCGGATGTCATGCGTCAAGCTAGGCACGCCGCCCCCGATGCCCACCATCAGCCCGATGCGCACATTCGGAAAGCTGTGAAGCATATCCCGTGCTACTGCCGCCGCGGAAGTTGTGCCATACTCCCCATCTGGCAGGACAGCAATAACGACGTGATGACAGCCGATCTTGCCGAGGACGTAGCTGTTGTTGTCGTGCTGGGAAACGTGGTTAGGTGGGTCGTGCTCTTCGTCGAGGAAGGCTCGTGCGGCGACCGACTCGGTGGTGAGCGCACAGATCCAGCCGATGGTGTAAGCCCGCGGGTCCGACATAGTTGATGTTCGATATCGGGAGGGGAATTAGAGTGTCGGGGAATATGCAACCGCTTGACAAGTAGACTGCAGTGAGGGGTAGGTGGGTGGTGGTGGAGTTTTGTAGCCATATCTCCTATCTCCTATGCACGAGATCTAGCTCTGGGCGGTTCAGGGCGAGAGCTGGAACGCCTCAGCGGTTGTTTGCAACGATTGCAAGATGGTGATTGGCCAAGGTGCCACCGCCATCATCAGCATGGGCTCCGTCGAATGAAGCAAGCTATTAGCAAAAAAAACAAAAAAAAAACTGCTGTGCATTGTGTGGTGGCTTTCATCCTCAATCCTCAAGCGTCGCACACTATGCCCGTGCACAACCTAGCTTTAAGAAAGGGTCGTGATTGAAAGATGGCAAGTTGTGCTGTATTTGGGGAGGGGGTGTACTACCATCTAGCACCTAAATTTGCACTTACTGCGCTGGAAATGCGAACTTAAGAGTTCGCAAATCCACCCCCTCCTCTCTGCTGTTGCATGCTCTTTCCAGCTTGACTAGAGGAATAAAGAAGTTCCGTTTATCCCGGTTATTCCAGCCAGCTGATGAGTAATAATCTCTCAGACACGTGATCATGATATGTAGTGGAGCGATCCCTTTTTGAGAAAATCTACCTAGTCTGAGCTAATCTCATCCCCCGAGCTTGTCCGATCAGTGGCTGGGTTGGAAGTAGATGATGAGGGTATGGCATTCTAGGTATGCTGGAAGCTTGCTGGAGCTCTCCTCACAGCCAGTGGATAGGCTTGTTCCTATGTACAACAAAGTTAGCTCACCAAGTGCTAAGTAGACCCAGATTGAGATCACTCACAATTTCTACGAGAGGAGGGGGAAACAATGAGCTACTAGAAGAGTTGTAGTCCCAATACCGATTGTTTCGTCGCACCACAATATAGACATCAGCATTAAAACGACTGCTTATTTTATCACCTCTTTGCATAAGACCTTTAATAGCCTTTGCGACATTCTCGTTCGTTCTGTCACGTTTTCGGTGTGAGATTGGGAGCTCAGCCATTGTTTAAACTGTGCAAGTAACGATTTAAAAAGTGAATGAAGGCCGCGTTTTGACCTGTATTTAACTTCAGCAAAAATGATACAAACATTGGTAATGCGAACTTAAGAGTTCAGAAACTGCCCAGGAGTCTAGGAAATGGTGCTCCCCTTGTTCTCGGAGTCCAACCAACAAACCCAACAGGCGCAACAAACTGTCTCATGCTGGCTGGGGCCAATTCGCAAATGCAGGGGGTGTAACACTGGTCGCGCTGCCTTCTGAAGGGGAGTGAAGCTTGCACGCCCGGATGAACTTCGTGTAGGCTCCACCTAACTTGTCTGCTCCTCTCTGGCTTCTAAATTTGTCGGGAGACCCTCACCACCAGTGGCACAAAAAATTCTCTGTTTCCTGGCTTAATTCCCCCACTTGCGACTCCTTGATTCGTTCTAGTCAGAAGCTGCCAGCAACATGCATAGCTCCCATCCCAGCGTGTGCGCACCTTGAGGTTATTTGAGGGAGAGACGCATATTTATGATGTCATGTTTTGAAAATATGTACATACCACTATGTACCTCATTACCCAATGAATGTGAGGCCACACTCTTGGCAGCTGTCCAGAAATGGGACATGTTTGAAGAGGACACACTACGCCATTCCCACCAGCAGGCTCAGAGTAAAACTCATCTCCTAGACTCTTTATCTATCTCGCAATGGAGCTTGCGGAGCTAGAGGTAAAGGCTGATGACATCTTCCAAAACATCAAATTATCATTTGGAAAAGATGCTCTTCTCATCTTTAAAAACGATCTGCAGTCTGCTAGACGGTGGGTATTGATGATTGAAGGGCACAAAGGAAAGGGCATAGCTGGTCTGGGAATAATCTCAGCAGCCTCCAAGAGCTTGATCTCATTTATGTAAACAGATCCAGCAAATCTTCAGGTCCTGTGCTGATTTTGCAGCAATAACAAATCGCAAGTAACTCATAAGGCGCTGCACGAGCAACTTGAAAGGTTCACAAATAATGCACTTGCGATGGAGATTTGCCATATACTTAATTCAGTTGCACAAGTAGTTTGTCCATGCGGCTCTGCTGGTTGTCGGTATTATATTGCGGTCTCTGCTGGCTGAGGGGATACCGGTGCGAGGTTCAGTCGAGGTATTTCCGTGGAATCAAGGTTGGAACTGAGCTCAGCAGTTGGGCGCGGCAGAGCGGGGTTGACGGTGCTGTGGTCGGGTGCGCCACGCGACGGGCCTCTGCCCAAAACTCGCCGAAGACCCCACACGGGCTTCAGCCAGTCGGAAGCCATTGGCTCGCCGAGTGATAGCTGAAAAAACTAGCTTGCCCGAAGCCTGCGACCAGAGGTTCGCCCTGGTAATAGTGAAACTGGACGGCTGCCACGAGCAGTGTACTGAAGGAAAGCCCAGCCCTTGAGACAAGGCCGTTTTGCGGTGCAAGGAACCAGTGAGATGGTTTGGCGGAGAGGGGCCAGCGTATCCGAGGCCTCTTCGTCGGCTGCTGACGGATTCTCGGAGCAATATTCTACCGTCATCCGTCATTCGCTATACCACAGCTGGCATAGAGAAGATCGAAGATCCCCCGCAGAAAATGTCACCTAAATTATCGAAAATCCAGCGAACCGAGCTCCAGAACATCATCATAAGCAAGTTACAAGGTGAGGAATTCATCATAGATAACGAAATTGCCGAAACGATCATTCCCTGTACTACGTGAGCCGTTCGTTATGCGCGATCGAATATACTTCGATATGGTACGATCAATGGTCTTGGTAATACTATAGGTCGATCCAGGGAAGTGACAGAGAACATGTGGCTGGCTTTATAGACTAGCTTGATCAGAACCCTTGTATGATTCAACAAGATATTGTGTCCCTTTCCCTCTCTAGAGTAATCGTCATCAAATTGACCGTTCTCATAATCTGTTCAGATTGGAATTTGTGTCGGCTCACAGAACGTCAAACTATCCAGGAAGAAAGAGGTCTAATATAAATATCTAGTAGGATAGTATCTCTTGGGTGAGAGGAGGGCTGAGGTTGCTAAGGAGTATTATAGTGATAATAAATGGGAGAAAAGACGTAGATGTTGGGAATTGACAATATGAGTTAAATATGAAGGAACCAAGAAGTTACTCTAGAACAACGTATTGAATGATAGAGTAGGGGGACACAGAACATTCTTATAGTTGTAGAATGTGGCCTTCCATCACCTTGGCGCTCTGTCAACAGTCAAGAGCGTTAATAAATCCGCCAAACACCTATAGGAGCTGTACATATTGTTTTTCCTTAATATAGAAGAGTTTAGAAAAGTTCATATAAGTTGGTCACTTGATCATGTTGCGTTGGAAAGCCAAACTTTAGTCCCTAACCCCTTCATAATAATGCCTAACTTTATCTAGTACTTTATATACTCTGCCTAATATCTTATTGCACCATCAGGTCTCTTGCACCCTAGATCCACCTCTCTGCGGTTGTCCAGAGTTCCCAAAGAGCCCAAAGGTACCGGTTTTGAAGAGTTATATCGTTGATCAAAGCAGTAAATTGTGGGAAACTACATGCCATCTATATGAGAATAGAGAGCGATTCTTACAACATAACCATCCCTAAACGATGATTAAACCTAGACATACTTATTGCCCTAGCTCTAGACTCCTGGGAACCTCACCTTAACCCATCCAAACAGCCACGTCTTTATCTCATCGAGGGCCAGAAGATCATTCTCTGGTGCCGCGCGAGAAGCGTTGGGATCAAGCCAAGGATAGGTCCCAGGACTGATGAGACAGCATATAGTTGGGCGCGCCTTAGAGCTCGTCTCTCGCTACACAGTTCAGCTGCCAGTGGCAATTACCGCCTACATATCTGCATGCGGGGCACCGCTGGTCTACAGTACAATCGTCGCCTCGACCGCAGAATTGGCCGCATCTCGACGCGCGCTCAAATAAGAAGTGGTTTGGCCCTTCATCCTCTGCTCCACCACACTTCAGACCGATACCACTATCTTGATTGTACTCTTGGTAGTATTCCTCAGCCTTCTGGTCATCGATAAGAGCGACCACAAACAGGCGCTCGTTCGTATCTGCATCAAATTCTTGAACCATAACCATGTTGCTAACTGGTTTATTTACGACGGTAAACGTGTTTCCTCCTTTCACGCCCGCCTGTGCCTTATTGAGAGCATCTCGGCCCACTGATACCTCGGTATGTTCCGCTAGGAATTTATCAGCGCCGGTGTTGCTTGTCCTACCGCCGTGCAAATACAGCGCCATTGCTAGTATGAGGCTGATACTGTTTGTGAAGCGCATGCTGGTAGT